CACACACACACACACACACACACACACACACACACACACACACACACACACACACACACACACAGCCGAGGCTGAATCTAGACGATGGACCGTTCCATCAGCTCAGGCTGCCCGCAAGCGGCTGCTGCTGATGCATCGCTTGGCTGCAAGCTGTGTAGACCCTGACGTGAGCAGAAGCGAGTTGAGCGTAAGCTTGACGTCATCATGAGCGCCGCGAGCGCATCACAAGCATCAAGCAGCAAGCAGCACGCATCCTTTTCCTGACGCAACCAACCCACAAAGTCCGACACGTGACAGACCCATGGCAGCTCGAGAGAATTCTGCGTCGCGCGTTGCAGCTGCGGTGAAGCCCATGCAAGCGCGTTCCCGGGCCCGCGGCTGCAGTCTGTGGGCGCCAACGCTCTCAGAGCCACGTGGTGTCTTCAGCCCTTCTTGCATGAGCGCGAAGATGAAGGTGCGCCGCAAGCAGCAGTCATGAATGCGACGGCGCCCGCAACTCAACCCATTCACCTTCATCTACCAATCCCTCAAGACTTGATTCACTCACAAAATTCGACATCATGGGTGAGTTGCAGCGCATCTTGAGCTCAACGTCCTCGCTGGCTTCCACACGCGTCTCCGCCGTGAGATGGTGGTCCTTGTTGCTGACACGGCCACACTTTCGTCCCATCTGTAGCTGTCGGCAAGAACAAGAAGTGCGTTGTGCTACAATCGTGTTGACCGGTACGAGTGATGGATCAGAATTTGCGGCGGTGGTAGGCTGCATGGGGACAGGCGGACACGTTGTTTCGCGAGGAAATTGAGCGTGGACGAGGGAGGGGCGGGAGGCTCCATCATTCTGCCAGGCGCTTTGAGGAGCATGTAGCAAAGATTTGGGCAGCGCCAATTGTACAAGAATCACGCGGTGAGATGCTGAGATGCTGATACGCTTTGCTTTCGTCCTTTTCTCAAACAGGCTTTCCAAGCGCGGTGGTATCAAGAAGAAGACGGTGGACCCCTTCACCCGTAAGGAGTGGTACAACCTCCGTGCCCCTCTCTTCTTCTCCCAACGTGACCTTGGCCGAACCCCAGTCAACCGATCTCAGGGACTGAGTGAGTGTCCTCTACACGGCATTCGGAGAGCGAAAAAGGGTGCACCGCCGGGGCATGGGGTTGGGACGTTTGGTGGAGCGCGTTGCGATGGGATTGGCGGATCGACTCACGCATTTCGCCAGTTGGCAAAGGCAGACTGCGTGTCATGAATCAGTATCTGTGCAGTGACAGACGGATGTACGCCTGGTCAAACGAGAAGATCGGCGGCTTCGAGCGGGGCGGAGGACCGGCCGTGTCCCACCCTCGGGTTGAAAGCTGACTACGACTGACCACGACTGTTTCTTTACCATGCAGAGAACGCCAACGATGCTCTCAAGGGACGTGTCATCGAGGCTTCCCTTGCGGACTTGAACAAAGACGATGAGCAGACTTTCCGCAAGTTCAAGCTGCGTGTTGAAGAGGTTCAGGGTCGCACCTGCCTCACCAACTTTTACGGCATGGACTTCACTTCCGACAAGATTCGTAGTCTTGTTCGCAAGTGGCAGAGCCTGATCGAGGCTCACCAGGACGTCAAAACCACCGACGGCTACCTTCTCCGTGTCTTCGTCTTCGCTACCACTAGGAAGCGCGCAAACCAAGTCCGCAAGACCGCATACGCCCAATCTTCTCAGATCAGGCAAATCCGTCACAAGATGTTCGACATCGTCAACCGCGAGGCATCAGGCTGCGACATCAAGGAGCTGATTGCCAAGCTGATTCCCGAGGTCATTGGCCGAGAGATCGAGAAGGCCTGCCAAGGCATCTACCCCTTGCAGAACGTCTACGTTCGCAAAGTCAAGGTGCTCAAGGCTCCCAAGTTCGACCTCAACAGACTCTACGAGCTTCACGGATCATCCTCTAACGATGACACCGGCTCAAAGATCAAGTCGACCGGAGAATTCAAGGAAGGACCCGCGCTCACCAGCGTTTAAAGTGTTGACCGCGCATCTTTCCACTTCTACTTCGACGAGGTCTTGGCCCTGCTCTCATGTCGTTCTCTTGCCTCGGCTGTACTCCCACCATCATGTCATGCACACTCAAAACGACCCGCAGGATCGGCGGGTCCTGCGCTCGTGCTCCATGCAACATCCGGACCATCATTTTAGTCGATGGATCCAAACGTGCGACGCTCGGCGAGCTAGCACGTCAATCTCCGCAATACAAAATCACTTGAGACGCTCAGGCTAAAGATATTTTGTCGAGTGATGAAAACATTGGATTCGTGATGGGCTCTCTGCGATGTTGTCGGCGCGACACCTGGTCTGAATGTGACGATGACGGCTGAACGCAAACCCTCCTGCTGCCGCCTTTGAATCTTGAATGTGTTGACGGATCGTCCGGCTGCTTCGGTCAGCTGATGCTGGCAAGCTGGCCGGATTGATGGGGCGCTTCAGAATCGATCGCACTCGGAGTGCTAGGCATGCAGAAGGTGCTGGGAATCTGATCGCGTGCATGGCGGTCAGCTTGCTCAGTCAAAAGTCACGTAAACAGCAGCCACGGTAGTCACGCGCTACAATCCCAAATGCCTGATGTGCGCAGCAGCCGCGAGGCTTCATGTGCCGGGCCTCTGCTGCAGCAGTCGTGAGTGAAGACGCGCTGCTGGCGGCCTACTGCGTAGCTGTCGCAGGGCGCCACTGCGATCGAGGCGCTTGCCGCGCGCTCCGCTGCACGCGCGCCTCGCTGTGAAAGGATTAAGCGAACAGCTCTGCCAAGAGCGCGACGCCGCTTGTTTCCCATCTCACACCATCACCAGCATCGCTCACGCGACATTGCCAACATACCTCCCACTCTGCCTTCGACCTCTAAGTCCAGCCTACATCCGCCCTCGGCGCATTCAACGCATACATTACTCTGCACGTCGACCCTACGATATCGACGACCACACATCAGCTCAAATTCGACAGAAAAAATAGAACAAAATGGTCAGCATCAGATCCTTTCTCGGCTCCACTTCTCGGTTTCTATCTCCAAAGCCTTAGCAGGGCGATGGTGCTCGGGCTTGTACCGTCGCTTCCGAACGCTGCTTCTCAAAGCTTGTTCATGTGCCCAGTCCAAGGTTAGCCAAAGCTACCATTCTGGCCACGGGATCAACTGTTGTTCTGTGCCCTCACAGCGACCTTGCCGGTGCCCTCACGTGAAGACGATGTGTCTTGAGCGTGTCTCCCGGGGTCTCTGCAACCAACACGAAAGGCCAGATGTAGGAGGTCGCTGGTTCATCGAGCGCAGGCTCAAGGTCGCACTGAAAGAGTGCGGCCAAGCTGATGATCTCATCTGGCGAGGATTGGTTTGCGCTGGAAAAACCGCTACCTCTGGTTTACAGGTAGCGCGTGCGCCGCATGAAGCAGCACAGAGAAGGTACGGCCTATCGACAGCCCCGATCTGTTTCGGCGGCTACCATGCCACCTAGGTCAAGTCTGCTACAGAGATTCAATAGAGCACTCGAGCCAGCCTCAACGCCCAGTTACGCGGTCGGCTCCGGCGGCATCTCCATGCAAGAGATACCTAACGCACAGCTCAACGCAGTGGACGAAAGTCTAGGGTAGCGCGCCGTCCTGCGTGATCAGCTTCATCTCGTTCGTCTCCGCACCCCGTGGTATGCCGATAGCCAAGCGCGCGCGCGCGCACGTAGCCTGCCTTGCACCTGGTCCCATCCACCTCTACCAGCTACAAGACTGCTGTGAGGGTGGCGTCGAAGGCAATGCGATGTCGCGGAGCATTTGCGCCACGTCCCTTTGCGACGTTTTGTGCTACAGCCGGTAATGATTTGCCCAGTATTGCTCCAAACGGCCACACTTTCAGCCGTGGGCGGAGACACCAGCCGCAGCTACTCGTCGTCCACGTCTCTCATGTCTCTCGATCCTTGCCGCCGCGCCCGACCACTGCCAATGGCGGGATCAGCCACAAGATGTATGCATCTCTTATCTGACACCTCTTTGCCCTTTCATCCTCATCTCTCCGTCAATTCGCCTCGCCTCGTGCTCACGCCTGCGACGCCTTGGCGGCCTCAGTCTATGAACATTGACAAATGTAAGCATCAGCGCCGACGTAAGCAACCTTCTGGACTGTCTCACTGAAAGGATTCATCACCTTCACTTCAGCGCTGGACGAGCTTGTGGCTGCCAACCCAAAGAAGGGCGGACCCAAGGGTCGTCGTGGAGGAGGACCGCGTCGCAGCGGTGGCTCGGCAGGCGTTCACGCCAAGGCTGCCGCGCTTGGCAAAGCTTCTCTTGGACGTGCTCCCCCTACCGGTCCTGCCAACAACCGCAATCGTGGACCTGTCATCATCCCCGGTCGCGCTCCTGGCGGCGGACCCCTGAACAGCAAGATTATCGTCTCGAACTTGCCGGTCGATGTCACTGAGCCTCAGGTCAAGGTCAGCATCGCCACCACAGGCTCCGGTCTCCTCTTGCTCTTGAGCTGATCGAGTTGTGTAATCTCTGCACCCTACATAGGAACTCTTTTCAACTTCCATTGGACCACTCAGACGCGTTCAGATGAGCTTCCGCGCCAATGGCCAGTCCACCGGCACTGTGACTGTTGAGTTCCAGCGTCCCGACGACGCCAACCGCGCCTATCAGCAGTACAACAACCGCCTCATTGACGGCAGTGAGTCCTGCTCTGTGGCGATGGGATTGCATCCAGACGAGTCGAGTCCTTGTATTCACAACCAACACACTTGACCACCGCAAACCCTAGAGAAACCCATCAAGATCGAGGTTGTCGTCGACCCTGCACAAGCCGCCGCTATTGCCGCTCAGCAGGCTGCCGTTGCCCAAAGTGTCCGCGGAGCTCCCAGCCAACGCGGAAAGTGAGTCCTCTCGCGAGCTTGACGCTGTCCATGACGATCGTCTCTGACTCTGGCTCCGTAATCTGACAGGGCCGCGGCTCGTGGACGTGGAGCTGCTCGTGGACGCGGCGCTCGTCCTAAGCGCGAGGCCAGGCCTAAGAAGACCGTTGAGGACTTGGACGCAGAGATGGACGTCTACGTGGGAGAGAGCAGCGGTGCTCAGTCTTAGGTTGCGTGTTCGCCACATACAGCACGGCCAGCACCTTTCTAGTCACCGCCCCTCTTCCAAAGAAGCGCAAGTCAACCAACACAGATTTTGCGCACCCAGTCTCAGGTAGTGGCCTGTAACCACACACATCGAATCATATGATCTTACGACGCGCTTCGCATGTCGCACGCGAGCTGATTTGCTTCCTGAGGGGCATCATTTTCGCACGCACCCGACATTCAAGATTCGGAGGCAGCGGGCGATTTGCTGACCGCACAAAGCAGCTATGTACTCACTTCGTGGTACTCACATTGTATGCGAGAAGCGCAAACGCCTAGGCTTCTTCTCAATGTCTTCCCGCGAATGTGGGCTGCCTGCATTGATTGATTTTCAGTGGCTTTCGTTCGGGAGTCCTTTCTTCAGCAGGCAAACGCTAAAGTCATCATTATTGAAGCGCCGACTGAATTCCTGCACACCCTTGGTGTGTTCCGTACATGTGCGTGCTGGACGTGGCGATAGCGATAATATCCAGCGTGCAGAGCGATGCGCTTGCCCTCGCTAAGCCGGATAAACATGTAGTCACGAACTCAATGGTTGTATTGGATGTACATCCGGCTCGTGATGAAAGCCACACACTGTGGGGAGTAGGCGATTGCAAGTGATGGACGCACGGACAGGATGGTCAGAATCGCCTGATCTCAATCTTGTGCGCGCAAACACGGATATAGAGAAGCAGGAAGCAAGAAGCAAGAATGCACCTCTGCCGCGCGTCGCTCGCTTCCAGTCAGAGTCGTGCGTGCGAGTCTGGTCTCGGTCCTTGAGCCACGATGGAAAGATGAAGAGGCGGAAGAGCTTCAGAGCGAAGCCTTCGAATGGTGAGAGCGCGCCGACTGGCGCTGAGTCTCGCAGCAATTCTTCTCGAATAGTCTGCGTTGGGCTCTCCTATCACGATCACGACACTCATGGCTCACGACTGCTATCTTTGGCCCCAGCGCGTCGGTTGCTCTGTGCCTCGGCAAAGGGCGCGCCGGACGACTGCTTGCGACGCTCGATCTGTAGCGCCCATACACTCTGACGGTAGCTTCGCGACGCTGTAAAGAGCGGGCAGCTTTCCTGCTGCCACCCGTAGCTTCGGGTTCTGGTTCCAGACACGTTCCTTCACCATTCATGCCCGGTGCGAAAGGGCCGCTTGCCTCGTGATTCATCACTCACTTCACAACAGCCACCTCGAGATTGTCAACTCCCATGCAGCTGGAGGTGCTTCAGTAAAGCACAATCTAGTCGCAATGAAATGGCTGCGGGAGAAGTCTTGAAGTCTCTCATGAAACCCCAATTTGAGCCTTGAGATTGCGACTGCAAAGGCAGCACTCGATTCACATTAAAGGCTCGTTGCTGACTCCGATGAGCAGGCACCTGCGCTGCGACGGTTGCGTGCCCATCAAACCCCGATACACTTAAAGACTGTAAGTGAAGACGAGCGCTGCTGATGCTTCTTGTCGGGCGCTGAAATTGGACGCACTTGCCCCTTTCGGAACCGCGCTGAGCAAGATCGGGATCTGGTTCGCTTCCAAGGAAGATAGAGCAAAGGTACCCCGCAGCGATGATCATGATGACAAGGCGAGCAAGGCCAGAAGAGCAAGCGTCATTTGTTAGACACGTTACGAAGTTCTGTGTAGAAGGAGAACAAAGGTCAAGTCGATCACGCAGTTGCGGTGAGCTGATGATTCTCATAGTAGGGACTTTGAGCCTGAGGACCACCCTGCACTCGCGCACGCACGATCAAAGTTGAGACCATGCTCTACCTCCCAAATCCTGCAGTGAACCTCTCGACCTCGACCTCGATGCGGCCGAGCGGTCGAATTCCCGATTCACGCCGCGTCGGTCCCATCTACGTGTGTGACGGAAGGCATAAGTGCGCGCGACGACCCCTCGATCGTTCTCAAGGCAACTTCAGGGCTGGTGGGTGGCCAAGCGACTCATTAGAGTTGTGAGTCAAGAGTGCTCGAGCCCCCACCAAGGACCCTTCTGGGTGGCGTCATCAGTTTCCAGCGGCGGCGGAGACAAGCACGGGCTCTTTCGTGCGTTCGCAGGTCTTATCTCGCACAAAAGCGGTCGGTCGGATAATGGCGTACACGCGTCGAGAGGGCCAAGTCTCATGCGTGCAATCGTTTGACGTATGACAACAGAGGGAACTGCAACTTCGCTCAACTCTGCGTGCATGTATGTGGGACCAAACCAAGCCAGCGCGGCAGAAGCTAGAGGATCCTCGCGATGTCGTGCTTGTACATGATCAGAACGCAGCTGATGATGCCGCCTATAGCTGCATGCTGCCGCGTGAAACCTTTCAACCCCGCTTGCTGTGAGTCTTGGACTGCTTTCGCCCTGCTGCAGCACTTTCGCAGACCGCACCTGTAAGTGCTTAAATGCGATAACGGACCTTGACTCGATGTGCTATATAGTGGTGACAGCCCGTCGTGTACGAGTCATCAGCCTGCAACGCGGAAATTGGCATTCTATTCATGATTGGACTACAAATCATTATTGATGCACCATCAGCTTTGCAGACCACCGTCAAGTCACACATAGTGCTCTTGGCTTGATAACGAACCGTACCAATTAATGACCGGCCCATGTGATCCATGGGACAGGGTACTACATTAGTAGTGTGTGAATCACGAATGCTTGCATGGGCGAGATCGAGCCTACCACGTCGAAATACCCTAATTGCTAATGATGGGGTTCGTGCATGATGGATGGCGGGGCTCCAAATACTTTGCCGGTCTCTGAGTAATGAGGCGGATGCAAAGCACGAGCGAAGGCAGGCGGAAGGACGAAATCGCGAACGTCACTCTTGCGTTGGTGCCTTGACGGAGGCGCGCCGACCGTCGACAGGCGTGAGCACCTTCGCCCTAATGCAGTCAATGCCCAGCAGTGTCAGGAGTGTCAGGAACCGTCAGGGGATGGCGGAGACAGGTCAAGAGCCTTTCTCCAGCAAGTCGGCACCCGTAGGTGCGCTTGCTCGACCTGTGTAGCCAGCGTCACGCAGCGGCTCGCAGACTCATCACGCATCACTGCTGCGCACAAGCTAGCACGCACCAGCTTCTGCAAGCCTGCGACAGATGCGCGTCTCAGCTGAGGGTGATACCGGTGATTGGGATCTGCGCTGCCTCGCCCCACATTAAGTACGCTTTGCGTGAAGATCCGGAAGCAATTGATTCCTTTTGTTATGATGATCCTTATGCGTGTTTTACTGCAAAAGCAGACAACCAAATTCACGCATTGTTATTGCTGGGTCTTGATGGGCGCGCATATAGTGAATATTCAAGAAATGCTGCATGCAGAGTGAGCAAGTCGGTGACTAGCCGGGCCGCGCCGCGCTGTCATGCAATTACATATGTAAGCCTCAATGCTTGGTTTCAGACCCACATAATCTCTGCGGCTTGTCTCGCACGCCTTTCACGCCATCATGAAGGCCATGGAACACGCTGCGCTCATCGACAGCGTCAAAAGACAGGGACATCCATCGGTCACATTGGCCAGCATCATGTGTTGGATCAATCGGAGCTTCGTACTATACCAACGACTAGCTGCCCGCTCAATTCTCTTAGCTGCACCTTAATGTGGATAATCGCAACCGCGATATAGGCAATGGCGGTGAGCAGCTTCGAGCATCGCTCGTGACCACCACGGGTAGCGGAGTTATTGGTTTTGTAACCCTTGCATTCGGCAAAGTTGCCGGAGTGCATCACAGGCTCGGCAGATGGTCAGTCGTCTTTAAAAAAGCGTGCAGCTGTAGGTGGGCGGAAGCAGCTTGCTGGTCCTCTCACCTAGCTGTCGAACAAGACCCCTCTGGCCGACCATCCACAGAGTCTGGCAGAGCGCCAGTCAAGGCTGCGATTGCGATTGTGACCTGATGTAGGTCGCAGTCTTGGCTTGTCCACGCGCTCAGGAACAGTCGTGAGTCAGCCATGGCTGTGCACCAATTAAGAAACGGATCGCGATGCGCAGCACCCATCAATGCATGCTGGCATGCATCATCGTTCCTGCTGGATTGCGGAGCAACCTGCCCGATTAATCGGAGCTGCCATGCGAAAGCGCTGCAGCATTCACTCACACTACTCGACTTTTGATGCCCGCGTCACCTGTGGTGCGCCGCCTACAGCAGCATCGCAGCCGAGCGGCTTTTGATCACTGTTGCGAGTTGCGTCCTTGTAGCAAGATATTCGATTATTACCCTTCGGCACCACTTTGACTAGCCGTGTCTTGCTTGTGTTCCTGTTCTGCGCTTGAACACCGCGGCAGCAGCGCTGTGGGAATCGTCGGCGTATGTCTTACGGTACTCGAGTGCTCATCTTAGCGATCCATGCAGCGTCCGTCACTCACGTTAATTGCTTTCACCCTCGAACGAGCCTCGCTTTGGGTGGATCTACGCGCCGAACGAGCCTCCTTTCATGCGACTGCCGCCTCACCAACCGAAACAGCGGCTCGGTCAAATCTCACCTGAACCGGTGCGACGGCTGCTGACATCCCTCCCCCCCGTCGGCTTGACCCCTGACGAGGTGTATTGCTCATAAGGTTGGGCTCCTGTTCGTCTGTCAAGGCCTCGTCGCGCTCCCACCTCTCTGGACCACTACACCCACCATCACGATCCCAGCCCCCTACCTTTCTCACGGTGTTGGCCGTCCGTCCTTGATCTTCCCCATACGTTCGGAAGTGCCAGGCCCAACCAACGCACCGGAAATGGCCATCAAGCTGCTGTCACGATGGCGCGGTCATCATGCGCTCGACGCAGAGCGAAGCGGAGGTCCATGTGAGGTCGCGTCCAAGCCCACAAGGAACCATTACCACACTGGCGCTGCCCAAGACATGCAACCGAGTTCGACCCATCATTCCACGATGCACACGCGGAGCGAGGCGCGCACTGTCAAGCCGAGGCCAGCACCAATCACCGTCGCCCATGATCGTATTCAGCAACCACTCAGGCACGGTTCGACGTCGTCCGTAGCCTCCACTTCGTGCAGTTCTGGCGTGTCTTGTCCGGATCAGTACGAGTTAGATTTGTCTGCTACTGGTCTCACTTCGTCTAGCTTTGACGAGGGGGGCGCATATGGTCGATCTCCCAGATCAAGTCGACCAGCGAAGCTTCATTGGGCAAGCACCGAAGGATTGAGCACGCTACCGACTTCGCCGCTCAGCTGGGCGACCACACCTCTCAGCGCCACCAGCTTCGGAGGCTACGCAACGCCATACGATGACGGCGAAGTGCAAGAGCATCTAGCGGACGCAGAAGAGCCATCTTGCTCTTCGAGGAGATCCTCGTCCAGCATGTCGCGAACAGTGACAGAGCTTGATAAGTTCATGCAGCGTGAAAGGCGGCCGTCCATCGCTTCCATAGCGTCAAGTGTCGATTCGACCACGCGATACAACGACAGCTTGCTACGGAAAGCCGGGCGCAGACTGGGCCTCAAGTCCAGTCAGTCGTCTTTGGCACCTGCTTTCGGCAGTCTTGAGGGGTCGCCAAGGGCTCAGGACAACGGACGGACACCCTCTGCGAGTAGACCTGCTAGCAGTGGCGGCAAGAAAGCGATGAAAGCTTTCAAGAGTACAGCTGAGCGTCCTAGTGATCGACACAGGTCAGAAGCGATCGTCAAGACCGCATCTACGCAGCCATCTCCTGTGATTGCCCACGGCTTGCCGTCGCCAATGAGCGCGTCTCAGCAAGACGAGCCCACCTCGAGCACTGCTGCTGATCATTACGCACAACGGAAATGGCTTACCAGACGCTCAGTGCAGCCAAAGTCCAAAAGGCCGATGACTGCAGACTCAAACTCGTCACGATCACCACGATCGCCCTTCTTCCCTTTCGGAGCGACCTGCAGTCACCTCAGCTCCTCGTCTCCGAAATCGACGTCCATAGCGGATGTAGTCAAGAGATTGAGCCCGCCTCCTGTCGGTCTTCCGGTGCTTGACTTTGCAGAGCGTGTTGAGCTCGTCTGTCGAGCTGCCGAGAGCTCGGCAGCACTGGACGCATCGCCTGGCGGCGCTTGCAAAGACTGCAGGCCGGGAAGCCGAGCTCGCAGAGCCAATGAGAGTCGAGCCCTCTCTAAAGAGAAATTGGAGCAGCGATTCGTTGCGATCGAACTTCAAGCTCAGAAAGAAATGTGGCTGCTGTTGGCCAATCGCGGCGCCTGCAAGGATGTGATCGAGTCCTTGCATTTGCCCCGCGTCTTTCTGGAAGCCAGACATCGCCTCGGGATAGACCCCTCGGCTTCGCAATTCGGCGTTTTCACGAGCTCTTCGCCTCTTCGACCGAGGTTCATGGAGTCTGGCTTAGTGGTCGCAAGCAGCAGCGATCTGCCGCCACAGCCTCAGACTGCGCATCCCAGCAGTGTGGACCCGAAGGCGTTCAGTGCAGCGCGGCACGGTCCTTCTACACCGAATGGCACCATCTCACTGACCCCAGCTCCGCGGAAACGTCGCCCACGCACAGCGCCCGAACCCGAGCCTGAGCTGGAGGAAGTACGAGAGCGCGAGCTTCGAACCGAGCACAAGATCACTCCTGAGCGGCTGGCCGCCTTGCCTAAGGTCAAGCTCACAAAGGATCAACTTGCATTGTTACGAAGCAGGGCGCCAAGCACGACGTCGACGCTCCCTCTGCACTTGACGTCCGCTTCACAGCATCGAGGTGGTGCCGCGACGACGTCTCGATCGACACATGATCCAGCTGCGGCTTTCAAATCTCGCTCTCAGCACAACTCCTCCCCGAAAGTGTCTGCCCTTGGCGTCTTGACCCCTGCAAACTTTTCGCGCCAGATCATACGAGCCCCGCCGTCTGATTTGAGCTTGGGCGGAGCAAACCCAGCAAGAGTCTCTGCAGAACTTGCCGGGCATAGCGATGCCGAGAGCTCAGTGCACAGCAATTCTTCCGATTCTCTTCGCCATGTCACTGCTCCTCGACGCAACCATCGCGCAGGACACGATGATCAGCCCGCCGACTTAGTGTCGTCGCCCAGCATGAAGAGTTCGCTGAGGGAAAGCGTCGAGACGGCACGGACAGAGGAGACGGCTGGTTCGACACACGACTTTATCTCGCCCGGTGGCATGATTCACGCGCCCACCTTGCACAATGCACTCGCTTTGGATCACAAGCACTCGATGGCCTCTTCTTGAGCCAACAACTTTTTTCCTGCCGCCTCTTTGTATTTGTTGCTTGCACTTGATCTCATATACACGCATCAGCTTTGGCCACCCCTTGCATTCATTTCGCAAAGCAATCACACTCATTCGCTCGACGCCCGCATCCTCTCATGAGCAGACGTTTTCAATGCTGCAGTCGACATAAGAGAGCGCGCGGAGATGCGAGACGGCTTACGAGTCTATTTCGGCAAGAGTCAAGTGATTTTCAATGCCGTCAGCCCGAGCACGTGAGGCGTATGTGAGTTGCATGGGCATTGCAATCTGAAGCATGAAGTGGTGAGCGTCAAAGCGACCGGTGACAGTACAAATACAATTGCGCGGTCCGGAATTGCGATAGCATGAAGGTGCACGTGGTAAAGAAAAGAAGAGGATCTGCGTGGAAAGATGTTCGGACAATGTCGGATAGGAGATGGAGCAGTAGGGAAAAAGGCGAGGGTCCTTGTGGTGGCAGGTTGCGCACCTCACTGGCGGAATTTGAAGCGTTCTCTCAGCTGCTCGCCGTAGCGGTATAGAACAATGGGTACGGGCACGGCAAGAAGCGAGATGCCGGCAAGGAAAGTGCTCCCACCTCCAAAGCCCCATGCAACGAACATTTGCTGAGCGAAGAGCGGGAATACAGCGGCGAGGATGCTTCGCACGAGGACGGCGCAGGCTGTTGCTGATGCCGAGAAGGGAATGAAGGCGTCGACGAGATAGACGAGGATAACTTGAAAGGGCAAGATGGAACCCATACCCACGAGGTATGAGCCTACCAGCGGAGCTACCCAGTGCACGCGCTGGTCTGCTGCCCATCCAAAAATGACGAGACCCATGGGCAGAATAATCATGCCCAAGAGGCAAAGCGGCAGACGATATTCTGGTCGACCTTTTCGGACGGGCATGGGCAGTGCAGGCGTCGTGACCCGTGCGTCAGCTTTGTTTCCGGCCGCATGCTTCTCCGCTACGGGAGCTTCCGAGGAGTGTGGCGTCGGCGCAACTTTTTCCGCGGAGACAGGTGCTGCTACGGGTGGCATGGCGCTAGCTTCCATGTCATGCTCCCGTTGAGCAATGCCGATGTGCTTGGAGTCAGCCATTCTGGCCTCGATGACCTCTGGCAGGTCGAACAAGAACCAGCCAAGCTTGCCATTAGAAGCGACGAGACGACGATAGATGGAATCCTGCAACAGGACATTGATCAAAGCAGCCGTCAAGAATCCCAACCCAAGACCAATATAGGTGAGGCCAGCAGGACCGGGCTTCCAATCGTAGGTAGGCAGCTGGTCCGGTCTGGGCGCCTCCTCGTCTGGCTCTCGGTGCTGATAAAGCAGCGGGTGCTGTGTCAGGAACAGGAAGATGATGCCGTAGATGAAACCCATGTAGATGGAGAAGACGGCACAGATGGGGTTGGTGAAAAGCAGCCGAAAAGGTCGAGTAAAGGCGACTTTGGTCTTGGTGCGGGCGGCGACGCCCGGCGTGACTTCGAAAAGAACCCGGCGCACCAGACTCATGCCTCTCGGTGCGCCAGATGTGGCGGCACGGCGAAGCAAGTCCTCCTCCATGGCGGCTTCCGTGGGATCTAATCCGTTTGCAACGGCAGCGGGAAGCTGGTCGAGGCGCTCTTTGGCCGCCCTCCGTTTTTTGCGTTCCAGTAGTACGGGTGCATAGGTCTCACGAAGTAACGCAGCGATGATGAAGAGGACGGCGCCAGACAACTGATGAGCAATAGAAAGCATCGACATTATCAGTTAGCGACGATTGGTTTTGCTGGTAATGCCATCGATCGAACTCACGATGGTCAGTGTCCACAGAAGCCAACGCCAAGATCTGATATCCTGAACGATCCAACCGCCAGCTACGGTACCGCATACAGGTCCGAGCAGTGGACCAAGACCGTAGAGCGATTGTGCACGACCGCGCTCGTTAGGAGCGAACATGTCACCCTGAGAGAGTACGATGCAATGAGCGTGCGGCAAAGGGCTCAGCCTGATGGCGGCGGCTAGCGCGACGATCAATGGCAAGTACTTACGATGCTACCTGCGCCAAGACTTGGTCCCGCACTGCCTGCTGCGCCAGCTAGGAATCGAAGGATGATGAGGGCGGTCATGTTGGGAGCGACGGCAGTGGCGACGTTGAAAGCTACAAAGACGAGCGAAGAGAGGACGTAGACAGGTTGTCTGCCTTTGAGCTCGCTGGCTGGCGCAAGCAAGAACGGTCCCATGCCAAGGCCCAAGACAAACATCGAGACGGGCAACAGCGCAACCGTTCGACTTGGCAAATTGAATTCCCTATCGACGAAAGGCGAACCTGGAACGACGATTGAGGAGCCCAACGGTGATATGAAGCCCATGAAGCTGATGATGGCTGCAGTCGACCATTTTCGAGGTGAGCTCCAGTTTCGAGGATCCTCGTAGCCTACGAGCTTGACGTCGGACAGATCCGAAAGCTTTTTTGGCGGCGCTTCATGCGTCGATGCGGCCCTCGAGTCTCTGAGTACGGCAGGTGCCGGTGGAGAAAGATTGCCCAACATGCCAGGCCGGAACGCGGTCCTGCGGCTGGAAGGATCCGTGGAAGGATCCGCTTCGATTTCCATCGCTCCGCAGCAAAAGCGGGTCAACGCCTTGACGATGAGATCCTTGGTGGAGTGACGGGATGCGACGCGATGGAGGGAAGATGGTTGTGATGGTGAAGAGAGGGGTCCAGCATCATTGACAGCTTTGCCATCTCTGCGAGCTGCGGAAGGGGCAGATGAGGGAGGATTGACTGATGGGTTGACCGTGGATCGCAGGTGTGCTGTCGACGTTTGTGAGCGTTCGGCACGATGGTGGCCGGCGCCCGCCATCGAGTGTGCCTGCGACGTGCCGACCATCGTGGTTTGCTTGCACTTTGACTAGCGACTTTGGAAGCTCACGAGTGCAAGTGAATCGTGCCGATGATGGATTGCACCGCTGTACGCTGCTGGACGTTGGCTTGCGAGTGCTGCCCTGAGATCGCAAGGCGGTCAGGTAGGTCGGGTCGAGGGGCGACCTGCTGACCGGACAGACTTCGGGCACATCGGAGTGAGCGAGGAAGGGAGTCTGAGGGATGTGATCGGGATTCCCAACAGAAAACGGCCCAAGCACGAGCCTGGAGAGCGAGCGCAGACTACTTCATTGACAGTTCAATGGCCGAGTGCACAGGCTTGTGGCTGGACCGGTGCAGCGGTAGCCTCTGCTGAAGATGTTTGACAAGCGCGAGAGCGCGGCAAGAGGCTGCTCACTCGCTTGCTCGACGACGAGACGGGGCAAAGGCAAGCAAGCGAGATAGAATCCAACTTCCGCGGAGGTTTCGGCAAGGAGGGAGGGGAGCAAAGGGAAGCGCTGGCCAAGGAGCTGGAAGTAGAGAGCGCGAGCAGGATGGGCCAGCATGAGAGCTCGTGTCTGTTAGCCGTAGCGTGAGCGCCTATTGAAAAAGTGCAGCGAGGACGAGTAGTGAGTGCTGCATGCTTGTATGAACGATCATCGAGCATTCACTCACTCATCTCGTCTGCTTTCCCGCCCGTCGCCTGCCTGTCTGCGGCTGTCTGCTTGCTGCTGTGCGCTTGATGGCGATCTGCATGCATGCATGCATGCACGCCAGTCTCACACGCACACACGCAGCACCGGCACAGCAGTCAGTGAGTTCAAGTTCCGAATGGCTTTGCCGGTTCGGCACGGCGGCCGGCTCGCTGCAGCTGCAGCTGCATCTGGGAGATAAATCAGCGCGGCAGCTAGGCTTTGTCCCTGCCGCACACTCAACACTCAACTCTCACCTACTCCACTCGTGACTGCCGAGGCATGATGCCGTCCGTGCCACTCTCCCAATCCTGACTGTGACTGCGACTCTTGATTACGGGCAGGGGCTTGCTCGTGCCGAGGCAACAGCGGATTAGTGGTAGCCAAGACCTCGATCGCGGCTCACGACTGCCTCCTTTTCGCAATCCGCTAAAATTCTCGCCGTCACGAGGCTGTTACTCTTGACTAGCTCTTCATGTGAATTCGATTGTTGTAGTCTTTGAGTCAGTCAACTCCAAACGTGCTGAATCCGAATTGATGAATGTGTTCCCGATTGCTCGCGAGACGATAAGCAGCTTTGGTTGGCTGTCTGGCCCTGTACAGTACATCTGGAATCTCATCACGTGCTTGTATAGCGCGGCCACTTGGCGCCGCCTTTGGACTCAAGACTCGTGCTCGTGTATAAAGTGAGCGCTCAAGACTCAACCAAATACGTATTGACAGTCATCAAAGTGTGCGTCGTGAGTGCTGATAATCATCCGCTCGCACTCTTGACTACAAAACTCAAAATCTCGCTCCATGCAGCGCGCTTGTATTTCCTCGCGAATCATGATCAATCACACGCGGCTCGTTCACTTACACGATCACGATTGGACAGGCTGTGTGCGCGACGGGCGCGAGGATCAATCTTGAGTCGTGAATCGTGAATCACCAATCTTGAATCTGCAATTGTGAATTGAGCAAGCGATCTTGAATGTCGAATGCTCATCATAGCGCAGACCCACGTCATCATGAGCCCGCCGTGGCATTCAAGATTCTGAGTCTCGATTTGTTTGAGTCACGAGAGTTGCGGCATCTGACGCGCTTTGGCTGTCGGGCACCTGCATGCATGGGACGCGCGCGCGCTTTTGAGTCAAATTGCTGCTTGGCATTTTACCGATTCACATTCAATTATGCTGGTCGATGATGTGCGGGGACGTCAATGGGGAGCAAGAAGAAGGATCTACCGCCAGCTGTGCTTGGTGGTCGCGAGTCCTTGATCTAGTCGCGGATTGATCGTGATGATGAGCCGCGAAATGGCAACGTGAAGCATCACGTCTATCTGAGCGGGACAGCTATTATAGGCTTGGAGCAGTTTGATCAGTCGTCAATGACGTCGCGCCAAGCTTCGCAATGCACGCGCGCCAAGAAAATTTGGGTGGGCGGAAACGGAGAGGTACCGCGGAATACTCGTTATAGTGCGTGAGTCAAGATGATTCGTGAGAGAGCAGGAAATTGAGACGATTGGATATTGAAGATGCATTTATTGCAACCGTCGCGAATTGACTATTGTCAGTCCGAGCAGCGCTGTGTGAGCATCCAAAGACAGAGAGACGAGCGGAGTCAGATGAAGAGGCTCATGAGGCTATCCGTGATGATCGTACGGCAGGCAGCTCGGCCCACGAGCGTGACGCGCGTGGACTCGTAGCCCGAACGAGCAAGCGTGCCTGGAGTCGAGATTCGCCTGGTATGCTTAATTGGTAAGCAATCGCGAATCCGATTCATTCACCAATGCCTCTCTTTAGGTTTAACAATCAAACCAAAAATGTCGAACATGAGACAGCCGGTCTTGCGATTCGCCGCCGTGCGGCATGGCGTCACGTCTTGGCATTTTGATCTCAATGCGCTATCTCGAGCAAAGGTCGCACTTCGCACCTTCCGTGTTTGAAACATGTGGGAAGGGAGATTGAACTTATGGCATATCAAATGACATATCAGCATCTCTCCAACGTCAAGGTCAGTATCAGGTGCGGTAGCGATGCGAGCGCCTAGCCAGCGGTGAAGCCTGAGTTTGATGTACCGATATCGGTCAAGCTCGATGGAGCATTATAGCCCAAAAGTATTGCGCAGGCCGCTTCGCAATCACCATTCAGAGACAAGCGATGCTGCCATTGCAAGCTTCGCTTTAGCACAAGTGTCTGACAGCCCTTGCAGACCAGAAGCGCGCAGTTCTCGGCCCTTGGCACGCCTAAGGGCCTGCATCAATGTTCACAGGTAATGCGACGTCGACAATAAAAATATCCTGCGCGATCGCTAAGCAGCAGCTGGCGCAGCGTAGCCCTCAAGTTCCAAGGAGCTATCGTCCCACACTCCAGAATCGTTCCAAGGAACGCTGGCAAACGAGTCGAACAAGGAGTCGTGTCGCTGCTGTTGCTGCAAGGAACTGCGCGAATTGCGACCTCTGGCAGAGGTTCCAGCTCGACTGTAGCGCGATAGGCCCAAGTCGGAGATATCGCATGCTCGCGCTCTCGGGGAACAATTGCCTCGAGCATTGACGTTTGGCGCACTCTCGGCTACTATCAGAGTGCGCTCTGCCCATCTTGACACTTGACGTCTGCTCGGCGGACCTCGCGCCAAGATGAAGCTTCGCTGCTCTTCAAAGAACGCTGTAGCAGACCATGAAATGTTCAGCTTGGGCTCGGACCGGCGGGGAGAAGCGCGCAAAACTCACCTCGAATCTCTTCGCCTATCCACCTGACCGGATGTATGCGTCGTCGAGGCGCAGAATTGGCAGCACGCAGAGCTCGGGCCACAGCATCGAGCCCACAACGGGTAACACCGCACTCTTGTCTTCCGCGGCGGGAGAAGCCATCAGTCTCGCCGCCCACCGTTGCGTACGTGGGTGGCATTCGGGCGAAGATCGTTGACCGCAGCGTTTCTGGCACGTGCTGATCCCCGCTTCGACCCGCAAGCTCGTAGACGAAGCTGCCATCAACGCGCGAGCGATCCTGTTGGGCAAGTGGCGCGTCAGGCATTGAGTCAGGATGGTGTGCAACGACTCCTTCACGAAGATCTCCGCTTCTGACGCCACAATCGTCTTCCAGCCGGGAGTGGGAGTAAGGGGAACTTTGTAGGAGTGCGCCGCCCTCTCCTATCTCGTCGCTAGGGCTGTGTAGACTGTCCAAGCCCGCACTGGTCGGCTCGGATGGGGGCAAGCGCCTGCATGGGCTTTCGGGCATTTGCGATTCGCGAAAATCGTAGAACGGAAAGAGAGCGCCAGCCGGCAACTGTGTCGTGCCAGTCTTGGTCGCATCAAAGACCGACCTGGACGCGGCGCTTGTATGCGACTCGAGACTTTGGTTGCCTGTCGATGTTGCGTCATTAAGGCTCTCGCTTTGCGCTTGCTCATATCGAGCCACGAGAGGTGCAGCCCAGAACGAGCGCTCGCTCAACGTTTGGGAACTTTCCGCACCCGGATGCGAAGGGGGCGGCGGTGCGACTGGAGCAGCGGCATGTCCCAAGTTCGAATCACGCGATGTCGCTGTCAGCGTCAAAGCTGGCCTTGCTTGGGTACTCTGGGGAACTGCTTTGCTACGGGTCTCCTCAACGACCGAGGAAAGCCTAGTTGTAGGTAGTGCTTCTACCTCCTTGACTGCTGTCTGTTGACGTGGCGGCTTTCTACAGCGAGACTGCAGGCGCGGCGGACAGCTTGCACTCAATTCATCTAGGACTGGGAGCGAGAATGTCTGTGAATTTGACATTTGCCGGTCCTTCAATGCTTGCTGTCGCTCTACGTCTTCTCCGCGTTCGACGAAGGAAGAATCCCTTAACGATTCGCCCTCGACATGTTGCGATTGGGCATCCAAAGCGTCAAGAATCTCGGCCTTGATGACTTGCGCATCAGTGTAAGTTTCAGTACCTCGCAGAGCAAAGTCGCGGGACGCAGGCCCATTCGCGCTCATCGAAACCTCTTCTTGGCTTTGACTCTGGCTCTGCACCTTCCCACAAACCGGTCTGGCGACATGATGAGGAGCGCTTAATGGTGGGGTATGGCAGCTCTCCTCAACTTGGCCTCGTGCTATGCCACGCGCAGTCTCCTTTGGGCGTGGGTCTGCAGCATTTGTGGTGAGCGGAGCTCTGCTGAGCATCCGCTGCGGATTTGGCTGAGCATCACCTATCTCTCTGCCTGCCTGGGAGCTGTTCCGCAGAATGGGTAGACTAGGGCTGAGCGCGTCGAGTCCTAATCCATGATTGCATGTCCGAGACGACGAATCACTTTGCCCTTTGGCGCACGAGCGACTCAGCGCATCGTCTACGTCAACATGTCCCGGTCGTTGAACGCAAAGGGCAGACTGCGGAATATCATTTCCGAAGGCTGCGCCTGTATCGTAGAAAGAGTTCTCGATGACGCTCTCGGAGTCATCGGCTAGCACATCTCCTTGAGGCGATCCAGCCTGCATCTCAGCCCCTCCCTTCAGCCGAGCTCGCTTTCGTCGTGGCGTAGTAGTGGATGGGTATTTGGAAGTGCCTTCTCCATGTGGCCACAGCGGCCCCGCGTCCGGCACAATCCAATGCCTAGCCTGCGCATCCTTTTCAACCTGGTGTCTGCCATGCATCTGGGACTCATCATCCCTTCGCAGGTATGTGCTCTGAGCTGCTGGCTCGCGCAGCCACTGTCGTCTCTCTTGAAATGCCACTCTTCGCTCTTCTCGCCTGCCAGTGACAAGCTCGGCTTGCAACATCGCCTTCCGACGCGCGTCCAGCTCCGAAACTTCCTTTATGGCACTGCGACCGACTCGCGTACGCTCCGTGGTTGTGCGCAAGGACTGCAGACGTTGCCTGTCCTTCGAACGGGACTGTGCAGCCAGTTTGGCCTCCGAGGCCAAGGAGTCTCGCAGTGCGCTTGACCAGAGCGCATGGCGATGAGCGTGGTCGGCACCAGTAGCTACGCCCGTCTCCATCCCTGCCGCTCGAGAAGCGGACCAGGCAGCTTGTGGAGGCAGACCATGCTGATGCTGGCGCTGTTGTAAGGTTCCAGGACCAGGTCCAGCGACGCCAAGGGCAAGAAAGGGCGCTACGCCTCCTGCACCTCCGTCACGAGACGGAGCTGATAATTCTGGCGGCGAGCGACGGAGGCAAAGCTTGCCCACACCCCTTTGCGGACTGTTGTTGACGCGAGAAGCGCTTTTGGAGTCGACTCGAGCTAGCTGCTTGACGGCGCCGCGAGAAGAGCGCTCTTGATTCGGCTTGGAGTGGCGCGCATCCTTGGCGGCATCACTTCTCGGCGCTGTGAGGTGAGGGTCGAGTTGCCGAAAGTGAGAGCGCGTCTTCTGTATCGCAGGCATGAGTGTGTGATTTGCTTGTCAGAAAGCGTACCATATGGGGAGCTGTATGGGAGAAGTTGTGGGAAATCAATCTCGCTATTTGTCATCACTCCATCCATCCAGAGCACCCATGGTGAGGGAGGTGGCCGCGATTTAGGCCGTGCCCCTCTCTGTCTGACTGCCGCGCCTGTCTCGCTTGAAGTCCGCAAGGTACAGTCGAGTATAGCAGCTCGCATGCACGGAGTCAGCCAGTCACTTTGACTTACGACTGCAAGTCACGCGCCCGCGCCATGGTGAATCGTCAGTATATAAAAACATACACGCCTCTAACTCTGCGCTGCTGATGCTGCATATGTGAGAAGTCCGTCGAAAATCTATTTTGATTATATATATACGCTCCGACAGCATCGAGCCATCACCATGTAAAACACGTGTCACGGCTACTACGTCAACCCAGGTTTCACGAGAATCCGACCGAGCCACTGCGAGCAACACACACGGCTTGTATGCTGAGATAGCATGCGGCAAGCAATAAGCAAAGTCCACCGGCGACGTCATGTATAGGCGGCGTGGAATGAGCCATGTAGAATCACTGAATATATACGCAGACGGTGTTGAACGCCAGTTTACGCGTCGCGTCAAGAACGCCCTTCGCATCAAACAGCATCGTCGAGAATGTTCTGCGCAGTGCGCAACGTGTTGGTCATGCGGCGAAGAGGGTCGTGAATATCACGGTTCGTGGATAGTCAAATAATCTTCTTGATGGTTGCTTCTACCTCAATTCACAGGTCAGAAGTGCTAGTTCGAGCCAGATCACTAGAGACCCGCAAGTCTACTTTTGTCGAGCAAGGAGACGAAAAGGCGTGGTGACTAGCCCAAGGACTTGGGCATTTCAAATACAGATCAAGCTCAAGTCACGCGACTGCTGGCCATAGACACTCTGCCGACAAGCAGCGCGAGGCATCTTCTGAATCATCACCTGCGTGGATACGCCTACACTGCTCTTTGGCTTTTCGCAAGAGAGGAAGCTGGGTGTGGGATTGTGTCCCGAATTCTTCCACAAGATGCCGCCTGTGAAGCTGACGCCCAATCAGCAAAGGATCAGGGTGAGCCGCACACGCACGCACGTAGCGATGTTCCCGTTTCCTTTCAGATACTGCGGTTTGGTTGGAATGCAGGCATAACCTAAACCTCGCTGATCCTTTATACGCTTTACTCTCGCTACTACGCTGGCAGGTCATGGTGGTCAGCTTTCCCTTTCTCGTCGCAACCTCTTGGGTTCTCTTCAAAAGGCTGTACTTGGGCGAAGAGCAAAGAAAGCTGCCGAGGGATGGTAGAGATGGACATTTGATCGATTTCAGCACCTCTGCTTTGAAACCGGGAGAAGATGGGAAGCGCAAGAGCGCCTGAATGCTTGCTTCTCAGCTGGGTCACGACTTGTCGCAAGATGAGGGAAGCATGCGTTGACGTCAAAGATGGTCGTGAAGAGGCGCTCTGCTCTCTCGAGACCGCAATCACACCACCTTCACGAGCAGGCAACATCGAGCACAAAGAACGGCGCAAGTCTGCCAAACGGTCCACACTTAGGGGAACTACATGCTATGAGAATAATGTACTTCTATGCTACAATGGTTCAAGATCAAATTCTTCGTCGTCCGAGGTATCAATCTCGCGTTCCACATTGCCAGTGGAGAGCTCAGAGGTCGGCTTGCTCGAGCACTCGATCGCTGTGTGCACAGGTGACGCAGGCTCGGCAGTCTTGGAGCTAGCTACTATCCTCGATCCAGCTCCTACACCTTCCCTTCCTTCAGCCAAGCCAGAAGTATCAGCATAGCCGCTAGCCGTGCCCGCACGACCCACAGCAAGCACGCTGGGAGTTTCTCCAGCCGGTCTGCCTTGTAGTCCCCGCCAGGTTCGATTAGCCAAGTGTCTACCCGCGGAACTGTCCAGTACCCGCGTCAATGTCCCATCAGCATTTCGCACCACCACTTCTCCGGCAGCAGGCTTGGCTTCTTTGGAGAGTGCTTGCGATGTTGCGCTAGAGCCGAAATGCTCTCGCGCGGGCTTCTGCGCTCGAGAGACGTAGCCGCCCGTGATGAGGGAGTAGTGGGGTTCCTCATCTGAGTCTGGCCCATCCCTTTCACTCGCCTTCTCCGAGGACTCCGCGGTTCGCGAATCGAGCTTGGAATCCCGCAAAAGCGTGGACAATTCAAGTTCGTACTTGCCGCTCCAGCTATGAGTCCCATCAGCCTCCTCCTTGAGCGCGTGCAGCAGCTCAAAGGGACTGACGATGGGCTTGTAGAAGTCTCGACTGCTATGCGTCCTGCCCGTCTTGTCCATGGCATTCGGCAGCGCGTCCACCGCATCCACCAAGCTGTTTTCCGGACACGCAAGCAGCACAAAGACGTCGATCTCTGAGAAATTGGCCAGCTTGGCGGGTGTCAGCTTGCCTACGCTGATAGTGTAGACGCGTCTGCCCGTCTCTTGTAATCGTTTGCGGAGATGAGATAAGAGTGGCAGGTATGCTGCCACGCCAAGGGTCCCAACCAGGAGCGCTACGACCTTTGCATCTCTTGTCCGCTGCACCGCCACATATCGCTTCATCAATAGCTTGTTTGTAGAGCCCGTCTCCTGGCGCGCATCCTTGCCAGACGGCCTTCTAGGATCGTAAGATACGACTGCGACGCTGGGACCGAGCCTGAGTAGCACATTGGTCAGTGCGAGAGACTCGCCTCCAAGATAGCAAACTACACTGTCCTCGAGCGAGACTCCGTCTGGAAGACTGAAGCGCCTGCCAGACCCCAGACCGCTATCGATGCCAGTCATGTGCTGAACATCTCTCATTGAGCTCTCGTCCGAAGATTGAGTGATGGAGCGCTGACTCGAGATTTGCGAAGCTTGACATGTCGCGCTGGTTCCGCAGCGAGCAGTATTGCAGCACGCACCACCACCACCATTCTCGTCTTTGCAAGCCATTCCCGATGAAGCGGACAGCAAGGAATCGGGGTGTCGTGTGACTGCAGAAGCAGACTCTGCGATGTTGCCTTCGGTCTCGAGGTGCGTGAGGACGGTGGAAAGATTGATCCCTTGAGCAGAAAACTGCGCTCCGATCTGCTCGTTGACCTCCGCAGCAGCGTGAGCGTAGCTCACGTCGTACAGCAACAAGACCGCCTGCTTGCAGCGTGATTGATCGGAGGTGCCTACGAGAGGTTGCACTTCCGCCACCAGCGCAGAAGCAGCGAGTTGCGCATCTATCGGCAGTTTGGGAAAGACGTAGATGACTGGTAGACGCCTCGTAGGACTGAGACATGCGTGTCCATAGTGGACGACCAAGTCGGCATCGACGTGCTGAGCGGTCACTTCGTCGGCGCAGCAATTGCCGTAGCTCGTATCAGCAGCCACGTACAGCCTGCCCTGCCAATCCAGCTGCTTCTGAGATGCGAGGGCAGAGATCCGTCGCTGCAAAGCCCAAAAGATGGGCACAGAATCCTGCAAAGCTTCGTCGGGGAACTGCAACACAATGCTGCGCGGTAGTGGCTCGACGGCGAGCACACGTTCGGCTGTGCGTGAGATATCGTAGAGCTGTTCCAGTGGCACATTGCTCTGAGAGCTCGAAGTTGCTGCCAAGGCTGATTGGGAAAGGGTAGGGACGTGCTCCATGATGGCAGCATCTGATGCCGATAGCATCGGTGGACGTGGGTCGCTCATCTTGGCCAGCGATGGAACCATCATCGCCCGATGATGGAGGAGTGATGGGACGTGTAGCAGAGAAGACCTCGATGGAGTCAAGGTGAGCCTGGCGGCGTGTCGATCGAATGGAGCGCAATTAGAAGCCTGCAGTCGCGTGGCAGAGTCATGAACTCATGATTTTTTGTTGGTGATTGCCATACTCGTTCGTGACTCAAGACTCAAGACGCGGCCAAAGCCAAAATTCACATTCACGTGATTCACGATAATTAATCAAGAATAGTCCTGGTGGCGGATCTGCGTTCTCTCGGCCGGCAGCCGCGACGGGTAACCTTCTCGCGATTGACTCGGTGATTACAGTTAATCAAATCAGACTGCGACACGCGTTCGTTGACGACTCACTTAGACGTGATCATCATCCAGCAGCGTTGTCACGGAACAGCATCTCACCTCTCGCTGCTCTGATCAAGACAATTCCAGCCGCGAGCTCAGGCTTAAGGATCTGCTGAACACATCGATTGGCACGGCGAGCAAGTATAAGGAATCCAAGACACCGCGTCAGGCATCGATCAAGCATGGCCTCGTCGTACGTGCTGCCCGTAGAGGTCACACCCAGCCAGCCCATTTCTGCGCTAGCCTTCCAATCGCTCAAAGATGCCGGCGCGGACGGCAATCAGCTTCTGGTATCAAGCTGGGACAAGGTGTGTGTATGCGATACATCTCTGCAGCTTCTGGATCGCAACGCTGACGCCTTGCGGCGATCTCGCAGACAGTGCGCCTTCTGAAGCTAGCACCCGCTTCTGCCGGTTTCTCCAGTGAGGCGGGCGCTCAAGCTGCTGTGGTGCACGCTTATCAGCACGAAGCTGCCGTACTAGATGTATGCTGGATCAGTGAGAAGCTTGCTGCCAGCGCTGCGCTAGACAGAAGAGTTAGGCTGTGAGTCTCTTGCACGCCGCCTGTGGTCGTGATGAACACTGCTCAGATTTCCTTGCCGCATGGCTCTCAGACTGGACACTCACACCGGGCAGAGCAACATCATCGGCAAGCATACAAATGCCGTCAACACCATCAGATACTGCCCAGATACGAGTGAGTGAGAGCGGGATAGCATGATGTCGAACATTGCTGACACGCGCTGCGCTGCCGCGGTCCCGCTGCATCTCAGAGCTCTTGATAACCACGTCATGGGATCAGACGCTGCAATTGTGGTCTGTGGAAGAGGGACCAAGCAGCGCTCCTCGATCACTGCATATTATTGAGCTTCCTGCAAAGCCTCTAGCGGTGGACATCTCCACAGCGCCTGCATCAGAAGCGTCTACATCATCAGATTTCGTGCCGCGACTAGTCGTTGCCATGACCACTCGCAGGGTGCATGTGTACGAGACCAGGAAGCTCAGAGCAGCTTGCGATAGGCATGCCACAAAGGAAGACGAAGCTTGGAAGCCTGCACAAGTCCGAGACAGCAGTCTGAAGTTCATGACTCGAGATCTGAAATGCATGCCGGATGGCACAGGTGAGCTCGGGCTTCAAGTCAACTGCATGGCATGCACTCGTCAAGCTGACACAATGACCGGCCCTCTTCTTGGTCAGGCTTCGCGGCGTCGTCGATCGAGGGTCGTATCGCAGTAGAGTTCTTCGAGGATGACGGATCGAAGAAGTATGCGTTCAAGTGCCATCGACAGGTGGTAGACGGCGTCGACACAGTCTACCCTGTCAATGCGATGTGCTTTCACCCAACGTGAGTGTCTTGCTCCGTGATCTGCGCGACAGCTGCACTTCGTTTGTACGTGTGTCCACATGATGGCTAATCTGCGGCACATTCCTCGATCTACCAGACACGGCACTTTTGCCTCCTTGGGAGGCGACGCCTTTGCAGCTGTTTGGGACGCAGCTGCACGAAAGCGGCGCATGCTATACCAACGCTTTCCATCTCCACTCAGTGCGGGCGCCGTCTCAGGAGATGGCCTTCTCTTCGCAGTCGCGAGCGGGACAGAGAACATCGAAGATGCGCAGCATGGCGGAGAGGTAGGAGGAATCGGCAAGGGGGGCGAAGGAAATGTCCGGATACATATACATTCAGCTGTGGAGGACTTCAAGGTGAGACAGTTGCATTTCGATCCCTGTTGATCCAGCCACTCTGACGCCATCTGATGCCCATTGGCAACCCTGAACAACCCGTCCAAAGCCGAAAGTCAAGGTGGCGGCATGAGAGGTACTAGTGATTGTCAGGCCTTTCATGGACGGCAATTAGTGCCATTAGACCAGCTCAATTGCAAAGGTCAATCAGAATATCATGGTGAAACGCATCAGCACCACTATCGTGAAAATCTCTCGACGGCTAAGTTCAGTTCAGGCAGTTGGCATTGAAACCGCGAGATGGCTGAACATGCATCATGTATTTGGTATGCAACGGACACGATGCAACAAGCCAAACACGCGCTAGTACGAGTGTCGGTGAATGCAAGGAAGTTTTACTTGAAAGAGTCGTGGTCAGCGTCAGCGACACTGGACTACAGGACGGTAAAAGTCTCTCTTTAGAGGGTGATGGCGACGGCGCCCGCGACGAGGAGGGCAACACCACCAATGGCGTTCATGGCAGAGATGCCAGTGGCAGAGTCACGGCCACCAGATCCAGAGCCGGAGCCGGAGCCAGAGCCAGAGCCGGAGCCGGAGCCAGTTCCGGAGGCAGAAGCGCGGGCGGGCATAGCGTTGTTGGTACCGTTGGGGAAGGACATGTCGGTGACAGCGCCGCAGTTGGAGTTGGGAGCCAGAGGGCAGTCAGCGGCAACGCAAATGGACTGAGAGTAGGCCTCGGGAGCGCTGGCGGGCAGCTTCATGGCGGGAGCGCAACGAACGTTGAACGCCTGAGAAAGGGTGTTGGCAACGCTGGTGACGTCCTCCTGGGTGACACCGAAAGAGGTGGCAGCAGCACCGACCTGCTCAATGAAGTAGGTGACCTGAGCAGTGTTGAGGTTCATGTAACGGTGAACGGCGGACTGAGAGACGGATCCCTGGTAGGCGGGGAAACCCTCGGCAGAGCATCCGAGGAGGGCACCAAAGTACTGGTACAAGTGAGTCAAGAGCTTGTACTGGTTGGAGTCGCGGGCGTCGTCGTTGGCAGGCTTGTTCTGCTTCAGGGGCTCAGCTCCTCCACCGTCGAGGAAGTTCAGCGCGACGGGCATGTTGCCGCGGTTGGTGGAGACAATGGAACCGTTGAAGTAACCCAAGAGGTTGACCTCTTCGCCGGTGCTGGTGCGGCCGGGGTTCAGGATACCGGTGACGGCGTTCATGGCGCCGGCGGAGTAGTTGCCGATGCTACAAAGGACCAAGGGTGTATAATGTGAGTAAGGGGTACGCGAAGAGCCATCGGCAGACGTTGCCATGAATCCCTTGCAAGGCACGATGCCCTTGCGTCCGGATGCAGATAGGGAACAAGAAATGCGAAGCGGTCTTTGAGATCAGTCTACTTACACGGCAGTGTTCACCAGAGCAGTCAGGAGGTTGAGCTGAGTGGTGCCGTTGCTGGCGCCGAAGAGGGCCTCAGCGTACTTGGAGCAAGGAGTGGTGGCATTCTGGGCGAATGTGCTGCCAATGACGGCAGCAGCACCAACAGCAATGGCGGAGAACTTCATGATGATGAAATGTAGAATGTGGAAGAAGCGGTGGGTGGATAGAAGAGGGTGGGGTGGTGGTGAGGGGGGGCAGGAAACTGTACGGGGGCGTAAGAAACCTTACTTTATAGCTCACTGCCTGTCGTCAGTCTTGAGCGTCCTAGCATAGGCACCGTCAGCTCATAAGGGCATCGGAAGAAGGCACTTCGACACTTTCGAAGCACTGGGCACGCTGAGTCTTCTGAGCCTTGTGGACAGTCAAAGAGCAGTAGGCAAGCTAAAGCAGAGCAAAAGAGATCGATGCGGCACTCCGCTTGCAAATGCCCGCTGACGGGATGCCACGGTTTCAAGCTCTGCTTCAGATCTCATTGCTTCCGCATGGCGAGTGACTCCAGCCGTTGGAGCGGTCCAGCTTCCTGATGAGCTTCGTCAACCAAACAAATGGATGCAAGAGATGGTCGAGCCAAGATCGTGCCGGCAGATGAGTCTTTCGGCACCACGGCGTTTGGTGCGCAGGGGTGGAGCGGAGCGCTACTGAGCAGGTAGTTGCGTACAGACTCGCAAGGAGCCTAGCATCGTGAAGGTCATCTGGAGTGTTGCTGACACTTGCGGTTTCAGGGCACACTGCAACTGTCCAGTGGGCACGGTGCATCGAAGGAATGAGAGCCTTTACTTGGCAGTCAACGTGCCCGCTAACGGCTTGAGTAAGGGCGCGGCGGTCTTCGGTTCATTGCGCGCAGACTGCGCGGGAGGTGTGGGGGAGCCTTGTGTGCGATGTGGGATCTGGCCTGATTGTTGACGTCGTCTGATGAGCAAAAGGAGGCCTGTGACTGGCCAGCTGCACGATTGCGCGCGCGCATCTACGATCGAGCAACCTCGGCTGATCGGAGTCATCCCGCTCGCGCGGCAGCATTTCATTCGATCCAACCCCCTCCTAGCCTGCCGAGATGATGTCTGTCCTCGCGATCCATCCCGCGCTGACCATGTGCGACTTAGGCTAAATAGACAGGACATTTTGGCCTAGGACTCCTGATCCGTGACACACAATTAAGAGAGTGCTGTGTGTCTTAGCCCCCCCTATACGGATCAGCTTCAATTTGGCGGCCGCTATCCGCAACCGAGACGGTTGCGGCGGCGCGCATTCCTTAGCTTATTATTGCATGTGAGCCCAGGCTCTTGACCCGATTCCTGCTGTGCCGCTGTGACTCTTGACTTCATGACCGCAACTCCATGAGAGCTATGCACGATGGCGATCCTTGGCTTGCGGGAGCGTCCACTCCGCCAGCAGGTGGTTGGTGCGCACGAAGCTTTGCGCGTCGTCTCTCGCAGCGCCGCTCCCCACTGCGCAGGATTTGTAATTGAATGAGTCAGGTTGGCACCCCACTTGTGAACACCTTTCGCTGAAGCAGCGCTGCCGTGCCGACGGCTATCGACTTGACGACGACGGCGATGACGGTCATTGTGAGCTCGTCAGATTAGTCTGGTATGCCGCACGCGCCTTCGACTTGGCAAGTGCGAGGAGCTTAGCCGCGAACGAGCTTTGCAATCAGTCTTCATTTTGCTAGACATCACTCCGGAGTGGTCACAATTGCAGGAGAGGCACAGCTTGCACGTCGATCGAGCGAGACTCTTGAGGCGCAGCCAAGCATGCTGTTATGCGAGGCGGCAGCTGGTGCAGTAAGCACAGCAGATACCACTATCGCGGTTGCGCTCTCGGACCTGAGGCCGATCGATGGTCCTTTGCCTCATTGGTCAGCGATCGAGCGCTCGAGTGCTGAACAGAAGGAGAAGAAGAGCGCAGAAGAACGAACGAGCGAACGAGTGAAGCAGCGTGCAATTGTCAGACCATTTGATGCCCCTCTTTGCCGCGCTCGCTAAGCCTCGCTCCTGACTGGTCGGTGCGGGGCCAATGAAGGCGGGGCTTTGACGCATGTGAGGTGCGTCGCGTATGTCCGCCTTGTTGTCTGCACGTGCATGCCTGCCCACTGCAACAGGTTAAAGCATCAGACCTCCCTTCCTCCTCCTCCTCGCACGTCGGCGCACGGGCAGCGCGCCCCAATTGCTACTTGATTGTGCTGCTTGCCTGCATGAGGGGTTGTGGAGGCCAACATCAATAGCGGCTTTCGAATTGGTCAGCTGGCGGACGCATAATGGCCTGATTTCGAACACTTTCGAGCTCCAAGCCGAGCCGCTGACAAACGCAGCCTGCGAACATCGGGCAGCTTCGACGAGCAATCTGAATGGTCGACCATCGTCCGCATTCGACCATCCAGGAGAGCTCGGTACATGCAACCATTCAATGTATAGGAATGTTCTCGGACGAGCGCTCCTTAAGGCGAGGCAAAACCCGATCTTACGCAGGTAAGAGCACCACCGCACCACACCTGCACAGCACTAATAATTTCGATCATATATTGGATGCCACGCTCGTTTCCGCTAACTAGGCCTTCTCAACATTTTCCAGAGCCTTCAACCTGAGCCTCACTGCGTTCGCGTGGGCCTCCAAGTCCTCGCATTCCGCGAGGTGCACGACGTGTGGTCCCAAAGCTTTGAGCCCTTCAGCCGTCAAATTCTGACTTGTGATGCGCTTCACAAAGGTGTCTGTGTTGACGCCCGAATATTGTCTGCAGGGGATGCGGATAGCGGAAATGTCAGGCAGAATCGCAGAGACACGCTTAGCCCGCTCTGGACTCACCTGGCAAAAGCGTTCGTCGGCAGCGAGTGGTTGGTGCCTGAAGCATAGTCTCCGCAGCTTTCGGGGCTCCACTGCCCGACGAAGATGCTTCCAGCATTGATCACGCTCTTTGCGAGTAGCTCCGGTTCCTCGGTCTGAATGATGAGGTGTTCAGGCGCATACGCGTTGCTCCATTTCATCGCCTCTTCTCGGTTCGGCACCCGAATCGTCACGCTCTTCTCGATGGCCTTGCGAACATAGGCGCACCTTGGCAAGGCTTTGGCTTGCCTATCCACCGCTTCCTCGATCGAAGCTAGCTGGGCATCTGTGAGCGAAATGGCCACAAGGACCACTTGAGAATCAGGGCCGTGCTCCGCCTGAGAAAGGAGGTCCGATGCCACAAAGTCTGGGTTGGACGACGCGTCGGCGATGACCAGGACTTCTGATGGGCCTGCGGGCATATCGATGGAGACGCAAGCATCCATGTCGTTCTGCACCAACAGCTTCGCAGCAGTCACGAATTGATTGCCTGGACCGCAAATCTTGTCAACTTTGGGCACCTTGGCCGTGCCGTATGCGAGTGCACCAACAGCCTGAGCTCCGCCTGCGGCGAGAATTCCGGTAGCACCGGTCAAGTGGGCAGCATACATAACCTCCGGTGCGATGGATCCATCGGGACGAGGGGGCGTGGCGATGATGCGAGTGGGGCAACGAGCGACCTGAGCCGGTACGCCGAGCATGAGCGCAGTTGATGGCAACACTGCCGTTCCTCCAGGGACGTACAGACCGACCCTCTCGATAGGTCGAGCGAAGCGTCTGCAAACCACACCCGGCATCGTCTCGACTTCCAAGATGGCATCCTCCGCTTCCTCTCCCGTCTGCTCGTCCACACCCGCCGCACCCGCCTTGGCAGCCTTGACGTTGCCTCCGGTCCGCTTTTGGGCCAGATGGAAAGCGTAGATGTTCGAATAGGCCTGATCCATAGCTGCCTTGACTTCGGGTTTAATCCGCTTCATGACTTCGGGAGTGCCGAAGGGCGGGTAGAACATGGGCGAGGAGAGCTTGGCCTTATCAAACTTTTCCGTGAGCTCCAGCAGAGCTGCGTCCCCTCTCTCCTTGACTGATGCCAGGATAGGCCTGCAGAGTTCTTGGATCGCTGCCGAACGCAACGCCGGGCGCTTCAGTAGACTGACACGCTCTTCTTGCGACAGCTGCTCTAGATGATAGGACTGGATCTTGATGGGGGCGTTCGGATCCGCCTCTGCGGTAGCAGCGGGTGCAGCCGACCCATTGATTTTGCTTTCGCCATTGACTGCAGGCTGTTCAAATTGAGGTTTCGCATTGCCAGCGCGCCGCGTGATCTTCTTCGCTTTCAAATCGAGGCTATTCTCTACCTGTTCGAGACTGACGCCTGCTTTGATGCACCTGGCCAAAGCAAAGTACAGCAGGTCGGCAGCTTCGAAGGCTACGTGGCTGGGATCCTCATCCTTTGCGTCTGCAAGCTCTTGTGCTTCCTCTCGGATCTTGGCGCTGAGCAGCTTGGGGTCGGAGAAGATGCGGGCAGTGTAGGAGCCTGGCGGAGCGTTTGCCTTTCTCGAGAGAAGCGTTCGTTCGAGTGCCGCAAGGCCGCCAGTCGGACCGAAGCAGCTCTCGCGCTCAGTGAGGTGGCAGAAGCCGGCGTGCTGGGCACCTGCTTGCTGCCTCACTCGGAATTCGATGGCGTCAGAGTCGCAGTCGAACCGGATTCGCACCACTTCTTGAGTCGCCCCGCTCGTCTCTCCCTTGCGCCAGAGACCTCGCTTGCGACTCTGATAGACCGCGGATCCAGTCAGGAGAGATTCTCGAATGGAGGCAATGGAAGAGTACACCAGGCCAAGGGAGGTTGAGAGGGAGGCAGAAACCACAGTCGTTGGGAAGTGACCATCTGCCCTATCCGACACCAGCGACGCGGTGAGCGCCCCGACGAGGTCAAGACTGCCGGGTGGAGCTTGCTGACCTTCGGCAACCAGAGCGAGGGCAGACGTCCTGACCACCAGCGAAGCAGACAGTTTCGCCAGTCGAGCTGCGTCGTCGACTGTTGTTGCCGCAGGTGCAGCACCAGGAGTCAGAGTGTTGAATGGTGAAACGTACACCGGCTTTCCAGACTCTTCAGCGCTGATGGCAGCCGAGTAGCTGCTGATGATATCGCTCGCTTGCTGAGTGCCGCAGGCAATCGATGCGGGCAACGAGACGAGCACGCCGGCTAATCCTTGAAGAGAACCCTGAGAAGTGGAGGGTGAGGCATCGTCCTCGGCTGGCATATGAATGACCACGCGCTCAGCTGGGATGCTGGGGGGCTGTCCCCCTAGCAGTGCGAGTGCAGGAGCAGTGTCCCGGTCGAGGACCAACGCGTCAGCGCCATTGTCCAAGACGTCCGCCAATTCGTCAGGCGAGAGCGAGTGGAAGCTGGTGATGTGCACGAGGTAGGGCAAAGTAGGCGGCAGAGTTGATCTGACGTCGGGGAGGAGATGATAAGGGACGAGTAGGGGACACGATCTTGAGATGACGCCCAAGAGAGCCGGCGTAGGCAAAGCGTCCAGCACAGGCAAGACCGAAGCGCTGAGAGTCACCATGCCCGCAATCGAGAGTGGGCAAGCGCCGCTATGGTAAAGTGCCTATGCCAGTGGAAGTTAGAGGAGCTGCGACGGCTCGATCTGAAGTTGAAAGAAGGCTGGATTGCAAGCGAGCCAGCGAGGATTGATTGCGATGAGTGGGTCGGGGATGCAGATCGAGTGTCGAGCGTGGAGACTGGCTGTCCTTGGCGCTCGAAGAAGATGCCTGATGCGTGTGCATATGTCGATTCATTCACCGAGTCACAATCAAAAATAATCTCGCGCGGCTGAAAGCACGCGTAGTCAGCAGGTAAGATTCGTATAGCTGAATGAAATCTTGCACCTACAAGAATCACGAATTACGCCGGCGGACAAGTCTCGAACAAATGCTCGATGACTTGATTCGATCATTCAATTCATCTAGTCACGAGTTCGAATTTGATTCTGAATTTGAACCGAGAATCTTGGGCTCAGATGCAAGATTTCAGCGTGTGACATTGAAAACATTGTCACGTGACTTCACGTGACACGTTCTGCTTAGCCTTATCGCGCGGCGATTCCTTTCGAATTCGACAGGCTGGCGGTGCATGCATGAAGCCGCACGTTTGTTATTCCTTTTTTGCTCCGTCACGAGCGAGATTCATTTCTTGATTCTTGAGTCAGAGTCAAGTCACCAGCAGTCACGAGTCACGAGTGCGCATATACAGGCGCAGCTGGAATAAGCGGGCGAGCCGGCGGTGCGGAGCACGGTGTCGCGATTGCGAGTTTCAAAATCACCGTCCATCGTGTGAGTGGGGGGCCACGCAACGCGGCAGCTTCGCCGCACAGCGCCGACAGATTCAGCTCACGACTCTTGGCTGGAGCCTGCCTGCTCGCCCTCTAGACCGTCGATGGAGATGTCACGCCTGCCTCCCGCAAACAGCAGAGCAATTGGCGCGATTGCACAGGCGGACGTTAGAAATGGCGCTCGAAAGCTAGCCGCGGACTGATGCGAGCAAAGCAAGCACGATATGCGTGTCTGCAACACGCTAGCTGCGGTCTGCTAATCAAGAATCGCTCTCGCGTCGCCACTCGAGGCAAGCGTCTGCCTGAACACGCACGCGTGACTGCTTTCTTTCTACGTTTGCCTCTCCTTTCTCACGCCGTCATTTTGGACTTACACAACAGTTTCGCTCGTCAAGATGAGCAAAACGGAGCTCAGTCCGGAAGAGCCGATGGTGGCTCAGCATCCGTCAAGAAGGCAAGGGCAAGCAAAGGCAAGGGCAATGATGCGAGCACTCATCGCTGCTACTGCTGCTGCGTCGAAGATACGCTAGTGATCATCCTTAGCGGTGCTGTGCTGCAGGATTTTGGAAGAAAGGGCGGGCAAAGGTCCCGCAGACGCCGCGTAAGCACTTTCACTCACGACTGGTGACTGATCTGAGACTCGAGCTCGAGACTCTCACACTGTTGTGAGACTCGCGGACTGTTTGCCGCCTAAGCCTACGGATCTGCGGCAACTAGTTTGGCCGAAGCTCGATACCGCGAGAGGTTTGCTGCCAAGCTGATGATGAGACGTTTGACGCTAATCGTATCGCTGCTCCCCTTGGCCATGAGGACCCGAGGCGGTGCTCAGCAGCAGACATTGCTGATTGCTCCGTTCTGAAAGCACCAGCAAGCCAAGTCGCCCTCAACTTTCGAAGCCTACTTAAGCCATCATGATCATCGCTTCCCCTCGCCGCTCCACAGCCCTTCCACGGTCCCAGAATACCCCGTCTCCGCTGTCTGCCTGTAGCCCTTTCGGATAGCACATACGCTCGCTGTACCTCATTCGTCAGGATGAGAAGCACATCCCTGGCGGCCGAGCTGCTGGCCACTGCGATCCTCGCGTTCGCACTCGTTGGCAGAGTGGATGCATATGCTCAAGGGCGAAGGTGAGCTGCGAGTTTGCTCTACACTTGGCGGGCATGCGAGCGAGCGAGCAATCAAGCAAGCAAGCTGATGGTTCGCCGCGCATCGACACCATTGCAGTCTTCGGCGTATGAGCGGATTCGAAATCTTCATGGATAAGCAGGAAAGGCTGGAGCAGACCGTAGCGACCAAACAAGTGGTGCTCGCAACGCAACAGCAGATTGGCGGCGAGTCAGCTCTGCAGGTGGCGTCTGCTTCCATTGCCAGCAACAATACGGATTACCCTGGTGTCAGAGCTGGCTTCCTCACGCAGCCTCTCGACCACTTTGACGGAACCACCAACGTGACCTTCCAGCAGAGGTTTTGGTGCGTCGTCCGCGCGGACAAGGCCTCCTGCGAGAGCACGGCTCACCTCCTTTGGCTCTTTCTGTGCATGCAGGTACCATTTGAACTACTACAAACCACCCGCCGAGCGAAACGGCTCTGTAGTCCCGCTCTTCATCACCGACCCCGGAGAGCAGGATGCCGAGCCGCTCGTCAAAAGCCTTGTAAGCCTCACAAACGGACGAAACGGACGAGGCTAGGGCTTGATGCGTCGCCTTGCTGATTTGCGCGTCACTTTTGGCTCGTCTGGCAGTACTCGGGCTGGATCGACAGGCTTGCGCGAGAGAATGCAGGCATCCCAATCGTGCTCGAGCATCGCTACTATGGGAAATCTTTTCCCAACCGTACAGAGCTGGGGGCCGGTGAATTTTGGCAGCCTGACGCCATGCGCTGGCTTACCAACAAGCAAGCTCTCGCAGATGCCGCTCAATTCGTCCAGAAGGTTCGTTTCGACAATGTGACGGAGGAGACGCTTCACTCCCCTGTGTCACCAGTCATCTACTACGGAGGATCCTATTCTGGCGCAAGATCAGCCCACCTTCGTCTCCTTTACCCCGATCTCATCTACGGATCGATCGCCAGCTCAGGTGTCGTGCTCGCACACGAGAATTACCCCGAATACTTTTTCCCCATCTCACGCGGTCTGCAAGATAATTGCAACCAAGCTCTGCAAGCTTCTATTGGCTTCATCGACAGCATCATCGCACCTGAGCCTGAAAAGGGCCAAGTCCAGCCTACCAGAGACCAGAACGCAACGACCGCCGTTCAGGCGCTGTTCGGCCTCGAGGGGCTCTCCAACCCCGCGGACTTTGCAAACGTCCTCTCAATCCCTCTGGGTGATTTCCAAAGCCAAAGGTGGGACTACGCGAACACGAAGACCAAAGCGGTGTACGCTCTGTGCGATGCCATCACCAACACTACAAACAGCGGTCCGAAGCCCGCCAATCCGGCTCGCCGAGAAGAGGAACCAACCGCTGTGATTCAAGGCAAAAAAGTGCCTGAAACCGTGGTCCGCTTTGGAAAGTACATCAAGGAAGCTTATGTCAAACCTTGCGTTGCTGGTGACGAAGGCTCTACGGTCGAGAGCTGCTTTGGATCGAGCGACTGGAGCTACTACACCAATGCTACGGATCCCAACCCTGTTTCTTGGCCCTTCCAATTCTGCACAACTTGGGGTTACCTGCAGACCGCTGCACCTCAGAACGCTACCAACGACCCGTATGCCACCAACTTCACCAATCCCAGACTCGTGAGCTCCCTGCTTGACATCGAATATATTGGGGAAATTTGCCGTTCGGTGAGTGCAGACGTCAGCTTTCCCGAGCGGCACGCAAATCGGAGTCCTAGTAATCTAAGGTGACATTGCCTTGCTTTTTGTGCTTTGGACAGGCTTTCAAAGACGGCCAGCATTACTCGATGTGAGTATGTTCTCACCGGCCGAGCCATGCCGTGACTCGAGAAGCCATGCTGACGGTCGTTGAATCGGTCGCTCGACAGCCCCGCCCATCCCAACGTGACCGAGGTCAACAGCCTTGGCGCTTTGAACATTACGATGGACCGTCTTGCATACATCAATGGTCAATACGACCCATGGAGGCCCATGACGACTGCCAGCGAAGAGTTTGGCGACGGCGGCGCAAGTCGCGAAGACACGACGCTGAGGCCGTTCAAGATCATTCCTACCTGCTACCACGTCTGCGACTCGAGCTCCGGCACGCCAGGCAACAAGACTAGCGATCCTGCGCCTCGGGTCAAAAAGGTGCAGGACGAAGTGGGTGCTGCGGTGACGAGCTGGCTCGCAGACTTTGTCGCGCCACCTGCAAACACCACCATCGAGACTGGTAACCGCTTCCATGCAGTTGCAGTCCTAGGCCATTGATCCGTGCGAATCTTTGAACCAAGACGAACATCCTATCTGCCGCTCTATATGCGAGCATGATATCCGACTTCTCAACTTGCCCAGCCACGCCATGATCTTCGTGCTCTGTGGCCTGTGCACACTGATGCAACATGCTCGCCTGCATCTTGCTTATCATATCCCTTTGCTCACTTTTCATGTTCACGCTCGCAATGATCGCAATGTCCCGATGTGCTGCTGTCGAGCAGATCGAAATATCAATACATCATCTGATTCTTTAGAAAAGGCTCGCCTGTCGAGTGACGTTCTGAGCCGTCGAAGGTCCGAACTTGGCGGCTCTTTAGCGACACCGAGAATGAACGATTGCCGCGCCGTGCTCCTCATACTCCTGCTTGCTGATCCATAGCTGGTGAAAAGTACCCAGGCTGGCAAGTATACTGCCACCGAGCCAAGAGCTGAACCTCCTTTCCACCGTGTTTCCCGGACTATGAATTTTGATCTTTTGCTGTGGATTTGGTATGCCCCGCACATGCAGAATTCTCGATTAGCGTAGCATCTCTAGCGCAGGGAAATTGTACGACTCACAGATGGTGCAGCCACGCTGAGCTCATAAGACAAGCGATCGTTGAATCCAGGTATGCAACTTCCTCCTCCCACACAGACCACGTTTCCAAACAGAGCAGGTCTAGAATCGACATCTGTGCTGTTGATGGCATCCAGCACGAGCTGTGGGATGGACAGTAGGCTCGAAGTGCCAGCTGTCGGAGCTGGGAGCTGCAAACAAATGGGCGAGGAAAGGGTCGCTCCTCGATTAGATACACAACTCGCTTTGAGCTCACGACAGAGACACATGTACTCACCACGCCGGGCTTATCACCCCACAGCTTTTGAGGAGAGAACATCACCTCCGGCGCTCTGAAGCGCTCAATTCCAAAAGTGTCCACGTATCCATCGGGGAATTCGAATGGTCGATTGGGTCTAATAGAAGCCTGACCATCATCCCATCCCATCTCAAGCACCTGGGCCAGCGTCTCCTTGGCTTCATGTAGCACTCTATAATCGGTCAGATGTCTGTAGCTTTCCGATGCCGGCCTTTCACGCAGGATAGCTTGAGACGCTTTCCCAGGGCCGACGACCGTCTTGCTGCGCACTAGATATTGCGGCACGATGTTGACCAGGCCACCAGCGCGCGGAGTTTGTTGCGGTGCGGAGGTAGAGAGGTCATACAGCAGAGCACGTGAGACTGCGTCGCCTCCCAGACCTGCAGAGCGCCGCACGCCTTTCCGCAACACGAAACCATCGACGACGGGTATAGCAGAAGCGTGGGTCGCACCCACGTCCAGCACAAGCGAGGTTGGCTTGCCTGCTGCGAACCTGCACGAGGAGAGAGGAGGTGGATGAGAAGGAATCGCGCTTAGCCGCTAGACTTGACAAGGACTGCCACGAGATTTGGCGACTTACGAGCTTAAGACGGTGGAGTTGGCGAGGTAGAATGCCGGCGCATCGAGCGCCTCGAACGCCAATTCGATCATCTCCTCTCTGCTCTCCTTTGTCGCCCACGCAGGCTCGCTCAGCAGCAAAGGGTGCTCGGAGACGTCTGCGCCCATCAGCCCGGTCAGAGCATGTTGGGCGATAGCCAAGTATGCGGCTGGAGATGCGACTGTGAGAAGACCGAGGGTGGAGAGAAGCGAGTCGAGGGCGAGTCAGATCACAATTCAGATGCATTCCACACCAACGGCAAACGTTGCGAGGCATCTCACTCACGCGTACCGTCTGTGAAGGGCGTGTCCACCTCTGCCCCTTCTCTCCAAGCATTGGAAGCCTCTCCGACAAATCTTCTTCGGCGTTGACCCTTGTCCAACGAGTACTTGTCCGGCAATTGTTTCCTCTTGCCATTGATCAGCGGCGCACCACCGTTGACGTGCCCATTACCAGTGGCGTTTCCATTCGACGCATCAGCTGCGTCCACATCCATAGCATCTCCGTCGGCTGCGCTTTTGGGTGATGCCTGTCGCTCCTCGTTGGGATCGGGGAGCCAAGAGTAGGTGCTGGGCACGACTGCACGTGGTGCGTCGTCCCCTGCCCAACCGAAACGCATCGTGCTGCTGCCTGCATCGATGACGATGGCCGACACATCATCGCCTCCATAGACACCTGGCATGACTACGAGAGACAGCGCAAGAGAGAAAGCGCGTTTGAAGGCGAAGAAACGTAGCCGGTCGCGTGACGTTTTACGTGGTGAAGGTGTGCCAGATGGGCGCCGTGCGCGTCAAACGCGAATATCCTAGGTACGTTGTACAGGTCGATCGATGTCTTGCGGAACTTTGTAAGCGATTGAATTGCCTGATCGCACGTCCGGTTGAGTGCTGATCTACAATCAGTGGGGGACAATGTTGACAAGTGGGCGCAAAGTATCGTAGGTATATAGGGCGATTGTGAGGGGTGGAAAGCTGCTAATAAGTGAACGAGACTGACCAGGATGCAGCATGCCTGATCACGCTCTCGAACGCGAACGGCGCGGACCTTCTTCGCCTCGCGAGAGGCCCGCGGCGGTCGTGCGCGATGAATCACGTCCAAAGGAGATCACGTGATGTGTAAGCTGAGCGCAGAAATGAGTTTCAAGTCCACCACAATTCATCAGGATTTGACTCACTGGTGAACTTGAATCGAACCGCGGAGATGTTTTGGCCACCTGTTTTCTCTCTGCCAGCTTCCAAAGCTGATGTGGCTCAGCTCCTCTCAGCAGTGGCTTTTGAAACCTCAGAGCAAAACATCATCAAATCGCCGCGAGTTGTCAGACTATGCGCATGTCTTGCAAGTCCAGGCGCAATTGGCTGACCGGCTAGACGTCGCTCTCGAGCGGTTCAGAAATCTGACTCGAATGGAGTGTGCCACTGCTCAATCAGCATGGGTGTGCAAGGGTTGTGGTCGCTGTTGGAGCCCAGCGCAAGGCCGATCAAGTGAGTGGCCAAGAGCGACATGGACTTCGATCCGGAATCACTGCGGCTGATGCGGCACATGCACTTCTTTCGCATGATCTGCTGACAGGCTCGAGTCGCTGGAGGGCAAAAGGCTGGCCATCGACTCCTCCATCTGGCTGTACCACTTTCGCATGGCGATGAGGGACAAGGAAGGTCGCACGCTTCACAATGCTCACGTTCTCGGCTTCCTCTGGCGAATCCTCAAATTGCTCTTTTACGGCATCCGACCAGTCTTTGTCTTTGATGGCGGTGCTCCCGTCATGAAGCGGCAAACGCTGGTGAAGCGAAGAGAACGCAGGGAAGGCGCCCGTGATACGCACAAGCTCACTGCGCAACGTCTTCTCAATGCGCGATTGAGGCAGGCTGCGCTGGATCATGCTGTAGGCTCGAAGGCGGCGAAATCGAAAGCCACTGCGTCGAAGGCGGGAGGAAGCCCAGCTGGACCGGGCAATGGCATGGTGTACTTCGACGACCTGCAGGGCCCAGAGACCGGCTCTTCCACCAGTGGCGTCGGGCGACGGGAGTCCACGTCGACATCCAGGCCAGCAGAGGGCAGCGCTTCACCTGAAAAGGAAGGAGCCGGTCGCAAGAAGAAGGATTGGCACAAGGATCCCTACGCCTTGCCACCTCTCGAGCAGCAACTGTCGCGCGTCAATGCAGAAACGAGCGCGGCTGCTTCCAAAGGCCAGAAGAAAGGGGCGAGGAGGACGGACTTTCGATTTGCTACAGATTCGGAGATCAGACACTTTTTGACAAGCTTGCAGCCTCAGGATATCGACATGGACTCGGAACTCTTTCGCACACTGCCTGCTGAACTGCAGTACGAGCTGGTAGGCGATATGCGCGCAGGATCCCGAGGCACCTCGTACAAACGTCTGCAGGCCATGCTTGCCGAGTCGCCCACCCCCATCGACTTCTCTAGAGCTCAAATCAAAGGTCTCAAGAACCGAAACGAGTTGACTCAAAAAGCTTTGGAGGTGTCCAACGCTATCGGAGATGCCAACATCAAGGTGCCCATCCGTGTCGCCGGCGCCCGGAACCGCGAGTACGTGTTGGTGCGCAATCCTGGCGACGCCGGCGGCTTCACCCTTGGAGTCAAGGAGACGGGAACGAGCATCGACAAAGCTATCGAGGTGGATCCTGAGCCGAATCCTGTCAATGTGTGGAGCAGCGATGAGGAGACTTGGTTCGGCGATGAACGGGCGAGCCGATCGAAGACCAAAAGACCAGCCTCCGACGATGATGAAGAGATGGAGATGGAAGAAGTTGTAGGGACTCCTGCTCGACGAGCCACTTCTCCACGGACCGCGGAGATCTTGGCGAAAGCGCATGCCGATGATGAGAAGTCGAGACGCGCAGCAGCGGCAGCCTTGGTCCGAAGAAGGGCAAAAGAGCACGCAAGGCAAGTGGCCAAAGACAAGGGCATTCGAGAGGACAGCTTCCGCCTCGAGGATCAATTGCAGGCTGCTCGTGCAGGTGAGAACGCTCGCAAACTTTTCCGCTCTAGGGAAGCACCCACCGCGGAGAGGGGCTGGCAACTTGATGGCGAGCGCGCTGCGCAAGGTTGGGAAGACATCGAAGAACTCAGAGATGCGGAGAGCGAGGTGAGCGAGGATTACATGGCTGCGCAGCTCTCTGCAGATGAAGCAGACGACTTGGCGCGCGCCATCGAGGCGTCTCACAAGCAGTCGGAGCACCGGGTGGATGGACCACACCTGGCCGATCAGGACATTCGCTCGCCGGATCCCAAAATGCGGGCGCATGTAGACGAGGATGTGGAGATGGAAGACGTGGAGCCGGTGCACTTCATGGCAGATGAGTACGCAGATCTATACAAGGATCTACCGACGATGCCACGAGCAAGCGCCCACGACGAGCCCAAGGTCGTCAAGGACGACGCCATCGCGGAGCCGGTCCCAACCCGCCAACCGCCAGTCGGCAACTCCGAGACGAAGTACGCACTTTCAAGGCAGAGTGAAACAGAGCCCGATAAGGCAGACGAAGAAGAAGCACACATCGCACGCAAGAGGGAATCCCGAGATCTAGACGCACAGCTCAGTAAGCCGGCAGCGAACATGGACACAAAGGCATCGTCTGTTGTCTCACCGTCAGGCAAAGCACGCGAGAATAAGAAGTCTGCAGTGGAGGTCAAAGCACCGCAGACCTCACGGACCCCACGGCATACGTCCGGGGACCAAGTGGCTCAAGGCACGCCGAAGCGAGGGGAGGCCGACGACCCGACGAAATGGCAACCCGCTACGCCCCGCGAAGAGGCGGCGAATGGCGACGCTTTGTCAAAGACTGGTGCAATGAACGCGGGCGAAGCTCAGCACATGAGAGAGGTTGCTACTGCTATTGGTAGCGCAGGGGGCCTACCTGTAGTCCCAGTTGTCCCTGCCTCACCTCCTCCGGGCGCTCCCAAGGATGCCACCTTGGCCGGAAAGGACGCGGTGTCGCCAGTAGCCTCAACTGCACCGATGCCGCCTGCCCATCCCGCGGCGACTCCTGAGCCCTCACCACGGCTGCTTCAAAGCGGCCGCGGCTCCATGATGGAGGACCCGCTCGCAGAAGCGCCTCCCGCAGCAGCTGCTGAAATGTCCCAAGATTCGCCAACAGAGCGACAGGCTGCGGTGGCGGCAGGTGCAGGTGCCAATGACGAGTTAACGAGGGTGCTCGCAAAGAGCAAGTCTGGACGTGAGGAGCAACCCATGCTAACGGGAGATGGCGGAGTACAAGTGAAGTCAGAGAGTGCTGAGTCCGCGCAACCAGATCCATCTCATGCCGAAGGGAACCGAATTAGACGCAACCGATCTCCTGTTGCCTTCGACAACGTCCCTTCGGCTATTGACGAAGCAGGGGTACACGAGCCAAAGACTGATCTTGCTTTGATGCAGGAGAACAAAGAGTCTGCGACGACCGCTGACCTTTCAGACCGGGGAACTCTCTTCAGACCGGATGACGAGCATAGTGAACCTGGTACACCGATTGCGTGGTCTCCGTCTCCTTCGCCAGCGCCAGTGCGACTGGGCGCAGATGGATTTCCTCTCCCGACTATTGAAGAAATCGAGGCTCTAGAAGCTCAGGACGAGGAAGAGCTCGGGCAAGTGGCTGGAGGGGATGTCGCAACTTTCTTGAGCAGGGCGCGAGGCCAAGGTCTGTATGAGGCTCAGCAAGAGGCCCAGGCTGAAGTGGATCGTCTGCGAGCAGAGTTTGCGAACTCTCGAAAGAGCGACGAAGACATCACCAAGACGATGGCTCTCGAAATTCAACACATGCTGAGGTGCTTTGGAATACCATACCTCACAGCACCGATGGAGGCCGAAGCACAGTGTGCCGAGCTTGTAAGCCGCAAGCTTGTGGATGGTATCATCACTGACGATTCCGACGTCTTCTTATTCGGAGGCACTCGGGTGTACAAGAACATGTTTGCCGACAAAAAGAACGTCGAGTGCTTTTTGCTCACCGACATGGAGCGCGATTTGGGTGTGGACCGTCAAAAGCTGGTGCACTTGGCATACCTTCTAGGTAGCGACTATACGGAGGGTCTTGCGGGCGTCGGTCCGGTGCTAGCCATGGAGATCCTCAGCATCTTCAACCAGCGCGACGGACTTTTGCGATTCCGAGATTGGTGGCTCAAAGTGCAAGCTGGCAAAGATACGCCCGAGGATACTCGAGGCAAGACTATGCGTCGCATCAAGAAGACCTTGGCCAACAAAGTCATGCTCGATCCTCACTGGCCCGAAGCAGCCGTCGTCGAGGCCTACTATTCTCCCACCGTGGATGAAAGCGACGAGCCGTTCCAATGGGGCCTTCCAGACCTTGATGCCATCCGCATCCTGCTCGCGGAGTACCTGTCATGGAGTCAAGACAAGACCGATCAGTATCTCTTGCCTGTCATTGAAGCTCAGAATCGGCGTCGAGGGAAGAATCAGTCTTCGCTGCTGGACCGCAGTGGCTTCTTCGACTTGAGTGCAGGCACAGGCGTTTTTGCACCTCGAGAGCAGCCCAAGTATGGGTCCAAACGTCTGCAGGACGTAGTGGAGCGCTTCAGGGCGGCGGAAACAGGACGCAAGAAGGCCAAGTCGTCGTCTCAGAGCTCGGCCAAGCGCTCAGGACCAGCTGCGGCGCGTCAGGGCAGCCCGAGCGACAGTGACGACGCTGCGACGGAGGGTATGCAGGGTGGCAGAGCTCGGACGACGGCAGAGCTCGCTGGAGTTCCCGAGGAGCTGGTTGGCAAAGAGATGGGCAAGCAGAGACCCATCGTCAGTCGAACAGAGCAACAAAAGGAGCAGCAACGACGTCGTAGAGAGGCTCGGGAGCGCGGTCTTGACCCTGCTGACCTAGAGGAACTGGACGAGACCGCCATTGCTATCGCAGCGACTGATGATCTGAGGGCATCAGGCTCGGACGCGCGTGGTAATAAGGCCGTGACCGCACCTCGCAAGCGCAAAGCTGTTACAAGAGGCGCAAACGCAACGAAAGAGCCTGGCAGCAGGGCCAGGAAGCGCGGGACAGATTCCTCGGCAAGTAAGAAAAATGGGAGAGACGTCCAGCATCAGGATTCAGGAGCTCCTGAGAGTGCTTCTACTGATGCACGCGAAGCACAGGATAGTCGGAGTAGTGGGGGAGAATCGGATTGGCAGCCTAGGGGCGAAGCGCGAGCAGCGGCGGCGCAGAGCGCAAGTCGAAGCGCAAAGACCACGACGACGGCGACGACGAGTTCCAAGAGAGGCCGCAGTACGGCGAGAGGTTCCGGACGAGCACGCAAAGATCCAGAAAGCACGGTGAGGAACGAGGAAAGCAGCGCAGCTAGCAGTCCGGCGCGCGGAGGGCGAGGGCCAATGCGACGCGATGCGAGCAATGGAGGTCTGTCCATTCGAGAAGGACGCTCCATGAATCTGGATGCCGTGGGTAGTCTGCCGCCTTCGAGAGCCGAGAGGTCTACCTCGAATTCGCCTGTGCGAAGCCCGGAACATCGATATGCAAGTCGTCGAAGCAGCAGCAGCCAGAGCCTGCAAGCGCAGGGGCAGTCACGAAGAGAGGAGCGGCATCATATCACCATCGAAGATAGCGACCTTACAGATCCGCTCTCCGAGTAACCATGATCTTATCAAAAAGTACATATCACACGCGCCATCAAACACATTGTAGCAGTAAACCCTTCGAATGCAATTGTCTCGTAATGCCCACATGACGCCAAATTGCTGCCTTCTAGCCTGGTGGACCACTCAGCCAATGCGGTATGCAAGCTTCTCGAGTGAAACCTGTTCGCGAGGTGCCCGGACCGGGTCATTAGATCTGAGCGTTGTTCGACGGCAGCAATGTTCAGGTCAAATTGGCTCACCTTTCCTTCCTGCATATACTTGAAGCCTTGCGGGATGCCCGACAAACCACCGTCCATATGTTTGATGACGTTTCCGCGCAATAGACCGCTAGCAAAGAGGTGCCTAAAGATACCTTGGCTAGTGAATGCTTGCAACTTTGCATTCTCTGCCGAGACTGTAGCTTCGTCGTACGCGGCTTTCCCGTACGCGAACGGATGGCCAAGCACGCTGTACACGCTGGTTGATCGCGCGTGTTGCATCGTCAGCCCGACACATGAAAAATTCAGCGACACAGATAGGTGGGTAAAGTGACTCACAGCGTGTGCACGATCTTGACATCGTTGCGAACTTCGATCGCTTCCTTCTCGGGCTTGAGCAGAACCACGACTGTTCCGCCGCTGCTTCCCAGACTTCGAGCGCACAAGCTCTGCGTTCCACCTTCGCTGATGCAGTCCAGTGCCCCGCTCAAAGTTGGATTCTGTTTGCTGATGAGCTCTGGAAGAGCCTCTTGGCGATAGTCGTACGTCTCTGAAGCTCCGATCGACTTGAGATACTCGTGGTTCTGCGTTACGAGCACGGCCGTTACGAACATGAGCTGCAAAGCAAAGAGGAAGCCCTAGAGAACGCGCATCCATTCACCTTGGGTGAGGCTGTCGTGATGACGTGGTAGCCAGCAATACGACCGAGTTGTACAGCGCTGAAGAAGGCAAGACAAGCGTATGCGTGTGCGATCAGGGCACCGCCTCGAAATCGAGACCTTCCTTCGCATCGGGGCAAAAGGCGCCAACTCACTACTGGCCAACAGAACTTGAGCCCGCCCAAACGAGCAGCTTCGGAGAGTTTGAGTCGAGCGCAGGAAGAGTGTCGGTTTTGCTCGGCAGATTCAACTCCAATCGACTGAATAGTGCCTAAAGGAGCAGGGAGTAAACGAGCAGTGTCCCTTATCAGATACCTCGATGCAACATCAAGTGATGCCCGCGGATGAAGCTGCGGTGCACTCACTTGCGCAGCAGTGTACCCCGCAATGCCGACGCTGGAAGCGACAGCCTCGTCGACATTAGCAGGAACCTTGCTAAGCGTGTCCGCCCTCGCCTTTAGATATTCGGCAAAGCTACCCCGATCTTCGTACTTGCCGCCGTGCACGAAGCCTGCCACTTTGGTCCCCACCGCCAAATCCGTCCCGTTGGAATCCTGCACCGTGCCGCAAAAGTCACAGCCTAGGATTTGGGAAGGGGTGGACATGAAGGCTGCGTGCTGCGCGCGCGCAAGGAATGAGTGGATGGATGAGCGAACAAGAACATGACGGTCTCGACATCCATGAGCGCCAAAAAGGGCGCATATAGTGTGCTTCGCTGGTTGCATCGAGACTCACCTTCCAGTCCGTGGGGTTGAGCGTGACGGTGGACACCTTGATCAGCACCTCTCCCGCTTCGGGCTTTGGAACGCTGACCTCTTTGACCTCGGTCGTGTGGTCGGGTGCAGAGACCAGCGCTTTCATTTGTGAGGGTGCCATGATGCTGCTGGCGTGTGGTCAGGGATGGATGCGGTCAAGGATGGAGGAGTTGAGGGTGAGGGATGATGGGGTTGGAAGTAGAAGGATGGATGGAGAGAGTCTGAGTGAGGAATTCCGTATCCCTGTATCTGTATACCTCCCCATTTGCAAGGCGTGCGTGCAACCCCACATCGCTCCTTTTGACCATCACTTGACTCTTGACTGTATATTCACAATCACTGTGACTACTTACTCGTGACTGGGTCGCTCGCTGCACCCGTGTACCTTCTTCGCAACCCCGCCGGCCACTTCGAACACACCGACCTGACCTTGATCTCCGTAACACCGGCTATCGCAAAACCAGCACACGATCTCGCATTCCTTGATTGCTTCACTTCGATCGGAAAGTCCAGCCAACTATTAAATTCATCAAGACTGCTCAGTGATGTGCGAGCATCGAAGCCGAAAGAGTCAAAAGCAATTCAAAGTTGGTACGTGTGGATCTTCCGACATGCAAATGCTTGCGCTCGTGTATACGGTACGTGCACCTGAGAGCTCGAGGCGGTTTCGATTGTGATTCTTGATTAGAATCAGAATCTACATGCCAATTCGCGCATTCAATTCGATATACGATGCTAAACCGCGGCGCGATGTGCGGCAACTCCACTTTGCTGTAGTCGTGAGTGACTGAGACCCTCTCAGGATTTGTGCATGGCCTTGCCGAAGCGGCAGAATTGCGGAAGCGCTCAACACTGATCTAGCGCCGGAGCGGCTCGCGTGTGCGCCATGCAAAGTCCGAGTGGAGGTTCAGCCAGCGCACTTCATCATTCACGATTGCTCCGTGCGCGCGCGAAGCTTAGCTCGATGGGGATTCTCACTTCGATCGTGGATGAATGAATGAGGTTGTTCGATTTGTGTGCTGCTGGGCAGTGCGTCAGTCTCTGACTAGTCTGAACTGCCGAACGTTGATGAACAGTTGCATGCCGCTGCTGCCTGAGTGGGCAAGGACGAGCATGCAAGCCTGTGCCGGGTCCTACATCCTCCTCAAAAGATGGGCATGTCCCGCCCAATCGTTCCTTCTACCACCAACTCGCTCACTTCACGCGCACACGAACTTCAACTAAACGACCTCATTCAAACATACTCACGATGTCGTTCTGCGCTGGTTGCATTGATCTCAAGGAGGTGAGTGGCCGTGCCATCGCACCAAAGTGCATCCTAACCACTCTTCGGCGCACTGATGCATCCGCACTTCCTTCATCGCACAGCTTCCCGGCTCTCCTACCGGAACGGAGAAGCAGATCGCTGGGCTGACCGTCTACGTCGCCGAAGGTTCCAAGAAAGGTTCCATTCTCATCGCTCCTGACATCTATGGACTCGGCATTGTCAACCCGCGTATTGTGGCTGACAAGCTGGCCAAGCAGTCTGGCTTTACCGTCTTTGCCGTCGACTACTTCAAAGGTGGCCAGATGAAGCCAGAGGAATTGTGAGTAGCAGAGGCTTCATGTTATCTTCGCGTGACCTCCGAGGACAATCGCTAAGCTAGAGTGGTCTCTTTCCTTTCAGCGAGCTGCCATCCAAGGCATCCGAAGGCGCTCCCGACGAGGCCAAGATGGGCAAGAACTTTGAGAACTTCATGGCTTGGTTCGGCAAGGGCAATGGTCCTGACAAGACCTTCCCTTTGACAAAGCCCGTGATCGAGGAGGCGAAAAAGTCTGGTCCCGTCGGAGTTGTTGGCTACTGCTACGGGGGCAAGATCGCCTCTTTGGCTGCTCAAGAGTCAGGCTTGGTGGATGGTATCGCCCTGTACCACCCTTCGCTCTTGGAGCCCGAGGAGGCGGACAAGATCACCACGCCCGTTCTGATCAACGGTGCGGAGCTCGACCCTCTCTTTGCACCGGAACTCAGGCAGACTTGGGAGACGAAGCTCAAGGCAAAGAACCTTCTCGATGCAGCTTCCACCACTTACCCAAACACGGTCCATGGCTTTGGCTTGCGCCCTGATCTCCAGGACACGCAGGTCAAGAGCGGCTGGGAAAAGTCCATCGACGCTACTTCTTCCTTCTTCAACAAGGTGTTTGCTTGAGCTCGTCAGTATCTGGCGTACATTATCACCCGACGACATGGTTAATGAAGTACAAGTTCCTCTTTCCGACTTGCTCGCGTGTTGCTCAGCGATGCACAAGCCCTGTGATGCGCGTCGAGACTAGGCTTTTGTTTTCGCGGGCTAATGAGCTGTAGCCAGCATTTCAAAGCCTGGCGTAGCTAGGCGTTCTGCAGACAGCCGAGAAAGTGCATGGGAACAAGCTGATTGTTGGAGCTGTGTGTCAGCAGCGAAAGTGACTTTTGACCACTCACGATTCGTAGACCAGTCTCTCGGGGTGAATTGCTTCGTCCTCTACGGCACCACTGAAACTGTCGCTGAGGAAGGAAGATGTGAAGTCTGCCCGATTGTTGATCAGCACCACCACATGGCCGAGCCTGTTCGCGTTTGTGCGAGCCGCACCCGGATCGACTCAAGGACACGAATTCAAGACGTTCAAGCTTCTTGGTGTCGGTCCTGCTGCCATTAGAAATTGACTCAAATTCGCAATCAAGGGTCGGGTTTTCAAAGTCGTGGATTTGCTCCATCAACCAAGACTCGCTCGTGATCATTTCTCATTTGAGGCAAACCAAAAAAGGACGGCCGCATTTCTCTATGTCATCGTGATGCCATGCTCTACGAGCACTGGCGGACGCAGTACCGGGCGCCCTCGCATGCGTGACGAGGTCCAAAACGTTGATAAAAGCTACTGTATATGTCTTCTCACGTCAGCTCCGACTCAATGCCTACTGTACCTCCGACTTACGGCTGGGAGCGTAGGTAGGTAGCGGTACGGTGGGTGTAGGGACGCATGCCGTGTGCCGCAGGGTGCAGCAGGGTGCAATGAGCAAACAGCAGCCTCTGCTCGCTTGATGAGAAGATACACTTTGAGCTCCGACTCACCCTAATTCGCGGTGGTATGGATCGCGACTTTGAATGTGCAAAATGGCGGGTCAAAGAACGACCCGGATCTCTCTGCTTTGAACGTCTCGAGTCGAAGTTTTGACTCTCGACCGACGTTCAAGGCTCAGACTTGAGGTGGGTGCCACGCAGATACACAGTCACCATCGGGGTATGTGCCTCAGCCTTGGGCGGGTTCGGTCGTGAGTCTGAGTCCAAGTCACAGCATCGGTCACGGGTTAAGGATCGCGCTCGCGTGCATCTGTCTCGGTTGATTTTGATTTGGAATCACTTGAATCAAGAACTTAATTGGACTGGTGACTGGTAATTCAACGTTTGCGTATAGGTGTATGTACGCACGCGAAGCGAAGCAGAAAAGGAGCAAAGATGGCCCATGCATCAGGCGCACGAGGGAGCAAGCAGCTTGGAGCCGACCAGCAGGCAAGGCGCGCGGCTATGAGCGATGAGCCTTGAAGATCACCGCTACAGACTTGTGGGAGTGTGGTGACCGCGAATCATTGAATGCAGGTCGATGCAGTCGCTGAGGTGTTTGCAGCAGCGATAATCTGCATGGGTTTCGGGTTCTGTTGATGTGCGCGTGCTGCCTGAGTACTGCCCTGATGAGGGGTGCTGCTCCTAACGCTCCTGCTACGCGTGGCGTGCGGCGCGTGCGTGCTCTGTGCCGCCCACACATGCTGGCTATGCGTACATAACGTGTCGTGCGCGCTCGTTCTGAAGTGTGAGTGCGGCACGCGGCAGCATCAGCGCGTCGGAGGCGCTGCTGAAGCTCCCTATAGCTCGCTGGACGGGCGCGTCGACTATGCGCTCGGGTCTCTGCGCCAGCAGCAGCCAGGACATCCACCAATTAAGCCGCCGCCGCCAAAATGCATCGTGGCTGATGGCGCCTGCTACTTGAACCATGCGCGCGCGTCAGCAGAGTAGTCTTGAGTGCGCCTTCAGCAGCATCAACATCTGCGTGCGCGCCAGCAGCCGCTTCAGCAGGCCTAGTGCGCTGCCCCATGCACGCGCCTGACGAGGTACGAGTACTCTTTCTTGACTGGTACAGGCCGCGAGCGTCTGTCTGCATGCTGCTAATAGCTCACGGGTGTGAGTGCTGCTGCTGCTGCTGTTGGTGCGGCGGCGGATTACCTTCAGTCACATCAGTGATCAACTACACCGTCCTCGTAGCGCGAGGGTCGATGATCATTCTGACCGTGACGGATTCACGTATCAAGACGGGCCACACATCCATCCACCGCCCAACCACTCGAACACAACACAATACGCAGCGAAGCATCTGCTTCGACTCGTTCTGTGGCTGCCAAGTCTCGGTCTCGCAGTCGGGAGCTCTCACTAGTCGCTGTTATTGTTGCATCCTCTCGATCTTTGGGCATCCTTCTCCCTTGCCCACTACTCCTTCTCGCTCATCACTCTGATTCGAGCAGAATACCCATTCACCGCCCTTCGAGCTTCGACATTCGACGCAGGGGCTTCTTGCCATCTCCTCCATCACGACCTGCTCCGCCACTTAAACACAACTCTCGACTTGCACTACAAGTCAGTCGTCGCTAGGGACATCAAGTACAACGGGGTCTACCTCACCTTCATTGCTCAGCCTGTCTGGCCGCAAGGGGGCAACATATTGCGAAGCGAAGCCTAGTCAAGCAGTAGGCGATCAGTGGAAGGCTTGGCTGCTTCTCGGTGACGCATCTTGGGAGAGGAGAAGCCATCTTCGCATCTCGCTCTCGTAGGTCGCCATGAAGGGTCTCAAGAAGGCCATGGTGAGTTGCGCGGGTTGGAAACAGTGGCAGCAGTGGAGAATCTCTGACATAGGTCTGATCATCTTTGTCACGTTTGTAGAATCTGTCTCGATCCAAGTCCTCGGAGAATGGATCGGGACGATCAACACCCAACCAAGGCATACCTGTGCCCCCGCCCAAAGGCGGGTCTGTGCCAGCCAACGCCAGCTATCAGGGATCGCTCAAGAGTACATCAGCTTCCTCCCCTTCATCCTCATCTACATCCCTTCCAAGGGGTGGAGAAGGCCGGGCTGACGTGCGCAGCTCGTTGGGCGGCGGGTCTGGAACGCCAGAGAGACGTGGAGCAGGGGTTGCAGACAAGACGGGTCCAGCCCCTCCCATCGTCGTCGTCTCGTCCGAGATGCCCGCCGATCCCATTCCTCATCCAGGTACAGCGTTGGGGCCAGGTGGTGTGCCATTAGGAGGATCTTCGAGCCCCCCGCCTCCCGCTGCGCAGGTTCCGCATCTGGGCCTGAGTCCAAACAGCGGATCGGGCTTGGGTGGACCTGGAGATTTAGGGACACCTCCCAAGGCAGGTGCTCTCAATAGACTCAGACAGGGTCAGAGCACCGGTCCGAAGGACACCATTCCCGTTACGAAAACGCCCCCTAGAAAGCAGAGAAGCAGCCGCTTCCACGTGACGGAAAAAGTAGAGTTGGAAAAGTTGCCGAACTTCGGAGGTGAGTTGGGAGGCGCTCGAAAGGAATCGATGGGAGCAGGAGGCTGTGTGCGAAGAAGAGTGCCTTTCTTGCCCAATTAGCGAGTCTCGACGCATCCATTGCAGACTGACGTCGCGCTCCATCGCTTCCGTCTTTCTTTTTCCCCACAGAGGTGGTGCCAGCAGACAGACCGGAGCTGTTCGTGCGCAAGTTGCGACAGTGCTGCCACGTCTTCGATTTCAACGACGCGTCTTCAGATCTCAAAGGCAAGCAGGTAAAGGCTCAGACCTTGCACGAGATGTTGGACTACATAACAAGTCAGAGAAACGTGATCACTGAGGCGATCTACCCGGAAGTGGTTCATATGGTGAGTGGCACTGGAGAGATACGGTCAGCAGGAAGAGGCCGGAATGGGTGGAGAATTGGTGCGAAGCAGCACTCGTCGAACGGCGGACACGCTGCAGCCATCGCAGCACCTCCCCTTGATCGATGTGTCTGCGAGAAGGCGCCGCTGAAGCCGCATTTGGCCTCTCATCTGCAGTTCGGCGCCAATCTCTTTAGATCTATACCTCCGCAAGTCAACCCCGTTGGCGACGCCTTTGATCCCGAGGAGGACGAACCCGTATTGGAACTGGCTTGGCCACACTTGCAGATTGTATACGAGTTCTTTCTCCGATTTGTCGAGAGCCCGGATTTCAACACAAATGTCGCCAAGAAGTTCATCGATCAGCACTTTGTGCTTCAAGTGAGTGGTGCTCTCTGCTTGCAATTTTTTTCATACACTGACCTTCGATCGTCACATTGACGTGGCGCCCTGTAGCTGCTCGAGCTTTTCGACAGCGAAGACCCGCGCGAGAGGGACTTTCTCAAGACTACCCTGCACAGAATCTATGGCAAGTTTTTGAATTTGCGCGCCTTCATCCGTCGATCCATCAACAACGTGTTCTTCCAATTCATTTACGAATCGGAAAGACACAACGGTATTGCCGAGCTGCTCGAAATTTTGGGCTCGATCATCAATGGCTTCGCGCTTCCTTTGAAGGAAGAGCACAAGACTTTCTTGACTCGAGTGCTCATCCCTTTGCACAAGGTCAAGAGCTTGGCTCTGTATCACCCCCAGCTTGCCTACTGCGTTGTCCAGTTCTTGGAAAAGGATAGCAGTCTCACGGAGGAGGTCTTGCTCGGTCTCCTGCGGTATTGGCCGAAGGTCAACAGCCCCAAAGAGGTCATGTTCCTCAACGAAGTGGAGGAGATTCTTGACGTCATCGAGCCGACCGAGTTTGTCAAGATCGAAGTTCCTCTCTTCCAGCAGTTGCAGCGCTGCATCAACAGCCAACACTTCCAAGTCGCCGAGCGAGCACTGTACTTCTGGAATAATGAGTACATTGTCAATCTCATCGGAGACAATGTGCAAGTCATTCTACCAATCGTCTTCGCCAGCCTCTATCAGAACTCCAAGAGCCACTGGAATCGGACAATCCATGGGTTGGTATACAACGCTCTCAAGCTGTTCATGGAGATCAACCCAGCACTGTTTGACATGTGCACTAATGACTTTAAGCATCAGAGACAAGCGTAAGTGCGACTAGTAGGACACATAGTAGCAAAGAACTGCGCTGACGCTCCCCCAATCGACTGCGACAGCGAGAGGCAAAAGTTGAAAGCTCGAGATGAAGCGTGGAAGCGCCTGCGAGAGTCGGCAATTTCCAATTGCGAATCGCAGGGCCGCAAGCCGCCTCAGTCGCTCGTTGATGACGATAAAGCGCCGCCTCGGTCAAGCGCATCGGAACTCATGAGCTTGTCGGACACGGACTCGATCAACTCAGGCGGCGACGGGGCCGAAGGCTCCAGCAGCTTTCTAAACGACGTCGAGACCGCAGGTGCCGGAAGGGCGGGGCATGGAGCGAACGGCGATGTGTCATCCGCTACGGATTTTGAGGACGCGGGGGAGGGCTTTGAGGCTGGCGATGCGGCGCCAGCGACTCCAAGGGCCGATGAGGGCGGCATGGTGAGCACAATGGCCCTAGGTCGCAGATCCGGTATGCAGATCACTGACTCTGCCCTCGATTCCGTCGTTCTAGAAGCAATTCCCCGCGACGTCTCGAAATACCGTTGCCAAGAATGGCGAAAGTCCGCACGTCCGGCGAAAGTCGGCCATACCCATGGATCAGACGGTTCTAAATGAGCTCAATATGCACAAGAGCTTAGACGAGTGAGTCCACCATCTACCTGCTTGCTCTCTCCTCGCGGCCTGACCAATCATCCTCATTGCGGCACACCCCAGTGTCGTTCCGAAGTCACCAACACCATGAACACCTGCCTACTTGATGTCGTTGGAAGGCGCTCGTCCTCTCTATGCCTATTTTCTGCACTCTTCTCTTCCGAACACCCTTCTGATATGACCCCCCCCGCGCGCAATGGCGCCTGCAGACGCAATAGGCACGTTTTCCTCTTCTCGTTCTTTCCCTCTGAGATTTGGCTTCGCCCGCCGCTTCGAAGGGTCATCTTACTCATCCCATCCCCTCGCCCAACACCTCTTCCCTTCCGCCCTTCAATGCCTTTTCTTGGCCAATCTGAGCGCAATTCTTTTTTTTACACACGAAACATGCGCTGTGAAGCAAAAGATGTGTGTGGATGTGGTGAGCGTCGTGAGTGCGCATTCGATCATTGCGGACGTGTAGATTGAGTTCGATCATGGTGGTCTGTGCATGGACATCAGCGTCTGTCCTGCCACACGCGCACATGTTGCCGATGATCATCCCAATACGCACGCCGTGATCTGTCCTGAGCCCGCGCTCGTCCGTCTCGGTGCAAGGATGCTGGGCCTCAACGGTGCTGCGACGGTTACATCACACTAGCGAACGGGGTGACTAATGAATATTGCGGATGATGATCTTGAATGGATGAAGGGATGGTACAAGACAATGGTGTGATTGGTACAGGACAATGGTGTGTTTGCAGAGAAGCGGATGTCAGACTGAATGATCGTTGCGTATGACGACTTTGTGACACACCTAACGGCTATGATTATAGAATCTGTGGAATTTGGGGTTCGCAGTGAATGCTAGAACAAGTTGAGTGGTGCAAAGAGAATGGGAAGCATAGCTCCACTCGCCAAGACTGGAGCGAGGCCCTTTCGCAAAAGTGTACTTCAGCCAAATTCGAAGTCCAAGAAGGATCGGACGGGCTGCGAAAGAGGTCTCGATTCCGGAGCTCGAATTGCGCGTGGTAGCAAGAGGTCAGCGTCCTCCTTGCGGCTGCCAAGCACTGCGCGGATCTTGCCTCGTTGCTACGGCGTTGTTGAAGGGCAAGTGTCCCCCTGCGTGCGCATGCGCTACTCAGACTGCTCAGCGACACTCTCGTGCATGCATGCGGTACCGGTAGGTACACCTACACAATTCAATTCGTGATTCACGATTCAAAAGATTCGTGATTATCGTGTGGAGTCAAACTGAGTGTTGAGTTCCTTGCCGCACTCCTACGAGCAGGCAAAGAGCGGCCACGTGACCTTCAAGCCGGTGTGCCTGTCCGTCATCTCTCGTGTCTCGCGACCTCATGTGTTCGTGATTACGCTTGTGTGCTTCGATCGTACTTCGTCATTCGTGATTGTCATGCGACATCGATCGCTGGGAACCTCTGCGGTAGACGCTACTTGCCTCGTCACACCGACCCCGAATTCGCGAATCACATCAAGCCTGATCCGAGACTGAAGAGACATTATCGCAGACCGCTTCTTTCAAGCGCTTCTTCCAAGCGCTTCTTCCAAGCGCTTCGGGCCAGCTGCTTCTCACTCGAGTACCCTATAAAGAGACGCAAGAAAGAAGACGCAGCATCCAGGCATATCCGACATGCCGCGGCGCTCACTTCCGCTCGTCTTCAGCCACTGAAGCTGCGGCTAGGCAAGCAGAAGCACAGTTTACGCCTCGATGACACCTGAAGAGTAGAGACGTCCGCGGCGTAGCCTCGCACCGATGTCTACACGCATGGCATATCCTCCCAACGAGGAGCTGGCAGCGCAACCAGCCTTTCGACGTCGAGACCCTACGCCAGAGGCTGACGCGAATCGAAGTGCACCAACGTCGATCAGCGCACCTGTTTCCCGCAACCCTTCGTCGCTCAGCCTTTCGGCCCTCACTCTTAGCCTCTCGCGGCCCTCGGCACACGTCTTTCCTGCGCTGCCACAGCGCCTCGACCGCGACCGCGATCAGCTCCGGACTCAGAGTCACAGTGATGTGGAGTCAGAGAGCCAGAGCGAGACGGAGGGAGAGACAGACACGGATTGGGAAGCTGAGACTGAAGTGGAGGCTCATTCTGCAAGCGAGGCGGATTCTGATACTGCTGTGGAATTTTGTGCAGGGCCGCAGCATGCTCGCGATGGCATGCACGTGGTCGGAGAAGCTGGTCCATCCTCTTATCAAAGGATCAGGTCCGGTCAGCATAGCCCCGAGACGCCACGAGCCTCAGCCCAGAGCGCTCACTATTTTGGGTCGACTGACCTTGCAAGGAAGGGCTCGAGGAACCTTGGTGATGAAAGAAGAAATACCACGTCTGCATCTGGCAGGAGCCCTCGCACCTCCTCCAGACCTCCTTCTCCAGGTCGAGATGCACACCTTGGTCGGCATGACGAGTCTATCGTCACCGACGCTGCTCGAAGAAACACGTTGGTCAAAGCTCGCCTCGCAAAATCCTCTCCTTTGATCGCAGCGACCGAGCTGTCCCCTCTCAGCACGTCTAGATCATTTAATGAAGCTTCGACGTCGAGCAGGGCTGAAGGAGAGGCTGGAGCAGAAGCCTCGCCGCGTGGCTGGAATCGCCATCGTGCGAGATCATGGGCGAACGACCCAGGTTTGGCTTTCACACCCCGAACGCCGAGAGCTGGATCCCCTGTACAAATAGCCTTGACAAACAGCGAGGCTGGGCAAACTGGGGCGGATCTTGTCCGCGCCACTAGCGACAGGCGGAGGAGACGCGCAGGCTCGGGAAGCAGTAGCGTTGGTGCCATATCAGGCGCAACGACTAATGCTCCAACAAGCTCTTATTCATCATTGCAAACATCGGCGGCTCAGCCACGGAACTTTGCCGGGTCAGCGTCGGCGGCAGCACCTTCCTCAGCACCTACGCCTACCATTGCGCCTACAGGCGCAGCTACTGATGCGGATATCGCCTGGTTGGCTGCCTCCCTGGCGCAAGGCCTTCAGCACGCAGCCTCCTATCGGCATTCAGGTAATGTTGATGGATCCGAAAGCGCCAATGACAGAGTCTCATCGCCCTCAGGAAGCCCGCAAGCGCTTCGTGCTTTGCACGAGGTCACTGTTAGGACAGCGAATGGCAATGCGCGGAACGACTTGCGATCGTACTCGCTGCCGCAAAGCACGACGGCGATAGACGAGCCATGCGATTTGCCGCCTCCGTACACACCAAGTCGACCAGTCACTCCGCCTAGGTCAAGTCGCACTTCCACGCAGTCGCACAGCAGAAATGTATCTGCACCTATTGGGCTAGAACAGGGAGAAAGGGGAAGGGCTTGGCCGAGCACATCGCGCGGCGAGCGAATGAGCCCGCCCGGTGATGATGATGTGAGTGCGCCTCGTCAAAGCGGTCTTTCTGTTGGTCTAGCGCACGGCTGATAAGTATGCCACGGTGCGCTAGGGGCTCTCACCGCCATCGCCTCTTAGCCGGCCACTTCATCTCACCGAGGTTGGCGATGAAGGAGCTGCCGCGCCTTCGGCTTGGGTTATGCGACGATTGCTACACCCTCTGCGTCTGCTTGCTGCGGTGCCCGGCAGTCTCGGCACCTTCTGGCTCCTGCGAAATGCAATCTTGTGTCTGATTGTCAATGGGTGTCTAATGAGCCCGCGCAGCATTCAAGTGGAAGGGCCAAGACAGCCTAGTGCCGCAGAATTTTTGGTCTCCACTCTCTGGGTGCGTGTGTGTAAGGCTCGCCCAAGGCAAAGTCGGACGCTGACTCGGCCGCTCAATGCTTTTCACAGAGTATATCGACCGCCTACCATGCTCTGTCATTCACCACGCTGCTGTTGCGCCGCTGGCTGGCTTACTATGCATTGCCCAGCTCCGTCATTCGCCTGATGGCTTTACAGGCCATCTGCTGGCCTCTCGTTCGACTCACATTGTTCATCTTCGGTCCACGGAACCCTGTAGGTGCCTGGGTTGTGATTGGCACGACCACCGCCTTTTCGGACACTGTGGCGAGATGGGTGACCAGCAACATCGCAGACGCTCCGGAAGACTTTGCCGGCCCGTCACTGACCGGCAGCGCCTCTGGAACAAGCACACCGACTGCGAGTAGCAGGTCGAATCGAAGGGCACGTCGGGAGCCAAGCAGACGCTTCTGGAGAGCCATCATGGGCGCCCCCAGCAGCCGGAGCGTGCTCACTTCCGCCGATCTGAGCGGTGGGCTGGGCCAAAACGGTCCTTTGCCGACCTCTTTGAGCAGTCGCAGCGCTTTCACTGAGAGCGAATGGGAAAGCGACGCGGGCCTGCGCAGTGGAGGCGATGATACGATGGCAGAGACGGATTTGGACGATGATGCGGTGCTCTCTGCCGGTAGCGTCACCGACGATACATCTGCAGCTGGTCTCCGACGACGAAGGCCGAACCAGTCAGGAGGACCCGAGCGACTATTCAGGGGTATCTCGAGCGTGGGTCAGATACGTCGGCCGACCACTCAATCGGGACGAAGACATCGCAGCATCTCGTCGGGCGAACCGAGAAGAGTGTTTCATTGGGACGTCGCTATGCGTCGTAATGTCTTGCCCATCGCGCTTCTGGGATACGTCACCATGTGGACTTTGTTGGCGGATACAATGAAATCGTCCTAGGGCACCTGGCTTTTGTGAGCCTCGGTGCCCAGATAGATCTGCTCCAGTCTTGAACGAACTGCGTGCCTTTGCTAGCGGCTTTTGAAGGCGTGTGCGAGTATGTAGCGGACACTCGAATCGTCTTGAGGTTGATTCGCGATTTTGAAGCTCTTGTGTTCAAGCTCGAGCTGAAAGGGACCTCTACCGCCACGAAGCCACACATGCTGAACCAGCACTCAAGACTCGTGGACTCGGGAGCGAGCGCTTGAGCGCGCAGCAGCAGGAGGTTGCAATTGCGCCGTTGCCCCGCAGACTGAGATGGCCGCGGCGCAATTGAGTATCCGAATCAAGAATCATATATATATATGCAGCAGCTGTTTACCATCACATGTCTATACCGGTATAGGTATTGTAGCATGCAGCAGCAACGAGCATGCAGATGCACCGCGGCAGGGATGAGCGACGCGCTGCTTGCTGCTGTCGAAGTGCAGGTTCTTGGCACGCGAGATGACCTGAAATGGCGCTTATCGATCGCAGTTCCCTCATTTGTGACTTTGATTCACATTGTGATGCGCCTTTCTGATCCAGATGCTCATCCCTCTCTCGTCCTTTTGATTTGGCAGCAACGGATTCGCAACGACATACTATCCGGTCTGCAAAAGCAGTCATGGAGTCATGACCTTCAAATCGTGAATCCGAAACTCAAGTCTCGAAGTAGTGACTCAGTCTGGCTCGCCAGCAGCAGCCCTTGCGTGGGCACATCAGCACACCTCAGTCGTCCTAGCTTGCACGTTAATCACAATTGACGCCCACAGCTGTAGCCGCTCGCTAATAGCGTCTCTGCGGTCATCATGTCTCAGCGAAACTCGCTCGAAGTGCCTGGTCAGCAGCACGGACACGCCATTGCTGCTCAGCACCAGAGTGGCTCCTCATCGCCGCTTTTCGGCACCAGTCCGACGCAGAGCTCAGGGCATTTGCACAACCATCATCACCAACCTCGGCATCACACCGCATCTCCCGTCCACTCCATCCTACGATGTCCTCGAGGTTCAGGTCCGCATCCCTCCTCTCGAGCACCTTCTCCCACGCGCGCTATCATGATTGAAGGTGGTGGTACCAGCAGCGCTGCGAACAGCAGCTCTTCCAGTTCTCCTACACCCACACCTAGCAATGCCACCTTTTCGGGCGCATCATCTCCAAACGATAGCAAATCTTTTTCCCCAAATCGTTCACCTCGCACGTCGGATGGTCCTCTGCCAAACATTAGCCCAAGCACCTCGCCCGCCCCGCACGCAGAGCAGTCCGTCTCCTTTGTGCCATCGCAGATAGCCGGCTCTAGTGGGGTCACATCGACCGCTCCTTCTGTATCTTCTCCGCTCGCACCCCACACTTCTTCCAACGTCTCGACAGCATCCTCACCGAGCGCCGTCAAGACTTCTCATAGGCCTTCCAGCAGCAGCGGTGGTAGCGGAGGTGCGATCAGCTTCGAAGCTAGAGGACGTTCGGCTGCGACAACGGGGATCAAGCTGCCCCCCAGAGCTCAGAGCGCCTCGCTGGGTGGCCTGAGCGAAAAGGGCGGAGCTTGGGAACGTAAGGTTGGGTTTGATTGCACGGAAGAGAACATCACTGGAGAATTCAGCTTCACGTTACAGGTAGGTAGACTTTTGAGACGCGCGCCTTCATCTGGGAAGCTACCATCGCGAGACGCCGCTTTCAGGGTGTGGACCTTGACATACTGGGCGGCTGATTTTGGCGATGGTCTGACCTCCCTTGCGTTGCACAGGTCAAGTCCAGAGGGTACAAGCGGACAAAGAACACGCGGACATTCATGTGCGCCATAGATGAGAATGCATACAGGTGAGCCGCCCCAAGCACTCTGAAAGCATCCGCGTATCGCTTCGTCTGTAGCTGATTTGACTCTCGTGTGCGGACATAGTGAGCGTGCGCTCGAATGGCTCATGGAGTCCTTGGTAGAGGATGGAGATGAGATAGTCGCCCTCAGGGTGTTGGAAGGGGAGCCATGGGGTGCGTATTGCATTTGAAGCAGGCACTTGGTCCTGGGCTAACACGATCACATACGTACCGCATCGCTTAGACATCGACCAAGATGAAGCCAGAGAAGAAGCTCGCGATCTCATCGACTCCATCGTAGACCTCAACGATGACGTTGAAGAGCGCAAGGTGAGGGCAGCGCATCGTCATGGAGACCTGCAGGCCGTGCGCCTTCTCAACCCCCGACTTCTCAATGCTTTTCCCAGATATCCATCGTGGTCGAGTTCGTCGCTGGCATGAGCGTCACCTCGACAGTTGTGCGCATGATACATGTGTATCGACCAGACAGCTTGACAATTGGCACGCGAGGCAAGACGATGAACACGCTGCAAAAGATGCTGGCAGGAGCGACAATGGGCAGCGCTTCAAGGTGCGTTCGTAGCGTTCACGAAATGCAGGGGTTCCTCGATGACATATGCCGCGGCACAAAAGACTAAATTTTTCCCTTGATTTGTTGTACTCAAGAGAGTTGCTTTCGAGATCGCCTGTGCCTGTTGTCGTCGTCAGGCCAGAGGCAAAGGTCACCAAACATCGCAAGAAACGAGAAGCAGACCCGAAGAGGCGGTCTTACCATGATCTAGGTGAGAGTCGTCTACGAGCAGTGCTGGAGCCTGTCGAAAGTCACTGGCGATTCTGACATGATCGACTTTGCAGTGGCCAAAGCAAAAGCAGAGTCCTTGCCATTAAGCAGAGATGGCTCGAGGGATCATCACATTTTGGGCCATCGTCACTTCTCCAAGGGAGACTCGGGCGAGAGCGGCGCCAAGCCGAAATGAAGCGCCATATGTATGATACAAGTATCGACATGTGATGATTGTTGCTTGCCGTCATGAGTGATATACATGCATTGCATGGTCGAGAGGAGCTTCCTCACGTCGAAGCTAGTCGAGGTCAACAAAGACGCCGTTTTGTGCGTCAGTGCTGCGCCGCTTGCGAGCTGTCGAAGCACCCTTTAGCGGCTTGACGACTTGTTTGTTAGCAGCGCTCATAGCTAGCCGGATCATTTCCCTGTCTTCTGGGCGCTCGGCATTAGCGCTGCTGATCAAGCTCCTCGCAGTAGCAAAGGCCCAAGCTGGACAGACGGGGCGGTGTCGGCTACCATAGCGGCCCCTCCTACCAAGAGTGTCGTACCTGGAAGGATCGATTTGGCTTTGTGTGATCTGCAGGCTATGATTGCTCGGATCCAATAGTCGTTGGGCAAGCTGCACCTGCGTCACGAGGACGAGTCGGAGGCAATGCTCTAGCATCCGAAGCGGAGAGCTGTCGTGTCCTAGGAAGCTGTAGGGCACGGTGAACCCCAGCGTTTCCCCTTCCGTCTGAGAATCTTTCGCCGAAAAGAAGATGCGATAAATCTCCTTGAGAGCTGGAAGACCCGCCTCTTTCTCCGCGATTTTGAGAATGGTACGTTGAAGCTCAAAGCTCGTAGCCCTATTGCAAATGCGATGGGTACGTAAAGCGATGATGGCCGCTGGGGTGTCCTTGGCGATCAGACACGACCGCACGATGCTTTCCAAGTTTTGCGTCGTCACCCAAGCCGACGCCTTCGAAGGAGCTCCTCGAGTCTGGCGATGATGCGCTAGAAGCATATATGCCAACAAATTGCGTGGTGATTGCATGATATCAACAATCAGCTTTGCAGACTCCGCCAAGGCTTGATCTTGTAGCACCTCTTTGCTCAGTGCTACGTCTCCACCTCTAGGAAAGATGTTGTGGTCTTGCAGTCGACACAGCGGGCCAAACCATTCCGCCAAGATGGGTCCGTCCGAAGTCTTCTCCCTGTGCGTAGCGGTGTCCACTGCGATTTGTGATACCAGCATACCCAGTCTTTCCGAACGAGGGTACGCGATGGCCATGAACTGTATGAGGAAGCGTGCGGTGCGAGGAGAGAATCGCACGCCGTCCAGCCTGGCGTGTTGCAGGACTTGCTTCACCGCTTCGACTCGTGCTCGCTTCAATGGTGCGGCGACTTTGATCCAATTGTAGTCCACTTCCGACGCATCGTAGTTTCCCCGTCGAGTCATGCGGCCACAACAAGCCTTGGCAAAGACTTCGTAAGGCAGAGCTTGTTTGCGGATTGTGACCGGGGCTTCTCCAGCGATGCCTTTCCGAGCCTGTATCTCGCCTCTTGAGCATTGGTCAATTTGCAGATTTGCCTGTTGTAGAAAGACGCGGTAGCGATGGAGCCAGATGGAAGCTCCTCGAAAGTCTCCAACCGATGTTCGTCCGTCAATGAGTGCTGCCCATATGTCCCCTTGGTGAGCCCAGGCAAAATTCGGTACTGACGAAGGCTCGGTGAATTTCCTGTATCGTGTCTGCACAAGAGGCAATGTCAAAGGCGCGAGGTCGGCGGTGTTTCGCTTCGGCTCTTCGAAAGGAAGCGTGCTCGATGGTCGCGCCGCAGCCCACCAAAGCAAGAATTCTTCGCCTCTCTCGAAATGAGCTGACCTTGTCAGCGCCTCTAGCAAAGGTAGAACTATCTGCACAGGTATGGCGAGTGGATTGAGGTCTGCGCTTGCTTCGAACTCGAAATTCGGTGCACATACGTCGTAAGTCGTTGCGCCAGCTCCAGCAACGTGATTGAAAGTTGCGTTGACGAGCTCTGCACGATTCTTTGGTCGATTCCGATACGCTCGAAGAACCGCCATCACCATGCGCGATGTCGTAGGTAGCCCGACGCTGATGGCCGCGTGGAACAGCCATCGGATAGCGACCAGCGTCTGTGTGTGGGGCTCTATGCTAATGCCTCGTGTCGAGCCGGGAGGCATCCATAGCGTTTTGCTCACCACGCGACGACCCGCTGAGACAGGTCCCGGAGCTTTACGAGCTGACTCGGAGTGCCTGACCTCATGCAACATGTTGATGAGAAGTGCCTCCACCTCCTGCGCCTCTAATGTCATCTTTGAGACCTCCGCAAACTTCAGCGAGTGGCGGTGTTGAAACAGTGAGTGGAGCAAAAGCATCCTCGCCGTGTCGGGATGCCCTTCCCAAATCAGCTTCGAGAGTATTTGCCATAGCGTGGATGGTCCACTAGATTTCGACCACAAACGTTCGAGTGCCGTTGTGTGGCGTGCAGTGCGATTCTCGAATTCCGTGCCCTCGGCAGCATCGGTCTGCTGTGCAGAGGTCTTGGGCTGTGCTGCGCCAGGGAGAGCATTTGTCGAGCCTTCGCGCTGCTCTTGTGCTACACCTTGCGTGTTGAGAGCAGATTCTGCCTCGAGTCTCTCGCGGCTTGGCGGAGAAAGAAGTGCTAAAGGCGCCCTCGGGCCCTTTCTGACACTCGGCCCGGGCGGTCTTGTCGGCAAAGCTTCTGCGGCAGACAGTCCATCATCGTTGGCACCCTTGACCTGCGAGAGAAGATAAGCGTAGAGGGTATGCTTCTTTGCTGACGGTCTTGGAGGCTTCTTAGAATGCGTTTCTCGGACCAGTAGCGGCGCACGCACGTGCTTGGCTACCGGTCTTGTGGACGTGCAACGCACCGATTGCACAGCATCGGCGAAGGCTGCGTGAGTATGCCAGGCCTGTCGCACGGATGTCATGCTCCAGGCAACGTTAGCCGGGACGCGGTCATGGTGATCCTTCGTTTGACGAGCACTTGCGGTTGAACCGATGTTCGTCGTGGTTGTGCTGCCCTGCATGCAAACGTCTGCCTAGCTGCAGCCAATTCCTGTGGAGTGACGGCGTCGCAGATTGAATGGAATCTCATCAAATCAATCTTTGAATAATCAATGCAGGACGCAAAATCATTATTATTGTGACAGCTCTGTATCGGCCGGGACGAGAGACAATCAAAATTCTTGATTTTGAACATATCACGTGTTGAAATCGCGGTGAATCGAACACCCTTAATTTGGGCCATCCGCGCCCGGTAGCGTGATGTGGGCCTTGGCTGTACGAGCCACAATCTTTAATCTGTATCGGATAATCTAATCAAGAATTCTGAATGGCACGGATGTCTAGGTCTTAAATTTGATATGTGAACATTTGAATGATGTACGGGATAGCTGATATAGTCTTGAGTCTGAGTGTACACGGGCGATTTGAGACGCATATAGGCCAGCCGCGTTCGCGATGAGGCGCGTCTGAGGCGCGTGTTTTTATAGCGGCTGTCTCAGCTGACTCCTAGACGCATCAGCGCGGCAAGCCTTGATCGAGCTTCGAGTCCCGACGAGTCAGAGTCGTGAGTGCCTAGAATCAAAAATATACACCCGTGAGCTTGAACGAGGCGGCGAACGCCATGCCCGCGCGTATCACAATGATGCTGCATGGATGTGCTTAGGCGGTTCACATACTGTTGTATGTGTGTACAGCGGTCGCGTTCACGTCTGCGACCAGTCACTCCGACTGGGCAGCATCGGCGGGGGTCACAGCTCATCAAAAGGATGTGACAGCTACTCTGTGACTGTATATAGCAGTCGTGAGCATCAAGCACAGGACAGCGCTAATGAGCGCCGGTGACTTGCCATGAGCGCGTCAAGCATTAACAGTTCAGACTTTGACTCGATTACGAAAAGTCGACACAAAAGACTTATTTCACAATTGCAAATAAGGGGAGAGCGCGACGCGGACCGGCCTTGGCCCCTGAACGCGTCTCAGCGCAGCTATCGCACTGCACTTCACGCGCATGATGCATGCTGCTGCAGGCGACCAATAGACGTGACGGGCAAGACTCGAGAGTCGTCTGGTGCCTCGAACAAAGTGCAGCAGGGTGCTTCGCTTGTTTGTCGTGCCCGTACAGACCCGCGTATGATGATGACGGACAACTGCGATGCTTGTGTCGACTTGGTGGTCATCACCTTGATTCAAGTGGATGCACTCTCGACTCCTCTTTATTACTACACTACCGTCAATCCTTCAGCGCCGATTTGAAGACAACAGAACTCGCGGAAGCTTCGACGTGTCCTGTCAGCGCGCCGGACGTCGGCGTAGACGTGATCGAGAGGAGTGTATCTATATAGGCGCACTCGCTCTCCCAGACCTCTTCCTAGGCCCTTTGGACAATTCTATTGTCCTCGTTTCCTTTGGAGCGCCGAGGCGAGAAGGAAGCAGGTCTGCTCTGAGGTTCGCGCACTCTTAATCTCAAGGCCCACCATGGAGCCGGCTAAGAACACCCCTCCTCCATCGGCTTCGGCGGGCGCTCGCAACCCATTCGCGTATCAACAGAAGCTGTTGGAGAGATCTGCTTCACGGAGCAGCAATTTTTCGCTAGCAGGTGGTGGTGATGCTGGCAACGCACCGTCTGGGGCTACCGGCTCGGCTGGCTCCACTCCTAGCCGCACACCTGGCGCCTCGGGACTCTCACATTCGAGTTCCATCAGAAGGTATCCTGCACCCCACAGACACACTGGCTCTCTCGATCCACACAGAACCGCCCATTTACTCAGTAGCGGTCATGCTACATCCTCTGCCTCAGTCTCGCCCTCGCACGACTCGGCGACGTTTGGCTCAAATGGTAGTCTGAGTGGAAATGGCTCGACATCGTCCACGGCTCAGTCTCCATCACCGGCAAGCTCGTCGACCTTCTCTACACCATCCTCAAGCCGCGCCAATCGACATATGTCCATGCCTCCTGCTCCGCGTGAAGACATAAGCACTCCCACATTTGCGTCTAGACGGCCGCTTTCACCAACCAAAAGCAGCCCATTCGCTCGTGCGGTGAGCCCTACGAAGGACCGCCCCGTCTCTCCCACCAAGGGCTACCCTTCCCCTGGCTCGCCGGGCAAAGCAGATTCCTCATGGATCAACAACAACAGCAGCCCTTCCACGCCATCAGGCTCGTTTTGGTCCCACGGAACAGGGACCAGCACCACACCCTCTTCCCACGCGCCATCCGCCATTCATCTAGGTGGCGTCAGTGATCTCAAGCGAAGCAGTGTGGGGGCTTTGCAGATGATGCGAGGTTTCACGTCCAAGGCCGATGGGTCTAGTGCTGCATCTCTTGACCCGGCGCATACCCGAATGACAGTTGGGCGTAAAGGCGTCTCAGGAACCAAACCAGGCGCTGGTCTTGGTCTAGTCGACGAGAATGCAGGCGCCAAAGAGGAGACGTTTACGAAACCTGAGCGGCCAGGTCGAATGGAAAGCGAGGACCAAGGAGAGGGTGAGATCATCCTGCCAGGTATCACGACCGGAGCTGAGGATGTTGCAGGTCTATCCGGAAGAATCCGTCTCGCCAGGGCAGGAGGTGCTGGTACTGCCGCGCTCGGTCGACCTGCACCAACGGGCAATCTTCCTTTTGCCAACGCTGGAAAGTGGATGGATACGCAGCGACACCTTCTGCAAGCCTATGAGTACCTGTGTCACTGCGGAGAAGCTAAGCAGTGGCTAGAACACGCAGTCGGGGAAGAGCTAGGCGACATCGTAGACATGGAGAATGATATGCGCGACGGCATCTTCCTGGCCAAGCTGGCCCGGACTTTCGAACCTGATTGCGTGCCACGTATCTTCACGCATCCAAAGCTGCAGTATCGTCATACCGACAACACCAACTACTTCTTCCGCTTTTGCCAGAAAGTGGAACTGCCCATCAGTTTCCAATTCGAGCTGACGGACTTGTATGAGAAGAAGAATTTCCCCAAGGTCGTGTATTGCATCCATGCGCTTTCGTGAGTCGAAGCTAGGTTCGAAATTATACCCGGGCCGCTGTGACTGAAACGCTCCGACTTACTACTCTGGCGACAGTCACATCTTGGCGCGTCAGGGTCGAGCACTGAAGGTGGGCAATTTGGTCGGCAACCTTCAATTCACAGACGATCAGCTGCAACAAACGCAAAGAGGCCTCGATGCCGCAGGAGTGAGCATGCCCAAGTTCGGGGCGCTAGGAAAGACGTTGGCCAAAGAAATGAACATCGAGCCGGAACCGGAGCCAGAGACGGAGGAAGAACGTGAGTTCGAATAAGCTGTTCCAGAAAACGGCGATCAGCGTCTCAATGTGGCCCCTTACTTTTGCAGGTATCGATCGGGAACTCGCCGAGAATCTGTCATCCGTCGTTGCGACTCAAAGCGCGGTGCGCAGTTTCTTAGCTCGGAAGCGATTCGACCGCCTCAGGGCGGAAGAGGGGGAGCGAAGGAGAAGAGAAGAAGAGCGTAGAAGGAAAGCCGAAGAGGCACGAAGGCTCGCTGAGGAGGCGCGGATAGCTGAGGAACGTCGCGTAGAAGACGAGCGTCGCAAAGCTGAAGCAGCTCGTCTGGCCGAAGAGCGTCGGATAGCGGAAGAGCGCAGAATAGCCGAGGAGGAGCGGGTGGCGGAACAGAAACGCATCGCCGAAGAGAAACGCAGAGCTGAAGAGCAGCAAATGCTCGCTGTTTGGGCTCCGAAAGTCCAAGCTCATGTGAGTGCAATGCTCCACAGGGAAACACTTTGCTCATGCTGATCTGTGCTCGCGGAATGCACCTGCAGATCAGAGGCACCATGCTCCGAAGACGTTTTTACAGCGACGTTTCTGCTCTGGACCAGCATGAGCGGAGCGTGGTTGGTCTGCAAGCGCAAGTCCGTGGCGTGTTAGCACGCCAGGCCTACCAGGACCAAATCTTCCGCCTAGGCGATGCCACCGAAGAGGTCATCAAGCTGCAAGCGGTCTGTAGAGCTGCACTTGCTCGAAGAGCGTTACTGGGCAAGATTCGTTCGCTGCGAGACGCTACTGGCGATATCGTCCGCATACAGGCGCAGGTGCGCGGTGTCATCCTCAGACGGCAGCGTAAACAGATGAAAGCCGCTCTGCAAAAGGTGGAGGTACACCGCTCAGTCGGTGGCTTGCAATCCTTTGCTCGTGCAGCTCTTGCGCGAAGGAAGCATCAGGAGCAAGCCAAAGAGCTTGTCTTTGTTACACCAGATGTCGTGGGCATTCAAGCTCAGATTCGGGGCATGCTCGCCAGGCTTGACTACCAGTGGTGGCGAAGTCACATTCTCTCAAGCGAGCCGGTTGCCGTGCATCTGCAGTCTCTAGTGCGAGGACTCCTGATGCGCCGCAGCTTCAACGCCAAATTGCGGCACTACCACAATCATCTCGAAAAGGTCGTCAAGATTCAGAGTCTGTTTAGAGGCAAGCAACAAGGCGAGCAGTACCGCAGTCTCACCATGGGGAAGAACGTGCCAGTGGCGACGATCAAGAACTTTGGCCACCTCTTGAATGACTCAGACCAAGACTTTGAAGACGAGATTGAGGTCGAGCGCCTACGGAAACAGGTCGTGCGAAACATCCGGGAGAATCGCACGCTCGAGAATGACGTCAGCGACCTCGACACAAAGATTGCGCTACTTGTCAAGAACAAGATCGGTATCGAGGAGCTCATCAAAGCGAAGAATGAGCGCGGACTGCTCGGTCAGCGCGAGGCAGCTGCTACTCTGGCCCGACGCAATTCCGTCCTCGTCGCGGCGAACGATCCTTTTGCTGACCAGACCCTCAACAAGGAGGCAAGGCGGAAGCTCGAGCTGTACCAGGAATTGTTCTATTCCCTTCAGACGCGGCCGGAGTATCTTGCTCGGCTGTGCGCCCGCGTTGGCAAGATGGAGATACCTGATCGACAACGCAAGCAGGTAGAGAAGATTGTACTTACCCTCTTCGGCTACGCCCAGAAAGCCAGAGAAGAGTATCTTTTGCTCAAGTTGTTCCAGCGCTGTGTGAGCGAGGAGTTGTCCCTGGTCAACAGTGTTCAGGAGTTCATGCGTGGCAACGCACAATTCATCAAGCTCGTCGTCCAGTACAACCGAGGTGCAAAGGAGAGGCAATACTTGCGAGCTCTGCTTGCGCCCCTTGTGCAAGGCATAGTTGAGGATGACGTTCTAGATCTGGAGACAGATCCTTGCGCCATCTACCGCGCTTGCATCAACGCAGAGGAAATGCGAAGCGGCCAAGCGAGTCGTAGGCCCCTCGAGGTCAACTTTCACGAGGCGTTGGCTGATCCAGAGGCACGGACAGCTTTCATCCAGCATCTGCAGTTCTTGCGTGGCACTACTGAGGCCTTCCTGGCTGCCATCGTCGGATCGACGAAGCGCATGCCTTTCGGCATTCGCTACATTGCGCGCGAGGTGTTCAGGGGCCTCCAGGCCAAGTTCCCCAACGAGGCCGAAGACGCGCTCATCAAAGTCGTTGGCCATCTTGTCTACTACCGCTATCTGAACCCTGCCATCGTGGCTCCCGAGGGTTTCGACGTCATCGAGACGCTCGTCGGCCCCGTGCAGCGCAAAAATCTAGCGGAAGTTTCGAAGATGCTCACCCAGATCGCCGCCGGCAGGCTCTTCTCGGATGACAACCCTTACTTGCAGCCCTTGAATGAGTATGTCACCCAAGCGTCCAATCGCTTCGTCAAGTGGCTGTACCAGGTCGTCGATGTTGCCGATGCAGAGCTGCAATTTTCAGCCGACGAATTCCTGGACCACACAATCCCGCAAAAACCAGTGATCTACATCTCACCCAACGAAATCTACTCCATGCACCTCCTGGTCTCGCAGCAAGTCGATCACCTTGCGCCTCACCCCAACGATCCTCTGCGCGCGGTGCTGGGGGAGCTAGGTCCACCGCCGATGTCCACGTCGGCTGAGCTCAACACTGCTCGTGATGGAGAGATTACCTTCGAGCTTACCTCCCGCAGCACCAATATCACGGACCCAGAAGCTGAGACGAAGGCACTCTTCGTCGAGACCAAGCGCCTCGTCCTTTCGCTGCTGAAAGTGCAGTCCGGAAAGACTCTTGTCGACGTCTTCGTCGCTCCCGTCACTGATGCCGATGAGATGGCATGGGAGGAATTAGTGTCACTCGAAGTCGCAGGTGATCGTCAGCGTTACCGCGGTCAGCGGCCGCCCGCCTCGATGGACGCTCTTCGCAGCCCACGCTTGGAGGACGTACGTCGGCTGTCCTTTGCCGAATTGAAGGCGCGCACATTGGAGAACATGCTGCAGCTCGAACGTGCTGGCAAAGTTTCTAGATCGAATGGTTACCAAGAGATGCTCTCTGCCTTGGCCATCGACATTCGCAACAAGCACAGAAAGCGCATTCAACGGCACAATGAGATCACCGCAATGCACGTGACGCTTCAGAATTTGGCGGAAAAGAAGAACTACTTGGAAGAGCAGATCGGCTCGTATGGGTCCTACATCGATGCAAGCATGCAGCAGATGCAAAAGAAGGGGTAAGTGCCCGTGAAGTAGCTCGCTCGTTACGTCTCCACCACACCTGCACTCACACGCTTTGCTGGCTTCGTCACTTTGCAGCAAAAAGAAATTCGTTCTACCCTTCACGCAGCAGTACTTCCACATGCGAAGTCTCAAAGCTAGCGGCAAGGTACCCAAGTTCGGCTCGTACAAGTATACTGCTCAGCGATTATTTGAGAAGGGCGTCCTCCTCTCTGTGGATCAATTCAGCTCGAAACAGTATGATCAGATCAACCTGACCATCAGCTCGGATGAGCCGGGTCTGTTCACCGTAAGCGCTTCAGTCCTTGGCGTCGCTGGCGGCACGGAGGACCTGCGCATCGAAGATTTACTACAGGCGCAATTTTCTGGCGTCTCTGTCCTCACCCTGATGGACGGAATGGCAAAAGTGAAGTTGCCTTTGCTGATCAACCTGATCAACTCAAAGGTGAGTTTCGGTGAGCGTGCTGCTCGGCTTCGAACTACAAGCTGACCAAGAGCGACTCGACGCCATGAACCAGTTTTACGCCTAATCAGGCGGTGTTTCGGTGCCACAAGCGAGATGAAGCCTAACGTCCCAATGACGATGCCACACCGCGATCATGCATGACCCAACAATGTCTTCTGTTCTCCTCGAGTTCTGCTTCTTCCTCTGCCTCGGAACTCTTCGACTTTTCGAATAAGATTCTCCATTCGATGCGGACTTTTGCTTCCATGGACGTTTGCGATCCGGACACGTACTGCGCTCTCAGATCCTGCTTTTCAGTCCAATGTAACTCCCAAGTCGTGGCTTTCGCGCGCCAAGAATCGATGCTGATTAGACTTCTGCCTCGCCTGAGTCCGCATTGTCTGCTGTTCTGTCGACCGTGAGCTGCTTCGACGAGCACCTCATTTTCAACGACCTGGACAAAGGTACATATCGCGCAAAGTAATGAAATGCAGACGTCCGGATTCCAACCGCTGTGAGGATGTAGAAATGTACGATACAGAGTCTATTGGGCATACACGAGATGTTGGATGGAGAAGAGAGACATGTTTAAGCGTTTTAAAGTGCGTGAAGATCGCAATGAACAACATCGACTAAGCTTTCGCTCGTTCATACAGGTCGCTTCGAGGAGGATGCGCCATACTAGAGCGCGCACAGGCAGCGTTCGAATCCGCAGCGCCCAAAGCAAAAGTCCTGTTCCACCAGCTTCTTTTGTTCTCCTTCTTTGGCTTGCTGACAGGGGCTCTTCGAGAGACATCGGTGGGATCCATACCTGCCGCGCGACCTTGGCGAAGGGCAGGCGTCGAGGTGCGAAAAGTCAGCAAGACACTTCCACAGGTACGCATGTTGACAGTGGACGTAGTGAAAACTCACTGGCCCTTTCAAATTCGCTATCCGCTTCCCAACGAGCGATAGCATTGCGCACCACAGCATCGTACCTAGCGCTCCTTGCAGAGTCCATCAACGCTTCTCTGACCTCTTCGGCTTCTGCATCAGACGACCGAACGACGTGCTGCGCTTTCCCGTGTTGCACCTTAGACTTGCTGAAGTTCGGTAGGGGCGTTTCACTCTGCGCTGCTGACGCGTAAGAAGGCAATCGCTCTCGATCAGGTGCAGAGGGAGGACTCGCCCCGCCAGCAGCCTCCTCGCCAAAGTCGATCCAGCAAAGCGCCTCTTCTTCCAAAGCTATATAAGCTCTGGCGGCCCTATCATCGCAAGGCGTTTCTCCACTCATCCCACCGTTCGCGGCGCTTGCAAATGGCGCGGTGCTGCTCTGAGAGCGCAAGATGCTAGATCTGAAACGTCCCTCGGCTGCTCTACGAGCATTGCGAGTCTTGACCTCGGCAGAAAGCCTGGGTGGACCGGAGAGGGCCGATGCCAGGTCGGAGGCCGAGGAAGAGGCGCGAGCTAGCGCTTGCTCTACTGCCGCGTTCGGAAGAAGTAGAAAACTGCGCGTGTGCAAGAGAGAAGGGTTGGATTTTATTGAAGCGGGAAGCTCGTTTAGAAGGATCAAGGCGTTCATCTGCATCGAAAAGGAAGCATCGAATCAGCGACTTGTAATTCTCAAGAGTGAGGCACAGAAGAGGGCTCCCGAAGCGGATCGAGATGCTTACGGAAATGTTGAAGCGTAGACTGATAGAAGCCAAAGAGTCATTGACACGAATCCAGTACTGCCGCGTGCTCGCGTCTTTGCCACTCTCTTCATCTAAGCTCGAGCGGATCGGGGTTCTGGTGTCTGTTGTGGTCTGCTTTTGCGCGAGTGTGGTCTCGAAAACGGTGCCAAGGTCAGGGGAACTTTGCGCGTCTCGACGTGTCGCAGCTGCACCGGGTACAGTGCTGGCTGAGCCGCTAGCTTTGGTGGTGTTGATGCCCAAGGATGGCTGAGCATTGCGAGTCGGGCGAAAGATGAGATCTGGCAGGAATCCGGCACACGCGTCAGCACGATTCGAGTGCTTGCTTGCTGCGGTGTTGGCAGGTCGCGCGAAATCTTCACCGTCATCTTCTTCTCCAATGGCAAACACGCTTGGCGCTTTGGATGCGTACTGTGGCGGGTCAGAGAGAGTGTGTGTCTCTGCTACACTCTCATCATCGTCGATCTCTTGAGACGACACGGTGATTGCGCCTTCATCTTCATCCCCAGCATCTCTCAAAGCTCTGTCCAGGTCGAACAGCGTCTGACCGGATCTGAGCACATCTCCCCTCGGTCCCTTTTTAAATGCTGTATTGACATCCTCGCACAAAGGACAGAAGGTGACCAGTCGAGCGTTGCTATGAACGCACTGAGAGCACACTTTGCGACCGCAGCACGAGTGCACGAATGGAGCCGATCTGAGAGTCGCCGTGTTGGCCGAAGGAGATGCTTGGGCTGCGTCTGAAGAGACAGGGGAGATGTAGATGATCTTGCTGCATGTCATGCAGACCGGTTGGCCACCGCTCATCTTGCCTGACAGTGCTGTGGTGTGCTCACCGACCGACGCGTTGCTCAAGAGTTGTGCTGGAATCGGAGCTGTTCAGTGGATGTGCCATAGGGCAAGGGAATCAGCGGCCTGCGAGTCCCTTGTTGGAGTTGGGCGACCTGGGATGGGGGAAGGATGTGTCCACTTGTGATGAGTAGGCGCGATTGAATGCGTGGCTGTGTGCCTCCGCTATACCGGCACTCGTAACTCGTCGGTGCGATGCAGACGGCGCAAATCACCCGAGACTATCATCACTGTGTATATGCCGTAATCAAATCCTTAAATCGCAGCTCGCAGCATAGCCACCTGCTGTGCGATAGGTGGCGCCGTCGCGGAGTCACGTGATACGGATGGCGGGCTCACAAAGTTGCGCCAGAACGCGAGAACGCGCGAACGCGCGCCGACGCGCCAATCGTGAATCATTTTGATTATCCTGCTGAACGCTGCTTGATTGCTTGCAGCAGAAGCAGGCTCTTCTTGAATTGCCGCTCTTTGCTCGGGCGGCGCCGTCTGGGAGGTAATCACAGGAAGGCGCGCAGGTACCTCTCGCGCAGATGGTCCGCACATCAATGCTGTTCTGCCACCGTCACCACCCTCATCTCCCTCTGCGCTGCCCCTAGACGCGTACTGCGAGAACATCCAAAGGATCGCTCGCTTGCCGCACCACAGATTGCTGACTTCTTGTCGCTCACCCAAGCTGCTTCACGACATCATGTCGAAGGGAGCTTCGAGCGGCAGTGCAGATGCTAAGCCTGCTTCTGCCGTTCCCGCTTCCCTTCAGGCTTCCTCGGCCAGTGACGATGCGGACAAGCTGAGCGACTACGTTCCACAATCCGCCGATCTTTCGCGCGCTGCATCAGCCAGTGCATCCCACTCCAAGGCCGCTTCCGAAGAGGTCGAGGAGGATGAGGATGTGGAGATGCGAGACGCTCAAGATGATGAGGATAATGAAGATGATGAGGCTGATGCGCCTTCTTCGGCTCGAGGTCCAAAGACTCCCAGACAACTGGAAAAGGAGAGGGAAAAGCACGAGAGGAGCGAAGCGAGGGCTGAGAAGGCAAAGGCTAAAGCTGGGCAGAATTCCGCTCTCAGCTCGACTCGAGAGGAGATGAAGAAATCGAAGTTGGCAGATAGCATGAAGAGGTTCTCTTACCTGCTCGGTCAGACCGAATTGTTTCAACATTTCATCGACATCAAGAAGGAGAGAGATCCAGAGTTCAGAGCTTTGCTGGAGGAGAGTCAAGCAAAGAGGGGCGCCAAAGCCAAGAAGACTGATGGCGGAAGTGGCGGTGCGAGGCGCAGAAAGACGGAGAAGGAAGAGGACGCGGAATTGCTTGGTGAAGATGACGACGAAGGGGAGGATACCTTCGTCTTTGAAGAGTCTCCCACGTACGTCAAGGGCGGAACAATGCGCGATTATCAAGTACAAGGTCTCAATTGGATGATGTGAGTCGATCGCCTTTGCGTGCTTCGTCCGCCCCCGACCTCCCGATTCGAGCTCACGCAAATTCTTCGTTTCATCCATCGCACAGTTCGCTGTATCAAAATGGTATCAACGGCATCCTCGCCGATGAGATGGGCCTCGGCAAGACCCTGCAGACCATCTCGTTCCTTGGCTTCTTGAAGCACCATCGCGACACCCCGGGTTTCCACTTGGTCGTCGTTCCAAAGAGCACGCTGGACAACTGGAGAAGAGAATTCGAAAAGTGGGTGCCAGGCTTCAGGGTCGTTGTTCTGCAAGGACCCCAAGAAGAACGAGTGAGTCGTAGCGTCTTGCGTCTTGCGGCCTGCGTTTTGCCTGGCTCCTGCGCTCACACCTTCTCGCCAAATACCAGAACGCCATGATACAACAATACTTGCTGCCTCAAGAGTTCGACATCTTGCTAACCACCTACGAAATGTGTCTGCGCGAGAAGTCGGCCCTCAAGAAGCTGTCGTGGGAGTACATCATCATCGACGAAGCTCACAGAATCAAGAACGCTGATTCGCTGCTGAGTCAGATCGTCCGAGCTTTCAATAGTCGATCTCGTCTCTTGATCACGGGAACGCCACTGCAGAACAACTTGATGGAGCTCTGGTCTCTACTCAATTTCCTGCTGCCTGACGTATTCTCCAACTCCGAGGACTTCGAATCTTGGTTCAAGGACAAGGGAGATGAAGCTCAAGATCAGGTCGTGCAGCAGCTGCACAAGGTGTTGCGACCATTCTTGCTCCGCAGAGTTAAGGCGGATGTAGAGAAGAGCTTGTTGCCAAAGAAGGAAATCAACATCTTTGTAGGCCTGACCGACATGCAGAGAAAGTGGTACAAGTCGATCCTTGAGAAGGACATTGATGCTGTCAATGGAGCTGGTGGCAAGAAAGAGGGCAAGACGAGACTACTCAACATCGTCATGCAGCTCCGGAAATGCTGCAACCACCCTTACCTGTTTGACGGAGCGGAGCCCGGTCCGCCTTTCACTACCGACGAGCATCTCGTCTTCAACTCGGGCAAGATGGTCATTCTGGACAAGCTGCTCAAGTCGATGAAGGAAAAGGGAAGCCGTGTCCTGATCTTCAGTCAGATGAGCCGTGTTCTCGACATTTTGGAAGACTACTGCTTGTTCCGCGAGTACAGTGAGTGTCGCGAATGATTGATCTGCGCCTGAAAGCTTGGCTGAAATTGTGACCACGCACGACAGAATACTGTCGCATCGATGGTCAATCAGCGCACGAAGATCGCATCTCTGCGATCGACGAGTACAACAAGGAGGGCAGCGAAAAGTTCGTCTTCCTGCTCACCACTCGCGCAGGTGGTCTGGGTATCAATCTGACTACTGCAGACATTGTGGTGCTGTTCGACTCGGACTGGAATCCTCAAGCTGATCTGCAAGCTATGGACCGAGCCCATCGGATTGGGCAGACCAAGCAAGTGTACGTCTTTCGATTCGTGACAGATCAATCAGTGGAAGAGCGTATCCTGGATCGTGCAGCACAAAAGCTTCGTCTCGATCAGTTGGTCATCCAGCAAGGTCGATCGCAAGCCGCTGCCAAGGCCCAACAGAACAAGGAAGATCTGGTCGACATGATTCAGCACGGTGCGGAAAAGATCATCAACACTTCCAACGATCTGATGATTGACGAGGACATCGACGCGATCATCAGCAAGGGAGAGTCGAGAACAAGCAAGCTGCTCGAAAAATATCAAGGTCTCAACATCGACGATCTGAACAACTTTAGGAGCGAGACGACACTAGAGTGGGAGGGTCAGGACTTCAGTGCCAAGGGTAGACAAGGAAAGATTGGCGGCATTTGGATAGAGCCCAGCAAGAGACAGCGGAAGGAGAATTACCATGTGGACTCGTACTACAAGGATGCTCTCAGTCTGAAGTCCAAGCCCAGTGCACCTCGGGCACCTAGAGCGCCCAAGCAAATTGCTTTGTGAGTGCCAGAGACGTGCTCTGCAGCTTTGCGTCTCGCTGACCTAGCTAGGTATTCCATAAACTACAGAAACGACTGGCAGTTCTTTCCTAAACGCTTCGCTGAGCTGCAAGAACGTGAAACTGCCGCCTTTCAGCGAAGTCAGGGTTACAAAGTGCCTCTGAGAGAAACAAAGGAGGATGAGGATCCAGAAGTGGCCGAGGAGGAGCGAGCTAAGGGTCAGCAATTTGTCGACGAAGGTCAGTCTTGGCGTCGAAAGTCTTTTCCAACTGCTCTGCGACGCTGACCACTTGCTTGATTGGATCTCGCGCACAGCCGAGGAGCTGACCGAAGCTGAACAGGCCGAGAAGGAGAAGTTGGCGGAGCAAGGCTTCACGCACTGGACCAAGCGTGATTACCTGGCCTTCATCAAGGGCAACGAGAGGCACGGTCGACGCTCGTATGCCCAAATTGCTGAGGAGATTAACAACCCCGATCTGACGGAGAAGGAGGTCAAAGCGTATGCAAATGTCTTTTGGAACAGAGTGCACGAGCTGACGGACGCCGAGAGGTATATTAAGCGCATAGAGGATGGTGAAGCGAGAACTGCAAAGATCGAGCGGAACGAAGCCAACCTGAACAAGTTCATCCAGCAATTCAGAGCGCCGCTGAGCCAGATGAAGATCAACTATACTGGCTCTACAAAGAAGGCTTACTCGGAGGAGGAAGACAGGTTCATCCTTGTCAGCCTTTCCAAGCATGGGCTCAGGGGCGACGAGACTTGGGAGAAAATCAAGGCGGATATCAGCGAACACCCTGGCTTTCGGTGAGTCTGAGCAGCGGCGCGTCATTGCAATGAGAGACGGTCGAGCTGACTAGTTGCTGCGCGTTTTCTTGCAAGCTTCGACTGGTTCGTCAAGTCAAGGACACCTATCGAGTTGTCTAGACGTGCAACCACCCTCATGACGCTCGTCTTGAAAGATGCAAGTGTCCCTTGATCGCCACCCACATTCGCCTGCCGTCAAGCAGTGGCTCACCCGCCTTTCCCTCATCCGTGTACACAGATCGAGGATGCCGAGCCTGCCAAAGCAGTCGGCAAGAAGCGTGGTCCCGTGGACCATGCCATGAACGGCGACGCTTCGTCCCGGGGCTCCACGCCTGCCGCTGCCCAGGGCGGACGAGCCGTGAGCGGAAGCAAAAAGAAGAAGGTTGCCTGAGCGACGTGCGCGCGCGCTCTATCTAGCATTACGATCTCTCCCCTTGCAAACCCTCTGGCTTGCTCGTCCATACGTCGCAGACTCTTTGTTAGTAATTGATCCATTCATGATCTAGTGCCCTCGTCCATGTCAACCCGCCCTCTGAAGTAGGTACTGATGCACTTTGCTCGCGAGCGCAGCGCTAGCAAGCTTGGTCATGGCACACGCAACTCGAGCATCAAGGGAAGATCACTTGGTTTAGACTGACGTGATGTAGCATTCGAGGGTAGCAGATGATATGCGCGAGCGACGCGAGGGTGGAACGCGACCGCTTTGTAGAGTGGATTGATTGGGGCGGAAAAGGCATGGAGTGGGTGCTGGGAGTGCCTTGTAAGTGAGGTTTGTTTGATCTGCAACAAGAGTTGTTGTGCGGATGCAGCTGGGTGTATGGATGGAGAGGAGTATTGTGATGGTGCTCAGTGTCGCGAACGTCCATCGTACGTGCGCGAAAGCTTCAACGCACGAGCGTGATGAGGGCGGAGGAAGGCTTGTTAAGATGAGGTTTGATGATATGAGACGTAAAAAATTGGTTTGTACGAGAAGTCAAAAGGTGATCAAGTGTTCGAGAAAATAGCGCAATGAAGATGAAGAGCCTAGTGTGAAGTGGTATTCAAAGGTATGGGGCGTTCGGCTGATCGATTGTTCGGTCCTGATCTGGATAGTTCTTTCATTGGCTCGGGACGCTTGCGTACTCTTCGGCAGCAGCGATCATGGCGGCCTGGTTACGTATAGCCCAGTCGCGCGCAAAGACGCTAGCTTTGAGGAACTTCTTGCTAGCGTACTTGCGCGACACAAAGTGATCCGCAAAAGTCTCGTCCAGCAGCTTCTCCAAAATCAGGTTCGCACCCGGCACCAGCTGCTCCTCGACAAAGCCAGAGTAGTAGACGAAGGCATCGTCCCAATCGCCACTCAACATCTTCTTTGCGAGAAACATGCCGACTGCTGCAATAAGGCTTGGGCGCGCTCGCAGGAAGCGATGGTCCAGAAGGGTGACTTCCATCAAGAATTTGGAGAGCGTCCTCGTTTGGATGTCGTAGTCATCTGCTTTCGAGATTCTCCTGACCCAAGAGTATGGTGAGCAGTAAGCAGAAACATTAAAGTCCAACGTGGACAAGATGATTCGTTCGCCCTTGAGAATTTCGTCTCGGCTGTAGCCGTTTTCGGTCATGTGGACGAATTCCTTGACGCTGGGTGCCAGAATCTCCTCGTACTTGGCCGCGACGAACATGGCGGTGACGCCGACGAGCTGAAGTTTGGCGAGCGAAACAACCCTGACGGAGAGGAAGCGGTCCACCACGTTGATAGCGATCCAGAGCGTCTCCGGCAGCATGTGATATCGCATGTGTACCTGCAAAAGCCAGTCGACCAGGGTGGCGCGCATATGCCACTCGATTTCTCCTTGGAATGCCATGTAGTTGGGGTTGGCCATCGTCTCGCGCTCGCAGCGAGACATGTACGCGAAGATCTCTCGAGAGTATTCGGCGACCATGCTGGTGTCTCGCACCTCCTCCGGATCGAGGCCCATCAATGCCAGCTCGTCGTCGTGAGCGGCGAGGTCGGCACTCAGCTCGCCTTGCTGAACCAAGAGGTTGCGTTCATCAGCAGCTTTCTGCGCGTTGGGCACGATGACGTTCTGCTCGTATCGTTCGATGATTGCGCGTCTCCTTTCTTGCGCATCCAATTCGAGATGTGGTGGCAACGTGACCAAGCAATCAGGGTCGAGCGCATGTGGCGAGGCGAGGTCGGAGTCGGCCATGCTAGCTGCATCGTCCAGCAGCGTCTCACCGTCGACTTCTTTCTCATCGGCATCCGGCTCCGCTCCTTCAGAGTCGTCCGAGTCCATCTCGTGGTCCGTCTTCGAGCTTTGCTCGTTGCTCGACCCTTCTCCGCTGCTGTGGTAATCGCTGTCGATGTCGTCGCTCATCTCTTCGTCTTCGATCTCAGCCATCCTGGACGAGGCTACGACGGGTGCAGAGGACGACGGCGCTGTGCGGTCGACATCCATAGCGGCTACTCGAGCCACAGGAGCAGGTTGCTGTGATGCCGAGAAGCCACTGGCGACCCGTTGCGCCACGCCACGGAGTCGGGATTGACCGACGGCCGTATCTCCGCCGTTGTGGGAGTTGGCCCTGGAGTGTACTCCATGAGCACCCGAAGCTGAGCCTGTTCGCACGTGAACGGGTCCCGCAGTGCTAGAAAGGGCAGAAGCTGATGAGGAAGCTGCGATACCGGAGCTGAGCTTGCTTCGTGGTGCTTTTGGCGGCGGTCCAGCTGTAGAAGAAGTGGATGCCTTGTGCTTGAGGACAGCATCATGTGATGAGGCGCGCAAATGTTTGCCGTTTGCTGCATCCTGTCCAGCCTAGAGTGGTGGACATGGGACGTGCGAGGGTGAGCAAGGGGTGATTGATCAAGGGCAGACGTGTTCGCAAGTGTACTCGATTTGAATGATGACACGGCTATGACGATGGTGCCATTCTTCATCAATCACCGTTGACGCAGTTGGTGGCGCGACTTGACCCGCCGCCCATTCTGACGACGCCCATCTACTGCAACGACGCCAGCACACTCAAACAGCAGCTACGGTTGGTTACTCACAGAAGCGTCAATGTTGCTCTTGTCGGACAGCGCAGCTCGTTTCGTGCGAGGGGCCGCGACACCGTTGACTGAGTCGGACATCTTTCCGGGCAAGACTGCACTTGAAGAAGCACCGGCTATGCTCCCGTTGCGACCTGTTCTCACTCTGCTGGAAGCAGAGCTGCTGCTCCCTTCACCACGCACGGATCCGAACGAGCTGCCAACGCCTGTTGGGCGTGTTCGTGACTGGGCCTGAATGAGTCAAGAGAATAGAAGGCATGTATCAGCATCCTGGTAGTCGCGCGGAAAGGGGGGGGGTAGGGGGAGGGACAACCAGCTAGAGGCTCGCAGGAAGCCCGTGCGACTGTAGATCCGCTGTACTCTTTGCTGCGATGCAGGAGCAAGAAGCACCTCGCACGTCTTACTCACTCGTGGGACTGGTTGAGCCATGACGGTGGGGCTCTTGCTTGGTCCGGTATTTGGTGACCAAGCCTCGCCTACACTGGCGGCAGAGTTGGCGGCAGAGCTCGACGGGCGCGAGACCTAGTCGGGAAGTGACCACGGAGCTCTGGCGGTGCGTTGATCGCGTTGATGTGCTCTTTATACTGAGACTGGAGCCAAGACTTCTTGAGGATGACCGGAATCAGAGATGCTGAGTGCGTGCGCCCGATGCTGACGCGAGTCGAGGAAGAGCTTTGGCAGCAGACGAGAACCGGCACAGACAACTGCTAGGCCTTGCTCGAAGAGTGAAGTGGCGGATGTCTGCGCGCTTTTCAGCGTCCTGCAAGAGCAGACGAGATTGACCCGTTGGGCGTCTCCTTTTTGAATTTTCGGACTGGATCAGATTGAAAGTCCTCTCTCTCTCTCTGCTCCAAGGCTACTTGATTCCGGCAATGAGACGGAGAAGCGGCCGAGGAGGTGACGAGGCAAGCGCAGCCGTCGTCTGCACTGCTGCGTGTTGCTTGCTGATGGCTGCCTACGAGCGCGCGCGCGCCTGACCGATCGCGAGCAAGCGCTGTCGAAGATGAAGGTGAAGCAAGAGGGCCAGCAGACAAACGAAGTGGCGAGCAAGAAGGCGAAGCAGGAGAGAAGAGGAGCGGAAAGGTGGTATCGGAGTTGATGCGAGGTGGTCGATGAGGGATGAAAGAGATGAGGATGAGGAGCGAGGAAAAGGGGGAGGAGGAGGATGGAGAAGGGAAAGGATGCAAAGAAAGGAGGGCGAACTCAACCTTGAAGCCTTTTGTCGAGATGAGTTGAATGGCAAGATTGACGGCTCATCCACTTTCTCGCGGAAGCCGAGAAGGGTGATGACGGAAGTCCGATGGGGAGAGCGCGTACCCCTGGGATGAAGTCGTAGAGATCGGTCGATCGGGGTGTAGAGCAAACGCAAAGATCGACGAACCGATGCGGGCGAAGACAACGGGCTGGGTACAGTAGCGCGATGTGCGGCAGACGCTGGAGTCAGGCCTGGACTCGTCGTTGAGCAAGAGTGCGGAGAAAGAGGCAATGTTCCGAGGTGTAGAGGTTGGGCAGAGTTGAGCTCTATCTGACTGTCTGCACTCTCCTTTGGCCTGGGCGCCTTCTTTCTCGCTCCGCTTCGTCGGTCAGGTTGATCAACAATCGTCGTTGAGACGGACTGTGGATTGAGACACCTGAAGTTCAACCTTGCTGCGGTTCGGGTATAGCAAGTGCTGAGTATGGCAACGCTTATTGCAACAAAAGCCACGATGACGATATCGCCAAGCGAGAGATGGCGACTAGCTGGGATTTGGCGCCCAGCGAAGCTCGGATGTTGGGTTCTCGAAGCTCGGCAACGCAACGCAGGGGCACTGCTTGGTACAGACAGAGAGGGGCTGAGTGAATATTCTCTCCGATTCTCTGAGCTGATGCCTGCAAGAGCGTTGGGGGAATGCGGGGAACAAGACGGTTGGGCGACCTCAGCTGAGAACGGTAAAAGGCGCGTTTAGCGTGCCGACGAGAGGGACAGGCGCAGTGTGGATCTCGGCTTGTGTCGAATATTATTTGCTCGGACTGAGGCACGCGGGGGAGGGGGGAGGGAGCAAGCTGTTTCTCTGGAAGCGGTCGAGTCGGTTCTGTCGGTTGGTACCGGCCGTGTTGGTGATTGGCGCTTCTGGCAGTTGGTAGGAGGTGCAGAGCTGAGGAGGGACGAAGGTTGGGCAACCAGCAAATGTTGCGCGACGCACGCGTTTCAAAAGGGCCGCTCGCTGCTGCTGGTAAACGCTGTTCGATCGAGCAGCAGCAGCAGCAGCAGCAGCAGCAGCAGCGAACACAGGCGGGCACGCATCAGCAGCAGCAGCAGCGGCAGCGGCAGCAGTGGATTTAGAATTGCGCGCGGTCGGGCGGGTGAGCAGCCAAAACATCAAAAAAAAACGATCAAACGCGCGCGGGAAGGAACGAACGACGCGGCGGCATCAACATCAGCCGTGTCGCGTCCGTCTCCACTCGGTCACGCGCGACTCGTGAGTCGTGCGTGACTCTCTGCCGTGACCTGCGCCGTTGGCTTGGATGATTCAAATTGCTACTTCCCTTCATGGTCTTCCTCCATCAAATGAGCCCAAATGGAGCAACGGCATACCCACACCATGACCAATACGACCATCTGCAACCGAAAGCGGCGATCTGAATTCCGCTATAAAGTACCCCATTGCGAAGTGGTCAGCTGAACGTTGCTGGCGACGATCTCCGCGCTCTGGGTGCCGATTCGCACAAGAAATCACAATGTCGAACGACTTTCCAATCGCAAGACAAAGAAACAAGACAAAAGCAAAAGCTCGCCGAATCGGTCACGCTGCGAGCATGTTGCATGCACATACGTCGAAGGCTGCTGGCAATCAAGAATGCCACGCAGCTCCCGTCACTCGAGACGAACTCCGCAGCTCTTGTTTACGTTCCTCTCCTCCTTACCACAGCTCATCTCTCGCATCGCACGAGTTCGGCATATAATGATGATTTGCGATTCGCTTCCCACACCTTTTCCTCTGCGTGATTGCGGCGTTGTGTGCGGCGAAAGTGCATGGTGTGATGACATGTGCCGAGGTGAGGTCAAGCTGTGGCCTGTGCGTGTGATGCACAGAATTGTGCTCACATCAAGTCGTGCATCTCTCTCCGCCTCACCCGCTGCACCACCACGCGTCACTGTACCGGCCGGATTGTGCAATCACAGTCTGATGTGTAATAATGCGACTTGCGAGACGCGCAGCGAGTCATTGGAAGATGAGCTCGGCGCAGGTGCGGTGTGAGGTCGCACGGCTTGGCACTCGAGTCTCTCTGACCGCTCCAGCACAGCAGTCGGTACGAAGCGATGATGAGCTGTGCCAGCAATACAGGACTTTTGGCCGTCGCGGCACTCTTTCAGAAGAGTAACGCTCCGTGCTGAAAAGGATCCGGATCGATCTTCACAACGTATCGAAAGCCACGTAGCCACACATGTACCGGCGTGCAATCTCGCAGCACCTGTCCCTTGATACCATCTTAGACTGCAGTCACTTTGATCGATGCTTGCTGCCCACTCGATGTCCAACGCATCGGAACAAGTGTATTTCTGCACGAAAGAGAGGCCGTAACATGATGCAAAAAGGGGCTCTTCAGCGTCACGATGCAGACCTTCTGGTACGAATGGATGCTACATTATCCTGCTTCTCATGTCGTCGCAGGTAGGGACGCGTCCATCTGATCCATCACTCATTGATGGCGTGCCTTGCCACAAGCCGTGGTCGCCGAACGCCGATGTTTTCTACCATCCTGGTGCCCCTCAAGGTATAGGATCCTGAACGCACGCGCTCTGCTGACGAGCCACGACCAGGCTCCACTAGCGCCACCCTTTCAAGCGCCAGACATGAGCATCGATCGCATCTCGAGGACACTACTTAGGCCAGTACTGTACATATTCCCGAACGAATGGGTGCAGCAGGCAGGCAGGCAGGCAGGCAGGCAGCCAGGCAGGCAGGCAGCTAGCAGCAAAGCAGCAACGACGCCATCATATATTGTCGCGAACCCTGAGCATCGATCAGGAACGCGCATGTGCTGGCGGCGCATGCTCATCGCGCCGCATTGGGCGCTTATTTTTATTGGGCGGGTGGTCGATCTTTGCAACCAACACCGCAACATGCATGCATATATGCGGCTCATACTCGTGACTTTTCGGCTTCTTTTTGCTTTCGCCGGGCCGACGACGCGTTCGGCGACGCGCTTCTCACAAGTCACGTGTCTTTCGTCCCCTGCATTTCGCACAAGCTCGACACGTGATCGAGGAATGGAGATCTCGCTATTCTTGTTTCCATGTATAGGTGCCGGGTCAACATGTCGCCATGAAGGATCAGCTCGTTCGCTGCCAAGGAAGACGCGCAGCACTCGATCTCAAAAGGCCACCGCGATCAGATCGACCAGCCAGCCCTCTCCACGCCTCAAAACTTCTGACCGTAACAGAAGCTCGATCGTGAGCGTACTTGGCACTATTCTAGAAAGTTGCGCCAAGCTCTCCTTTTCGTCCACTTTCCTTGAAGGAAGTGCAAGCTCACAGCCCACCGGAAGCGCTTGCAAACATGCCGCCTGTCGCACAGGTCCAGGGAGTGCCACAACAGCAATCTGTCACGCAGAAGCGTGAGTTGGGCTCGCAAGCAACCTCACGTCCCAGCGATGCGCAAGCCGAGTGCGCATGCTGAAGGGAGAGAGAAAAACTTTTCCCCCACGTGTTCACGCTCCACTCGCAGTGATGATGGGTGCCATGATGGGAACGGGAGTAGGATTGTGTATTGGTTTCATTGGTGGAGCTTTTCAGATTCTGCGGTGAGCCGAGCAGGACGCAAATCGGACCGCCTTGGGCTCTGCTGAATTCATGTGCTGGCTACCTTTCAAGTGCTGGACCAGGCCCAAGGGGAACCTTGGCGACGCTGGGGCAGTTCATGGGCACGAGTGCGGCCACGTTTGGGTGAGCAGCGCAGACATCTCCTACCCGGCGCTGGTAGACCTCGATCCGCTCGGATGCTGACGCTTCATCGTCATTCATCTCCAAGCTTCTTCATGTCCATTGGAACAGTGATCAGAACAGAGGAAATGACCGGACTTGATGAAGCGAGGTGTCGCATGCTCACAGCTCGCAATGGAGTCATCATCACGCCCTCCTCGAGGCAAAGAAACATTAATGCCAGAGAAGAGTGAGGCAGGGACATAAACGGGAGAACGAGGGCAGGCATCATCTTGCGAATTCGCCAGACATTGTGCCCGCATCACGTCCGCAGCACGGCGCTGCTTGACTGTATTGTACTTCACACCGGGAGAATCTCACAGAACTCGATTGGGTGCCTGGAGCGGGTCTTGGCTAGGCTGCTCGCATCGCCTCAAGAACGCATGGCGAGAAGATGATGTTTATTACCGGTGCTTGGAGCAAGCGCACGCAGCAAGCTTACAGGCGTGAAAGAGCGAGCTTCGCGGCGCGCACTACAGTAGGAAGCACGACTTTCCTACTAGCGTGGGGGTCTTGCCGCCTAACAATGGCTCGCAGGTCTCCTCTTCGTCCGGCGTCGTCCAGACCCAGGGTGTGTTCTCTGCCTCCATCTGGAAGCGGAGCACCTTTCCATTTCCTCAGATCCAGCTCGCTCGAGCTCTCCAGCTCCCTGATGAGGGTCAGCCAGAAGCTGTCGGTCTGAGCTGCGGTGAGCCTGCGTGAGGCAAACGCGACCACGCTAAGAATCGGGTGGAAAGGTTAATGCTGCGCGTCTTTTCTCAAGCCAGGCTACACAGATCGCTCCACTCACGCTTCTCTGCGATGTTTGACATCACCATCTCTGTTGGCCTCGCGAAAGCTTGTGCCAATGACAACCCCATCGAGTTGCCGCTCGTTTCTCCACGCATCAAGAGCATCCCACCACTTGTTCCATGCAGTTGTCCTGACGGCCTCACTGGCGGACTCTTCATTGACCCTGCCGATCCATCTAGACAGACCGATGGGCACGCTCGAGAAACCAAATCTCAGCGCCGCAGCGTTCGCGAACGCTCCCTCGGAGACCAAGGATTCCTTGTAGTCTCTCCGCAAGAGATCTCTGTCGGACAAGTGGTCCACTGCACCTTTGCTTGCCACCAACAGACTCCAGTACTCCTTGGTACTGTTGCTCTTGGCTTGGGCACTGGGGACAGGCAATTGGTCGTGGGACAGCGCCTGAACCTCTGCAGGCACATTGGATTTCGCTACCGAGAGTAGTTGCGTCTGCCTTGACTGGTCTGCGAAGGATGAGACCGGAAGCAGCGTCTTCATGGCCTCTTCGTCCACTTGGGACGCCTTGCCCTCCGGAGCAGGACGCACCTGCGAATGGATGGCTGTCAGCCGTGGCTCGCGGTGCCCTTGCGCCACAAGGATCTCGCGCTACCCACATTGTCCGTGTCAATGATGACGGCGCTTAAAAGCAAGTCTGCTACCTCTCGAGGGACCTCGCCAGCGCTTAGATGATCATGAAAGAGACCAGCGACGATGCTCGCGCAGCTGCCTGTCGGCACGTTGACGCCGGGAGCGCCAGGGCCCTGCAGTATCCTCAGCTTGGCGTCGGCATGCGCTCCTTCGTCTACATGGTGATCTACCACTGCTACCACATCTCTGTCTGCTTCCGATCCAGTGCTAGATCTCCATTCCGCTCCGAGCGCCGCATGATCCACCAAACCGATGTGCACACGATTGCTGGGACCAAATACACTAGAAGAATGGTCCAGAGACCTTCCTGCAGCGTCTTTCAAGTCGGTGACGTGCAGCGGTGAGGTACTTTGAAGACCGGCAACGAGAAGTGCAATCTTATTCTCCGGTCTCAAAACCAAGTCTTCCGGTGCAGTCTGCACCAGAGGCGCAATATTGAGTGATGCTGGCAGTCCTAGCCGAGACCTGACTTCCGGGAATTGGGTGAGGAGGTACGAGAGACCGATCGCGGATGCGGCGGAGTCGAGATCTGCACTGACAAAACTTTGGGCGTCAGGCGCCGCCGCAGGTGTACACCTGACTTTCACTCACCGCCGGCGCTGTTGCCCATGACGAGAAGAAGGTGCCCATCTGCTTGGCCCTTGCCCGCAAGATGCGTCAGAGCGTCCGCTTTAGCCTTGGCCAGGTAGTCTGCCAAAGATTGGGTCGCCATGCTCGGAACGGCTTCAGTGGTACTGTTTACGAAAGAAGATGCTTCAAGCTCCGTAGCTGCGTTTCGATCAGAGTCGGGGAATGCCAAGGAGTAGAGCGCGGCGAGGAGCAAGATGACAGCGACGATCAAGAGTCGATAGCGAAGGGAAGGGCCCTTGAAGATGGGTGAGACCAGTCCCAGCAGTCGAGAGCACCGGATTGAGCGAGCTGTCGATCTCCCGTGCTGGTGCTGATCGAAGGAGGCTGGTAGATGAGATGAAGGCGGATAGACGTGCGCGTATCCTTCACCGTGCTCCAATCGAGCTGCGTCTTCCTCTTCCTCTTCCTCTTCTTCCTGCTGTCTGGTCAAGTGGTACTGCCCGCGAGACAGGTTCATGCAGCTTGGGCTACTTCTCTGCTATCGCAGCGTGAAATGCTGTGTCTAAATCGAGTCACGGGAAAGAGTCGTAGGATCGTCGAGGACGCTTGACGCTACCGAGCTATGCGTGTAGGGTTCCGCGACTTCGTGAGCCTCACCGTGAATCATGCATGAATCACGAATCGTGAGGGTGAGTCTGATGGGTGTGTCCTTCCCTCTCCCTCTCACCGCGGTCGTTCTTGGCCCGTGCAGAATTCAAATGTTGTTTACGATTTCTCGTTGACCCGTGTGCTGCTTTTTTGTGATTACCGGTACTCACCGGGCGGAAATGTCGAGCCGCGAGCGTAAGCGCTTGACATCTCACGTGACCAACATATGCAAGCTGATAAACATACGTGCGGATCTTCTCAAGACGTTTTGCGAGGCGTCAAGTCAGAGAAGACCCTGTGCATTCGTCATTCAGGGCAGACTTATTCTCACTCATCATCCTCCCTCGCTTCCTCTCGCTCAGCGGCAAGACGGACGCAAGCAGCACAGCAACTGCTGAACTACAAGAACGAGACGCTCTACTTGTGCTTGGCTTCCGAGAGCCAACGACTACCAGCAAGAGGTTGTTGCGCATCCCTCACAGAAGCCAGCAGAGTTTCCTTCTTCTTCGGTAGCTGGCGCCGTTCTCCATCCTCTGCGGTTCGGCACAACGCGTATCTGCCTCTACTCGCGCTTTGCTGCGCACACTCTGGCATGTCTGTGCCTAGCAGGCTAGCTAACTCGGCGGCGCACGCCACGAGCGCTGTTCGTCATGGCCAGTTGAATGTTTGCAAGGGCGGCAGCGCGCCATCTACCAGCAGAGCGATGCTGACGACCGCTGCAGGAGATCGCATGTCGATTAGGAGCCGCTGTGGCTCTTGGGGCACCTGTCGCGATCGGGCCAGGCCTCTTCTCGTATCAGCCCGGCGAAGGGATCAAAGCGGATGGGCATCGGTCGTGGACACGGCTAAGAATCTCGTCTCCAGCAGTCCTTCACCCACTTCTCCCTCCCAATCACCGCAGACACACGCAACAGGCTCCACCGCCTTTTCTCCTCCGCCGACGAAGACCTCAACGCATGCTCCATCCCAGGGCAGTACCTCATCGAGCAGCGGCGGACCGCGACCGACATTCCAGGATCCTTTGGATCTCGTCAGGCGAGAGCTTTCCTCACTGAGAGCGAACGTTTCCACACTGCTCGGCTCAGGCCATCCAGCGCTCGATACGATAGCAAAGTACTACTTTCAAGCAGAGGGAAAGCACATTCGTCCACTCATCGTGCTTCTCATGGCGAGAGCAACGAATGGATTGAGTCCGAAGTGGGGAGAGTTGGTCCTCAAAGCGTACAGCGAACGGAGTAGCTCGCGGTCGCTATCGGCTGGAGGTGAGGGCGTGGAGATCGAGCACAGCATGGGTATCGATGAGCCTCTTAGTCCGAGAGAAGTGCTCAACGATTTCAATCCGCACATGGAAAGCGTGGAAGGCGGAGGTGAGGACTGCAGTGCCGCGACAGCCGCACAATCGCATCCAGCTCCCTCTTTCGATGCTCCTCAAGCTCCAGACTCCAAATCTGAGCTGCACCGGTTGGCAGTCGAGAGCAACACGTCGATCTTGCCCACCCAGAGGAGGCTAGCAGAGATCACAGAAATGATCCACGTCGCTTCTCTTCTCCACGACGACGTGATCGATGCTTCTTCATTGCGAAGAGGGGAGCCTTCGGCACCGGCGGCGTTTGGCAACAAACTGAGCATTCTCGGCGGCGACTTTCTGCTCGGTAGGGCATCAGTAGCCCTAGCTCGGTTGAGGGACAACGAGGTGGTGGAGCTTCTGGCTACCGTCATCGCGAATCTGGTGGAAGGTGAGGTCATGCAGCTGCGAGCACAAGCGCTGGACGACCACGCCAATGGCGCAGCTCGTCCGTCAAAGAGCGTTTTCAGCACATTTTGGGAAGGCAAAGCGTCGAGTCAGCCTGCTGCTGCTTCAGCCTCGCATGGTGGTCCAGGCCCTCAGGTGTTCGAGCACTACTTGCAAAAGACGTATCTGAAGACCGCCGCGCTCATCGGCAAGTCGGCTAGAGCCGCCACTATCCTGGGAGGCTCTGGAGCGGATGCCGTGAGAGGGTTGGGAGAAGAGGCCGAGAGTAGCGCCAGAGCGGTCAGGGATGCTGCCTACACCTATGGAAGGAACGTCGGCATTGCGTTTCAGGTGAGTGCGCAGTAGAGCACGTACACAGAGATGCCACTGCTTCCGCCTTCTGCGCAATCTGACAATGTTGCGCTCCGCACTTGCCCCGTCAGCTCGTCGACGATCTGCTAGACTTCAAATCCACTTCGTCCGCTTTCGGCAAACCCTCTGGTGGTGCAGATCTACGACTTGGTCTGGCGACGGCACCGGTTCTGTATGCGTGGGAAGAGATGCCCAACGAGGGGATGGGAGAGATGGTCAGAAGGAAGTTTGAGGGAGAAGGTGATGTCGAACGTGTGAGTACTGTTGCGGCTTCTTCGCGGGGAATGTGGAGATGGACCACTACTTGCTCTGGAGCTCAGCGCATGATCTATTTATCCGCCTCTTAGGCACTGGCCATTGTGAATCGCTCGTCAGGTCTGGAACGAACTGCGGAGCTAGCTCGTCATCATTGCGCGTTGGCTTCGCAAGCTCTATCCATCTTTCCGCCCAGCGAGGCCAGAGATGCGCTCGAATCGCTAAATCAGAGCGTGCTCACAAGGGTGAAGTAGAAGCTGGATAGATCAATCATTTCAGCGCGATGCCGCAGCTGTTAAACATCTATAGAAAGCTGCGAATGTCACCCAATGCGTCGGAACGGAATTTTCCACCACAATGCGCATGATTTACTGCCACTTGCAGGAGCGGCTTCGGACGAGTGCGCACGACTCGCAACATCTCTCGACCCTAGATCGCTACAGATGGCGGGCGGGGCTGATGAGCCTCTTCGCTTGCTTGACTGTTCGTGGCCCGGCGGCGACATGCGCTGCCGAGCAAGACAGACCTTGTGGGCCCTCGAGATGTTGGAGAAACGTGAGCGGGAAAGGGGGAGGGGGAGGGGTGTTTGGAGCAATTGAATTGCGATTTTGGGGCGGGGGGGGGGGTGGGAGGGACGTTTGGTTTGGGTCCGAGTCGAGTGAAGCTTTTAGATCAATCAAGCGTCGCGCAACAGGTGGCGGGTTCGCGCAATGCAAATGCAAATGGACAATCAGGCAGGGCTGTGGTCATCATCCATTTGATGATGTAGCGTGTCGAGTGGAAGCACAGGCAGGCAGGCAGGCAGGCAGGCATGCGGCGAGCGGGCGAGCAAGCGCACTTTCACGCGCGCGTCGCGCCTTTTGGATCGACGGACCCCTCGCGAGGAGGTTTGAGCGGTGGGGCTGGTGCAGGGGCGCTGGGCAGCTATACAGCAGCTTCGCTTGCTGAATGCAGAGCGCGAGTTCTGCCATCCATATTCGCACCTATTAGAATCCCTACCGATAACGAGCGCAGCAAATCCCCCAGATTCAATTGGGGCAATCGTGAATAGCAGCAGGATGAGAATAGAGTCGCGCGGCGAGGGTGTGCTTGCGTGATCGAGAAACACGTGCGTGCGTGCAAGTGTGCAAGCGAGGTTTGCGAGCCCCTTGATTGCCGCGCTGCCGCTGCTGCTGCTGCTCATGCTCAAGCATAGCACAGCTCAAGCGCGTCCCACCACCATCAGACGAGACGCACTTTTGAAGGGCTTACCCCACATTCAATCATCATGCAGCAGAGCCAAGTCGACTGGGCAATTACCCGCGGCGCGCTTAATTGCCGTTGCCGTTGCCGTTGCAGTTGCGGCGCTGCTTTCCTTAGGCTGCCTGCATGCATGGATGGCCCATGCGAGCGGCATAGAGGCTGCTGCTTTGCTTTCACTTCTTTACTCGGACTACCGGGTGTGGAATTGCAGCTCAGCAGAGCATCTCAATAACTTGCTTGATTGTATGCGTGCAGAGTGCAGCTCAGCAGCTTGATGTAGATGAGGAGAAGCAGGTGAACCATTTGAAGCGTGAATGCTGCGAATGATGCATGAGCGGCGATCAGCTTCATCAGGATCTCCCTCCGCCTTCCCCGCGGTAGCATCCGACCTTCGAAGGCCCTTCCCTCTCACAACACCATCCTTTGACGCGCCAAATTACTCGTTGGAGAGATTGTTCGCACCGCCCCTGCTGCGCTTGACTCAAGTATACGCAAAACGATCATCCTGACTCGCAGCTTCCTCGTGACGTGGAAAAGTTGGCCTGATCGCCGAAATACGACGCACCACAGCTCTACCTGCACCTGCACTCGTGACTGCCACACGCGTACAACACGACACACAGAAACAGCGCCATCGAGGGGAACAAAATCGCAATTGCAATCGCACTCGCCATGGCTCCCTCCAACCAGCAAGAAGAAGAAGCGTCGAGCGGCAATCTGCTCACCATGTTGCTCTCCCAAGCAGCCGAAATCGACTTTAGCGATCCCAATGCCGAGGGAAGTAGCAGCAGCGACAAATCCAACGACCCTACCCGACTGCTGGTGGAAGGTTGGGAGATCAGCAAACTGTTTGCCATCATCGAATTCGCCTTTTTGCATGCGCAGGACGAGGAGGGCATCATGGCCGGGCTGGACATGATGAGTAGAAAGGAGGCCATCAAATCCATCGTGAGTCACGAGTCTCCTTTTCAGACGTTCGCAGGTGCTGCATGGGGCGCCCGCCATGCAGCTGTACGGTACAGAGGTCACTGCGCGCATACGTTGTCGACGATCGAGGCTCACACTGCATGCATGCGGACACCTCATCACTCGGTCTTCCATTGGTCTTGTAGAATGGCGTATTCCTGTTTGTGGTGAGTCGAGACCGTCCCAGTCAGGCGGCCTTGCAGATATCATATGGCGCTTGCAATTCGTGTGCACAGCGCCAACGGCTATAGGTGCTCATGCTCACGGGCACGTCGACACTTTTTGTCTTGACAGGTCAAGAATGCAAATGGCAAAGAGCAAGAGTTTTTCGTGGACATGTGAGTGGGAAGCGCAGAGCTGCTTATTGGCTTCAATTGCTGTTGCATGGGGCCCAGCGCTTCGGCATCGTGCAGGCACGCAGGCACGCAGGTACCGCCGAGTCTGACAAGAACGCTCGCATCGAATCTTTGCACAATCTGATCGCTTGATGATCGATTGGAAATCAGGAGAAAGACGGGAACTTTCAATCTCGAGGTGCCAAAGAAGCCAAAGCCGGACGTGACCATTCGAGTTGGAGACAAGGTAAGTCGTAGCAGGGCAGATCGTAAAAGGACGGCAACGCCTGGGCACGTACGGGCGTCTTGTTGCAAGTCGGGATATTGCCATCCGGCCTCGAGACTGACCTTACCCTTGGCTCTCTTGCATCTGCGCCCTTCGTCAGGATATGGTGCGTCTCGCCACAGGTCAAATGAATCCTCAAGCTGCGTTCCTCAAGGGCAAATTGAAGGTCAAGGGAAACGTCATGCTAGGTCTCAGGTGCCAGAACCTCTTGATGAAAGAAGTCGGCAAGATGAGCAGGCTGTAAAGCAGCAAAGGTTCAAAGCCGGCATGAACATTTCTTGCGCCTCTTGCGAAAAGATTCAACAAAGCCTATCGCCAGCCTAATCTTTCCTCGCCCGGCTCGAGGAAGAGATGTGCAATGGTAGGCGATACACTTTCTACTTGCCACCTTTGTCAGCGGTAGCAACGGGAGTGAGCGTGATTGGGATCTCAATGTTTTGCGGGCTGGTAGGACCGGTTGGGAATACATAGGCTTGAGGGTCTTCCGTTATCTTTTGATCGCCCCATTTGTATGCCTGAGGCTTAGTGATGAAATCCATCTTTGCATCGTTCTTGGCCACATGATGGGTCAGCCCATGAGCCAGCATGTAGCTTCCTCCAATCGCTCCACCAGCGATCAGGCCGGTCCTGCGATCCGAACGTCCCAGAGGGCCAATCGTCAGTCAAGCGGCATGAGCCAGTCGGCTATCTAATGATGTTGCAAGTGGTTGCACTCACGCGAGGAATTTGGTCGCAGGTCCCGCCTTCTTCTTGGTGAAGATCTTTCCCAGCGCCTTCAGCGGACCAGCACCAGCTCTACGCTCGAGCTCAGCTGACGATGCCGATCGCTCGTGTATGTAGGAGCCATGCTCACTCTCAAAATCTCGCGCCAAGAGGCTGGCAAATGCTTCGTCTCGAGGCAGACTGCGTCGATGATGTTTGGGGTCGTTGTTCGGGGCCGGAGAGGGAGCAGGAGTAGGAGCAGGCGCGTCTGGGACGTAAACCTCTGGTCCGATACCCATGATTGGTGGAAACTTCCCAACGGGAGCTTTGGCATCTTTGGGCGCGGGAGCTGGCCCACTCGGGGCGTACACCTGCGGCCCAATACCCATAGGATTCTTGTAGGCTTCTAATGGAGCCGTGGAACCATCGGCATACGTGATCGTTCCTGGCGTTCCAGGCTTGACACCTCCTCCCACACCGTGATTTGCCCATGAGCCGTCATCGGCCCGTCCGTTAGACTGAGCCTTGTGACCATCGTGATGGTTCGCCAGCTTCACTGCGCCGTAAACGCCGGCGCCCGTGATGCCTAGACCGGTAACGGCGCCGCTGACAATGTTCAACAAGAAGGTGTCAGTGTCATCTCCCGACCGACCGAAATGATTATGCCTATCATTCCTGGCGCCAGAGGACCGGGTTGTCGAAAGCTGCACTCACACTGAAGTAGTGACCGGATGTTTGCGAACGTACGTCTTTGTGAAGCTGCGAACCCTCCTTACTTTGGTAGGCTTGACCCCGCCTGGGCTTCCAAGATGGATGACTTTCTCCGCCTTCTTCCCTATCGAGGTAAGTTCAACCTGGCGAGGTAGGAGATCTTCGGCCTTTCTGCGCTCAAAAGGCGCCTCCGGCGGGAAGGAGAGGCGACCCGCTGTTTTTACACCGTAGCGGCGAAAGACGCTGTGCACGCCATCGGTGAAAGCAGTGGAGGCAGGCTGAGGCAGACCTCGAGCGGCTATCTTGACCGCCTGCGACTCGGACGAACCAATGTCTTCGATTGACCTTCGCACTGGATTTTGGGCGACTTCCTTCATGTACGCATCAATCTCATCCTGATATGGGCGCTTGAGCTTCTTGAGCTCTTGGTCGTGCATGTGCTGATATTGCGCAACGCCGGCAATCGTGGCGCCGCCTGTACCCAGTCCAGTGAGACCGCTGTGATTGGATGGGGAATGGCAACATAGGAAGAAGAAAGCGTTTGAGCGCCTGCTCGGCGCGATGCACACTGCGTGCCTGACTCACGCTGCTGTTCTATAAGGGTGCTTGCGCATGGATCCCCACGTCTTCTTCATGAGGCCTGGCTTTTTGGCCTAGAACGCGGAAGAGGAGGGGTTAACATATGAAACACCAAGCTGCATTCGATGACCACTCACTGTATTTGCAGCAATGTCTGGCAGTGCTTTGTGTTCAGCAATGCTTGATAGAGCTTTCCCCTCGAGCGGAACAGCTAGACGAGCATTCAGAATGGCCCCCTGGGCCGCCTCCGACGTGATGGAAGCTGGCAGTGCGCTAGACTGAGAGGCTACAGCAGCCAGTACGAAGGCAAGAAGCATGACGAAGTTCGATCTTTTCATGTTTGAAAGAAGAGGAAAAAAAAGTCTCGTGATCGCCTTGATTGGATTGTATGCCAAACGATCGCTGACGTAGAACGATGATAAAGGTCAACCGCGTGTGAAAAATGTGGTAAGATGACGACCAGCGTTCAGTGTTGATTGCAGTGAAAAGTTTGTGTCGAGACTCAGTCTCTTGAGTTGTTATAAGGCGGGTTGAAAGTGTGGGTGACGATGGGCGGCTCCACGAGGGGCTGGTCACCCCTTTATAGCGCAAGACAAGCGTGCGCGATAGCTCCCAAACGAGGGCTTTCCTTGGGCTGCAAAGGACTTCGTGGTCACCCTAAAGCTACGGTAGCGCCCAGCGTTCGACGTGCCTGACCTGTCTCGCGATTTGTTGCTCGACCACAAACGACGACGAGTCTCTATACCTGCTGCGTTCACGTAGACTATCAGACCATTGGCGTCTCGAGTGCGCCGTAGGCGCAGCGCCGCCACTAAGTGGCTGTCACGTCTTCCACTTGGTCGCTTTGGAAGGAGAGTCTCTTGCCCATTGACTGCTCTCGGAGCATCTTGGCTGCAAGGCAACAAGATGAAGGAAGGGCAGACACTTAGCTTGCGGAGCGCAGACGATCGCGAGCTTGGGGTCGATCTGCTTCGATGCGCCCGGCAGCCAGCAGCACCATGTTCGACCCTTTTAAGGCATCGATCGACACCTTATTTCGTGGCCAGAACTATTTACTGCGAGCGCTTTTGCCATTGTACCGGCCACGCAATTGCATAGCTGGAGACTATAGGCAGCACGAAAGGCGGCATCGGAGCTGATTGCGTCTGCTCTTTTCGCCCACTGTTGCCTGCTTTCACGTCTCACGGCGAGGTATGCAGCGAGTTGGCAACCCCAGCTCATCCGGCGGGCGCAAAAGCAGGTTCAAGCTACCCTAGGACAGAGGCGAGATTGCGAAATGTCAACATCGTGCACGTCTTTTCCTTGACACGGCGTTCAATCCAATCAGGGCAAACGGAGTTCGCCGGACTCTTGCCACCTTGAGTATCGCGTGGACTCTGGCAGCGCCGTCGGGAGCGGAATTCGACTCAAAGACGACATTTGATCTGAATTTGCGGGCGGCAATGAAGGACATTCGAGGACGTCGATGTTGTTGCCTCTTGAATCAGAGAATGAGCCCGCGAAGTGGCAAGCTTTCTGATGCTTGCGGAGTGGCGAGGCCAGACCGTTACGCTTGCGAAGCGAGCGGAAAAGGTAGGTGGGTGGCGCAGGATAAATACCTCGCAGGTGATTCGCCACAGCAGACAGGCGCGGGCGCTGCATCTACGATAGGCGTTGGGCACGAGCGGTCGGCTCCAGCAGAGCCAGGGTCACACGACCATGGCATCAATGCGAATGTGCATCCTTTGGCAATGTGAATGCTCCTATGCTAGCCACTTCGGCGCCGCGAGCCACTTGAACGTGGGAGCCTGTCGCCAAGTCGGCGATCAGGACCAAGGGAGGTGATTGGGCCCAATGTCTTGCTAAAAGCGGCCAGTGACTTCGCGACGTTGTCATTGGGCTCCACGCAGCTTCATCCAGCCCGGGAGGATGGAGGCGCGCCTTGAATCGCGATACGAAAGGTGTCGGAGAAGTAAAGTGGCTGTGATCGGGAAGTATGCAAGGATGGCGTGCTTGGACGACTCACGATCAACTCACAAACTTGCACGTACGCACTCGTGGCCGACTCGTGACTCACGACTGGTGACTCTTGCTTGCTTGCTTGCTTGGTCATGCATGCATGCATGCATGCATGCTGCTGGGCCTCGCTCATCCCTCGCTGCTGGCAATTAAGTCTCGCAACCGGTTTCGCATGCATCAGCAGCATATCTCCGCATGTACCTGCGGCGGCGGCGACGCGGCTGCAGCATCACTACTGCGTGCTGGAAAACATCCGCGTAGACCGCGGTCTCAGACCCACGGCTCACCTAGCTAAGGCCAGCAGCAGCATGGCCACCGCCGCTCGCACAAATCTTTGCAAGGAGCTATATATAGGGCTCTCTGGTGTCCATGCGGGCACTTGACTTGCTTAATTGACTTGATTGCTCCCTCAGGCCACGACGTTTGCCCGTCTTTGCACTAACAGCGTCGATCCTGCATTTGGTGGCTTATTCGCCAGCATTCAACGAAGCCTAGCCGCCTGGAGTGGCCGCACGCAGCAGCTTGATCCTTCCTTCGCCGAAGATAAGCCACACCTGATGGCGACATCGTATTCGGGATGCTCATGCATCAGGAAAGGCTATTCGCCAATGGACCCTGTTTGGCAAGGTTGTGGCTTGTTGTGAAAACGTAAACGTAGCGCGAAGGCCGTTGCTCGTGTGTATAAAGAGAGGCAAGCAAGTCATCGGCAATGGTCGAGCAGACGAAAAGGCCTCACAGACCCCCACTCCAACGCCCTAGTCCCAGCTAGCCGTCACCTCCATCTCCCACCCCTCTTGCTTGTCCATCCATCGGCGGCTAGTTCAAACGCCATGTCGGAATACCTCGCTTCCGTTCCTCACAAGGGCGCCTACGGCGATGTCGAAGATGACCGCAAGTCCGCCATTCTCGACATCAAGGAGGGCGAAGTCGAAGCCGAAGTGTCCGTCACCGAGGTCGACCAAGCTTTCGCTTCGCTAGTAGCAGCAGAAGAGAGCCACGATATCAAGCATCGTACCATGGGCTGGAAGAAGACGACATTGCTCTTGTTCGGTGACCAGGTCTGTCTGGCCATCATGGCCCAAGCGTGGTCGTTCAAGGTGATGGGATGGGTGCCAGGTCTCATCACCACCATCCTTGCCGGCATCTTCTTCTACATCACCTCTTTGACCATGTGGCGCTTCATCATGAGGCATCCAGGCGTGCGAGACGTGTGCGACATTGGTTACCTGCTCTTCAACAAGTCAAAGATCGCTTACGAAGTCACGGGTATCATGCTCCTCCTCAACAACATTCTCCTCATTGGCTTCCACATTCTCACTTTTGGCAAGATTCTCAACACCCTGTCCGACCATGGCACGTGCACCGTCGTCTTCACCGCTATCGGTGCCATCACTGGTATCCTGATGAGCTTGCCACGCACACTCAACCACCTCACCGGCATGTCGGTTGTCAGCGCCATCTGCATGGGAATTGCCATCATCCTTTTCCTGGTCTTTGCTGGAATCGAGGCGAACCCTCTGTACGGCTACGGAGGTACCTGGCCAGCTGCTGGAGACGTTGTCCGCACCACCGCCTTCCCACCCCCTGGCACCACTTGGGTCGAGTGCCTGCAAGCCGCTCTCAACATCGTCTTCCTCTGGGTTCCTCAAATCCTCTTCCCCACCTTCATCTCTGAAATGAAGAGGCCTCAAGATTTCCCCAAGGCTCTCACCGCACTGGCCGGTCTCAGCTTCGTCCTCTTCATCGTCCCCACTGTTCTTGGCTACCACTGGCTCGGACAGTATGCTACCGCTCCGGCATTCGGCAGTCTCGAGAGAGTCTACGTCAAGGCATCCTTTGCATTCGTCATTGTTCCAACCCAAGTCATCTCGGTCATCTACAGCAATGTCGCCTGCAAGTACATCTACCAACGCATCATGCGCAACTCCAAGCATGCTCACAGCCACTCCAAGATCGGATGGGGCGTGTGGGCAGCGGTCACCACAGTGGTTTGGGGCATCGCCTTCATCTTTGGCTCCGTCATTCCATCCATGGGAGACATGCTGGGTCTTCTGGGAGCCGCCTTCGACTCTCAATTCGGCTTCATCTTTTGGGCCCTCTGCTGGTACAGCCTGTATCGACGCGAAGGTTTCTTCACCACTTGGACACGCACCGCCGGTACCGTGTTCCACATCATCGTCATGCTCCTCGGCCTGTTCCTTCTCGGACCTGGTCTTTACGCCGCCGTCGAGGCCATCATCGTCGACTACGCTGGGCCCGTCAGACCAGCATTCTCATGCGCAAACCTCAGCCTCTAAATATACGGGCTGCCATACACAAAAAGTCACGCTTTCTCGCTCGTCGTTGGTCAGTCATCAAAAAATCTCCAATTTCCGCGTCACGCCTTCTTTCGCAATGCTAGCTGCAAGATGTATACTTGCAGGCCCAAAAATGTACTCTTACTAGTCGAATCGAATGACGTTACGATCAGCAAGCTTCAGGTTGCCCTGCTCTGCTGCAGTGCTTGCCGGGAAGAAAATGGACCTGTAGCCACTGGGTGCACGACGATTCAGTTGATCAGTTCTCTCTGCCAAATTTGGCTCTGCCATCCTTGTCTTGATTGCAGCTCGGTAACAGGTCGACCACGATATTGCAATGGAGCATATGATTCGGTACGGAGCGGCTGAACGAACACATATCTGTTGGACAGTGTCTGGAGCGATTCGAAGGGCAGACTCATTCCACAAAAAGCCAGCAGCGAGAGCAATGGTAAGACAGAGAGTTGAGGGGCGCAGCTGGTCCCTTGTACGTCTCTGGCGCCAACTGTCAAGCGAAGCGAAGCGAGGTCGCGACGGTCTGGCGTGGCGCGCGGGGGGGTCGAACGCGCTATACTCTAGCTCTCGGGATCAGCTCCAGCCTGTAGACGCCTGAAGCTGGGCGCATGGACAAAGTCTCGACGATGGTGTGCATATCGTCGTGGGTGCTACGCACGTCGTAGTCAAGAAAGAGAGCAGCGATCAGGTATCGAAGTTCGTGCCAAGCCATGTGCACACCAAGGCACTGTCTCGGACCGCTCGAAAAAGTGAGCAAGCTGGCTTCCATCTCTCGTGTCGCATTCTTCCAACGCAGGGGATTGTAAATTTCTGGCTTGTCGTAAATTTTTGGGTCCATGTTGGATACGCCTGCTGCGACGAAGACGAGCGTACCTGGTGGCAGCCAGCGACCATCGCTCAATTGCATGCCAGCTTCTGGCACGACCCTTGGAAATGGACCAGGCCCTGCTGGTATGAAGCGCGTACTCTCCTTGATGCAGAGGTTCAAAAAGGCACAAGTTTCCAGGCTCTTCAAATTAAGCACGCCGTCGGGAAAGGTGGACTCGAGCTCCTGTTTGAGAGTAGTGAGAACGGCGGGCTGCCTCAGAGGAGCAGCCAGTGTGAAAGCCGCCGTGAGTCAAGTGCATTCGTGCGCAGCAGTACCAAAGCGACTTACACGTTCCAGCAGCAGATGTACGATGGAGGAAGCTGTGCTCGCCATGGTGTCGGTGCCAGCAATGAATTGTATTCCAATCTCGTTCAGAATGACCTCCTCATCGCAGCCTGCTTTATGAAGCTCGGAAACGATGCAGCGCTCCGTGCTGACTTCGGCAATTAATTGGAGTCGTTCGCCATGTCTCTGATTGCCGGACCACAGATTGGATGTTTTGAGCTTCAAGAATTGTCCGTACTTTGGTCGCGAACCGAGCCAGGCGGGCAGAGGAAAGTTGTTCGTAATGTTTTTCGCCATTTTTGCAAGGCTGTGCACCGCAGGCATGGCATTCGCAAGATTGGAGTCGCTGATCGCACCTTCTACGAGTCTAGGTGCCGTGACTGCAAGCTCATTTAGCGAAAAGTTTTGAATCACGTAGCCGTCTCCGAACAGATGGGCGGCGACTGCGCTCGCTCCTATACCTCGAGCATAGTGGATGAAGTCGATCGTTCTACTCCTTCCCTGCGGCGCGAGTTCAGCATCATTAAGCTCCTTGACAGCTTTCTGTAGTGCTTCTCGATTCCTTGCAAGAATGCCTTCCAGACGAGTCGTTCCGGCGTCCGTGAAAAAGTAGGACTTGGTGAACAAGGAATTGTAAATGCGTCGCCGAGCAGCGTTTGGCGCATGCTTCTCGTACGACACCAGGCTATCGATTTCTGGATGGGGTATGCGCAGCATCTTTGCCAAAGCCGGAGCTTTGTCGAAGGGCGGAGAGCGCGCTCCACGGCCGTATATCTTGCGGATGCTGTCCACGCCAGTGGTGGACACCAAGTTTGGGGCGATGATCACTGAATTGCTTTCATACTTGCGGTGCAATTGTAGAATCCAATGGGCACGATCACCCGCAATTTGATGGTATGCGAAAGCGAAGGGCTTGAAGCGACAATGCAGTGGTCCAGGGATGTGGCGCAGCTTCCAAGCATCCACAAGGATTCGGTAGAGGTTGACGCACACCACGGTCGCGACTGCAAGCCCGAGAGCGTGGGTGAAAAGAACATCGACTTGGTACTGGCTCACCATCGTATTCCTCCTGAAGTATGGATGATGTGGGCGCTCGTGTACACGCCTTGGATCATGGCGCTGGGCGGCTTTGCTCAGTAATGCTGATGGCTGCAATGTCACGTTTGCGCGTTGATTGTTGTTTGGGTCAAGCACCTTTTAAGGAAGGTCGTGCCATTGCCTCTTCGGCGTCCTGCTTTCGCCAGCGACAAAGGCTCGCGATTGTGGTGGGCCAGCTTGTCGAAAGGCAAAATGTGAGAGCCGCCATAGGTGCTACAGCGGCGTGACCTGCGATAAGACCGCCGCGAGAGTTGGACACGATTTGTAATTGATGAATAAATGCGTACACCACACATGTCAAACCTGAAATACTACCACCGTCGTCGCTGTCAGGCACCTGCGCGACAATTTGCCTCTTGCACTCTGTGCTGACAGTCTCACTGGAGATTGCTGCGAACCCCTCCGCACAGCGAGTATCAATATGAGACCCTGAGGTAGGGGTGCGCGACCGCTATATACGCAACTATAGGCAGCGCTGCGGTCAACGGACCAAGCGCAATCATGCAATGGCCAGCGAAATTCGTGATGCTGAAACAAATTGAAGATGCTGAAGTGATGTTTGATTAATTGAGACCGCTCGCAGCCATCATTGCGCCAGCACTTTGACTCCCGATCCTGCGCCCCGCATCCCGTAAGACACCAGGATCTATATGCATGGTATATAGTGGTGAGAGCGAAAAGTCTCACGATGTGGCGGTGCTCCATAAGAACGCCATCGAGCCTTGCCATTTGATTCAAATGATGGCGGTCAGGATCGATCGATCGATCGTGCGTGATGTGCGTTCATAGCTTGCCCGACGCTGGCCGGGTAGAAAGGAGCTAGGTGCTGTCGCGCAGATCACGTTCAGGGATGATGTGGATGGAGGTAGTATTCACGCATTGCGAGTTGCGGTTTCGGTGCATGCATGAGGTTGTGCGCGTGCGCGACAGCTGACAGTCACGAGTGCTGAAGGACATGCAGGTGCTTCTATGCCAGGCTCCGGGAGTCCGAATGCTCGACGCTGCAAGTGAGTCACGAGTGTCGCTCTCGCTGCCGCCCCACAGCTAGTCAGAGTATAAAGACGCGAGCTGGCGTTGCTGCTTGAGGGGCTCCGCATGGCTGTCTCAAACGCTGTTGAATGCATCAATTTACCTCATCACCTGCAAAGTACACCACGGAGGTGCGGCAGTGATTCATCATCGTGAAACTAACAGCTCGGATGAGTCGCGCCACTCACGGCTAATTCGTGACATCAGGATCAGTGGAATGAGTGCACGGATACGTGCCTTGGCTCAGCAATTGTGCGAGTCACACGAGGACGCGGTAGAGGAGACTGGATCTTGAGCATCAGGAAGCTCGAACCACGACTTTTTTACGACTGTGTCAAGTGCTCTATCAAGGTCAAGAGCGATACCTCCACCTTGAAACAGTCAAAACTTCTGACGCGGACGATAGCGACGTTGGGTCCTAGCTCGAGTAGGTACGCGCCCCATCTGCTTGCGCAGCACTTCTTGCCCACAGGATCTGCTACGTGGCAACGAAATCAGCCAGGTCACCTTAACACGACTGTCTTACGACTCGATCCACGACTCACGACTCGCAATTCGTGGATCCGAGGCGGATGCGGTCGATGTTCCCATTCTTGGTTGCACTCTTCACGACTCGCCATCATTGTTGATCGATCTCTTTCAATTCGTGATTGCATCCACTCGGATCGCCGCATCTGCGCCATATGATGGCAGGGATCGTTCATGATCGGCGCTCCTGTCTCCGCGACAACATCGCGCAGATGTTCGTTGCGGGATCAATGGTCGTCACTGACAGCAGTCGATGAGCAGAGATGATAGGATCAGACCGACGATGGCGCAATTGCCAGGGCTTTTACAAGTTGTCGGCTCTCATGCTTCTACCCTGGATCGTTCATGTCATCTCCCAGCACAGTCAAGGCATCATGTTCAGCACATATCGCATCGGCACGGTTACCGGTGAAGAGCACAACATGAGATTACCGAAGTGAGTAGCGACTGTAATATACCGGCTCTTTACTAAGCAATAGTAAGAGCGAGTCTAGCGAGCACTAAGCATTTCATCTCCTCTAAGTCTGTGGAAAGTGATGTTGCCCCAATATCCGAGTAGACGCTTAGCACTCCTCGCGGTGAGTGCCCTGCTGCGATCCGGCCTGTTCAGGCAATCTACGGGGTCCTGCAGGTCGTTCCAAGAATTTCCGACATAGAATTAGCAGCCTCGACTAGATTGGCTCCTTGAAGACCTTACCGGTTTCATTGGGCCGACTGGCATCGCGGCTGGGGGTGATTCTTCATCTCGTGTCGGCTAGATGAATCTTTTGAGCTGAAGACCTTTGCGGCTTCATTGAGCCGTCTGGCATCAAGGATGGGGTATGCTACTTCCCGTGTGGTCGTCAGAGAACGGGCGCATCTGCTCTACGTATGCAACGGGCACCACATTTTGGCATAAGAGATGAAGCATGAGAGACACAGCGCTGAATCTGCCTCGCGAGAGTGCCTATACTCAGTCCCTCGATATTGTTTCCCTATTTCGCATCTCTCCCTCTTCTTCTTCTTTGCAGCAGAGGCGTTCCGGACGCGCGAGCTGCCTCAAACACTCGAGACCAAACGAACATGGACCCTCTCCGCTTTTGGGACGTCCGGAGTCTGAGTGAGATAGAGAGGCGAGCAGCCGCTGACGCTTGCGACGAAGTCGTTTTGGGCCTGTTCCAGCGATTAGGCTATCAGTGGCCAGTGCCAAGCGAGCAGCAAAAGACCGACAATGCCTTGGTCTTTAGCAAGATTGAAGAGTGGGCTGATCGGGAATTGAAATCATGCGACCTCGACGCAAAGACCGTCAAGAGGCTCGTTGATTTTGGAGTCGCCTGCGGCTGCATGTTTTACCCGCACGGCTCGGTCGAGATCAAGTTCCTCATGTCGCAAATGACGGTCCTGGCAACCGCATTGGACGACAAGCCTAACCATCACGACATCGTGCATCACACTGAGCGTTATCTCTCGCACGACTACGGTGAAAATGATGCAGCCACGCCCGCGAAAACTTTGCTGCGCCTCTACGCCGAAGGTGTGAATGAGATGGCTGCATACTTTGAAGCCGACGATGGCCTGACAGCCAGTCTCATTCGTGCTTCGTTGGAGACTTATCTTCTAGGATGGCTGCTCGAAGCCAGAGTTCATGGCATGCGCGTCGCATCGGACAACGATGGACCCCAAGCTAGTCCCACATTCGCGGACTGGGTGCGCGGCAAAAGCGGGATCGGCGATGCTTACGTGCTGGCTATCTTCAAGCCGAACAAGGAGACCAAGATTGGGATGGACCGTTGGTTGTCCTGCGTGACGGACCTCCAATGCTACACAGGTTATTTTAACGATGTCATGTCTTTACGCAAGGAAATTCTCGAAGGAGATGCGGGCAACTACATGAACATCAAGACTCGCATCAGGCATCTTTCAGGGGAACAAGGGACGACTCGAGCCGACAAGAAGTTTTGCATTCGTGATATGCTCAATGAGACGGTCGCTGAGGTGGAGCAGGCTGCAAAGCGCATCGATGCCCTTATCAAGCACGCCATCCCCGAAAAGCTGCATCTGTGGCACGGCTACCGCCATGGCTACATCCTATGGCACCTCTCGATGCCTCGCTATCAGCTCGAAAATGTAGCTCGCGATCTCCGTGGAGTCGAGTAGAAGAAGAAGTGAGTAGCCTGCAGCTCTAGCTTTGGATCGATGCAAACTGACCTTGCGACTCCCACCACTGCTGCAAAGCTTCCAATGATGATTCGACCACACTCTGCATTCATCATATGCACGGGTCCCCGCGATTGAATGCTCATACTAACGAACCGGTGGCGGCTCTTCAGAAAGTGTGACCAGCTTTGACTACACATCCTATTGAGGTGAGGCTGAGATGAGAGCCCATCGCTTTGCCGGCAATTTGCCTCTCGCTCGTGCCCTCATCACATATTCGGCGCCAGCGCCACGCTTGAGGAAGCACAGCAGTGTCCACAACAAGTTGATGTCAGAAATATATTGTGACTCTCTTGTGTTGCTAGTCTGCGTTCATATGCTATCGTACCGTCGCTCTTTCCTCTACTACCTCCTAGAACCCCGCTTGCGTGGTTGCATCGAGAGTACAGAAGAATGGTGAAATGTGCGGCTGAGAGCGTAATGCGGAGACCGTCATGCGCATCAAGGCAGTGGTGAGCATGGCGTACTGTCGAAGTCGGATGCCCTGCTTCTTGCGCTTTAGGAATGTGAAGACTCGCCGATTTCCTCGCTCGTACTAGGTTTCTGCCAAATCTCACGATCGGGGTGCTTTTGAGGTCCCAACCAATTGACGACCGACTCGGACTGAGAAACGTTGAACTCGACACGCTTGCGCCCACCCCAAAGGCCCTTTTTGCGTTCCTTGCTGGTCAACCAAGCGCGAGCCCTTCTAGATTCTTCGTTTACGTACCATCGCCTGGCCTCGATACCAGTCATCGTCTCCATCTCTTTCCTAACTTCCGGAGGAGGCGAGGACCAGTCGAACCTGCTGTTTTGACCGTGCACGTGTGGTGGGGGCGAGCCTGTCTGGGCTTGAGTAGTGTGGACTGGTGAGGACGGCCGCCTTGGCGTCGAAGGCGCGAAGCAGCTGAAAGGACTGCCTCTGCGCATTAGACATGTCACGTTCGCCTTTCGCCCAGGTAGAACACCCAGGATTCTGCTCGGGCGCGAGCCGAGAGGCGCTCGTTTGAGCAATATTTTCCGTGGATGATACCGCTGTAGTCACGAGTACGTGAGTGCAACGTAGCTCGCACGATATCAACGCTTGTTCAGGCAGCCTGTCAAGAGAAGCTGCTGAGCTATTCACTTACCGCAATGCCCACGCTACGCTTCTCCGACATTCTGAATCTGCCAGAATGTTTGGCTTGAGCACTTGTACGTGTCTGTCACCAAGATGGAACTGATAGCAGTCAGATGCGTCTAGCCGAGGTCGGCAATTTGATTCGACGCTTCTACGTCGCAAGTTTGAAAGAGATGCGTCACCGGCAGTACCCTACATCTCTATCGTGTCTACCGCGGTGATTCTGCGTGACTCGGACAATTTGAGCGCCTGATCACTTACGTGGACGTTGCGATCCGATCGGCGGCGCAAAGGCTCGTTCGACTTTCGCAAGGCAGCTGAGACACCCTTGACTGGAGGATTTGTTTCGGGATACATGTGCGACAGAGGATGCATCTGTCCGGCGGCGTGTATGCTGCTCAAATGCTCTCTGATGATTCTCTCGCGAGCTTGGTGACCAGCGTCCTGCCACTTCCCAGTGCCCAAGCTGGAAAGTTCGTAACGGGTACCATGTCAGTCATCGTCATAGTGAGAAAACAGGCAACGAAACTTACATGAACTCGTCCAAATTCTTGTGAAAGCTGGGCGTACCCCATCCACCCTGTTGCTTCATGAAGTTCTTCATGCGCCCGTAAGAAAAGTCCACATCTTCCTTGGTCGCGGGAGGGTGATATCCCCAAGAAGGATGATTGCGAACGTGCGCCGTCTCCAGCTCCTTCAACGTCAAGGGAGGTCGACCGGCATGACCGAGCAAGCTGTGCTCGCTTTCGGGGATCCCCTTCGCGGGCTTCTTGGCCAGGGATAAGATTCGCGCAAGCTCACGCTTGACCAGCAAGGGTGATTTGAGTGGCTGGAGAGCGGTGCGGGGCTGCAGAGCAAGAGAACGGTCAGCAGAGCTAGTGCAGCGTGCGAGAACAGCGCCCTTCGTAGGCATCTATTCGCACCAACAACACTCACGTCGACGAGCTTCTGAGGCAGTGCTCGCCTGCGAAGGCCAGAGCTACCGCCCTTGATGATGTCGCTATGCTCGTCCAAAATCCGCTTAGAAGCGACCTCATGCACCCGCCCATGCATGAAACCCGTGTGCAGCTCGCTGAAACAGGGGCAATGCGACGTCGATGGGTCAAAAGAGCTCAGACCTGCCCGCCTTGCTTTTTTCCCTCGAGAGCGCAGGCCGTACTCACGGGGCATACCCGAGCGCATGTTTGATACGAGGCGTACCCCAAGCACCACTGTTGATCATTTTCTTTTTGAGGTCCTCGTAGTAAGCTTGCACCCTCTCAGAGTCTGCTGTCAGTGGCGGAGTGTAGACACGGCGAAATTCTTCTTGGTATTCCTTGCGCTCCGGACTGGGATATCGGACGCCTTCGTGTTCGAGCAAGCTGTGCTGATTGGGTGGAACATCGGGTGCTGGTTTCTTAGCAATCGAGACCAGATTGGACGGCGAGCCCTTCATTTCGGCTTCAATTTTCTCGGCAGAGGAGAGAAATCTGGAGGGTGAACCCTGGGAGTAGAATTGCAGAGCTGGATCAGCAGCCGTCTCGTATAGCTCGCCTCAGAGTCGAGTGCTTGTAGTGTCACGCGCACGGCGCATACGCGTCAGCCCGTGCACATTATGTAGCTACACTGTACCTGTGATCCCTCGTAATGAACACCATCATCATCACCATAGAGCCGATCTGCGACAGTGGTTCGCGAGAGAGACGACTCACAAGGGGAGATGGCCTGCCATGTGTGCTGATGACGAAGAGCACGAAGAGTAAAGTGCAAGACCAACCCGCCTGCACCGGTAAAGGAATGCGCCGGCACGAACGCATGGTGCAAGCAATTGTCAAAGGTTGGAGGGAACTTGCTGAAAGATGAAGCCAGAAGACTTTCAAGAAATGCTCGACCAGCGAGTCCTTTGATGCTTTCTTTGAACCAGAAAGGAGAATGAACGAATGAGTGAGCAGTAGAGAGCGACGGTATCCTAAAGCCTGAAGATCGAGCGCTTTGTATCCCAAGCTTCCCATTCACCACTCATCACTTGGATTCATACAAGCCGCCACGCGGCACCGGCCTCGCCACCGGCGGAAAAGGCACGCAATTTGGGTGTGCCAACGCAGCCACCGCTGCAATTCCGAGTCATCTTGGCGTCAACATGCTCGCCCGCTGTCGGCGAAGCGGAGATATCACCGCACTCAACGAGCATCTGGTTCCTGATGTTGGCGAAGCTGAGTCGCGATGGCGTCCACTGCCATGCACATTGCACTGTGAATGAGGTGCAGAAGACGCGAGTGCAGCCGCCGAAGTGTGAATGCTGGCGAGGAATTGCGAATGCGCCCTGTGACCCGCCGTTTGCAGTCTTACGCTGAAATTGTTGAGGGAAACTATCCATCGGCAAGGTGCAGCGCTTACCGATCTGATTGTCCCCAACCATCGGTTTAGTGCGCCTTGTACGAGCCAACGTCATATCCTCAAGGACGGGACTATAGCGCCGAATCAGCAATTGTGAACACGAAATCTAGTCCTTTGAGCTTGTCATTGATTGAAGGCGACGCGCAGCGAGAGATGCGCTTGAGCGAAGCAGCTCGATGCGGAGGCCTTCAGTAACCTGATCAGCTGCCATTGCAGCGCGCCACCAAATCTGCAGGTATTCTGTCCTGAAGGTAGGTGATGACATCGTCGATGGGCGTCCATTCCGCCAACGCCGGACCTTCACGGCCCGTGAGCAGCTTTGCCTCGGATGTGAGCACTTGACCGTAGGCCTGCAAGCGGGTAACTCATTAGGAAGGTACGAACATCAGTGCGTCTGGATGATCGGCTAGCAAGAGACGCCCCGCCTGCCGCCGAAGCTCGTTGTTGCGATTCGAACCCTTTCGCCACTCCGCTCGATCTGCTCACCAAAATTCTGACGTGTTGCTTCGGAGCAGCACCCGACTCGGTGTTGGTCTGCTGTTCCCAAATCTCAAAGATGACTTCGCTTCCGAGCGCAGGCCAGCGAATAGTGCCGCTTTGGGCAAGACTCTTGAGCAGACGCACCATGGTGCCGTCATGACCGATGTAGAGATTCGCCTTGTGTGCATTCTTGCCATCTCGAATGAAGGACAAGTCGCGCAAGAGCTCAAGAATAAAGGCGCCGAAGCTATACCGAACGTAATCATCGGAGAGGGGAGATGCATTCCAGATGTAGCTGCGCGCGGGAGATCAGAACAAATAAGCAAGTCTGGCTTGTCGTGGACGAGGAAGCTGCTTTTCGCGATACCTACTTGTACTCGAAGTCGCCCGCAGCATATACATTGCTCGCAGTCTTTTGATCTATGCTGGCGCCGGTGTTCGGGTTGGTGGGGAGAGGGTGACCGTGGCATTGCCTAGAAGCCAAAAAGTCAAAGCTATGGAGGAGGCAGCAAAGCAAGTCAACACCCACCAATGGATAGGGTTGCATCGTCGCGGCGCTGTGCACTTACGCGTGGTCGATCCAGGAGTTCCAGCCAGCTTCCTTTGCAGTCCCGAGCACCTCGTTGACCGCGTCAAAAGTGCCGGAGATGTTGCCGAGGTGATTTTTCCAAGACTGCTCCTCCTCGATCTTGGCCCGAAGATCATTTGCATACGCGCAAGAGTAGCTAGGCACAATACTATCAATGTTGCTAGGCTGGATCTCTACCGGGAAATGTTTGTCTTCTGTGTACCCTGCACCTTTTAGGAATGCGCCGCTGACTTGAAACGTGCGGGGCTCGGGACTCGTACGTACACGCACCGTTTCCTCGCTGACGGCATCTACAAGCTCCGCAGGTCCTCCAGGTCCGTACACGCCAATCCAATCTTGACCGTGCTTAAAGGCGTTAATCAGTCCACCCGCTGTGAGTGTACCGCTGTCACACGTCCCATTCCAGATACGCTGGAGGAACGGATGCCATGGGGGAGTGCTAGTGCGAGGGTCTATCTGCGCTACTGGCGCCAAGCTAGCGGCCCGCATACCCGTGGCATAATTTGTGTACTCTATATCGGTCTGAACGAGCATACATGCGGCTTTAATCGTCAATGACAGATGCTGGACATGAGCATCTCATAGCCAAAGGTCCGTCCAGCACTCACGCAGTCCCAACCCGTCGGCGGGTTAAACTCATTCTCCTTGCCAGGCACGAGATTGTCAGGCGTGCGCTTCTCGTGTCGCTGGATATAGATGAGGTGCTTCAATTTAGCTTGAGGAGATGCCTCAGGTAGTGCATAATGCTCCCTAGACACTCTTGGCGCAGAGCAGTAGTTGTATGTATTCCAAGGCAGCTCGTGCGGACCGTCAGTGTATGTGCCGCCAGGCAGGGACAGATTGTATGCGCTGATGTTCGCGGCGGATGCTGCCATTTTGACGGCCTCGAGGGAGGAGCCGTATTGCGTATTGATGTGGTCCGAACTCAAGACAGCTTGGAAAGCGTCCCTGGTCATGAACAGGTCGTTCATGGTGTTTGTGAATCGTCACACACCTGTCTAGTCATCTTTTCGAGTCGTCCAGAAGCTCTCATCGTGCTCGCCGTCTGCATGCAGGATCCATCTTTGCTTGAATGTCCATCTCCGAATTCTACGCAGCGACATCAAACGCAAGCTGGCTTGGCTTGACTCCCTTGTGGAGGAGAAGAGCATGAGATGGGCATCAGCTTTGCACGTTCCCTTCACGAAGCTAGCAGCAGCGCGCTCGGGCTGCAGCGCAGGCACACATGCTGCTGCGAAAAGCGCGCGCCCTTGTACCGGCCGATTAATTCCGAATCAATAAGACAGTCACGTGGCTTATGTGCTCGTAAAGTTATTGCGAGATTCTCGAGGCTCGCATCGAAGTCAAGATGCTGCTCAGCCGAGGCTCATCCTTGGATTTGCCTTGAAACCTCGACTCGATCTTCCAGCCCCTTTGACCTGGCACACACCGTCACCCCACCCGTGAACAACCACAGCAGATCTTGATGCGTCACGTGTGAGAGGGACGCCCAGCCCAGCGCAACGAAGCAGGCCCGCTCGTGTCCTGCACCTCGCTCGCGATTGCCTTTTAGCCTTCGTCACTCGATCAAGATCAATCGACCAGCCAGTGGCGCACCTTGACCAGCTGGGTCTACCGTCTCCTTTTTGTTTCACAGGGGCTTTTCTCCTTCGACTTCAATCGCGATCGGTCCAAAAAGCCTCGAATTTGATCGCGAACACGATCAAGCGAACAGAAGCATGTCCGTCCTAGCCGAGTCTCGTCAACAATCGCGCATCCTCTTTGTCAAGAACTTGTCTTACCAAGTGACGGGAGCCGATCTGTACGAGCTGTTCGGCCGATATGGATCCATTCGACAAGTGAGGACTGGAGATGGACCAAAGACAAAGGGGACGGCTTATGTTGTCTTTGAGGAGATTGGAGATGCCAAGAAGGCGCTGGATCATTTGAATGGATTTCATTTGCAAGAGAGGTATATCGTAGGTGAGTTTTGCGAGCATACATGTGGTTGGATGGTTGGGGGTGGCGGGAAGCGCTGAGAAGATGGTGACGACGCTAACGAACGATGAATGACGCGTGCACGCTCCCATAGTCTTGTATCACATGCCGGCGAGAGGCGCAGCGACGGCCAAGGCGGATCTGGCAGCCAGAGAAGCTCAACTAGCCGAATTGAAGCGCAAGCACGACATTGCTGATGCGGAAAAGTAGCAAGGCAGCCGATGTGGACAGCAGCATCAAGAGACGTGCGATTTGGGGTCGAGTGCATGCCCGATGCTGATAAGAATAGGATGCGGGCTCCTGCGGCAAAGAGGCCAAAGACTTGCTCAGAGGTGGGACGAGTGGAGATGGTCTGGGCAGCTCGACAATGAGGCAGGCAGGCAGGCAGGCAGGCAGGCGTGGATCTTCGGGCGCAGACAGCGTCTGTTCAATCTCTCAACAGTCACAGGAAGAGGTGGGAAGGATTACACAACAACAGAGACCTTTGTATTATAGGCTGGGCGTACGCCGCTTTCGATACAATAGCCGCGATCAACATCGCACGACATTCGTGACTGACATCGCACATGCATAAACGCTCCTAACCGTGCTGCACAGCTGGCTCCATGTGGGACGTTAATCAGTCGGATTGCGCCCTCATCGATTGCTTTGTCCCTGCAGCTGAGGTCGAGCGCTCGATCTTTGTTCAGCATCGGCGGAAGTATGTGATAGCAATCCCCTTGCGCCTTTTTGCCAGCAGCGCAGCCACCTTCCCCGCTTCCCACGCATTCGAAATCGTAATAGCATCAGGTGACATGACAGACTTCACGACTGCCATCACAAACTCTGAATCGTGGCAATGAAAGCCTTGCAGCATACACCTTTCGCCAGCCAAGCACGAAGCTTGTCCTATGATTTGCACGCGACGCTGCACGAGCAACATCGTGAGTGCCACGATTCGCTGACACGGATGACTCGCCCTTTGCTCTTCCTACGACTCGTGACATGATCGCGACTTGCGCGACGCTTGATTGACATCACTCGCGCGTGACTAAGCTTGACTCTGGCTCGATGTCTTGAGTACAGACTCGGGCCTCTCTGACTTTTGCGGCTCACTCACTGGATGACAGCATTACTCTTGAAAAATCAAGAGCGCGTCCCACATGCGATCTACAGTTTCAGTCAATCACGAGTCACGAGTGTGCGTAGAGGGAGCGCGTCATGAGGACATCGCGGTCGCGAGTCGTGAGTCGTGAGTGGGAAGTCACATCGCGGCGAACGCGTCTCGCGCGTTAGGTCGGCTGGTCCGCAGAACGAGCGCGCACGTGATACCAAAGACCGCGTCGCGAACGCCTTTTGGCGTGACTGTGCAGCAAGCAAGGAAGCAAGCGGCACGCACCTCTTGGCATGGGATTTGCGATGGGGCCAATTCGTGATTCCTACACATCCTCGGCCTCACCCAAGAACCACAAACCCCTGCGGGGCTCCATCTACCACTCATCCAGCTTTCGTCCATATCGCTCACGATAGCCTTGTTGCTAGCCACTGCATCATCATCGTCATCACACTGCCAGGCAGACAAGGGCCAACTCCCTGCGAGCTCGCTTGCACAGTGCACCCACAACACTTGGCGGCAACAAAGGCCGGTAGACAAGCGGCGGCCATAGCGCGCACCATATTCGATCATCCACATCATCGACAAGGCTTTTAAGGAGCGAGCGATAGTACAGCCCGACGACGCGCCTTGTCGACGCAAGCGCAATCGCTGATATCTGCACCCTTTTGGCAAGATGGATCGTCCACGTCGTTCAGCTCGAGCACCTCAGCAGGGCAACAGGCTCATCTCAGCCTCTTCGACCAGCAGTCCAGCTCCGACCGCACCTTCGACTGCTGCCTCTCCTTCTCGTCCCTCTCCACGGGTAGGAGCACGGGGCTTAACAGATGCTCCAACCAGTCGATCGCCCGACGAATTTCGACGCGCCAGAAGGGTAGCGGGAAGATCAGGCTCCGGATCAGCCAATGACTCGAACTCAGTTTCCCCTTCTGCTTCCCTCTCTCCTGAAATGTCCAGACTCCCCCCCGGTCTAGCTACCGACTACTCCAACGCACACGATCCCGCCAATATCTCCCAGTATGAACAGCAACGCGCAGACCCGCAGCAATCGCAGTCGCAGTCGCAATTGCACGCGCCAGCGCCGGCTCAGACCTACGCGACAAGTGCGAAAGCAGCTTCTGTTGTTCGAGGACTTGACAGCAATCCCTACATCTCCCGAGCCTCGCAACTCCTCTCCAAGGGACAAAGATCCATCCTTCCTCCCAACGGGGTCGCAGCATACGCACCGCTCCCTCGCGCAAGCACCACTTACAATTCTGTGCAAGTCGGCGGCAACGTCTCTGTGGTCCGAGGTCAAGCTCTTGGTGGGACTTTTCCTGCTAGGATGGCGATTGGGACGAGCGGACTGATGAGGCCTTTGTCTGCGGCCGAGATGGAAGGTGCGGCGGGTGATGAGAGAGTAGGCGGTGGCGGCGGCGGCGGAGGAGGAGGCGGCGGAGGTGCGGGTGGTGCTGGTATGTCCTCTTACGGATATGGCTCCGGAGTGACGGGAGCCAGATCCAGCGGAAGAGCTTCTACGCGCGCCAGACCGACTTACTACGATGCTCCATCCAGCGATTTTGATGATGAGGATAGCGATGAGGAGACCCAGCATCAATCAAGAGGAACGAGAGCGAGGGGAAAGAATAAAGAGGTGGAGCAGCAGCAAGTGGAGGAGGATGAGGAGGAAGAAGAACAGGAAGGCGAATGGCTAGGTGTACCCCCTCCCGCTAGCAAGCTGTGGGCTACGCCTGCGCGCAAGCGAATGTTGCCCTACTTGTGAGTCCTTCAAAGTAGCAAGACGTCGTTTGCATGGATCAGTGCATTCGATCAACCTCGCTCCCTAATGTTCTCGCCTCATCCTCGCCCGCCCCTCCCACAGCCACGAGACGGATGTGGCGCGCCTAACTCGAGAGAGGGAACAGCTCATCCCGATCACTTTGGAAGCTCAAACCTCGACTCATCGCATCAACGATGTGATCCTGTGGAACCTCAAGGAGAGGCTTCTCAGACCCGAAATCTTCGTGGCTGGGTTCCTGCACGATCTCGGTCTGGATCCGGTGCCTGGAACACCTAATGAGTTTGAAAATAGTGAGCTGGGTCGAGCGCTGGTCGAGAGCATCAAGAGGCAATTGGGGCAAGCTGAAGTCACACATGGAGGAGCGGTGTGGGATGAAGATGCGGACGAGAAGTGGGACGATGGATTGGAGGATGTGTTTCAAGCAGGTGGCGCCCATTTGGAAGAGCACCGCACGCCGCAAGTTGGAGTTGAAGTTGTCGATGAAGATGAGGATGAAGATGAGCTGGGTGAGGTTGCTCGCAAGCGAAGAAAAAAGGCTGCGCTCGCCGATCTACCCGAGAGCGAGTTACAAGAGGATGATATGAGGGTGATTGTGGAGGTGAGTTGGTCTTCCGCGCAAGACATGCCTTCTGCTTCGCCTCTTCGTCCCCATAAGCTGACTCGGTCCCTTTGCAACACCCCGAACTCGTGTCCTTTGACACAGTACGAAGTGCCGATCCTGTCTTCGTACCTTCAGGACAGGCTAGAGTGGGACCTTCGTTCATCACTCACGCCCGAAGTCTTTGCTTCTCGCTTGGCCAAAGATCTTGGTCTGACGGGAGAAGCTCTTCCGCTCATCAGCGCTAGTATCAGGGAACAGCTGTTGAATCATCGACGCGCAGCGTTGGATCTGGACCTGCCGGGAAGCGGCAAGAGGTGGGCATTTGCACAGAAGCTGTTGGGCATCGCCAAGGGAATGGAGTCGGGAAGCGCAGAGGCGAAAGAGGAGCTCGCTCGGATCATCAGGGAGAACGCCGAGCCTGAAGAGCATGAGAGCAGGGGGATTGCCGATGGCGCGACTCGTGGGCAAGGCGAGGATACGCCTGATGAGCGACGCCCTGCCGCTTCTCGCGACCGCAATCCCAATGCTCTCTCTAGTCAGACGACGGCTAGTAGTACGCCACTACGACTGGACAGCGCTCAAATGGACGGTACTTCCGTGAGTAGCCTTGCACCTACAGGGGGGCGCCCACTCACGAATCACATTACCCTCGGACGTGCGTGCGGGAGGCAGCACGCTGATCATCCCCTTTCCCCTCCCACGCCTCCTCATGCACTGCTCAAGACTCCCGCCGAGCTGGCGCTTCCCAGGGCGTCGGATCTGCGCGAACAAGCAGAAAGACAGCTTTCGGATGTGACGGTTAGGGGACCTAGGAGGTTGGAAGGCGTATGGAGAGATTGGGGCCAGAATTTTGGTCCGATCTTGGAGAAGCTGGACAGTGAGGAACGAAGGCTTAGGGAGCTGGAGAGGGGAAGCGGCAGGTGAGTGCGCCGAGTTGGTTGATCCATCTACTTTTCCGCAAGCAAAAATCTTTGCAAGCCCTCTTCAGGAGGGGGCCAGCGGAAAGTCGTGCGCAAGCATGTTGCCGAACGAGCTGACATTTCGCATTGCCCCTTTCTTGATCCATTCTCGCGCTATGCATGTTCGTTCAACAGACGATCAAGACGCATCGCTGCTACCAATACGAACCAATCGATGCGCAGGCAATTGCGACGATGAGAAAGGGGACGTGGCGAAAATTGGCCTCGGATTGCGCGGGCCTGCCGTTCTTGTGTATCTCACGTGCGCACTGCTGCTTCGTTTTCCCGAATGCAAAATGCACGCTATTACACTCTCAAAGGCCTTCAAGTGTGAATGCTCTGACAAAACTTTGCGATGCATCGGGACTTGCGATGCGGGCAGTACTCGTGCAGGGAGACGCTAGCGCAGGGAGAGGGGGGCAACAGCGGCTACGCCCACCATCACCAGCCTTCGAGATCCAAAGCCTCGAGCGCCCTATCGCTACCCGAGTCTTCCTCCTCTTCTTCCTCTTCCGAATACCTTTCCTCCTCCTCTTCTTCTCCTTCCTCTTCCTCTTCCTCTTCTCCTCCCTCCTCCTCATCCTCCTCCTCCTCCTCTTCCTCCTGTTGCGCCCCTTCGATGTCGTCCAATTCGGCTCGTTGACCCTGTGCCAAAACCGCTTCGAGCGGCTCTGCCTCCCGTTCGTCTTGCCGTTGCGCCTCCGTACCAGCCTCCTCATGCGGCCTCTCATCCTTCCACCCTTCGCCCCCCTCGCTCTCCGACGACGGCAGCGGCGGCGCGCGGGACTGCAGAGCGCCATCGCCCTCCTCCTCTTCTTCTAGCGCAAATCCGCAACTTTCCTTGCCCTTCCGAACCAACATCCGATCCGTCGACCCTTGCCCACCCGCGTCAATCGTCGCATCTCCTCCCATCCCAAGCGCAGCATCCGACTCTCCTCCGGCCAAGGCCAAGGCCGACGGATCATCCTCGCCTCCTCCTCCAATCTCCTCCAAACTTGACGATCGATTCCTTGGCCTCCTGCTCCTTTTGCTCGAATCCACCTCGCGCGCTGCCACGCATGCGTCGTCGTGCGCGGGATCCGAAGACAGCGCAGCGTGCTTGCCGAGCGGCGAGCGCACGCATACCAAACGAGCCGTCGACTCGTTCGTGCTAGCGGACCCGGTGTGTTGACCATACACCGGACCGAACACGTCCTGGCTGATATATTCCTGCGATTTCAGAGGGGCAGCTTCTGCGCTACCAGTCTGCGAGACTGTGCTTGTCGGTGGAGGAAGGGGACGAATGGTGGCATTCGAGTCGGTCGATGTCATCGACACCGACGAGGATGCGCACGAATTTGCAGCTGGGTGATTTGCAGCCGAGCCAGACAAGCCCAACCCTACAAGACCCAACGTTGCGTTCTCCCTTTGCGAATCAGCATTTGCAGATAGAGAAGCATCTGGCGAGCTGACCCCAGCAGGCGAGCGCGTCTCCATCTTTGAGTCTGCCAGATCACCCTCCACGGCCGCTCGAGCGTCGTCTCCCAGCTTAGAGGCGCTACGGCCTGGCGACGTAGCTCTAGAGGGGCCGATCGATGTATTGGCAGATCTCAACAAGTCCGCAGCGGCGCTGATCGAAGGTGAAGATGACGCTTTGCCTTGGAACGATGCGTCCGCGGATCGCGCGTTGCCGCTGCCGCTGCCGTTGGCATGTCTGACCGGCGTTTGAGGCCTCGAAGGACCAGGAGTTGTGGGTGCAGAGAATGCCAAGGTGCGGTTCTGATCTGACAGTGGTGGCAGCATCGTCCTCTCCCGACTTCGAACGACCGCGCTGGAGCCCGAAGGGCGTGGCGACGATGTTCGAGCTGGTGTGGCCGGTCTGCTACTCAAAGCGCCCGGCTGAGGGTGCACAGGCTGCTCGGCCTTCTGAGCATGCTTTGAGCTCGATGGTGGAGCAGGAAGGGTGGGATCCACCTCGAAGCTCAGCCTGAGGGTTGGGTGTAGGACAGGTAGGGACCCGACCCCAATGTGCGCTGTGCCGCTACTACTAGATGAGACACTCTCCGTGTCCGGTGTGTGAGCAGCCGCTCCGTGCGCGCTAGGCAGCGCCGCTTTTACCAGCCGAGGCGAAGAGCGGGCAGATACACTAGTCGATGCTGTCAGATTCGAAGCGAAAGGGTATTGCGCCTGATCTGGCGCGCCTTCGATCAAAGTTGAGCTGCGCTTCGACTGCCTGCCGCTGAGATTTCCTACAGATGGAGCATTCTTGCTCGCAGTGGACGAGCCATCGGACGACTTGGCATCTTTTTCTCGGCCCACAGCTTGGCTGTCGCGCTTTGAGACCTCTGCAAATGCGGCAAACGGCAGCACGTCATAAGGATCAGCAAGTCGAGAGAGGGGATGAGGGGCAGGCCAGACCCAGTCTGGAATGTGTCTGCGGGGAGCGAGCTGCAATTGGCCATTTTGCAGCTTTGACGTGGAAGCGGCAGATGCGCCATCAGCCGCTGACGGCCGTGCAAGGTCATCCGCGAAAAGCGCGTGCCTCGCTTCCGACTTGGACTGAGGATCTCGAGTTTGCAAAGGGCCTGCAGATTGGTGCCACTTTTTGACGAAAGCCATTGCGACGCTGCTATCGTCATCCTCCAGCTCTGTTCCTTTGGCTGACTGACCAGCCTGCGAGGCGGTATTGCTCAAATTGGGCTTGAAGACGTTGCCCGTGCCGAAACAGAGGTTGAAGCGCATCTCGAGTTGGATGGAGGCGTGCGACCATGCTTGCACCTTTCTCAGAAGCGCCACGAGGAGCGATGACACTTGGAGGGCATCGAGGTCGTGGACGTAGCAGGGCAGGTTGCGCTTGTCTAGGATGAACTGCAAGTAGACGGCAAGCGCCTAGCGGCGGCATCAGACGCGCTGGCCCGACTACAGCTCTACAATTTCCCCTAAGACTGCGAATCCTCCTCATTATCCGTCCAGGGCGGTGCAAGTCATCAATCACTCACAGCAATGGCCCTATCGGCGCTTTCTCTATCCAGCGCCACTTCTTCCTCCTTTCCCTTTTCGCACTCTATCCACTCCAACCGACACCCGCGCCTCTGCGCCCACTCCTCTATGCGATCGTCCGATGCTTTGAATGGGCCACTCTTGGACAAAGGTTTGGGAGTGAGAGAGAGGATGGAGCGTAAGCGGAGTCGGCTCAAGAAGGGCAGGTTGCGAGCTTTTGGATGTGATCCTCTGTATAGCGTTTGGGCAAGACAGGACGTGGCGTCCTTTGGCGCATCTTGAATTTTTGGAGATGTTGCTTGCACGTCGTCCTTGCAGGCTGCGGCCGCAGCATGCTGCGAATGGTTGCTATGAGGTGCCGGTGCGGCGCTGTTCGAAGGGTAGGGCGAGAAGGCGACTACGCTGAATCTCAAGGGCGGCACGAGAGGTCTGCTTCGAGGCTTTATGCTTGCGTGCACAGATGCCTCTTTCCTGTCATTCTCGTCGTAAGCCGTCATGACGTAGGAGGTAGCCAGGCGGGTGCGCAAGGCTGCTGCTGCGGTGGAAAAGTAGGACGCCTGTCGATGCGCATACACGCCGACCAGAGGCACTCCTCTTCGATCACTCGATTGCCTGGGCGTGATTCGGTCTGCAGGGTGATTTGGCAGCGTGACCGATGATGATCCCTGCACACACACACACACACACACATACGCTCACGACCCCGCTCAGCTCAGTTCGGAGCTTTCATCCTATCGCCTCGTACTAATTCCCTGTCTCGTTCTGCGTGACCTGCCCAGTGAGAGAGTGTGAGTTGCCTGGATGCTATTCAGATCGGCTGTTGGCTCGGTGATGCTTGCAAGCTTCGTCTGCATGAAGCTGAAGAATTTGCGGGCAGGATGCGCGAAATGTCGAAGCAGCCTTCGCACGACCGATGCGTGGTGAAGTGATGGGATGGAGTGTTAGTGATGACACTTTTGACTCTGCATGTGGATCAGGGAATGGTGGTGCATCACGAGTCACGAATGTAGGCGGGGCGAAAGTCGTTGCCAGTCACAGTCACTCGTGACTCGTGACTGATTGAGTCGCCAGTCGCGAAATCACGAATGGTGTGCACAGACCCCGAATCTTTTGAGTCGTCAGTTGAGTCTTGAGTTTGAGTCTTGAGTCGCTTGCACCGAGTGAGTAGTTCACGTGATCTGATCGCCCTCCGCCCTCCGCCTCCACACGCATCCATCCGCTCAGGCAAGCGGCTGGCGCACAGAGATGGGCGCTGCGCGCGCTGGACCCACTCCACGGACTCGCGACGGGTGACTGACAACGCACATTCTCGATTCTCTCTCTCCGCTCGACTCTGCCATCAACGGCCATCGAGACCATCGCAGCTCTGCACCTTTTGTTCTCCACCTCCCTCTTTCTCGCCTCCTCCACCCAGCCAGCGCCTCGACCTTCGTCGACCATGTCGCGGCAATCAGATCACTCTTCCAGCGCTAGCACTCCTGCTATGCCGACCTCAACCCAGGATGACCGTAGAGCTCTGATGGAGCCGAGCAAGGCCTTGCAAGGATTAGGACAAGCCTCGCCCGCCGAGCCTCGATTGACCGATCAAGAGCGTGAGTTTACAATGTTCCAGATGCGCATACATGCAGAGAGGTGGATCTGATTCAATCGCACCTCTTTTGCGCCGGTCGGGCCATTTTCCGCATTCCGTTGGAAAACCCGTCCGCATACAATTCAATCCTCCCTCAGGAGAAGTGCTAGCGAGCGTAACTCGAAAGATTCGTAGATGGCGCAACATTGGAGTGTTGGGCGGAGGAGTCTTTGCAGGTATCCTAGTAACGCGTCGAAAATTCTCCCCTATAGCTCGATTGTTCGGTATAGGCGCAGGAATGGGCATCGGAGGAGTAGCCGTTGCTCCTTTTGCGGCGATCGGGAGTAGAGATGAGATCAATTCCTTGATGAGCCAGGACCATTTCAGAGAGACGTTGAAGGAGGCTATGAAGAGGGGAGAAGATCCTTTCAAGCTGCTCAACAGGTCCAACGATCCTGCGCAGGCTGCAGGGGAGGGCATGGATGCATCGTCGGAAGCGCAGTTTGGGTACGGTGCGACGAGCGGCGCCCCTCAAGGCGACAATGCGTTCGCTCCACAAGCTCGTTCTTCGCGCTCAGCCACACCTTCAAGCAATGACCAGCCTCGCACGACTGCTGCCTCCTTGCCTCCCACTTTCAACACACCCTCTGCATTCGGATCAAACGATCGCGCTTCATCCGCATCAGACCACACGCTCTCTTCCTCCTCCTCCTCCTCTTCCATTCCAACATCGTTCGATTCTTCGCTCTCCGAGCCGCAATCTGGGCTCAGCGGTCCACCGCAGCAGCAGCAGCAGCAGCAGCATCAAAGTCGATGGGCAGAGCTGCGAAACGAAAAGACATCTCCCGAATCCAGTTGGGAGAAGATTCGACAAGAGAGTGGACGGAGGGACATGCCGCGTGAGGTCAGAGGAAGCACATCTTCAGGCTCCCAGCCCGCTCAAGAACCCGACCCGTTCGCGGCACACGGTGCTGCGAGGGACAATCACCCGCGAGCAGGTATGACCAAGCTGGACGGACGAGGGGATGCGGGCGCGCCTGGCTCTGTCATTGCTGCGGGTGAGGACGAAGGGGCTAGGCAGAGGGAAAGGTGTAGGAGAGAATTCGAAATGGGTATGGAGAGGGAAAGAAGAGGAGTGCAAGGCTCGACCATCAATTACAATTGAGATGTCGGGAGCGAGTTGGGGAAATCAAGAGTTTGATTTTACCTACTTGGATCTTCTGCACGGCAGCGAAATCGCATCATCCACTGCGTACCGTGACGAGATCGCACCTTTGACTGAATGCTGCAGATGTTGCTGTCAGGTTGGCACATTTTGTCGTGGGTCTTGTAAAGTCAAAGCGGCAGCCGACCATGCTGCTGCTCATGGCATTGCTGTAAAGTGCTCGGCAAGATTTACAACAGGAGCGTACGAAACACGAATGCGAAAGGTGGAGTGGAACGCATGTCCTTGCGGGGGGTTACATGCACAGCTCAGTTGGCGCTGCCTCCCTGACTGTAGCCAGGGATGGTGGCTCTGTAGATGAAGAACTGAGTATCTTGACTTCCCTTTTGCAAAGCATACGTGTCGTTGTAAGAGCCAACAACGTATTTGCCCGTCGAGTCCTGAGCCGCCTGTTTACCGTTCAGCGTGATAAAGTCATTGTCGGAGACGACGAACACGTAAACATCATCCTTGTTCTGCCCATCTCCCGCACTGGCGATTGCCAAACTTTCCAACTTGCCAGAAAGCAGGTTGCGGTCGAACACGCCAGACGCTCCGTTGTTGAGACCAAACTTGGCCAGCTCGGCGCTGGAAGCGAGGTCGATGAAGGGTTGGTACGTGGCAGGAACGATGGTGTTGTTGAGCCGACCAGCTGGAGAGACTGGCAGGTTGGCCTGGTCAAATGGCGTATTGGCGATATTGGTCGCGTTCTTGGTAGAGATGAGATCCGCATGCTTGTACGACACGCCCGCATCCTCGTTTCCAAATCCATTGCCATCGCGGGCAAGGACGAGAAAGGTGGAATCGTCGACAATGTGCACCTCGCTCGATGCTCTGGTGTTGCCAGATTTGCTTTGCGGCAAAGGCACCACGTGCTCCTTGATAAGTTTGGCATTGAAAATGTTCGAGACGTCATAGCCGAGCAGACGAGTGTACCTGTTTGTGCTCTTGCTTCCCTTGTTGCTATCCTGAATCGTTGCCGATTGCAGCAGAGCCCACAGAGTGTTGGTGTTGCGGTCCAGCGTCAGACCTTCGAAACCCTGATTTGGTGCTCGGCCAGTGGTCGGGTTGCTCAGACTCGTAAAGTTCAGCTTGCCCGTAGCGTCGTAGGGAAGAATGGCGGGTGGGGGGACGATGGTGCTGAGCAGGACACCAGTGGTACGATCGATGATGTAGATCCCTGGCTGGTACTCGTCCGAGACGAACAGTTGAAGACCGTTGGAAGAGATGGCGAGCCCTTCGGTGTCGAAGCTGATGTGGTTGTTGGGCAGAGCGATGGGCAGAGTGGGAGCGCGAGGGTTGGATTGCCGCGTGCCGTTGGGATCCAAGCCTGTGGTGAAGTTGAGCGCATAATCCGGTCCTGCGCGATAAAGCTGAGAGTTGACGTATCTGAGGGAAATGTTCTCATTCGTTCCATTTTGCGCAGAGAGCGTGCCGATGTAGCGGTGGTTGCGAGCTCGGTAGTCGGATGTTTCTGCTCCGCCAGAGTTGTGCCCTCTGTCCGGCTGAAGCAGAATGCTAAATGTACCGCCTGTGGCCGAGGGTCTGAAGTACTCCAACGCGATGGCAGAACCCACACCTCCGATCGTCTCTCCAAAGCTGTCCAGGGCATCCGTCGGAATGCGTGCAAAGCCTACCAGACCCTGTTCGCAGCAAGCGTATGCACGGCGATCAGCCAACTGCTCGAATTCTCGTTGCTCTCCATCGAGCGCTTGGAAGGAACGCTCACCTTGTCTTGGAATGTCCTTCCATCGAATGTGAAAGGTGCACCAGCTCGCTTGTGCAACTGGCTCACAGGGCTGGCGTTTGCTGCAACGGCAGCCGAAGCGGCTGCCAGAGCGACGAAGGAGGGAGTGAGTTGCATCTTGGCACAAGTGAGTGAGGATGAGCGATGGTCCCTGCTACACTTGAGGATCTTGGTTGCTTCGAGGGGCCTACACGTTGCGGAAGAAAAGTTGCCATTTGGCTGTTTATATACGGACAGGCTGGCAAAGTAGGAATGTGGAGTAAACGTACACCGTTTGGCGCGGTCGGCGGGCGGCCATTCGTTTGGACTGCACTCAGGCTCGAGTGGCCACGCATGCCCTGCACTCACGACTCACGACTCACGACTCACGACTCACGACTCACGACTCACGACTCACGACTCACGACTGCTTGATGCTCGTCTGCAAAGAGAAGCTTGCTTCGAAATTTGGCTGTAGGAACAGCGGACAACTGTGACTTTGAGACGTTTCAAAACCTTTCGATCGGGCTTTGCTTCCATTCGACGCTAACTTTAGCGAAGATGCGCACGTTGCAGAGGCTTTCTCGAGCACGCACGCACGCACGCACGCACGCACGCATGCTGCTTGCTGCGTGCGTGCATCCTTTGCCATGCACTCACGACTCACGACTGTGTGTACCGCTACCGCTACCGCTACCGCTGCCGCTACCGGTAGCTCTGGAAGCTCATTCAGGCACCAACGAACAGCATAGCACGTCCATGGGTCCGCCACCGCGACTTTTGCTTTTTGTCCCTTCGGCCTTCACGTTTCAATCAGCATGACTCATTGCTTCCGAGTCGCGAAGAAAGTGGATGATCGTGCATTGCCAATGCAAGAGCTAGACTCACACTCTGCATGGACTCTGATTGCATGTGAATTTAAGCCTCATCATCAGTCTTGTCGGTAGAAGTCTGACTTTGTATCGAAGCTACAGATGCATGGCGCAACGAGCTTGTTCGCGGCAACACGTGTTGGTGGCTTACGTGACCCCAATTAAGAGCCGGTCGGCGGGACCTGCAGCATCCATCCGCTTAATTGCTGATATGCTAGCTGCTTCCATTCAAGATTAAATTTGCGATTGCTGATGTTTGCTACCTGACGCACTCAAACTCGATCGCACTCGTGAGTCACTTGATTGGGTGCTGCCATTCGTGGCTTGATTCAATTGCCGATACATCAGTCAGAGTCAGTCAAAAAGTGAATGGCGAATGCTGATGTGCACTCAGCAGAGCAAATACAAGGCTTTACCGGTCATCACAATATCAAATTCGAGGCCGCGTTGCATCTTTCCCCAAGCAACAATCGTGAATCAAGAATCACGAATCACGAATCACGAATCTGCACGCGTCGATCGCGACTCGCGACGCTCATGCAGGCACGCACGCCATATAGCGGCGGTAGAGGCGCCCGGCGGGAGAGCCTAGGGCGCGCGGGGATGGCAATTAAAGAGCACGTTCCCTCGCTAGCTTTGATCGCGATCGACAATTTCTCATCGTTGCTTGAAGCTTTGAAAGGTTTTCAAACCATGTACCGGTAAACGCAGCAACAGCAGCAGCAGCAGCTCGAAAGTGAGTCCAAAAGTCACGAGTGGAAAGACCGGCCGGCGATGATTTGATGGATGCAGCAGGATCACCGCGCGCCGTGCACCCTACCTTTTCCTCACTCTTGCGCACGACCTTCTTCTTCTTCTTCTTGCGCACAAAAGTTCATCGAGAAGATTTCACAAAAAAACTTCCCCACCCACATCTGCAAGATAAGTGTGACGAGCGAATCTCCCTCCGATCGCCCATCATCCACATGCGGCACAAATCGCAGCGGGGTCATCACACGAAAGTCGACTCGACCTGCGGACAAATGAGCGTGCGGTACAAGTAAGAGAGGGCATGCTGGATTGAACAATGTCAAGTCAGATTCGTCAGACGCGTCGAGCAAGGTAGATACATGGGCCCCCTTCGGAGAAACAAGAACAAAAGGACAAGATACAAGGTACGTTGCGATTTCTCGAATTCGAGAAAATCGGTCGCAGGATGTTGTACAATCGAGAAATCGAGGGGTGGGGCAAAGGCGTCTGGGTCGGATCGATGTACAAAAGTGATCTCCAATGTTCTCGTCAAGAAAAGCGGTCAACGGGGTCTCGCATTGGTTTGGGGCAGAGGGGAGAAGGGCCCCGCACGAACGAACGAATCTCATTCGAGGCGGCGGGGCGTGATTGCGAAAGGAGCGGCAGCCTGCGCGCACCCTCGATCGTGCTGATGCTCTGGCCTCGTCTTTCAAGACTTGAGCCGCTTCGCCTCCGGCGTAGTCCGAGTGGCCGAAGCCGGAGCGCTCGCGCTCATCATAGCTCCGTCCAATCCCTGCATGGCGCCTCTAGCAAGTGCGCTGCCCAGTCTAGTTTTGCTCCTCGTAGCATTGGACAGGAGGCTGCTAGACAATTCAGCAGAACCAGTAGAGCGAGCTTCTGCGTTCGCATTCGCGTCTGCGTTCGTCGTCGTCGTCGTCGTCGTCGAGGAGACGGACGGCGGATAAGCTTGGTCAGCTTCGGACGAAGCTTGAGGACTGGCATGAGGAAAGGGAGACATGGCACTAGGCGCAGGAGATCCGCTAGGCGCTCTCCTCTTTCTACCTGCGTTCGCTTTTCCGACAGCTCGCTTGGCCGGACTTTGCAGAGGCGTAGCAATAGCCGGCGAAGAAGGCAATCGCAAAACCTCTGGCTCTTTGCGAGGCGCGTGGTGTTGATGCGAAGCGATGGAAGAAGTTGTCATCGTCTTGGAAGGTCCCAAAGAATATGTAGGGGCAGAGTAGGAAGGGAAAGAAGGACGCAGTCGCGGCGTTGCGCGTCGACGAGCCCAAACTTCCACAAAGAGGATACGCTTCAGCTTGCGATTGTAAAAAAAGACGTACGTGGACCAAAGCAATCCGCCCCCGCTCGTGTCTTCCAGATCCATTTCACGTCGTTTTGGAAGGGCAAGACGACTGGAAAAGGCTTCGAATGGAGAAGAACTCTCGGGCGTCTTGGGATCCGCATCTGAAGCGCTACTAAAGCTCGTAGAGTGCGCTGCTGCCTGACCCAGCGCTCCGCCGTCCATGTCTTCGTCGAACATGGGCGCATCATCAGCCAAGCTTTGCGCCCCGCTATCGAACAGGGAGTAATTGTCTTCCGCCCACGTGTCGTCTTCTCCGTCCATGTATCCCTCGTCGGGATCAGGATAGGCGTGTGGGTCCGAATCCATATCGGGAGAGTACGTAAAGACTTCGCACTCCGACACGCACAATATGTCTTCTAAGATCGCACCAAGCGCAGCATCCCCTTGAACACGATGGCTGCCGAGATGCGTGGGAGGCGAGCCGTACGAACCAGAGGGGCTCAGCGCAGCTGCACCCTCTTCGTAGGAGGTGCTAGGAAGCAGAGAGAAACTTCCTGCACTGCCTGACCGCAAAGACACCAAAGTGGAGCTCAAGCTGTTGATGACGTAATCTACGCTCCTTTCGCGCTTAAAGTCGGCAGGGTTAGCCTGGGCGAAATCGTGATCTGGGAAAGCGCCATTGAGTGTGGCGATGAGCAGCCAGAGGGTTTTGCGAGCGGCAGGTTGATCCAATTTGCCAAAGGGCGACGCCAAGTGCTCCTCCAAAACACTTGGCGGCGATGTGGACGATGCCGCATGGCCATACGTCGATTCAAGAGCTTTCAGGAGCTTCTTGTCTCGATTGACAGGTTTGCACGAGTAGGCCTCCAGACGCGTAAAGACGCGACACTCGGCCGAATCAAATGTGAGTTGTCGAGATAGCTGCTCGAGCTCGGGATAGTCGAGAAACTTCATGGTTTGGGCAGTCTGCAAGGCGCGTGAACATCAACGCGAGTGTCTGAGCGACTTGATCGAACTTCTCGCGCAATCCATTGGGATCATTTGTCCTAGCATCTACTCACACACGCCAAATGCGGCCAAAGACGCTTCCGAAATAAATTCTTGCAAGGCAAGAGAAGGTCTGGTATGAACGAGGTGGCAGAAGGAGCTCGAGAAGCTGTGCTAGCTCGTGGATGTATGCGTTGAGATTAGTGCGAAGTATTGGTACCGCAAGGCGGCGGGAAGAACGGAGTCGGATGATTGACGGTGTGCGGCGCAGAGCAGGTCGGCGGACACATTGAAAAAGATCTGAGACGCACAGCGACGCAACGAGGATCCGCTAAGCCTTGATCCAGCTAGCGTCGAGAGAGCGTGTGTAAGGAGGCAGGCGCGCTCGATCGAGTCGACCTGAATGGCGCGGGTGAAATGACGGGAAGCAGCGCCTGCGATAGGAGAAAGGAGGAGCAAAAGTCCTGTCAGCGCCACCTGATACTGACCGCAGCACATTGTACAGCTCGACCTCGAGGATGGACCTGAACGCGCACAACGCCCCCCTCGTCCCAAGACGCGCGACGCGTGCAGGCGAGTGGTGCAGCGCAGGGGAAGGATGAGTCCTGCTCACCACGCAAAGCACTCACTTCTCTCAAAGATTGGCTTAAAGATGACAACAGTCTCGGTGAAGCTTCAAATCGGGTCTTTTTGCTTTACGCTGTGAGGGTGCGCGTGCGGGGAAGGCCGAGATTGGCGGGATATCGTGATGCGTGGGGTGATGGTGTGACGGATGATGAGATTGATTCAGTGATTGTGATGAAAGCGCGAAAGAGGTGTGACGTTAAGGCGGGAGAGGGGCGAGGTGCCGTGTCGCTTGTATACCTGCCTCTGCGTACGTGCCTGAAGGTGCCGCTGCGTTGCATTGGCGCGCCACGGGCCACATCAGCCATATGTACAGGGCCGCGCGCGATGCATGCCGCCGACGCGATGTGGGCCGTCGCCCGCGCGTCCCTTCTATGCGCGTCAAATGAGGGTCCTCGGCCACTCCATTTCGCCCGATGACGTGTGCATGAGCGACGAGCGCTTCATCAGCATCAGCAGCAGCGATGGACACACAAGAATCGAGATCAAATCGTGAGTGTGAGCGTGTGATGTAGCGAGAGCGAGCATTTCGTCAGGTCGGGTCAGCTGTGATCCATTTTGTCGTCGTTGTGCTGAGTTCGTGAGCTTGCGTTTGAGCGTTGACTTGATCGAAGTGGTGGGATCAAATATATGTGACCGACATTAAAGGCGTCGAGAACATTCTGTTGCTCAGGTTCAAAGGTTTCGGTGACGGCCGGTCTTGCGAGCTCGCAGTCGTGAGTAGAAGGAGCGATGCTTGACTCTGGAGCCTCGCGATACAAGAGCGTGCAGTCACAGTGTGAAATTGTGAATGTCATGTCGAGTGTAACGTATAGCGGACGTCAAGGGTTGGTGGAGGGAGGTGTTGTGATTTGGAGATGGCCTCATAGCGATCGAGGTTCAAGCAGCCAGAAGAAAAGGCGGCTTCTTGCGCAGCCAAGCCTCGCCAAAGAAAAAAGAAGACGTGACGTGTGGAGTTGTGCGTCTAGCTCGAGAAGAATCCGACAGGTCCACGGTGAGTCACTGAGTACGGCAGGGCGCACGGTCCGCGTCGAGCACACACCAGTCGTGAGTCGTGAGTGCACCCCTCGACGCACCTCGACATTCCGACTGCTGCGCTCAAGCAGACCACTCGCACTTCCACGACGGCCATGATCGCAGGTCTCCTCTAACATCGCTCATTCCTGCCACATCACATAGCGCACAAGTCACAAGGGTCGGTTGATCAAGACATTGCTCTCGCTCAGGTGATCAGCGAGCAAAGCGCGTTGGGAACACCCACTCACGTTTCTAGCAAAGCGCCAAAGAGCCCGGGCTGATTGGTCGCACCCTCACCCACAACGAGCAACTTCAACCAGCAAGAAGCAAGCGTCTGCAATTTGGCTATAGACCGTACTGCGAGCGACAATCACGTGAATTGCCAGATCTTTCTCGTCGATAGCGTACCGCCAAAGATGCCAGCCAAACGCGCCGCCTCTAACTCAGCAGCGACCTCCGCGTCAGCCATTCCCCCGCGGGCTTCTTCCGCTACCGCTACCACCACCACCACCACCACCAGTACATCCCCAGCAAGCTCTTCCAGCACAGCTTCGCCGCTACAGACTCTCGGCAGGTCTTACGTGGATGCTACACCTACCAGGTTGAAGCTGATCGATGCGTTCATGACCTTCTTGGTCATTAGCGGCATCATCCAGTTCGTCTATTGTTTCCTCGTTTCCGATTTCCCTTTTAATAGTTTTGTGGCCGGGTAAGTCTAATTTGAGGTTTGCAAAGGCCGGGAGCACAGAGAGGGGCAGTATATGCGTGCATACCTGTATAGCAATCAAGAATCTCGGGTTTTCAGAGGAAGAGGAACAGGGGCGTGAATGCTTTGGCAGAAGAGTGTGCGTGGCTTGTCACCACATGCGACACCTCGGATGGAAGCGGAAGCTGGCCGTGCGATCATGTGACTCGGCATTCTCTCTGGCTTATCGAGATAGCAAATCGAACCTCCGCACGTATGCGCATATCCTGGCCTCGCTTCCCAATCCTGGGCCAGTGCCAACGGCGAAGCCACAGCAAAGCTTGTCGTCGCCTTTGTGCCTGGCATCGAGCTGACATCCAAGCCGCGCCTCTCCTCTTCGCCATCTGCGCACGTCACGATCGCCTGGACGCGCCCACGTTTCTACCAGCTTCGCGAGCACCGTCGGTCAATTCGTGCTTCTAGCAGCGCTACGTATCCAAGCCAACGAATCCAATGCTTCCGACTTTCCCAAATCTTCTCCCGAAAGGTGAGTGCAAAGGAGAGGGGGCGCTGGTGTGCTTCGGACTGCGACATTGCGCGACTGTGTTCGCGCGCACCAGGTCTCTCTGCATTCGCTCGCTCTTCCATCATCCTTGCTGATCCTGACGTTGATCACCACGGCACAACCCCCCCCCCCCCCCCCCCCCCCCCCCCCCCCCCCCCCTCCCTTTTTCTCTTTCCCCGCTCTTCGTCGCGCCATACTACCAGGGCATTCGGCGACTTTCTCTTCTCCAGCATCGTTTTGCACTTCTTCGTCGTCAACTTTCTGGGCTGAATATTCCCAAAAAAAGGGGGGCGCAGATTCATGCGCATCGCTGTCTGATCAAATGAACACTACGTCACACTGTTCTAGACGTCCCACAACTCGTCCATGTGCGTGCTTGCAAACAAGTGTGCGGCGTTGCGGGCCCAGCCGCTGGCCAAGTCAGACGAGAAGGGTGCGCGCCCCCCAGACGATCTTGAGCCATTCAAATTGAGATTAACGGTGATTGGACAGCTCGACAGCTCGACTTGGGCACACTCTTGCTCGCGGTGCCTGCTACGCTGCACATCATTTTTCAGCCAAACGATGATTCTTTCGCATGGGCTCCTGCTTAAACATTCTTTCTGATTTCTGCTGACTGCAGGTCATCCAGCTTGACCTCCCTACTGGATCTCCTGCTCGCATTCGCGTTCGTGTTGGTATTGGTGTGTGCGGTGCTCCTAGACTCCTCCGAGTCCAACGCCAACGCATACTCTTGAGCCTGCTGCACTTCCAAACGCAACTTTTCCAGCTCCTTTTCGAAGCTGCGTGCGGTGGGCGTACAAGAGGCGGCAGAAATGGTGTGATGAAGGGCAGCAGGGCAAGAGACGGGCGCAAGAGCATGGCGCACGTTAGAAACTCCCTCGAACGCCTGCCCGAATATGCTCGAGCTCAGAGCGAACGTACCGACGAAAGGTCACTTCGACCAAGTAAGACGCTTTGGGTCGGCAAAGTGATAAGAATATGAGCTAGACTGCTCGAGCTACCCCAGCTCTACAAGCCCGGCACTCACCGCCGTTCCAAAGGCTCAGGACGAGCAAAGTGAGCCTTTCGGTGCCACACGAACGTCGAGTCGCAAAACAACGTGAGCCATCACATTATGCTGCGGACAAGTTCCTCGGGTATGGTTCAGCACCCACAGGAAAATGCTGGACCATCTCGCGCTCTTGTAGAAGATGAGCGGTGCGGGCAAGGTGCACACGATCGTGTAGACGCACTGCGCGCGAGAAGGGCAGGGTGCAGGTCCGCCGCTGTGGTGTGAGAGAGGCCAGTATCGCTCTCGACGCGCAAGTAGTCTGGGACTCACCTGCAGGAGCATGAATGCGGTCTCTCTTTGGCCTTCGCTCGCTTTGCCCAGCAAATTGGCAATGGCACCTTTGCCCGTGGCCAGAGTGCTATAAGACTAGTGTCGAGGCACAAGAAATTCTCGCGCGTCAGAACTCGTGCTCATTCTCGCGAGCTGAGCTTCGCGCATTGCTTCCTTTCTCACATTGATGCGCTCGCCCGACCGCACCTTCTCTTTCTTGCCGATGATGATGAACTATGGGACCAGGGATGAGGAGGTTTGCGTGTTGAGAAACATTTGATGTCCAGACAAGGCAGACTGCATTGATCAGCTCACCTCGTAGTACAAGAATTGCCAGACTTTTTCCAGTTCGAAAAGCGTAAAGTCAGACATGAGACTTATGCATCGCATCGACAGGAACGCATCGACAGCGCCTAGGAGCAGCCATTTTCGCTTCTCACCCAGGTAGCAAAGTAGGTTGGCAAAGAACACGGGGACAAAGTCCAAATTGTCCAAGCCAACTAAAGCCGGATACATCCGTTCCGCGATCCCTTTGGGAATGTGATGCCTGGAATGGGGTGATAGGTGCGTTTCCGTCAGCGATCAAGCGCTGTAGCAGCGGGAAGGAAAATCGATCGCAGCTCGCCTGATGGTCATGAAGACCAAAGGGGGATAAATATGAATGAATAAGCTGCACATCTTCTCCAGACTGTGAAAGACTGCGAGGGCGAAGGGGACATGAACACCGCTCTTCTGAGCACGGTTACAGATCGAAAAGAGCGATTGACTTCCCTCACCCGCGCTATTCCTCCATGTCGCTATGCTAAAGGCGAGTGGGCCGTGCGCTGCACAATAGCAGACGGTCTGGCGGCATGGCGTGTCGAGGATCAGGTTCCGAGCAGCACGCATTTTCCTACCACTTTTGTGCCGCACTTACCCATAGCCACCTCGAGTGCGGAAAGATCCACAGGAATGCAAGATTGAGTAGACTGCCCAGGAAGCAGACCTAAACGGTGAGTACGAACGTTCCCAGACGACTCTACCGGCAAATTGTGGCTCACTTGGCATAGTAGCCTTTCGCGCAGATCCGCGTCGCAGAGGGGTGCAACGTTTGAGCCGTGTGCGGAAGCTTTGGCGAGCGGTGCTGCAGCGGACAAGCGCAACGAAAAGGTCCGCTCACAAAAGTCAAAGCTGCAAGGGAGGACAAGGGAACGCGGTCGATGTCGAAGTCAGCTGATCGGCGGGACACTGTGGTCTTGAGGAAACGCGGACTCACAGAAAGTAGTGCCACTTTCTCTTGGTGTAACTTTGAGAAAGAATTTTGGGCGTGTAAGTGTCTCCGAGCCGTGTGTACAGACGCAGCCAAGCACGAGCAAATGGCCATACGACGCGCGACTCACGTGTACACTCGTAGAGGCAAAAAGTAGAGGAGTTGGGCAGAGTAGAATAGAGGGATCCATTCGGGCGCTTGTGCCCAGATCAGCGACGTGGCCACCAGGTTCCTGGGACGTAATGCAGCTCGAAGATTCAGGAACTCTCGCTAAGGCACTTGACGCAGGATATGCTGCGCGCCACGAGCTTGACATTGAGAAAACTCACATGACTCCGATAACGAAACATACCTTGTCCCGCAAGCGAACCGTCTTTGCGTCTTTCCATCTCGTCTGCAACGTGTCCACGCGTGTAGCCACCTGCCAGTGCAACAGTGGTCTCGAATGAGCCTGCAGGAAAGACTCGTGTATGCGCAGCTCGATACAGGCCCGCAGTGCAGACCATACCACACCAGTAGTGCTCGTCGGCACGCGAGCACCCCAGCATGCGCACATTCCTGGCACGCACCTTTCCTCTGAGTTTCTTCAGCTCCTGCCTCATGCCCAGCTCCTCCTTCTTGTCGCGAGATCGTCTGACAAGCTCATCATACTTGCTTCTCCTCCTAATGTCATCGCCGTATTTGCGCAATCTCCTATCGAACAGGTCCAATCTAGGAGCCAAGTAGGTCTGCAAGAGGTCGGAGAGCGGTAGACCGGCAGTGGGTAGACCGGAGGTGATGTCGATGCCATCTATCTCGAGCGAGTTGCGACGGGATGTGGAAGAGGCAGAGGTGCTTGATTGGGTGCGAGAGAGAATTGGCCGATAGTCGCCCGAATAGGAGTCATTGTGCGGCTGGGACGGCTGATCGGACCCGACCGGTACAGGGATGCCCTTATTGGACGCGTGCGACATGATGAGTGCCTCTCTCGCGGACCTTGGTGCAAGATCATGGATGGCGAGAGGAAGACCAGAGTCAGAGTCATTGAGCGCGCTCATGAAGAAGCTTGCGCCAAAAGCGAGCGAAGCGCTCGGACGCGTACACAGACAGAGTAGGACTCACCCGAGTGCGTGTGATGATCTTTCCCAACGCTTCGAGGTGTGCTGATAGCGCGCAGCTGCGCGCTTCACTCCTTTGCCGGAGCTCGAGATCGCTTGGAGTAGTTCAGCCTCTTGCCTTGCGCTTCGGCTGCCTTTAGAAATCTCACACGCTTTGACGATTTCGTTCAAGGAGGAAGCATGGAAGTCAAAAGAGTCCAAAGACTGTCCACGCGTGTACCTACGAGCTATGGCGTACGGGACGTCGGCAGGCGTGAGCTAGGGTCACATGTGTTGGTCGCAACTCTCGACTCGTACCTCGCAATTCGTGATTACAACTATATTGAATATTGAAATTGAACCCATCGCGACCCACGCCGCCACGCATGTCTATACAACGCGTTCAGCAGATTCGTGATTTGGGCTCCGCGCGCGCACGCGCGCGTTTGCTGAGATCCGTCACCCCGCGGAGGTCCATGCATCCCACCGTGCAGCAGCATGCATGATGCTGTATGCTGGGCGCCGCGCCGCGCCGCGCCGAGATGCCCGACACCCGCGGCAGCACGGATCACCTATATGAGCTCAATTCACATTCAGATTTATTGTGCTGCATCGCGCTTTAACTAGGTAACAATCGTGAATATCGATTAGATTTTTGATCGGGGTCCGCGCGAGCGACGAGGGATCAATCAGAATGCATGCCATGATGGCGGTCGTTGAACTGCGCTGCGTGATGGGCGCGCCTCGAAGGCCAAAGACTCGCCAAAGTCCAAGCGGGCAGGACAGGAGAGCAAGAACGCAATCGAGGACCAAGCGCGACGGCGGCTGCTCGAGTCTCGAGTTGCTTGATTCTGTTTGGTGAAGCGAGAATCAAGAATGCGATGCGATGCGATGACGGTTGCTTTGCTCCATTGTAATTGGCCAAAAATTCTTCATTTCAACTCACAAGTCAAATTTCGAGACCGCTGCTGGGATGTGGAACTCAGCTCCAATTCAGATGCAGCAGTGGCCAGCCAGCTCTTGCGAATAAGCGCTCTGGCACCTCCTGCGGGCGGCAAATGCCTCTCTACCGTGCACCAGTCAAGAGTGTGGTCAGTCCTGTTGGGATTTAGAGTCACGAGTCGAGAGTGTTTGTTGCCTCTGCATGATACACACACTCGTGACTCAAACTCAATTAAGAAATGATGTCCTCTAATCACGAATTTCTTGGCTTCGGCGCGCGGACACAACTCCGAAATCAAGAATTTGAACCGATCGATCGTCGAGCTGCATGCTGATATGCTGCTGCTTGCTGCTACTTGGTCGCGAGTCGCGAGTCGCGAGTGCTTATATTCTGATTGCAATCACGAATGGCTGTCTGCGCCGCCTGCTGCTGGTGATGGGTCGGCTCCTCCGCTGCAGATGTGCCTGCATCCATGCAGCATGCATCCGGCTCCGCGCGGTGGTGCCTGCTGTGCTAGACCTACCGCGGCACTCTGACGGTACACGCGCACGCGCGCTCACTCGTCACTACCCATGGATGCATCAGGCAAATTCCTCAATTCGCTCACAGCAATCACTTCGCGTACCTCCATCCATGTCCATGTATACCCGCCCCCCCTGGCGCTCGGATCGCTTCATCCGCCTCCATTCGTGATCATCTGGCAGTCGTTGGGACGTCTCGTGTCAAGCTGGCATCTGCTCGATACATCATCTACAGCACTCGCGCCACCCGTAGTCGGCTCGTGGCCGCGGACACAGCCGGTAAATCGTCATCGCGTACGTCTTCCTCGAGGCGCTTTGCGTGACGCCGCGACACCGACGTACGCGCCTCGCGCCCCCGGCTGTTTACGCCTCGCAGATCTCCTTTGCTCGTTCAACTTCCCCATCCCAACATCTCGCAGCTGCGCCCTCGTCACCTCTACAGCCCTCCATCCTCTCGTTCAAATCCTTTTCTCACACCAGATAGGCGGCAGGCAGCAGAGCACGCATGGTCGAGCGGGCCATGTCGCCCTAAGTTGTCGGTCAACACTTTCAAGCAGAGGCGCATTCTGTCATCATGAGTCGCAGACAGCGCGAATGGGGGGGAGGTGCGGTGAGCTCGAGTAGTGGTGGACACGGTGCAGGCCCGAGCTCTGGCAGCGCAACAGCAGGAGCAGGAGCAGGTGCAGCAGGGACAGGGTCGTCGCGAATCATCAACCAGAAAGCAGCCCTAGCATCAGCCTATCAAGAACTGGGTAAGGAACTAGCTTCAGGCAAGCTTAAAAGCGTTGGCAGCTACACGCTAGGCAGACCGATTGGCGAAGGAACGTTTGGAAAAGTCAGAATGGGGGTTCATAGACTCACGGGCACTCGAGTGGCCATCAAGCAGGTACCCAAAGCTCATAGTGCCAGTCTCACCAGGGAGATCCATCATCATAGACGTCTGCACCATCCTCACGTCATGCAGCTCTACGAAGTCATTGCTACCGAGAGCAACATCTGGATGGTGTCTGAGCTGTGCGCAGGCGGAGAGCTGTACGACTACCTGGTGGAGCGAGGCACGATGCCGGAACCTGAAGCTAGAAGGCTATTTGGCCAGCTTTGCTTGGCAGTAGCATACATCCATGGGAGAGGCATCGTGCATCGAGATCTCAAACTCGAAAACGTGCTCTTGGATGAGCGCTGCAATGTCAAGCTGGGAGACTTTGGCTTTACGCGAGAGTTTGAGGGAAAGAGGCTCATGGATACCTTTTGTGGCACGACGGGCTATGCTGCGCCAGAAATGCTTGCTGGAAAAAAGTACACGGGAGAAGGTGAGCGTGGCCGCAATAAAGGTGTTGGCTTTCGCATTGCAGGCTAACCGCGCAGACAACCGCGCTCAGAGGTGGACATCTGGTCACTAGGTGTCATCCTGTACGCTTTGCTCTGTGGAACCCTGCCTTTCGACGACGATGACGAGGCAGTCATGAAGGAAAAGATCTTGGCTTGCGAATTCGACCTGCCAGACCTCATCTCGGAAGAGTCCAAGGACCTATTAAGCTCCGTCTTGCAGTTGGACCCCACCAGTCGACCGTCCATCAAGAGCATCCTGAGCCATCCTTGGTTCAGCAAAATCATGATCAGCAGCCCGATGTCGCCTCTCGATGAAGATGCGGCGGCGGCCGAGCCATCGTACTTTGTCAATCCGCCTGCTTCCAGCAGCGGTCCTAGAGGGAGGGAGTCAAATCCAAAGCCGAGCGATCCGGCAGCGGGAGAGCGAAGCGCTCCAGCAAATGGCGCACACGAGGAGCTGGGCGCGGCCACTGATGCCCAGGCAGATGCCACTTCTCCTCCCGCATCCACAGAAACGAGCTACGAAACAGCTCCGACCAGGTCATTGGAAGAGCCGCTCGACTCGTCGCATCAAGTGACGATGACCCCGCTTCCGAGTGGCAGCAAAGCGGACAGGACTTCGGTCGAGCAGCTCGGTGCGCGGTCGTCCCACCCCTCTAATTTTTCGGAAGCCAGCTTCCACACAGTCATGAGTGACAGTGGCAGCAGCGACCAGCGCTCGAGCAGGACGGGAGGCACTAGTCCCATCACGGACTCCACTTCGGAACATGACGAGCCCACGGGCTCTGGCGGACAGGGAAGCGGCACCTCTCCAGTCAGGAAATCGTCGACTGCGTCGGGCGAGTCCACAGACACTGCTCCTACAAAGACAAGAGGGCTTGCTTTGCACAAGAACGAATCGCAGACCACGATCCGACGGGAAGGCTCAAACGGCAGCGATGTATCGAGAGGTAGGGGCAATTCCATTGCGGCTCCGGCTGGCAAGGCTGCGGCGTCGACGCTCCCAACCCATCATGAGGGACCTGCTGCACTGGAAGAGTCGGCGGAATCGGAGACCGAGGACGTGCATACATCCTCGCGGCCGCCCTCGGCGCTTTCCGCTCGGCTGGCGCGCGCAGGATCTCAAAGTTCTGCGAGAGGTCACGCTCGGACACCATCGAGGACGAAACGTCGCTCGCTTTCGTCAGGCGGCCTTTCAGATCATCATCCTCCTCATTTGGCGCCCAAGCCAGTGAATTATGTGGCCTTACTGGAGGATGCTTCTCCTGCACTCTTCACAAGTGTTGTGGAACAAAATCTGCTGCATTCACTCAGCAATCTCGGTCTGGACGTCGGTCAGGTGGTTCACAGCGTCTTGACAGATGCTTGCGATGCCAGCGGCGGCCTGTGGTGGTTGCTCAAGCTCAAGGCATCAGACGCACAAGATGCAGCCCTCGCGCTGCCTGCTTCTGCAGGTAGCGTCGTGTCTAGCTCAGCCCCTCGTCTTGGCCCGGCACCGCCTCCAATTCCCATCAAGGATCCTAATCGACCCTCCAGCACAACCGCCAGTCCGTCCAAGAAGGACGAAAGTCTCTCCGAGGCTTCCATGACGCCCCGAGCTACCTCTGTCGGAGCCAAGCCAGCCAAAGTCCCGCCGCTCAAACTTGCCAAGGAGAGCGAACGACCTTCCACCGCGCCGGCCTTGACGCCGACCAGCGATACAGGCAAATTCCCCAGCACTACAATTGCTGAATCCGCGTCCACCCAAACCGGGGGCAACGCACCCATCGGCCCGATCCAGACTGTGCCCAGACCTGTGCGAGCTGATCGGAATCGCACGAGCTCCTTTAGCATCAAGCTGTCCAGTGTGCTAGCGAATGCTGCACGTAAAGATTCCGGCGATGGTGCTGGTGAAGATGGAGATGATGTGGCAGTGCCAGAGCGCTCCAAAAGCCCTGTCAGCATGCTGTTCGGCAGTAGAAAGGTGGGTGGCACGGTCAAGGATAAGACCAGGCAAGGCTCGCCAGCTGCTCCAAGCACCGCTCTGCCTGCGAGTCGAAGCGCCCTCGCCAATTTGAATACGGGTTCCAGATTGCCTGATGGCACGCCCTCGCCGAGACCGAAGAAAGACCCAGCGCGAGATAGAGAACGCATCCGGTCGTTGATGGCAGGGAAGGAGGCCGACGACGACGAGTCCTTGACACAGGGAAGTCCTCGGCCGGTCACAAAGTCGCCTGGTACGCCTGGCAAGGCCAAGGCATCATCCCGGCTAGAGTTGAGTGCACCCATGACGAAATCGGTGGACACTTTCAGCACCGTGTCTAGCACCAACGACGAGGTCAAGTCATCCACATCCAAACCACGGCTCAAGTCCAACTTCCTCAGCACCGTGAGGACATGGCTCGGTGCCGAGGACAAGCAGGGAAAACGCAGGCGCAAAGCGAATGCGAGCGGATCGTCCACCAAGACGGGCTCCGTTTATGGGCACGACGGCTTGGGATCTTTGCATCAGGGCTCTGTGGCTCGACGTAGCAGCGTCAGTCGGCGTGCCAATCCGTACCCGACCGGATCTATGGCTGGTCCTGTGCGATCTCCTCGCAGCCCGCAAAGGGGCTCCTTGAGCCGCCGCAGCTCTTCTGGCAGCGCACACCTCTTCGATGGTCATTTGGGCGGTGGCCCGCCCATCAGGCCTGTCAATCTGCGTCGTCAGAGCGCCGGAAGCATCACGCCCACTGCGACCCTGCATGGCGGTGACGCGGCAGAATTTGCCCACTTTGGAGCTTTGCAACGATCGAGACCGTCGAGCTCGCAATCTCTTCATAGACCGCCTCATGCTGGCTTGCATCACAAACAGGGGTCCGCCAGTAGTTCTGGCTCTTTTATGCGGCAGCAGCAACAACAGGGCAGCATGCGCGGCGCGCACAGCAGACGACCCAGCACGGATGGCGGGACCACCGTCAGGCGGCATCGCCAGTACCCAAGCGTCCACTCTTTGACCGACAGACCGCGATCCGAGGCTAGCAATTCTCGACCATCTTCCTTGTACGCACCAGCCGTGGCGGAGGAAAATGAGGAAGAGTCGCAGGGAGGTCATGGAGCGGCGACTCCACGTCGAGTGTCGCTGGAGTCGAGATCGGCAATGGCGGAAGGCAGTCAAGGTCGCGCTTCGCCCGTCGTGCAGCAGGCTCATGCCCACGCACCTCATCGGGCGAGCGTGTTTGTGGCGCACAAATCCAGATCACCCTATGGACCGCCTTCGGCAAGTCCGATGCTGCAGAGCGCTCTACACTCCAAGCTCTCTTCGCCTAATCCCACGCCTGCGGCCCATGGCGAAGCACCTGCTGCTGGAACGGGAATGTGGAGGAGAAGTTGGGGTCGACCTCCTCCCAGCTGGGCTGGCCCCGTGGACATGGGCCCGACGAGAAGCGAGCTCGCGGCTGCAGCCTTGATCGCCCGACCCAAACTTCGAGACGTTTTTGCGGATCGCGAAGATGACGAGTGGGAAGATGAGGATGACGAACCTACGTATGCAGGCGGTCTGGGCCAGCTGGACTCCTTTGGATCTGGCTGGCGTGGCACCTCTAGGAATACCGCAGGCTCTGGCTTTGAATCCATGTTTGGGGGAATAAACAGCGGGAGAAGCGTCTCTGGCCTTCCACCTACATCCACCACGGCCTTTGGCACACCTTCTCGCATCGGCTTTGGGAACAGCGAAGGTAGCCTGCTATCATCTGGAAGATATGCGGGCGTGCGTTCCATCTTTCAGCCTCCTTCCTTGGGCCGTGACACAGCACCTCGACTTTTATCGATGCAGATAAACGCCGATGAAGATGCTTCCGCTGGATCTGCCCTGGGTTCTGCGTCGGATACGAATTCTGCGGACAAGTCGACGTTGGGCGCGCCTTCGAATAAGGATGCGCCTCCGAACAACTTGACCGGTGTTGCGCCGGCAGCGCCTGCTTCTGGCCTCATGGGCACGGGCACAGCTAGGCTTCGCGGGCCGACGCCGGCTTTCAAGACCATCACGATCGAAGAGGAAGAGGAGGATGAGTAGTGCGGCATGCGGCTGAGCAACCCTCTCTTTGGAAAGAAAAAAAGTGTCTTTACGCGAGTCGTCTTTTGGCTTTCCCGCGGTTCGATTTGCCTCCTTGCCCGCCCGCATCACCTTTGCGACTCGAGATCTGTCACGGCCTTTTCGACTCCCCATTTCAACTGGCACACGTCCCTTGCTCGGACGTTCTCCTCTTGCACCTGGACGGCTACGAATTTCGCTCGACAAACCTCCAAAATTTCTGCGCATTTTTGATACCAAAGGACACTATTCACTTTTGCTCGTCGGCGTCATTTTCCCCATTGATCGACTTTTGCCAAGCCATACGTTCCGAGAGCACGATTCTTTTCTTCCCCCCCCCCTGCTTGTTGAACTCCAGCTTCTTCACTGAATCATCCCTCGCTGGTTGTAGACTCTTTGTCTTTGATGTATCCCCGCTCCCCCACCCCCCTCGTTGCTTGTGAGTGTTCAATCTTACTCACATGTCCGTTGTTGGTGTGAAGAAGCCCATGCTGCGTGCCTTGGGGGGCGGAGAGATGGCGTGCAAGTTGAGATGTGTGGACACGCAGATGAGAGGTGTGCAGCAGCAGGAGTGCAGGCTGATGAATCTTGCTCGCTTTGTCTTGTACTCTCCAGGACTTGCGAGAACGACCTGAATTATTCACCCATTGTGAATTAAATTTATATTATTGATAGGTGTGTCACAATCGTAAATTCACGGCTGCCTCAGCAACGTGATGGATGCTGAGGAGAGTCGCCATGCAGTCACGAGTCACGAGTAGTACTCGCGACCACAAGGCGCGTGATGCGCGGGCGCGCGTTGGCACGTCGCGCAAGGCTGCGCGGGTGTCGGATTCGAGTCTGATTGATGCATGGCCGGTGTGGATGATCGTGGCATTGATCTGAGTGATCATCGTGACTCATGCCCACGCTCAACTCCTCTGACCGCAGCACGGCCAACGACGCAAGTGCTGCTCCCTTTGTCTGCTGTGCTCACGTTCGACATCCTACGGATCGATCATCGTTGCGCATATCGAAGATTTGGTGATTGCTGGGTCGCGGAGCTCTTCTGCTCTCGATCGAGCCGCAAAGCTCTCTTCACAAGAGTCATCATCACGCAAAACTGAATCTCTCGCCCGTCGCCCGTCGCCCGTCGCCCGTCGCCCGTCGCCCGTCGCCCGTCGCCCGTCGCCCGTCAGCCCCTATGATCTGCTGCGTGCAAACATGCCATCCTCCAGCACATCCCTCTCGCCCGTCGAGTCTGTGCGTCTTCGACTAGACACGCTGACCGCTTTAGTCCAAGGACCTTCGGTCCAGCAACGAGCGGGCGCATCTCTCCATGCTCCAGGCCTCGCTCTTGCGGATCAAGCCACCTTCAGCGCGGGTGAAGATGCGGGTGTGGATGCAAAGATCAGCGAGAGATCCATCGCTTCTCGCCTTTCGCAGGCTCAGGAGGCGTTGAATGATTGCATCGGCGCTCACAAATCCCTAATAGCTTTTGCTCAGACGTTCGATCAGAACAGACCTTGGTTGATACCCATCATCCCTTTGCAGAAACGATCCGTCGGATGCGGTGGCGAGGATGAAAAGGCAGAGGAAGGGGGGGAGCAGAATGATGATGCTGCTGCTCGAGACTTGGGGAAAATGGCGGTGGAGGAGAGGGATGGATTGTTGATGCTTGGTGGGCTCGAGGAGAGGGCTACGATTGTGATAGAAGCGGAGAGGGACATCAAGCAGCTCGGTCGGGACATGAATGCCATCAAGGAGCTTCAACGATTTGCCGAAGGTGGCCGTCTGGGAGGTGAGTGTGTGTGTGTGTGTGTGTGTGCGCACGCGCACGCGCGCGCGCCCAGCGAGCATGGCACTGCTACCTCGCTGTCACCTCGCGCTCGAAGTCAGTGCGCTCACAACTTTCTTGCATCCTCGCGCGTATTCAGAACTACAGGATCTGCGTCCGATGCTGGATCAACTCATTGCTCGCTTATCCGACGCGTCGGAGAGCAGGTCAGAGTTGGACAGCCAAGTGCTCTCGCTGGTAGATCAGTACGGAGAATGGGTGCGTCTCGAAGGGTCGCAATCGCGCTGATCGACGCGCACAAATCTCCTCCCCCATCTAACGTGCTCCGATTCTCTCGCACATCTCCTTCGATACTTCGGGCAGGTCCGAATGCTGTCCAGCTTGTTTGTCAGTTGGGACGAAGGACTTTCGGAGTTGGAGAGACGGGTCACCCAGCTCGAACGACTGAGAGCTACGGCTCGTTGAAGCTATGAGGCGGTTCATGAGCACTTCGGATAGCCAGGCGGCATCTCACTCCAGGTAGCACATCTGCTCACAGCTGACCGCGGAAAACAGAATATTTCACATCACACTTCGTGACTGGCAAGAAGGAACGGCTTGGACCACAGCCCCCCCCCAAACCAGAAGACCGACGACAATGTGGTCGCGCGCAAGCTCCGATTGGGGGAGTTCACTGAACGAGTACCGAACCTCCTCTCGACACTGGGCTGCTTTTCCGGCAGCAAATCATACAAAAACAACACCCGCACCCGCACCCGCACCACCTCGTCTTTCGGTATGACGCAGACCTTTTCTACAATTTCTCTCGCCCCGCCTCCACTCGACGAATAGCAGCAAGAGAGCAAGAAAGGACGGGCTAGCTTTTCCTCGCGCTTCCTGTCAGGGGTCCCAGGCTGATGAGCTTGCTCGAGCGGAGTGTGCCTGGGCTGCATTCAGGCAGCTTGGAATGTGCAGGCCCTTCTCTGCTACGCACCAGCCAAGCCTTTTGGCGCATGCAAACGGTGCAGGGCTCGAGACCAGCTGGACATCACGTTGGCCCATCCGTTCGTCACCCGCTGTCCGACAAATGTAGCGATTAACCCCCACCCAGCGTCGACAGGCCTACTGCGAGCGCCGTTTCCGTCCTTTCAATCGCAATACATCGCAATACGATTCGCAGTCATCTCACTGCATGCATCGCTTTGCGCCAGCCGTCAATCTTCTCCCAGACTGCGCTTGGCTTCATGCATCGTGTTCCACCACCGTAGGCCTTTCTTGTGCCTTTGCAGGTGTGGGGGGGGGGGGGAATTTATGCGCTCTGCGCGGATAGGGTGTAGATGGTATGACCTGCTGTACCGATCAGACCGATGTAGGCGACAAAAGTGCTGAGGAAGGGGTAGAAGCGTCTTTTGGGCTCGCCGGACGCGTAAGCTTGATGTCGCGAGGAAGAGGCAAAGAAAAGTGAGGAAGCGATTCGGGAGGAGGGGGAGGGGCTTCAGCATGGAGCTTGAGAGGCGCCAAGGGGGGCGGCGCGCAGAGGTGACTTTGAACGCTGGTGCTGATCATCATCATCATCACGATTGGGGGCGCCGAGCACGAATGCGAAATGTCTCTCCAAAAAGGGAGGTGGGCAGGGCTCGAAGCAGCGTTGAACGAGGGGAAAAATTTTCCCCCCGCCCGCGTCACTTTTCACATTCTCCACGCGCGCAAAGTCATACCAGCCGCGAAGCGATCCGGAAAGGCTTTTCACCCGCGCCCGCGCCCGCGCCCATGCCCACCCCTGCCCCACCGCACCGCTCTGCACCGCTCTGCACTGCGGATCCTGCAACGTGCTACTCACCCAGGGTGAACCAGATCCTGCCAATGACCCACACGCCGCCCAACGCAGCTGCCAACTCGGCATTGCCCAATCCCGCAACGAACAAGCAGAGCAAGAATCCCGGCAGCGTCTCCAGCGTGTTTGCGTGAGCTCTTTGAGCGCAGTTGAATTGCGCTTTGGGACCGGGAGCGGCGGCGGCGGCGGTGGCGGCAGAGGATTTGGATGCTGCGGAGAGTCGTTGTTGATGCTCCGCCTCGATGGATGCGTCCGAAGCGAATACGGCGGGATAAGGTACGCCCGCTCTACGTCTGTAATACTGTGCGCTCATCATTCCTTGAAAGCTGCGCGCGCGGGGGGATGGTAAGTAGCGCAAAAGGGTCAGCTTTACGACTGTGCCATTCTTTTTGCATGATTGGAACAAAGTCGTGCGAGCGAGCGAGCGAGCGTGCGTGCTGCGCTGCGCTGCGCTGTGGCCTATGAGACGGGGCATACGTACAAGGTCAAGAGCACGCTGCTTAGTCCTACAGCCATGACTGCAGGATAAGCAGCTGGGACTTGAATGTTGAGCGTCGATGGCGATGACATGGTGCGAGCTGCAGATCGAGGGGTGGGGGGGAACGAGAAAGAGGAAGAGGAAGAGGAAGAGGAAGAGGAAGAGGAAGAGGTTGGGGTGGGATGGGATGAGGATGAGGATGAGGTCGTGCGAGGTGCGAGGGCGTGTACCTGCACGTCGCTCAGCCGATCTAGTCCACGATTTCACATTTTGTATTTCCATTCAAGAAGAAACTCGTCACTGCGACTCTTGACTGATTTGAATGAGCCATGCAGCAGCATCGGCCAACGAACGTCTGCATGCCCCCTCTCCCACACTTATTGCACGTATACGCGGTCTGTGCGCATCGCGTGTGTTTGTTTGTTGATTTGTTCGGACTTGAATTCGGACGTTCCACGTAGCGGTGCGGTGCGGTGCGGTGCGGTGCACATGCTGCATACCGAACGTGTTGGCACCTCCTCTGCGGCTGCATTCGCGTTATATTCAAATTCATGATTTATAGCGCCAAAGTGTCTTCATCACGTGTTTCTCGCTTATTCATGCGCCCGTACTTTTGACTCATCAGACTGTGTAGGTACACACGCGCGGCGCACATGGATCATCCTTGCTCATGTATAGCAGTCACGAGTCAGGAGTACAGTCGAGTAGTCACGAGTATACATAGTCACGCTGCTGCCGCTGCCGCTGCATGCACGACTGATGGTGTGCTCACGCGCGGAGTTGCAATTTGGCACGCCGGCGGAGCTTGAGAGCTCGTCCAGCAGGCATCTCACCGCGAGGCAAGGTCAAAGCAAAATCACCGACCGACCGAGCTGCGCCTCCTCGACTTTAGCTTCGGCTTGGCTCGCCCATCTCATCTGCTCATCTCTTCCATCCCCATGCAGCAGTCTCCGTCTCAGTGTCAATGTGTTTCCCTTTCTCATCCATCAAATCACTCAGTCTCTTCATACACGAAACCACGGCACTCGTACGCACACCTAGATCGGTGTCCTGCACTTTCCCCCTCCTTGCACTGTGCGCTCTGCACCCTCCAAGCAGGATCTCCACGTCACGCTAGACGCGCGACAGCTAAGCAATCCCCATCCACGCGTCCCCCCTTTTGGCCCCTCCCCTCCCCTCCCGTCATCCAGCTAGAAGCTTGGGAATCAGACCCGGAAAGCCTGTCCAACCTCATAGACCCTCTGTCCCACCCCTCCTCCCCGCTCTCATCGACACCTCTCGGAAGCTCACTCGCTTCCCAGCCCCCCGCAACCCCGCACCCCCTCGTCTGTCATCCCATCTTTCAATTTGGCCGGTTTCCAGATTGCAAAAGATCCGCCGCTTCATCGACGAGACGAGACGGTCGCCAGGCTTTCCCGTTCCTTGCTATCCAAATTTCAAGACTCGACTCGGCTCAACCCATCACCACTCGCCCCCCCCTCCTCTCTCCAACATGCGTCTCAGCACCGTATCCCTCTCGCTCCTATCCACCCTCGCACTGACTTTGTCGGAGTGCGCACAAGCAAGAACCATCATCATGCCTCGCACTCCCACACCCTTCAACACGCCCAACCTGAACGCTCCGCACGCTCTCCCCATCTCTTCTCGTCGCGCTCAAGAAGCTCATGCGCGCAGCATCTCCTACGAAGAAGATGCTCGTGCGATCAGCGGCGGATCTGCGCACGAAATGCTGCGGTCCACCGGCCAGTCGGATTTGGAATCGGAGTCGGAAGCGAGCCAGCTTGCTCGAAGCGTAGGGATGGAGGTGGGAAGCGTGAGAGAGAAGAGGGATGTGCGTGCGCATGAGGAGGAGCAGGAGCAGGAGGAGGAAGAGAAGCGCGGCTCGCGTAGCTCCGCTGCTTGGTCAAGGGAGGAAAAGCGGCAGAAGAGCAAAAGACGAGCGGTGAGTAGGCGCGGCAAGTTGAGATTGTTGTTGTTGTGCTTCTTCTTCTTCTTCTGCTTGGATGCGCGCTCATGACTGACCCTCGTGCGACGTTGATCCGTGATGCTTGCGTCTCGTGCCCGCTCTCCACCCTACAGGCTGCTGCGTGGCAAAGCGCCGATGCGGAGGTCAAGCTGGTCTAGATGACTGGCTGACCGTCAATCACGCTCGAGATCCACTTGGCAAGGAGCAATGAATTTTGGTCCGGGTGCCGCGCGGCGGGCCAGCTGAATTTGACTACATTAGTCCAGCCTGGTCATGCTTTGGGACGTCACAGAAAGCCGAAATGACGCAGCAGCAAGGGCAAAATCTGGATTCCATTGGGCTTGTTATGCAATCAGGTTGTCATGCTCATCAAGCGGCGCAAACCTGCCTCGACATGGAGCGCGCCGGCGCCGGCGCCGGCGCCTCGACGCATTCACGCAGGGAATAGAGGGATGTGCTTGCCGTCTTGCATCGATCAGGCGTCGCCACCTCCGACTTTGCTCCAACTCTAATCCCCCACCCAACACGACGGCGGCGCGCCCCATGTGCCCCTTGAATTGCTGTTCATTCGCCCCTGATGAACCTGTTCCAATTACTTCTCAAGCAATATGCCGCCTTTTCGTATCCGGCCTCGCTCCCGCGCTCTTCGCCCTGCCGAAGTTCCTGCTTGATGTCTGCCACGAACCTCAGTGCGGCCCATGTACGTGCGGACAAGCCGTGCGCTGAATGCCAATCGCTCTCCACCAGCAGCCTATCCGCCCGACAAGCGCGAATCTGGTGCGCGAGCGATTTTTGTCGCGCGTTGATGGTTAGGCTGAAAGAGATGTAGATGTTTGGATGGGCATTCTAGCGTATAAGAGAGAAGAGGGGGGGGGGGAAGGGGGGGGTGTGATTGGTAAGGTCAGGGCGAGAAAGCGGCGGGCGGGGGCGGGCAGGGGGAAAAAGTCCCGCATCATTTTTGAACTCTAGATCAGCCCCCCGCCGTACTCGCGACTCACTTGCACGGTGCGGATCATCTCGGCGGAGAGGGAGCAGCTGTGCAGGTCCACATCTTGCGTGCGAGTGACGTAATCGCGAGGCGCAGTATGAGTCGAGAGATGAGCCAAAGGCGAGGAAAGGCGCAAGTCAGGGGGAGAACTGTCCACAGATGCCCTTCCCTCCATGCCCCTCCCCTTCCCCCCCAAAAACTCACTGATATCTTCAAATCCAAAGCCGACCTCCTCGCTCATAGCCTCTTTCAAATCGTTTTGCGTAATCTCCTCTCCCCTACCCTCCCTCCAAGCCTTTTCCCTATCCCGCTTCTCCTTTTTGCTGGGCTGCAGCACACGCTTCGTTCGTCGACCGCTACCAGGCCAACGCCTATCCATCTCCCGCACCCAAGCCAACGTGGCATCGCCAGCTTTGACGCTGTGCAAGCTGACGCTTCGTCGAAGAGAGATGGCCACTTGCACCTGAGCGCTCAAAATGGACAATTGATGGGATAGAGGTGTGCTCAAACAACTCAGAGCTCGATTTCTTCTGCCTAGTCCGTGTCCGTGAAATTCGTCTGCGCGCCCTGCACCTGCGCTTCGTTGAACCTCTTGAGCAAGCTTGGTCGCGTGCGCCTCATGCAAGCCCTTGTCGACCGCTTCCTTCTGCTCCTCCTGCTCCGCTGGATTCGAATGCACTCCCTCCTCGTCCGCGTCCGCGTCTGCACCTGTACATCTCAGACTGGGGTCCCTTGTATATCCATGCGCGCTCATAGGTAATCTAAAGATCCTATCCATTCCCACCTCTCCCACCAGAGCCGTCGGATGTTCTTGCAGATTTCTTCGAAGCGTCTGGATGATGTCGGACAAGGCGATAGGAGGGGGCAGATGAGGAAGCAAATCTTCCAGTTGATTCTTCGCTTCCAGCGTGCGGGAAGAGGTGCCCGCATCCGCATCTGCCTGAGCGAGAAAGAGGGAACGATAATGATCTTCTTTGGTAGTGGAATCGCAGAGCGAGATTTGATGAGCGAACCAGGGATGATAGCCTGTTTGTGAGGGGACGGGGGTGAGGGAGCACGATGCCCGCAATTCGTGTGTGCGCACTCAGCTTTGGGCATTTCGTTCGAGGTGTGCAAGTCCACATGCACAATCGCGCAACCTTTACCACCACGACGCTGCCCTCTGGCCGTCCGCACCCCCCCACACACACACCACCGCAAAGCGCAGCAACTCACCAAAAGCAGGCACCACTTTTCCTGGACAAGATCGGGCCAGCTGAGCGACGAAATGCTGATCGTGCACGGAGGTGGACATGGCGCAAACCTTGTTCAACTTTACGCTGCGCATCTTGAGACTCAGCTCTTGCGAATCTCGCCAAGGAGATGGATCGTCGGTGGGGTGACAGTGGGCTGAAGGAAAGGAGGGGGAAAAGGGATGGGCGTGTGAGTGTGAATGTGAGTGTGGGTGTGGGTGGTGGATGTGTGCGAGTGTGAGTGTGGATGTGTGCGATGTGTGCGAGCTTCAACTCACCCTGGCAGGGCAGGGCAGCGCAGCATAGACAGACGCGCACGATCCAGCCAGCGTCGGTAATCAGCCTCGAGCCTCGAAGAAGCTGATCATTCCATCGCATACAGAGTCAAGACTCTGAGCTGAATTACTCACATCCACCAGCAATTCCCACATCGCATCAGGCGGCCAGTGCACATCCTCCTCACCATCCTCATCCTCCCTCTCCATCTGCTCCACGTATCTCCTCACATCCACGTCCACCACCTCCACACCCGAATGGCCTACCTCTTCTACTTCTCTCCTCGACCTTCTTTCCTGTCGATGCGCAACGCTAGGTGCTTCCTCCTCGTCCCCCCAAGTCGATGCATACTGACCACCTCCTCTTTCTCCTCCAGCGCACATCGCCTCGCCTCGCCTCGCCTCGCCTCGCCTCTTCTCTTCGTCCGATACTCGATGGTCCTCGATCAAGAGCCACGCGATGGCCCCTTGCCTTGTTCCTCTGAAATCCGAAGCAAAATGCCCCGAGCGTGCACTCTGACTACAAGTGGGAGAGAGTGATTGTAGTAGACTTGGACCCCAAGGGCTTCAACCAGACTTGTCCATACCCGCGCAGTCAGAAGAAAGTTCCACAACAAGTCGTGAGCGTGAGTCTGCAGTGCGGAGCCTCTCGTGTGATTCTTCGAGTCCACGAGTTCCAGAAACTCGAAAAGAGTCCATGCATGCAGTGTACTGCCCGCCCGCCTGCCTGCCCGCCTGCCTGCCTGCCTCCTTAGCCTCCTTAGCCTCCCTAGCCTCCCTCCACATTAGCACGACGCGCGCACGTGACTCTACACACGGCCAAAGCTACCAAAAATCCTGATGAGTCGTGATCGAGTCTCGCGACGCCCAGCAGCTCTCAGCTCCAGCTCACTTTCGTAGCGCGCAGCTTCGTGAAGCAGGCAAGACTTGACTCGCACTCGAACAAAAAGCACTCGCCCAAGAGCCTGAGGCCGCACGCGCATCAAACAAACACCGACTCTCGCATCCTGCTGAGCGAACCAAGAAGCTTTGGCTTCGAAAGAAAGCTAGGCATGGCACGAAGGCGAGGCGAAGGAGAAGGGATGACATGGCACGGGGGGAAAGCCTAGGTAGTGTTACTCTTACAAAAGATTGCGAATTTGCAGATTGATGGATCAGGGGGGGGTCAACAGATGCGTGCGAGATACATTGAGGATGGCGAAGGGGGGGAAGAAAGAGGGGAGATATAGAGAGGCACGGTGAAAGAATCTCAAAGTGGGCGTGAGAGCGACAGATGCACGAGCTGCCGCGGCACACCTCACTCCTGCGATGAGGGCATCTCGACAGCAGACCGCTGCAGGGCTGCCAATCGCTTATTGATAGAAGCCAAAACTATAGCAGAGAAAGCTTTAGCGCATCAGCATCAGAATCGCACCGCATCGCATCGCATCGCATCAGCATCAGCAATCAGCATCGCATCAGCATCAGCAATCAGCATCCGCGTCCGCCCCTTCCGCCCAATCGAGCTCTTGAAACTCACACTTTTCAATCGTAGCGATAGCAGCATCTCCCAGCTCGGCATTGCTTCCAAGCACGACGGCCGCTACCGCCGCCGCCGCTGCCGACTCCTCCTCCCCCTCCTCCTTTTCGTTGGGAGAGTCCAGCAAACCGCTTAACAATCCGCTGGCGGTCTCGTAGGCCAGTATGCACCTCTGCGCCTCGAAAGCGGAGCCTGCTGCTGCTGCTGCGCGTCCGTGATTGTTCTCCAACTCGTCCAGCGCGGCGCATCTGGCGATATCGAGCGCCTTGTCGAAGATCAGCTTGTCCACATTTCGCGCCGAATCCGGTATTTCCGCGCTGCACCGAGCCCTCGCAAAGTCGGCCCTCTCGTAGCCGTCGTTGAAGCGTGCGCGCAAAAATTGCACAGCTGCGCAAAAATACACACCGGACTCTTTCGAATGAGCGATAGTGTAGTTACTGGGCGATTGGGCGCACCGTACATACTCACCTTCATTGACGTCCGAACTTACTGCGGCGGGGTAGCCAGGACGCGAACGAGCCTCCCAAAAAATTTTGACGGCATCCAGACCTCGTTGCAAAAAGCTCAAGCTACGCACATACAGCAGCAGCGCCTCCGCAGCAACCGTCTCTCCTGCCGATGAAGGTAGTCCAATAGTCTGAGATTGAGGAGAAGTTGGAGAGTAGCTGGCGGCAGGAGCGCCAGGGGAGGCCTTGGTAGAGCTGCTCCTCCTCAAAGCCGTCGATGGCCGAGTGGACTTGTTGACAGCCGTGGAGACGCTCGAGGAGCCCAGAGCAGAGTCCTTCGCAGCTTCTCCATTCAAGCCGGCCTGATGAGGTCCACTTGGAAAGTGAAGTGCCAGTCTGGAGTCCGCAAATTCGCTGAGCACAAACGACTTTTGCGAAAGATCTTCGAGCATCGCTAGCAAGCCCGCTTCCGCACCGTCCAAATGTTCGCCCGATCTCATGAGCGCTGCTCGTCTTGTGCTCCGATTCCTAGCCAAGGCAGCTGCTCCTCGCATGTTCATCCCAGTAGGAATGCCAAACAGCCTCACGCTCGCCATGCTGATCGCGCGCGCCAAAGCAGACTGCGGGTTCGCAGCTGTTGTCGTCGTCGAGATCGCAGCCGGCGCGGTCTGTGGCGCTGCGGGGTCAGGAGCAGGGATTGTTGAAGCGACACCACTTTGAGCTGCAGCTGCTGGGGCGCCGCCGACAGCAGGCAGTGAGCGAGGACTGGGACTGGTAGCGCTGGAGGTGCTCTGGCGATGGCTCAAGCTAGGACGCCGCACAGTGCCCGAGGGAAGAGCAAAAGCTCCGCCAGCTGGCGAGCTGGGCGCTGCGCCCTCTACTGCGGTGGGCGATGATCTGTTTGGAGGGGAAATGCGAGCGCGCTGTGCAGATTCATCAGTAGTCTTGGCTGCCGAGAATGGCGCGGCTGTGGCTGTTGCTGTGACTGCAGCTGCGGAAGGAAGGAGTTGAGCTGCTATACCGCTGCTGAGTCTACCCAACCTGGATGGTCTTCGCCCCACGCCTAGTAGTCCTGCGCCGACGCTCCCGTCCGAGTTGGTCTCGATGTTGCGCTTCTCCACGATCACGTACGCATCCTTGCCCAGCAGTCCGCTGTCACCAGGCGAGGGCTGAGTTGCCGAACCAGCAAGATCAAGCGGAGTCGAAGCGCCCGTTCCCGGCGAGTCTGAGCTGGATGCCTTGGCTGTAGCTGCGTGGATGGGAAAGTTGCTGACGCTCGAGCCAGGCGTGTCGCTTGCATTGTCTTCCATACCTGAAGAGGTTGGCGCTGCGATGCTCGGCTGCGCCATTTTGGCTTTTGTCTCCACCGCATTCGTACGGTATGCGTGATTCCCGGCCAGAACATACTTGCTGGCAAAGCCTCGCTTGATGGGGGTGGGAGGCGAAACATTCACCTTTGAGGACGGTATACGTGCTGCTTTCGGAAGCGACGGCGCCATCTCCTCTGGAGCTGCAGGTATGAGCTTGGCATTGGAGGACTCAGAAGTGGCTCCTGCGGAGGTCGTGGCTTGATCTGCCAAAGCCCTCTTTGCCGTGGCAGCGGCAGCAGCAGCAGCCACGACTTGGCGCATCTCTTCTCTGACGCCTTCGATCACATCGCATCTGAACAACCCGTCGAAAGATACGCGCTCCATCGGCTTTTGCCTCAAGAGGCACCTCACCAGCGCCTTGATGTCCGCCGGGATTGAATGAGCGCGCTTCACATCCACATTCGTCTCGCCAAGCTCTTCCCTTCTCTCCCTCTCGCGCGCCAAGGAGCCATCCGAGCGCTCATCGGGAAAACGTATGCGATCTTCGCCTCGCTCAATCTTGCGCAGCAGCTCCACCGGATTCTGCGCTCTGAAAGGCGGCTTGCCCACGCACATTTCGTACAGCACCGCTCCTACCGACCACAAGTCCGCCTTGGCATCGTACTTTTCGTATCGAAGAATCTCAGGCGCCATGTAGAGCCTGTGCATCGAATCGGTGTGAGCTCGGCGCATCGCATGCATCTTCCTCCAACGGACCTCTACTCACGGGCTTCCACATAGCGTCTCTGCCAGGGTCGCTGTGGGGAGATTGCGGGCAAAGCCAAAGTCTGCGACTTTGAGCTGTGGAATGCCAGGCTTGTGACCAGCGGCCAAGAATTCTTCATCGGCGGGCTGCAAGAGCAGGTTCTGCAGAGTACGACAAGCAAGTCTACTTGTCAGCACTGACTGGATGCATGCGTCTCAGGCCGGAGGGAAGCTCCGTCAAACAACGGAGCGGGCTCGAGTAACCCGCCCGCCACCTTGGTCATCGCAGCGACCACTCACCTGAGGTTTGATGTCTCTATGCACAATGTTGCGATCGCGCATGAATTCGAGTGCGCCCGCCAACTGTTCCAAAAAGCTTCTGATCACGACGTGGTTCAGTCCTCCATCCTCGTGGTGCCTGTACTCCATCTCGGCGGTCGCAGCGCTCCTGTCGATCGAAGTGCTCCTCCTAGTCTTCCTTGCTTCTGCCGTCGCTGCGGATGCTAGCGCTTGCTGCTCAGCTAACGCCTTTGGAGCGTTGCGAATGTAAAAGCTGAGATCCCCGCCCGAGCAAAAGGGCATGACGAGGTATATCCTGTCGTCGGTGCTGAGACAGTCGAGCAGCTCGACGACATGCCGATGTCTAATGTTCCTCATGATGCTAATCTCCCCTTCCAGATTCTCCAGCAGCTTGGTGGTCAACTTGCGCCTGCTGACAATCTTGATGGCCAGATCCCTTGCGCGTGGTGCATCGGGCGGTCTGACCAAACCCTTGTGCACCACTGCAAACGAACCTTTTCCAATCTCCTTGAGAATCTCATAAGGGCCTACTCGATGATCGGAAGAGCTCCCGCTGCCAGCACCACCACCACCACCACCACCCGCGCCACCGCTTCCCGACCCAGAGACTGCTGCGTGAGTGACGGCCGCCATTTCCGCCCCAAGCGGGTGGCGGAGGCGCGATGCCGAATGGGGGTGCGCTTGCTCAAGTGGAGGCTTGCCTCACTCTTGCCTGACAAGTTGAGGGCAGCCAATGGGAGGCAGAGCAGGAATGCGAGCAGCAGATCAAGTGGATGCGGATGCGACCATGCGAGCGGAGCGAAGCGAGGATGATGGTGTGTGTGTGTGTGTGCGTGCGACTCCCTCTGGAGGGACCAGCGATCGATGTGCGGCTGCTGTGTGATCTTATCTTGATGCATATATGCTGCATCATGGATACCAGCAGCTTGCTCGGCGCACAGGCATCAGCAGCAGCAGCAGCAGCAGCAGCACAGCACCCGCGAGCCCCCCTCGTTTGCGCCATCCGCCGCCGCGTTTCAAGCAGCAGCAGCAGCATGCAGCAGCAGCAGTGGCGCGTGCGTACGATGAATCGATTGTGAATGTTAGACCCGCACGCGACTATACACGCACGCGCAGCTCAATTGTCGCAGCTGCATGCTGCGTGCAATGACGAGACCCCCGCCGCCGAACGGAACCCGTGCACGCGCGCGCGGCGTCTATAGCTGCGCCCGCACGTGATGCAATCCAATCCAGATCACGTGCATGACGTCTCGTGTGTGTGTTGACCAAAAAGTCACGAGTCGCGCGCGCACAAGTCATCGAGTGCAAGTCACAGTCGAGTCAAACAAGTCAAGAGTCGTGGGTTAAAAAAAAAAGAAAAGTATGTGTTGATGAGTTTTGGAGTAAACGCACAATGTGAATACCAGTCGAGCGTCACTCGTGACTCGAGTTGGAGCTAGGTCTACCGTGTGCATGCGCCTTGTGCTGATTGTGGTTGTATAATTTGTGTAGAGCGTTCTGCATGGACCGAGCTGCATGCGTCGACTGCAAAGCATGCAGCTATGCAATACAACAACGCAGCAGCGAGCGAAATCCCCGCGCTGATCATTCATTCATTGTGATTCGCCATCAACGCATCCAAACTCGAATGAATCCACGCAAGAGTCGTGAATGATGACAGAGGCTGCGGCTGCTCAGTCAAAGTGCGGTTTGTGGAGAATGAATTCAGGGATGCAATTAAGCTGCTCTCACTCGTACCGCACAACCAACACTACGCACACTATTGACTATAGCCCCGCCCCCGCACCTTGACTCTGCGCGTCCCGTCCGCGCGCGTGGGCGGCCGGGCCACACGTAGTATACAGCACCATGCATCAGCAAGCTGCACGCGCGCTGCTCGAAGCTCCAAAACACCGCGGCGTGCCTTCTGGACCTGCTTGCGTAGCAATTCAGCGAGCAAAGCTTGACATCGGTCTGTGAGCCAGTCACGAGTCACGAGATTCCCCCCCACACTCGTGACTATCACCCTCACCCCCACGCTCCACGTCATTTCATCATCCTGCCTCTGGATCCCGCAACACGCACCGCACCACGCGCAACGCCCAAAATCATGTCTGCCCCGCCGCCGCCAGCAGCAGCATCTCCGCGCGCAATCGTGTACGGCTACGCCGGCTCTCCCTTTTTCAAAAAGTTGCAGGATCTGCTAGCGTGGTACAGGGTACCGCACGCCGTCGTTCAAGTCGACATGATCCCGCCTCGTCCCATGCTCTCCCAAGAGCTGGGCATCACCTATCGTCGCATTCCCGTGCTGGCATTGGACGGTCAGCTTTATCTCGACACTAGTCTGCAAGTCGAGGTGCTGGAAAAGACGTTTGCGGGCAAGCAGGGACACGGAAACAGTTTGTTCGGTCGAGAGGCCGAATTGCAAAAGAGGCTCGTTGGTGAGCGCGCGCGCGAGAGATAGATAGAGAGAGAGAGAGAGAGAGAGAGAGAGAGAGAGAGAGAGAGAGAGAGAGAGAGAGAGAGAGAGAGAGAGAGAGATGGCGGGGCGAGGCGGGGCGAAGCGGTGGCACTTTTGCCTTTCTTTGCTGCGGCTCATTCCTTGCCTGCCTGCTCACAGCTAATTGGACGGACAGAGAGATGTTTCCGATCATCGCGGGTCTCATTCCTCCCGCAGCCTGGTCCAAGGAGTTCATAGACGACAGGAAAAGCTTCTCGCCCGGCCTCAGATTGGGCGAAAGGGCCAGACCGGAGCTGAACAAGGCTCAACTCATCACTCATCTCCATTCGCTGGAAAAGACGCTGACGGAGAGTCGGGCAGAGTGGTTGCTCGGAACGCCCGAGATGAGCTACGTGGACATTGGCTGCGCATTCACCCTGACTTGGTTGCGTAAGTCAAGAGTTTTGCTCGCACGTCGCACGGACGGAGCTGCTTCTCGCTTTTGCAGTTAGTTCCCCCTGCCCCCTCGCCCTAATCGCTGAATTTGCTGCATCCTTTCCCCTCCCCCTCCTTCCAATTCGCAACATCTGCTTTGGCAAGAGCTGAGCCTGAAAGCGGTGCCCGATCTGCTCCCTCGCCCGTCCAAAGACAATGCTCAACTTCCCAACTCTCCCTTTCCCCTCGTCTTGCGCTGGCTCAACGAGGTGCGCAAAGAACTGAGCGCTCGCAGATCCGCTCTGCCCCAATTCGCCGATCTGAAGGGGGACGAAGCTGCGCGTTTGATCTTGCGGCAGGCTGGCGAGTCCGAGTCCGAGTCCGAGTCGGTCAGGCGCGAGGAGGCGGGCGGCGGACATATCCAAGCAGATGATCCTAGCGCGCTCAAGAGGGGAGACTTGACCAGCGTCACTCCACGAGACACTGGCAGAATCGTGAGTCGGAGTCGGAGTCTCGCTCGAAGTGGTGCGGGGGGAAAAATCCGAAGCGTGTTCATGGGGGAATTTCTCATGACGTTTGCATCTTCTCCTTCCTTTGGGGGGCTTACTTTTACCCCCGCCCATTCGTTCCTCACGATCCCAGCCTCAGACGGGTACGCTCGTCGCTCTCACACCCACCCAAGTCACCTTACGAGTCGAACCGCCCAAGCATCCGGGCCAAAGTCTGTTGGTTCATCTGCCTCGCTCCCACTTTGACGTCGCTCCAGCTACACAGCAGGCCAAGCTATGATTGCGCGCTTGCGCGCGCGCCTCCACTCTAAGAAAAGAGCCCCCGTGTATTCTAGTCCTGCTTGTCGCCACCCTCCCTCTCCTCGACTTGCGCTGCCGCACCGTTCGACGACCATCCCACTGGAGCCCGTGCGATACACGCTTGGTGCTCGTGTCAGAGAAGTCTCTCTGCAATCCACCCATCTTTAGCGATCGCAATCGCGATCGCGATCGCGCTCGCAGGTCTTCTTGAAGCAGTCTTTTCTGTATTGCTGGCAACGCTGCGAACGCTGCGATTTGCCATTCGTCCGCTTTTCCCCCTCCTCCTCCTCCAACACAATTCGAAAACGTTTCAGCGAGCAAGCGGTGCAATTTTCGATGCGCCCGATGCCGCCACAACGATGCAGCATGCGCGGGGCGGTGGGGCAGAGTGCTAGCTAGCCGCACAAGCATTACGAGCGTCTCATACATACGTGCAGAGGGAGGGGGGAGAACCGACGCGAAAAGAATAGAGAGAGAGAGAGAGAGAGAGAGAGAAAACAAGTACAAAAAGGTGCGGGTGGGCGGTGCTGGAATTGCTAGTCCGCATATCGCGTCGCATATCGCAAGTGTCGGACGATGAGGAGTTGCAAAGACTTGATCGATGGAAGGGAGTGCGTGCTGCTTCGCCTGCGGCACGCGTGGAGGCTTTGCGGTGCGCGCGCACGCCAAGAATCTCACAATCGCGCTGGGCCACAGACAAGTAGCAGCAGGGACATTGTTGCGCTTTTTCGTTTCGTTGCAAATGACCCCCACGCAAACGTACTTCTTCCCAATAGGCCCGCCCCCCTTTTCTGTTATGCTGCCCCCAACTCAAGGCGTTCCCACCTCCGCATTGGCCACGCGCAGACCTCTATGAGCTCCCCAAAGCTGAGCTGCGACTCTCTCCGTCTCCGCATCGTCTTCATGCGCCGCAGCAGGTCTTTCAGCGCCACCGCTGCTCAAAGGTCTGTTGTTGCGCTGCTGAGGAGAGGTGGGCGCGCTAGGTGGTAAGCCGGCAAGGATCTGCGAAGTTTGTCTGGCCATGTTGTTGTTGTAGGCTTGCAAAGGCGACTGCTCGCGCTGCTGCTGGGAGGAAGCATTTTGAGTTCTGGATGCTGACGATGCATCGGGTGTCCTCGTATTGTTGAAGGAAGGAGCTGCGGACAAGTTTGGCGTTTGGTTGTGAGATGCGGATGCGGATGCGGATGCGGATCCGCTCAGTGGCGGTACTGGTGCGTAGGGAGGTGCTGCATCGTTGCCCGCAGAAGCTGCGCCGGTAGGTCCAGCACCTGCACCCACGTCCAGGAAAGCGTATCTGGATGGAGGATAGACGCCTTCTGCGGTTGAAGAAGCGCCATGCGCCGTGCCTGGAGGAGAACCGTGCGAAGGTGCAGCAGCAGCAGCAGCAGCACCGCGATGATCTGCGGATGAAGCGCCGTTGGCGAATGCCGCTGCGTATTGCGCGTGCGCACCATCGCTGGTCGCACCACCACCGTGACCTGACTGCGTGTAGGGCCCAGCATTGCTGTATGCTCCATCGTGATTGTTCCAACCATAAGCGCCATGTGCCGCAGCACCAGCCATGCCGGGTCCATAGGCAGCTTCGCTGGCATGACCGCCAGGCGCCCACTGAGGTTGCTGAGCGTGGTGCGGGGAAGTGTGTGCGTCCGCATACTCGTCCTCATCCATCATATCCAAATCATCCCTTTGCTGTTGTTGTTGTTGTTGCTGCTGCTGATGCTTCTCATCATCCTTGCCTCCAAAAGACAATCCAAACAATCCTCCACCACCGCTACCAGCACCGAAAAAGGCGTTAAGAGCCTTCGTATCCCTATCCCTTCTGCTCCTCACCACCAACCATCGCGCCAAGATTGCCACGATGACGATCAGCGCCGTACCGCCCACCACACCTCCAACGATCGCACCTGTATGCTGAGAGGCTCCGCTGCTGGACGAGCTTGCGCCATTTCCAGATCCAGAGCCCGAATTGTTGGAAGGCTGAGCAGCGGGCGTGCTGGTGAGGGTGACGATGACGACTTGACCGTTGGAAGTGCTGGCAGAGGTGAGCGTGACTGGCTGCACCGTCGTCGTCGTAGCTGCTGGCGCTTGAGTGGTAGGTCCCTGCTGCTGCGTCGTCGTCGTCGCTTGTTGCTGCGTCGTCTCAGGTTCGCTGCTCTGGCAAGGCGGCGTGGTGAAGATGGTGGAGATGGGAGAAGTGAGCAGCTGCGTGCTGGTGATCGTCCTCGTCACTTCCGAAAATGGATTCTGACCAGTGATACCGCCGGGCAGACTAAACGTCGCCGTATCGATGGAGATGGAGGTGATGAGCGACGTCGACGTCGTGTACTCCGTCGAGATCGGCGTGGGCGAGGGACAAGACATGGTGGGGCGAGAGGGGCGGGAGGGGCGAGAGAGGGGAGGTGGCGATGTCGATCCACCAAGAGCGGTGGTGGTGGTGGGGAAGATCAGGGCGAATGAGCAGAGCAGCGCGCTGTGTCAGACCAATCAATCACGATTTCTTGAGTGGCTATATCGAGGTTGGAGGGGATGTGATGGGTACAATCAAGTGATGCTGCGTGTCATCACGACGTCGGAGCCGCTCCCATGGATGTCATCATCCCGCTCGACTTTGACTCTCTGACTGATTCGCGATTCGCGTTGATTCTTGATTTGCCCTGCTTCGCCATTCAATGTGAATTCATATTCGCGATTTGAGCTTCATCTGCAGCAGCATGAATCATGACAGCAGCCTGGGCAAAGCGGCTGCTGCTTAATTGCTGAGCATGCATGGCTGCCAAGATCCAGCCAGCACCGCTGCGGGCACTAAAGCAGTGTAGACAAATCCATCTATATTTCGCATGACTGCTGCTGCTGCTGCTGCTGCTGCTGCTGCTGCTTCTGCTTCTGTCTCTGCTTTTGCCTTCAAGATTGAATTGCAGCGGACCGATCGCGTGGTGCACCTGGACAGTCATAATCGCAATTACACTCACGCATAGGGACTTGCCCTGCTTGTAATCGCCCTCGCTCACAGAGAATGGTCATTCTTGATTCTCAGCATTCACATCCACCAGCGATTTTCCCTATTTCGATTTCCATTTGATTGTTTTTCCCGAAACCCAGGCTTTTTGACTGCCGCGACACTCAGACTCGACTCAACGACAATCGTGAATCTTGAATCTGAATCACGAATGGCTCGATCTTGCGCATCTTCACGCCTTTACCTGCTGCAGGAATTACTCAATTACTCACACTCATCAAAATTTGACATGCTCGCGCCGGGGTTAATTGGGATCGAGTCTGTGCAGCAGCTGCATGTGTGTGATGCTCTGCTGCACAGCAGCGACGGGAACGGCGCAGCTCGACCATCATCGACTTGGATGGGCAGCAGCAGCAGCAGCAGCAGCAGCAGCTAGAAGCCCTGATCAAAGGTATAGCGCGCTTGTTGCGGGTATTCCGAGGCCGTGCGGTCGGTACCCTCATCACGCACGACACTGATGACTTGCATGCACACCGCGCAGACATGCGCGGGCGAAACGGTGGACCACCCACGACTGACCGACCGCGGGTGACAGACAGGCAAGGCAAGGCAGGGCAGGGCAGGGCAGGCAGGCTCGTGCATCGATCAGCAAAAAGTAAATGTGGCGGTGTAGCAGGTCTCCATCCAACAATAAGGGGCCGCTCGAGAGAAGTCACGAGTCACGAATCTTGTGGAGTGTGAGTACACCTCTTGCTCGCTCGCTCGCTCGCACTCACTCATTCGACTTGCCGATCGAAGTGCGCATCACCGTGTCGGTGTGATTTGCCAAGTCGATGCACGATTCGGCACTCGAATGGCGATCGTGCCCCAATGTGCTTCGTGCGCTGTGCTCATACAGGGCCCACAGCCAAGCTTTGACACGAGGCAGGTTGCGCTCGTTACTCGAACCATGGCGGGAACAGGAGGAGGAAGAGAGGGAGCGGAGACCCAGTCAGCCTTTGCTTCATCAAATCGAAGCCCCCTGGCCTGGAGGTTAGCCTTGGATTAGGCTCGACCCTAAACAATCGGCTAGAGCTGGGGCCATCAATACTGGCATTTCGCGTGACTGGCCTCGAATATTGACCTGACATTTGCGCCAGCTAGAGCGCAGCCGTGAGCCGAAACGCCCGGGCTGATGATGCCTTGATCGACGGACACCTGTGGCTCTCTACAAGGTCCATCGATCTATCCATTGCGTTTGTTCTCTCCATACACGGGTCCATCTGCACAGCGAGACAATGTTGCGTGTACCATATATCAAACCCAATCTAAACCCACCGCGGCGTCCCACGCGAGTGAGGAAGAATCTAGCTCCCACTCCACGAGACACGGCGCGTACGAAATTTCGTGAATAAGCTATACATTGCTCCAGAAAGGGGCTTTCGCCACAGGAATGACAACTTCCTCAAAATGTCCCCCACAGCTTGTTGCCGGAAGCGTGGAGCGCTACTACTGCTCTACTCCCAGACGTCCCAGCACCAGATCCGCACGTCGCATAGCATCCTCTATGCTCTCCCCTTCCCTCTCAGCAGTCTCTGCTGCCCCTCCTTCGTCCCCATCCTTGAGCGCCCTAGTAATCTCGCTAAGCGCGCTGTTCCACCTCAGATTCGCCGTGTCCGTGATATACGTGCCCGAAGGGCCCTGCACCATCCTCTTGCCGTTCATGCGGATAGATGCAGCAGCGGCTGCAGATGATGCGCTGGCACTGGCACTGGCGCTCGCGTCGTTCAAATTCGCCGCAGCATCGCTTCGTCGACCGCTCTTGGAGCGCAAAAGGGATGGGTCGTCCGGCTCCGCAGTGCCCGCGCCCTCGGCCACCAACCTCTGAGCAGCTTCCAGCTTCATCGCTGCCAATTTGGCCCTTTCCAAGGCGGACATGCGCACCGATCCTCTCACCGAGCCGTAAACTCCAGCGCCCGCCGCCGCACCTCCGCCCGATCGTTTGCTCCAGCTACCCTTGCCGCCTGCTGCGTAGCCTCTGCCGTTCAGACCGCTAGGCAAGGCGCCCACTAGGCTCACGTTGCGCTCCAGCCCCGTTCCAGCAGAGCTCAGCGCCACATCCTCGTCCACATCGACGAACCCATCGTCGGCAGTCGTCGCCTTGACGCTGTTGAGCTGCGGCGGAAGATCCTTATCCATTCCAGTCGCGCCGTCGCCATGCGACGTTTCGACAAGAGGATCGGCCAAGATGCCCGCCAAGCCGCGTGGGACCGGTTTCCTCTTTGTCCGTCCAAAGCCTCCCGTGCCAGGAGCCCGAACAGTGCCCGCTTGAGCTATCGCAGTCGAAGGTGCGCCGCTGCCTTGACCAAGCGCAGCGTACGATCGACCGATCGATCCCCTTCCCGAACTCGCTCGCACCTGAGATGGTCCCATGGTGGACGGCACTGGCCTACGTCGAATAGAGGCGACGTGCACAGACGGTCTTTCATGCAAAGGCGGTATGCGGCGGGAGAGCTGCTCGGGTGACGATGTCTCTGCTGGCGGTGAGGTCAAAGCCGAAGAGCGCGATACCAAGCGGATGGAAGGAGCAGATGTTTCTGCGGCGTCCAGACTGACCGAGTCGTCCGGCGTTGCTGTCGCACTCTCCAAGACCGATGCAAAGTCGGCGGGGATGAGGGGACTCTTGTCCCCCCGTAGAGGCTCCATCTCGGGCGAGTCGGGTGCTGACACACCCTTCACCTCGGCTGGAGCGGGCGGCGGTGTGGCAGAAACGCTCGACTTTGGTGGCGCGCTTGATGGTGGCGCTGCAGTGAGAGACTCTGACAAGGGAGGCAGGTCGAAGTTGGACAGCGCTGCGGCGACTTCAGACAGCTGAGCTTTGAGCTGAGCTGCATCCACCTGAGACACGGCCTGGCCGTATGAAGCGGCTCCAATGTGGCCTGTATGCTGCGCCGGTGAGCGTGTATCGTGCGCGCGTGTCAGTCGACCGAAGCCATGCAGCAGCACTCGACGACCAGCGATGTGCTTGCCCAAAGTCATTGAGCTCGTCACTGCTCACCTGAAAGTTGCTCGGCAATCCGATCTGCCGCTTATCCACCACGCGCTTCCTCGCCGGCACAGGCGATCCGCTGTGTTGCGCAGCAGCAGCGACACCTGCGCTCAGTTGCTTTCCCGACTTTGCATTGCTTACGGGTCCGCTAATACCCACGCCTGCGCCTGCGCCTGCGAACCTGTTCCTGCCGCTCTGCTTCTTTGGGCTTCCAGGCGCACTTGGCGCTTCGTCCGTTGCCCATCCAGCATCCGTATCCGCATCCGCATCCGCAACCTCGTCCATCCGCCTGCCTGTCCGTGTTTGTAGTCTGCTGCTCATCCGCTCTGCATCCTCTGAGCCGCTGGAGGCGAGTGGCAGGACCACACCGGCCTTTGCCGCTCTCCGATTACCTCCGAGGAGCAAACCATTCCCTTTGCCCACCGGCTGTCTACTAGGTCCAGCCAAGTTGGGATTCTGCCTGGCAGAAGCTATCAATTGCGGCGTCTCTTCGGCATTTGCGCCTGCACCCTGGCCGAATTCGGAGGAAGCGGATGGTCGGGATGAGGCCTGACTGGCTCGAAGGCGGTGGATGGCAGCATTGGCCTTGCGCTGCCCTCGAGGCAGCGAATCGTACGCTGCTGCGCTTCGACACAGCGCCGGCATGGTGCGATGCCAAGGAGTGTGCGAGTGTGCGAGTGTGCGAGTGGATAGGATAGAGTCACATTCGCAGTGATGGAGGTGATGGGGCGCGAGTGGGAGAGTCGATCGTTGATGTGCAGAGCGATGAGACCCCCCCATAGGTGGAGCGACGTTGCAGCGATCGCACACGCAACCCAACCCCCTTTTGGCACGCACGCAGCCACGCAGGCAGCCACGCACGCAGCCACGCACGCGCCTAGCTGAGCCCCCTGCTCCAGATGCGGCGCAGACAGACCGACCTGCTGCGAGATGTTGAGTCGGCGCGCGCACTATACACGTATACGCCGGCCTCATCTGCTGCTGCCACAGTCATCATGCATCCAGACGCGGCGTGCGCTGCTGCGATGCGATGCGATGCGATGCGGACCCTGAAATTGCATGAATAACGATAGGGCTGCAGGGCAAGCGCAACAAGCTCATCACTGCAGGTGTTAACTGTCCGAAGCGGTGTGGCGGTGCGCGCGGTGCGCGGTGTGGCGGTGCGGCTGGCTTGTTATCACGACGCTCGAGCGTGGTGACACGCACTCATGGCTGCGATCGACGTCGTCTTTCATTGGCGAATACGACAAACAGGCTACACATGCACTACGGTAGCCCAGACGTTCTCGTTTCACGATCGATCAGCACCCGGTGATTCATCCGATTACAAAGAGTAGTACATGCGCGTTGGGGCGCATCGACAAATCTCTCCCAGATGCAAGCGGAGGAGGGGGAAAGGAAAGAGGCGAGCAAAGCGAAGATCTAAATATCCACGATTGGCGCATCATGCCTTCCATTCGAGGTGCTCGCCTCTGCTGCAGCGGCGGCGGCGGCGGCGGCGGCAGCAGCGGCCTCCGCTTCCACAGAGACGACGGCAGAAGAGACTCCTCTCGCATCCTCGTCTGCCTCCGAGATGACGGGAGGCGTAGGCGCATGGGTCGGCGTGATGCCCTCTTCTGCACTTTGCTGATCCGGCTGCTGGTTCACGTCGGTGACCACTGCTGATGGCGCTTCGCTTCCTCTGTCGATGCCCAGCGCACCATTCATCTGTGCCGTCGATTGACGCGGCGTGGAGGAGGATGAAGTCCGGCTCGCCTCTGCTGCTCCGTCTAGCGTCCGCGCACTAGCCAATGGCGAATCATCCGAAGCGCCATCATCCGTCCGCGTCCGCGATCGGTCCTTGGCATCTGCCACTCTTCTCTTGCGCTCCGTCTCGCTCTCCTCCGTCATGAGCGGTATTCTGAGAGCAGACGAGAAGCCAGTCTTTTTGAAGAATAGGTAAAGGCTTCGAAGCAGCTCCGGTGCCAAGGCAGGTCGACTCAGAAGTTCGACCGCAAGGGGGTAAAACATGCTGGCGTAGTGCGGAAAGACGCTGTCCTCGAGCGTGTCGCTGAAGCTGTCTAGTCCGGTAAATACTTCCGCAACCACCGGCGTCCAAGCTGCAATGTTTCGCGCCTGCGTCTCCGTGTCTAGCGGCAGGTACGCATTGATGATGTCCTGACCGAGCGGGACGAGCGTCTGCCGAACGCTGGCTCGCATGTCGCGGTGCGATGGCCGATCATCGTTGTGCATTCTATTCAGCACGCTGACGAGCGTCGCTGCTGAACTGCTCTCTTGCTTGAGCAGGTTGGGCAATTGCTTCATGAAGCCGACTTTCCATAGGGCCATTCGAAGCTCTTTGTCGGCATTGAAGCGACGCGAGAATCGATAGCTGTCATCGAGGACGTGCGTAAGTCGCAAGAGCTGAGCGGGCGGCATGACCTCGTAGACCGGGCCCTTTTGCAGGAGCTCGTGCGTCGTCTCGATCAAGAGCAACTGAAGAACGCATTTGACAATGATCTGCTTGAATGCACGGCGACGCTGCGACTGAGTCATGAGCGGTGCCGGCGGCGCGTCAGGCGGAGGAGAGGTGATTGGAGCATTTGGCGAAAGAGGCGCCGCTGTAAGGCCATTGGTCACGGCACCTGAAGGTGCAAGCTCGGAGCGCGCCGATGTTGGGCTTGTGATGGTCTCTTCTATCCTCAGCGAGCGCTCGAACAGCTGATGCGCGGTAGTCGTGCGAAAGAGCTGCACAAACGTGTCGACTACCTGCGACCACCTGTCGGGGTTGAACTTGCGCACGTTTTTCTCCAGCAGCTGCTGCAAGCAAGACGTTCCGATGCGCGCGAGCGTGTCGTTCTCTAAGGGCAGTGCGTTGGTTTGTCAGCTCAATACCCTGCACAACGTCCCCGCAAATTTCTCACCTTGACAAATGCAAGCGCAGAGCAGATCCAGCAAGCCGGGCAGCAAGCGCTCCAACGTCTCAAAGTAGAATGTCCACAAATCGATGAGGTTTCTGAGCGCTTGAATCATTGTAGTCGATAGCCACACGCTCATATCCTCTTGGGTGCTGAATCGGGTGACGTCGGATCTGGATCGCAACACCGCAAAGATGGGAAAGAGGACCTCTTTGCAGACAGTGTCCCAAAAGTCTGGCCTAAAGGTAGAGCCGTACTGCTTGAGGATCTCAAAGAGCGCATCCAGAGCCACTCGGCGCACTTCGAGATCGTCGCCGTTCATGATGACGTCGTAGAAGCTAAAGAGGGCTGGGAACCAGAAGCGAATCATCGGGTCGTCCGACATGGGCTGCGTTGCAGCAGGTCCTGGATCCGCCTCGGCGTCGATCGGGCATTCGGCTGCACCAAGCATCATGGGCACGACGGCTCGGAGCATGGACACGCTTTGAAGCGCCAGCCTTTGGGCATGCGTTGCCTTTGCAAAGTCCGTCAAGCACACGGTTCTGTGGTGGCGCGGAGGAGAAAAGGTGCATGAGTCGCCGGGGACACGACGCAACGACGGCGCACCGCACCACTCACAAATCAGCAAATGCTCCTGCGGAAATGATGGCTCCAAAGTGCTCCTGATTCAGTTGCCGGACGAGCTCAAAGGCGTACGTCGCCACACGCTCGGACGCTTTGGAGGCAGCGCCGAGCACGCCAAACAGGGTCCGCCAACCAGATCGCATATTGTGAATGCGGCTAGCGATCATCTGCTGCAAGCACTGCAGGACCATCTCTTTCGCTTCGGAAGATGCATTGTTTCGCATCGTGTACTCAAAGGGCTTCAAGAAATCCTTTTGGACTGCGAGAGGGGAATGCGCTAGTTCAGCCAGTGAACTTTATCGCATCTCGATCGCTCGCACTCACATTTGAAATTTTGCAATTCCTCCTTCTCCAGGAACCTAGCCGACAATTGTCGCAGCGAATCCAGACCAAACGCCGATACTCTAGGATTGGGATGGACGCAGACCTGATTAAAGTGTTCGCCCAAGATTGCCCAGATGTTGGACCACTCCAAACGGATCCTGCTCATGTTGTAGTAAGAAATCTCCACGAGCTTCTGCAGCGAGAACAAGCGCGGGTTGTCGCTCATGCCGCTCGATTGAATCTCTTCCCACGACACGTCCGACAGGCTCTGCACAAAGTCCACAATGGCCGTGCCTGAGAGGTGGGGCGTAGAGGAAAAGACCATGTCGGCAGCAATGGTCACTTCCCTCGACGCACCAGCTTGCACGACATCGTCCGTGGGTAGTGCAGCTCGAGGAGTAGTGCTCGCCGTGCGCGCCGCAGTCGCGCTGGCCCTTCTTCCCAGCTCCGGCAGCTGGCGCTCGTCCACACCTCCGCTGATAAGCTGAAAGCGCTCGAGCTGCGATACGCACGTGAGGAGCTCTCTCCAGCTTCCTTGCAGGTAATTGCCCTCGGTCTGAGCTACGCCCAACAGCGCCTTGATTGCTTCCACATTTTTGCTCTTCATCTCGCCCAGATTGTTCAAAAAGGTGAACTTGGCAAGCGTGGTGACGAACGCGTTGCGTTCCAACTCCAGGCCAAAGAGGCTGACGATGCGGATAGCGTCTCTGAATCCTTCGAGGCACACAGACACCGTGTCCGCATCGTCGCTCTCCTGCATAGGACCGCTGATACCCGTCAAGAAGGCCATCCAAGCCACTTCGAACATGGGCCGCACATGCTCAAAGTGCGAAGCGGAGAAAAATCGTTCCGCAGCTGCTCGCTGATCAGGATGCACGCGACGCTGCGTGCGCACCATGGTTCTGAATAGCGCTTCCGTCTTGTTGGCCATGTCCTCACTCTGCAGTACGTACGCCTCTCGCTGGAGGTCTCTGCCAACTCCAGCGATGGCATTTGCCAAACCTCCGCCAATCGCGCCAGGTGGCAGAGCCGAAGCCAGCACCTCGTCCTTCATCTTGATCTCGTTGTTCTGAATCTCGTCGTAGACGCCCCTGACGTACTCTTCTGGCAAGCTCTTGCCATCATCGATGCCCGCATTGTTCTTGAGAAAGTCTTGCAGGGTCATGCGGTGCTTGATCTGCCGACTGTGAGCGTCCGTGTTGAGCATGATGACAGAGTACGCGAATATGTACGCAGTGTCTGTAGGCGCAGAAGCTTCGACTGTGAGCTGTCGAATGCAGCGCGAGCAGCGCGAGCAGCACGCGCCAATCACGACTCACCGGCGTTTGCGAACATCGTGGGGTTTCCCGCAACGTAGCGTTCTGCAAACTTGAGCATGTACCTGTCGATCTTTTGCGATTCGCCAGGCAGCCTGAAAGCCTGCAGAAATCTTCTGAGGGCATCGGTGAAGGGCATGTTGCTAAAATTCAAGAGGTCTACAAAGGCATGCATGATGGCAATGTTCTCCGCGTCGCCTTCGCCGAGGTACTCTCCGATCTGCGCCTTGTTCAGTCCATCTGTAAAGAGCAAAAAGTGGGCAACGTATTTGGGCTCACGGGCGCGGATGAAGCCTTGCTGCACGAGATACTCGATACCGCGCTTGGGCTTAAAGTTGAACTTTCTGATGCCTTCCAAGAGCGAAGTCTTTCGAGCCTTTGCGCTCTCGAATCGATTGGGATCATCGACGTTCTGGTCTGGCGTAGTGGTGGTGCCCGTAGCAGTGGCTGCACTACCGCTACCGAGGATGGGTGTAGCTGCTCCGCTCTCGATGCCCGTACTATGACGCGCCGCGTCCGCAGGGCCTTCTTGACCTCGGACGTCTTCGCTGCCTCGGGGAGAGTGCGTTCGTGTGCCATCTAGACTGCCTGCCTGCTGCTGCGGCAGACTGGCTCGGGATGACCATACCACAAGGGATCGCAGGACGGAGCAGAGGCAGTCAAGACTTTGCTTCTTGAGGCGCATCTCCACTTGTTGGCCCGGGCCAAGGCTGTCCAGTTCTGCGCTGGCTGTGGTGGAGCCGCTCAAAGACGATGGCACGCTCGGTCCGCCCGAGGTCGAAGACTTTTGAGCAGCACCGGTCGACGAAGAAGCACCTGCAGGATCCCCAGAGAGTTGCGATCCTGGCGCCAAATGCGTCTGAGAAATCTTGCTGACGATGTTCATCAAGCGCTCGTAGATGTTGTCCAATGCGGACCGGTCGCAATCGTAGTTGAGATACAGCTCCACGAGGGCTTGCGGGTCTTGGCAGAGCCGGATGAGCACGCCGAGCAGAATGCTCTTTTGCTTCGACGTCGAGTTGCGCATCTCCAAGATGGGAAGAAAGATTTCGTTTAGCAGCACCTCGATCTCCCTCTTTAAGCGCGTCCGCATACCGCTGAGCACGAGCCAGAATATCTCGCAAGAAAGCTCAAACACCTGATTGACCGAGGAGACGGCATTGCGACTCAGACTGAGGCAGAGGTACTGCTTGACAGCGTGCACGAACTGCGTCTGCTCGCCCGTGGAGGCGCTATGAATGACGATGCTGGGATCAGTAAAGAGGGTCATGTGGGATTTGAGGATGGTGAGGATGAGGTGCAAGCTGAGCAGCTTGGATCGCATAGCGTGCGACTTGAGATCCCTCTCGCTGTTGCAAGCAAAGTGGAATGTGTGCGAGAAAGTGAGCCTCGACACGGGATGCAACCGAACAGCCTATTCCCTCCCCGCCTCGACGCGGAAACCCGCCTCTGCACTCACCTCTCCGCTCCGAGCGGCTTCATGCTGAGCTTGCATAGCGCACGCAAAACCAAGAATGCGTCCTTGACGAACAGTTCCGCTTGCGTGATGTGAGCCTGCTGCAACAAGCTGGCGCCCGTGTCCCGTTCCGATGCGCCTTCAAAGGAAGCGCGAGCTTCGAGGGCTTGCAGCGTGACCCTCTCTTCTTGCTGCTCTGTCGAATCGTCTCTTCCATTCTGCGCCTTGCTCTCATCCTCTTCCAGATTCACCTCCTCATCCTCGTTCGCGTCCCGCGCTTCTGCGCGATCTTCCAAAGAGCTCAGCACTTCCTGACCCGGCCCGCTCAGAGGCGCCGAGGGCGTCTTGACGGCTCTAGGCGCACTGAGCAGATGCTCAGCAGATCCAGAAGGAGCGATGCTGCTGCTGCTGCTGCTGCTGCTGCTGCCGCCCGATTTGGACTCGTGACCCCTGGGCACCCTGCCAAAGACGTGGTGCACCATTTGCGTGAGCACGCCCTGCGCGACGGCCTGGGTAGGAGCAGTCTTGGATAGCAGAAAGATGTTGTAAGTGGTGCGAACAGCTTTGAGCAGGCTGCTCTGATGCACGTGCACGCTGGTGGACAGGACGATGGAGAGCAAAGCCTTGACGACTTGCAGCTGAGCCTTTTCGTCCAGACCATCGTGAAACGCGTCGCACACTGTGCTGGTCACCGCATCCGCCAGCGCTTCCTGTCCCTCCACCATTGCGGGCACATCCTCTGCAAAGAAGCTGTACGACACCAGCTTGGCCACACAGTCCAGCGCTGTGATGGTCAAGCTGGTGCTCCTCGTCTGCATCGCCAATCGAAGCGGCTCGAAAACGATGCGCGGATCCAGCTCCGCCCCTGCACTGCCCGGCGCGGAGGAGGAGGAAGCTGCTTTGACCATTTCCAACGCGCGAGTCGACGCTTCCTTGAGCGCCTTGGATGGGGCTTTGGATCCTTTGGCCTCCTTGGAAGCAGAGATGGTGTCGAGGGCAGTAATGACGAACACTGCGCTGCCCTTGTTCAGCGATGACATGGAAGATCGAGAGTGCACGGTGGTGGAAGCGGCTGTGCTGGCCACTGAGGATCTCCGAGACATTTCGCTGCCATCGTTCAGAGTGGGAGGAGCGGAGGCGGAGGCGGAGGCGGAGGCGGAGGATGGCGCACCGCTCCCGCTCTCTGTAAGCGGCGGATCCTTTGCAGGAGGGGCAGGGGAAGCGTCGTGCGGTAAAGGTGCAACGGGCTTTGACAGCTCAGCAGCCGTCGCTTCATCCTCTGCGGGCGCATTGGCGGCCTGTGTTTGAGATGTTTCCGAGTCTCTGCTGACGCCATTCGGCTCGGCCAAGGATGATGTGCTGGGTCGCGAGATGGAAATGTCGGGCACTTGAACGCGCTCCACCGTGGCCTCTTGCTCTTGCTCATCACGCACATCCTGCGATGGTGATGCCGCGGCTTCAGCTTGCCGTTGCTGCTGCTGCTGCTCCTGCTGCTGCTGCTCCTGCTGCTCCTGCTCCTGCTGCTCCTGCTCCTGCTGCTCCTGCTCCTGCTCCTGCTCCTGCTCCTGCTCCTGCTCCTGCTGCTCCTCTGCTGCCTCTTGGGACATACTAGGAACATCGACCATCACCTCGGGCGCGACGACTGGCAAGACCGATGTGCCAGAGGTGGGCAGTCCAGGCTTGTCCTGCGATTCCGACATGACCGGCGGCCGCCTCAAGCGCGAACGGGATGGGTCAAGGGTCTAGTGCGCACTCGTGACTGCTCCCTCTCTGCACTAGAAAGAGTCGTGAATGCGCCGCGTCGCTCGCTCGTTGGTCGTGAATGCGTGTCAAGTTGTATCGAGGCGCACAGATGCCCACCTGCAGGCTGCGTGAAGCAAGATGGGGGGGGGGGGGGGGGGCAGCAGCGGAGCGCTGCAATCGAGTCAAGAAAGCTTCGAGAGATGATGGCAGATGGAATCGTGACTGCTGCCTGAAGGTGGCGGTGGCCAGTCGATGTTGGGCACAGCACGTGCGCGGGTGGATGATGTGTACAGCAGCGAGTTTGGAGTGGTGGACCAAGTGCAGACAGACCGCAGTCACGATTGATACCTGCCGTTCGTCCAGGAGGCTTGGATCGCGATTCGCGATGCGTGCGATGCGTGCCCAGCAGGCAGCAAAGCAGGCTTCCGATCAGATCTCAAAATTCCACGCCGGCAACACGCGCGCGCGCACGCACCACACTCACGCAGCTGCACGGCATGGCGCGCGGCCTACACAACAGTATGTATAGTGAGCCGTCGCGAAGGCGAAGCTGCCTGGTGCGTGCGTGCGTGCGCGGGGGCGCGCGCGCGCGCGCTCTTGTGTGATGATGGCTATACAGCAGCAGCAGCAGCAGCAGCTAGCATCAAATTTGACGGCCACCGCAAAGAGCCCAACACGAGTCACGTGAGTGCGCTACTTGGCAAACGAGCGACTCGATCGCGACTGCTGCCCAACGCAAAATCACACCCCAATCCTTGAGTGGACAGACTGATGAGACTCGAGACGAGACTCGCGACTGCTGCAGACATATCGCTCGATCGCGAGCGTGCGCGTAAAATTCGTCGTGAGCAAGTTGTAGAATACGCGTACGGCGCAGCAGCAGCAGCGCTTTCGCCCTGAATGATGCCCGAAGCGACGCGCGCGCGCGCTTACCCCGGTTCTGCGCGCGTGCACAACCGGGGCTTTTCCCTGCGCTGCGCTCTCGTACGGCAACTATACCTCTCATCAGCGCGCGAGTCAGTCTGAGTGCACACTCACGACTTCTTCTCGACTGACCATCGCGATGGGGACCCTCCTGTCCACCCTGCATGGCCTGACCTTGGATCGCTCTGACAAGCTGTTGTTGTGTGCGAGCCTGTCTGATCCTTCTGCCAAAGCGCTGCCAAAGCGCTGCCAAATCGCTGCCGCTGCCGCTGATGCTTCATCGTCCGCTGCGTCTCGTCTGCCCCGAAAAGCTGCGTGCATGGGCGGGCCTCTTGACGGCGCCTAGTCGAAACAAGATTCGTCATGTTTCCAAGCATAGCTCTCGCATCAAGAAAACGAGGCGCATCTTCATTCGTGCGTTTCGCTATCGTTGTGCATGTGGTCGAGCTTCTCCTTGCTCTGCGCTTGAACCCATCGTATCAGGCTCAAAGGGACTAGCGAGGGGATCAAGGCGAGCGAGGTCAGGTAGACATCCACAAGGGTCCGCCTACATATACGTGCGCCTTTACAAATCACGGATGGTGGGAGTAGTCGTGAGTCGTGAGTGTGCCCTTCAGCACGAGTGCGCGCCCCAGCGAGTCCGGGTTTCCGCCAAATGAAACCTCGGTACGCGGTACCGCTGAACTGGCCTATGCAAACATCGGTTCAGCGACACACGCATCACAAAGTTCAGGCCCTGTTTGCAAAAAAAGGGACATGGCGGAACACGCAGTGTTCGCGACAGCGGCAAGGGCAACCCGCAAGAGGCGAAAGGGTCGGGATCAACCCGATTTCCGCCCGCGCTCCTGTGAGGCCGCCCTTGCCGCACGCATGCCCTGATTGCCATTCCGAAACCGTGGAAAAAATCGAAGCCGTGCGTGGGAACTAGGGAGGCGGAATACATGATGTGTGGGATGCGAGTTGCTACAGGGAAGATGTAGAGTGAGCAGCGAATGGAATCCAGTTCCTCTGTTGCTCACATCAGCTCGTGTTGTGAATTGAGTAACTGTGGATGAGCGCGAAGCGAGCCAATGATCGACATTTTACATGCCAGCAATCATCCTGAACAGGGGAGTGGCGTTGTTGCCGTTGGAGAGGCGATTGACCTCCGACACGCCCTGCAGGTTCTTCATCGCTCCAAAGGGCGCGTATCCCTTGACGTAGTCTTGCTTGTCCATCCAGCTCACGATCTGTTGCTGGAACGACCACACTTGGTCCTTGGAGCATTGAGCGCCACCGTTAAAGTTCTGCGATGTAAAGAAATGGTTAGCGCCGTGTTTGAGGCACGTGTTCACCGTCACGGACGCCGAGCACTCACCTGGCAAGCGTATTCAGTGATCCAGACTGGCTTGTTGTAGCTCTTGTACCAGTCCTCGATGTACTCTTGCATCTTGTTCGCGCTGACATCGTAGTAGTGGAGCGAAATGGCGTCGAGGGCTTCAAAGACGTCAGGGCAGACCTTTTTGAATTGGTCGTACCAGTCCTTGCCGTTGGGAGCAGAGGTGGTGGAAGGACCGATGAGGTAGTAACCGTGCTTCTTCTTGAGGTCCAGCTGGTACTGACGCATCAAGCTGCAGGTGTCGCTGGGGTTCATGTCGGCTTGACCAGATTGGTTGACCTCGTTGGGACCCATGGTGCACTTGTCGCCGTTGTCGCCGCCTTCGGGGTTGTCAGTGACCTTGGACTTGTACTCGCTAAGCTTGGCTCCAGCTCCAGATCGTCCCCACAGCATGGAGCAGAACAGCGTGTCGCCCATGTCTGTGCCCATCTTGGTGGGTTGCCAGGTGTAGGCCCAGTTGACGTTGCCAATCTTGAAGTTGTTAAAGTCCATGCTGTTACCGTTGGGCCAGCAAAGACCGGCCTTGCCCTTGAGTCCCTTGGGCTTGGTGCCAGAGACGGGAGCATCCTTTTGAGAAGTCTCGTTGGAAGTGTTGCTGGCATCGTTGGAGTTTGTGCTGCCGCTCTTGGACTTTTTGCTGCTCTTGTGACCCGAAGCGTACTTGGAGGCGCCCGTGGTGGCGCACTTCTTGCTGCGACGAGCGTGGCGCGCAACAGCGTGAGGGCCATTGTGGATGGCGTTGTGCTCAGACGCGGAAGCGACGACGAGCGCAGCGTTGGCCACGATGGCTAGGATGAGCATGTGAACGAACTGCATGTCGAATGTATGTTCGTGTGCGTGGACGGGTAGGGATGTGTGTATGTATGCGCGGGATGGGGAGAATCAAGAGATTGCGTACAGAACGATCGTGTTGGCTTGAGAAGCTTCGATGGGACGTGCCGAGGACGTGCGACGAGGGGCTTCCGAGGTGATGCGAGTTGTTGATGTCTTGCTGTCGAGGTGACGTGGGTGCGGGAAGCAGCACGGAGAGAAATGGCTTGGAGAGGCAGAGAAGGGTTGAGGAGAGTGGTGTGCGGAGTGAAGAATCGCAAGAGAGAGTCAGATCAGGACGTCGAGCCTTGAAGAGCTGTCTTGGGTCGTGCGTGAGGGTGGGTGTTGGAAGGATGAAGGGTTGCGGTTGAGGGGGGTGCGTCCAAGCTTGAGATTTGGGTGGGAAACTGACAATGCGAGCGAGCGAGCAACCTCGATGGGCAGGGCGGATGCAAAGCAAAAGGCCCAGCGCGGTGCGGCGCGGCATGCAAGCTTCGGCACACCTGCTCGCTGGCCGGACGCTGCTGGCGATTTGCATCCTTTTTCGCTCTGGCATCCGCGACCTCGTGCTGCCATGCTTGATGCGCAGCCTAGGGCCAGGATTAGCGTGCACACGCTCGAGGTCGCTGGAGCAGTCTGGGTGTAGAGTGGTTTTGGACAGGCGTTCATAGGGCTCCTGCATGACTCGTGTGCACGGTTTGCGTACGTCTGACCCGCGCCTACCCGCCGAGTGAACACCATGCGACCATGCAGCAGCGGGCCTCATGCTGCATCACCTCGCGCGATGGAGGCCACGCATGCATGCATGCACGCAGCGGCATCGGCTGCTGGTGCTTGGCTGCTCGCTTCTTTGGCCTCGATGCAGGGGTTGATGGGGCAGCAGAAAAGAGGGGTGCCTTCGCACGGTCAACATGAGCCCCTTCTGCCTTGGCTGACACCACATATGGCGGCTGGTGATTCGGTCAGAATTGTTTTGCGGGCTTCAACGTACGTCCGACGCCCAGGTTTCATGCAGCATGCGTCAAAGGGATGAGAGGGGTCCCATGCCTTTTGTCTCGGCTTCCGCCAGCAGTCATCGTGATCGAGTGCCGCTGAATTGTTTGTGTGCGATGCGCAGCTGAGACACCGCAAGTGCAGTAGGTATGTGGGCAATCTGCAACGGTACACGCGCGCACGGCATACATCAGTAAGGTGGTGTGCGCGGAGGCAGCGCTTTTGCCCTCTTACACTTGGTGACAAGTATACTACCGAGCTCATAGCGTCCGCGCCTGTTCGTCGCCGGCGGATGATGGATGGATGACCTTGCACGCTGTTATATAAACATCCTGGCAGAGATGGCCTGAAATAGACCCGAGCATCCATTTTGGGATCCGCTCGGTTAAGTCAGGGCGGACTGTCAGGGGCAACGATGTTAGGACACGATGCAGACAAGTGAAGGGGGCCGCAATCTTGGGCCTCGAAGTCATCAACTCGAGACGGTCTCGCACTGGCCCTGCTGATCGCCGAGCGAGCGGCAAGGATCGAGCGCGCGCGCGCGCGTGTGGATCGAATGATGGAAGAATCAGGGGCAAATGCGAGGGAGGTCTTAACGCGCACGAGGTCTGTTCTTTCTTGGAGCCAAATTCGATTCAAAGCTTCCCGCCGCGCTGGCAATCAATTCGAATCAAATTTCAGACTCAAAACTCTGCATCATCATCAGGCACAATTAACCACCACGCTGTCGCGCCGCGCGCGCCCGCCTCGAATTTGTGACACCCGCGTATGATGCAGGCAGTTGTGATTATACACCTTTGTCCCATCCGCTGCTGCTGCATGCTGCTGGTGCTGCGCCGCCGAACGCGCGCGATGCTCGAGCGTGTGCCGCGCGAGGCGCACCTTTCTCGAGCTCCGAGCTTGTGCCGCAAGGATGCATACAGACATTGACGGTGCGCGTGCCGGTTGCCCGCCGCTCAAGGGAGTCAAACCTATATACAACCCTCGTGTCAGCGGCAGGGAGCGTACGTCCATCTCGCGTTGCGCTGGTCGAAGCGCAACCCTAAGCTGCATGTCTGCAGAAGAACACCGCGCTGCTGTGCGTGCGTGCGTGCGTGCTTGGGATTTATGAAACTCTTGACTGTGGACGAGCTCAACGCGTGGTCGCGCTTGACTGCCTGTGTCCATGCCGCCAGTCGATATGCACTTGGGCGCAAGATCCACGAGGTATTATTGCGATTGGATATACCGGTACACATGCCTCTCTCTTTCTCTCATACGTATACCAAGGCGCTGTCGCGACACGGCTATGACACAAGCATGGCCGATCACGACCTCTGCTTTCATGAACATGTGCGCAGCAGTCGCGCGAGCTGTGAAGAGTACTGTCTTATCCAAGAGTTGCCGCTTCTATGCGTCTGAGCAAGACGCGATCCGAGTAGGGGGGGCCGAGTAGGGGGGCCTTTACACGCTATGGATACCGCGCTCCCATGAAGTCCGCCAGCACGATCGGAGCCTAGGAGCCTTGCGCGCGCGAGCAGGGTTCTCCTCGCGCAGTCTCAACCTTCACAGTCAAAGGTCAGCGTCGCCATTCACGATTCGAGCATCCGGAGAACACAGCGCGAGGCCGTGTGGACTGCGCAGCAACCCACTCGAGTGCAGTGGCGAAATGGAGCAAAAGTGTTCAAAGTGCTGCCCACCACGCCCACGATTGCATCAAATTTTCAAGATGCTGCCCGCATCGATCATCACTTACGGGGGGGACCGCGTAGATTGCAAAAAAGGGGCCGAGGGTACTGCGCGCATACACAAGGTACGAGCTCGGCGCGCTGAATTTATCTGGCAGGACAGTGTAAGCGGGCGGACTATCTCGAAGCGCCCTGAGCCTCTCCGCTTGAGCGCATTCGCATTCGAGGGGTACAGGATGTCGGACTCGTCGGCGAACGGCTTCTTGAGATGGGCAACAGACGGCGAGCAACCGCATCGCCGCTGCTATCATCCGCCGCCGGATGACTTGAGAGAAGAGCGCCGATGGGCTTGGCGACGTGGAGGGGCGAATCGCTGTGGGCGTCGAGCGGGCGTAGGTCGACGCAGGATCGAGCTTGAAAGTCTACGCGTAGGTATTCGCATGTGTCAGCATCAGCAGCTGATAAGCGAGTGTGAGTACGAGTTGCGAACGGGCGATGACCGTTGTTCACGCAACTTGATGTCCGAACTGCAATTCGGTGGCGAGACATCGCATCGCTCTGCCCGAGTCCTGCATCGCTCTCGACGTGCTCGCACCTCTACTTTTGCAAGACGACATGCTTGGAGTGGGCAGGAGCTATCATCGCTTGGACATGAGCCATTGTCCCATTGCCTCTTTTCCCCTATAAATTGCTGGCGCCCCCCCCCCGTCCTTTCGAAAAGCATCCACATTGAAGGATCTGAGAATTCGTCACGCCATGTGCCGGATCGACGCGCCCGCTCGACGCATCGCTTGGCTGCTCATATGGATGCCAAATGCTTTCGGGATCAAGACTGGCGACTTTAGTACTTGGCTCTCGCCATTGGCTACCGAGCAAGTGAGCCAACTCGAATTGGAAAAGATTCATCAAGCTGCACGGTATCACCGGAATAACCACTGGATGCATATAGGCGAGCCCAGAAATCATTTGGCGACAGCGACCCACTTTGGTGTGAGAGGAGCTAGCTTGAGTGGCAGCGTGTTGCTGCGCTGAACGTGCACCCCGACCCGCACAGGTGCTGCGTGGCTTGCGAAATGAGCCCCAAGCAAATCAGCCGCTGGCCAGAGGTGCATTCCTCACCAGCGATCTGACACCCTTGCCAGTGTCTGCGAAAGATGTGCTGAGCGGACTGCATGGTCCGGGCAATGTTCCTGAAGTGCATGGAGTTCCCCTCGCCCCTAATAGACGATTCTGGAAGAATGGCTACACGTACGAGAGGGGCAAGCAACCCACACCGAGCTCTAACCCCCTTGATGATCCGACAAAGCGTTACAGCGTCAGAGTCGGCCACCCTCTAGGCTTCGACGGTGACTACAAGGATAATCTGTACAGGCAGACTTGGCGAGCCGTGCAATTGTGGCACAATACCCGACCCGAAGCAGAACAGAACAAAGTCCACCACTACAAGGTGCGTGTGCGAGCAGATGTTCTGAGCGTCTGTTCACGTGGGCTGACTGTCCGTCCATGACGGCAGATGCTTCATCTGCTGCGCGAGATGCCCGACAGCGCTCTGTCTCACACGAGAGTGTTTGCATACGACAAGCACGAGCAGCTCATACCGAACAAACAAGACCCAACGACGTACGTGCATCAAGTACCGTTCGCACCGACGCGACCCGCAGCGCGAGACGCCGGCCACATTATTGGGTCGACACCTGCTCGCAATCCGACTCGAGATAGCTACAACATGCGCCGCTTTGGCACGCTTGCGGCCCCACGCACCTCGGCTAGCGGGAGCGGGAGCGAAAGCTCAAGAAAGCTGTCGGCAGATGCGCAACCCTTTGTGCCCAAAGGCAAAGGCGGTCGAGTGCGCCCAAGCTCGCCAAGCACACCTTCTTCTGTGAGAGGTGTGCATTAAGTAGGTGTCCTAGCTACAAAGAGAGAGAGGTAATATAGGTGCTGCAACCGTGCGTCTGCGGCGCTCGCGCCACGTGATTATGACATCTTCATCCAGTCGTCTCGAGGTCACGAAAAGGAATGCACTCTCCCGCGAGGGTGTGAGGGTGCAGATGTACAATTGATGATCGATCGGATGGCCCTACAACAACCGAACGCCTCTCACGACTGCCATCTTGTTGAAGAGCATAAAAGCATGTTACTGGATGTTGTCACGATTGCGTGCTGTGGGCCCCACCGAGGTGCAGCCCACAGCCTCGTCCCGCTGTTAACATGGATATGCTGCGTGTCATGAGCTAGCGCTCAAGTCTGACTAGAGATGTTGACAGACTCCGTCAAGTCGATGGAATACATTGCGTGAGCCGGACACAGCTGTGAAACAGACTCACGACTTTGAGACTGGCGTGGCAAAACGCCGTCGGCACAGCGGCGCGAGCTTTTCATCGCTTGGCGTACAATTGCCTCTGCGTCGGCACCAAGGATGCTCTTTCCGCCATTACGCTCGATAAGCAAGCTCCGAGACCTACACGCAAGAAGCAACAGAAGCGACTCGCCGCCACAAGGCAAGCACCATCCACGCGCGCTGGGATCGGATCACTGCAGAAGTGCGCGCCCACCAGAGTGCGCGTCACGTCACGGTGCCGCCAAAGACGGCGATAGCTTGCCATCCGCATCAGCAACCGGCTGGACTCGTGACTGCGACACGACCGTTTGCGGCCACGGCAGGCAAGCCGGCATCATGTTTCAGTGCGATGGGTTCCTCGCAGTGTGGCAATCTTCTCGCAACACGCATCTCTCCAGGGCGACACAACCTCAGAGCTGTCTGGGCTCAGCGCCACTCAGAGCTGACAATACATGCGATCGAGCCCGGCCTGCCGTGCGCGCGACTCGCCAAATTTATGTATAAACTGGGTGAAAGGTGCAGTAACTCCAAAAGGAACCCCACTGTATAGTCGGTTGTCAGCGCATTGACAAGCATTCACAGACGTTTCGATGTCGCTTCGCATTCGTGCCTCGCTTGGTGTGGCATGTGCTGCCTTGGTGTCGGCAGCAACCCTTGTACTTGGCCAGCCTATACACGTGTACCCTGCAGAGGGTTTAGCCGACGGGATCACAGACCACGAACTCAAAAACATTGCCCAAGCAGCCGAATTTCACAAAGACTGGCACTGGAAGTCGATTGGGCAGGAGACGAATCATTTGGCAAAGGCGACAAAGTTCGAGGTGAGCATGCCGAGCGCTGCTGCGGCGCTCATCGACCAGTCTTCTTTCCCGAGGATTGGCTGACGTTGCGTGCACCAATGAATAGGTCCTGCGTGGCTTTCAGCTCGAGCACGATCCCGTCGCGCCAACCAGTCGACAGGCATATGTTCGAGGCATATTCAGATCAGACGATGGCGAACCTCTGAATGTCGCTCATCAAGACGTCAAAGACGGCAAGCACGGCGACTTGGCATCCCACGCTCACGGAGTTCCCCTGGCTCCTTATCAGCGCTTGTACAAGAATGGCTATCGCTACGAAAGGAATGCGGCACCCCAACGCAGCGATGGGCCCAATTTCAGTCCGCATCGGCGAACAAGCGTCTTTGTCAAGCCGCCTTTGGGACTTGGCCCACGAGACCACGAAGCCGAAAAGCTGACTTGGGCGGCTGTCCAGCGATGGCATCACAATCTCAAAGACTTGAATGCAAACGACGTGCATCACTACGAGGTGAGCGAGCGTAGGAAGCAGGCGAACGCGCGTCACCCGGCTAAAATGCTGTACCTCTTTCCTACTGTCAGATGCTTCACTTGCTGAAACCGCATCCCGAGACGGGAAAGGCGTACACTTCGGTTCTCGCATGGGATCATCAGGAGCGTCTGCTCTCCAGCCAATCCAAGCCGGGGACGTATGTGCACGAGGTGCCCCTGCTGCTACCCTCGCCAGAAAAAGAGGGAGCCGAATCCGTCTTGGGACTACATCCATCGGTAGCAAAGAAGATTACGTCCAGCAAACCTCTCAGCGCTGACGCAAGACCGTACATTCCAGTGTCACAATCGAGAGCCTCCAGCTCACGTGGCTCAACAAACGTCGCGGCACACACGCCAGGGGAGACTTTGCATTAGCTGCTAGCGGAGGGACTACAGTAAGTTGTCGGCCGGATCATACGAGCCCGCGACGTCAATGAAGGCGCGGGACAGTCAGCGCCGGAAATCTATGCGAGGCTCTTGGTCGAGCACGCGAGAATTGAGCAATGGCATGCCGTCACACAACGCCTGATGAGAAGCACGCTCGACGCCATTGTTCTACACGTGATTCGATTGTTAGCATTGCAAGACTGGATCTACTCCCGATCGCTTGCAAGTGATTGTTCACGAACGTCGCTGTCGCCACGCACGAGACTCGGTCCTCGAACAAGGGATGAAGGGGCAGTGCTGCTTAGTTTGGGCTTGCCGAGGATGGATAATAGCAGGCGTGAGGTGCCGTGGACCAGACCGTGGTCGCGAATGGATTCGGCTTCTTTGCGCAGCGAAACGTCTCTGCCCGAAAAAGCTTCTGGTGATGCGGTAGGCTCGCGCGGCCTCTTGGCAGGTACGATTCCCCAAACTTTGTCGCTGGGCACCTTGCCCCATCGCAATAGTCTACGTTGACGCGACAAGGTCCTGGCGCTGCCTTGTCCGAATCCCCTGAGTCCATTGTGATAGTTCATGCGCGGCTCGGGCAATAGCGAGTCGACTTCATCCGTCGACTGTCCCTCGCGAGCTAAGCGCTGCTTTTGTCGCCACAATGTTCGACGCGACCCCTCTCCGACCGCTTTTCTGGCGGGACCTCGACGTTTCATACCCGGCCAAATCTTTTCAACCAAGTCAAATCGTTGAGCATTTTTCAACGTCTCGCGGTGCCCGTACTGCACTTTGGGTTGTCCTGTTCCGATTGGCACGTCGGCAAATTTCCCCTTGAGAAGCGCCTGTGCTTCCTCTTTCGCTTTCAGCAGCTCTTCCTCACCAGATCTCTTTTGGAGGGCAGGCTCCTCGGCGACGTTTGACGAGGCAGTCTCGGCTGCTGATGATCTGGCAGAAGAGGGCGCAGCCCAGGGCTTCGGAAAGGTGGTGTCGTACTGCAAAACAGGTCCCGGCTTCCGCGGCGTTCTCCGATGTTGCGGCTCTCTCGGGCTTGGCGCGGTGTAAGTAGACTGCTCCACGGACGTGGTGGGTGGATCCTGCGGCGGCCGAGGTGCACTTATGTCACCCAAAGGCTGATCTCGACTGGCTCTCCATTTCCTGGCCTGGCCAACGAGCGCCTTTAAACGTTCCGATCCTTCGTAAAGACCCTTTTCGCGAAGTCTGGACCCCTCTCTGAGTAGCAGTTCGTGTCTGTAGGCTCCCGAATTCGACGTGCCTTTAAATGCTGGCACGAAATTTTCGACCTCCTTTTGCCTCTCTGGATACTTCCAAGGGACTAGAAGATGGATGGCGTCGTTGTTGAACCCGCCTATTCTCAGCGCTGTTCGCTGCCGGGTCAGTGTGCTATGATTGCCCTTGCCCCAGGGAAGAGGCGCCTTCCCCGAGTGCTGCCTTCTGCTCGGTAGCTTGTCGATCGACTCGGCTTCGCCCTCCTCTACGCGCGCCCTTTGACGCTGCCGCCAGAGGGTGATTGGCGCACCAATTCCGTCGGGCAGCTTTGGTCTGCCGCGTTTGGCTCGAGACATTTCCTGATCCGCGGGCAAGGCGCCCTCTTGACGCTGTCGCCAGAGGGTTGACTGGGAGCCAACGCCCAGCACGTTCTTCTTCCGACCGGCGTTGAATTTCGGCGCCAGCGCACTCGCTTCACGCTCCGAGCTAGACTTGCGCAACCAGCTTTCGCCACTCTCGACTTGTGGCGGTGCTGCCACACGAGAGGTTCGAGGAGCGGCCGCTATCGAGCTGCGAGGCGCACCAGAATCCACCGCGGAGCTGTACGCCAGAGAGGGTCTACCAGTCTTGGCGGCCTTCGCACCCACACTCAGCAGATCGCCTTCCGCAAGCCCTTGCTCTCGAATTCGTTGCGCTTTTCTCACCGTGCTGCCGTAAGCTTTCAACGTAGCGGCTGCGTAAGGTGAAGATGCGTCTTTCATATGTGCACCAAGCCTGCCCATACTGCGATTTCCCGGAACTTTTTTCCAGACATCATCTTCACTGTAGTTTGCCAGCCGCAAGGCCTTGCGATCCCTGTACCGCCGATCGGCGGCTGCGCGCAGCAGCCGATGCCTTTGCAGTCGTTCGTCGGTCATTTGGGATTCGGACAAGCGCGACCTGCCGTCCGGCAACACCTCGGCAACGTGACAAGCCGCGTCTAGCCCTGCGAGCCGTTTGCGCTGGCGAGAGATCGTCTTTCGACAGCCTTGGCCTAGCGCCATGGGCTTTGGGCCGTGCTTTTTAGTCCGGGAGCGCCATGCATCGTACGCGGCAGCCGCTTTTTCGAATGCTTCAGGTTCTGGTGGTGCACGTTTCTGCAGCCGACGAGCTTGGGACTCGTTGGGATCTACGTAGGTGACTTGAGAGCGGGGCCTTTTCGCCTTGCTCTGGGGGCTCGACGCACTAGACTGCGCTTGCCTCGACACGGGCGGCGAGCTTCCTTCGATTTGTGCGATGCCAAAGCCCGGTCTCGCGTACGAGGGTGCTGCATGGTCAACCTTGCTTGCAGCGAGAGCCGTGCGGTCGTCCCTGCCCTTTGAGCGGGATTTCTTCACTTGCCAGCGCGCTGACAGCGGTCGAAGAGCGTCAGCAGACTTGATCACCCGTTTCACGTCGCGCAGGGCGGGTGGCAGGTGATCGCCGGCGTCAGACGACGCGTCGTCTTGATCAGGATCGACCCATGGCCTCTTTCGAGCTTGACGTCTTGGACGATTTGTGGCCAGCGCTGCTGGCCCCGAGACGGAGCTCATAGACGTGCTCGCATCCACATGCTTGCCAATGGCGCGAGCCGTGGCGAGGGCATGCGCTCGTTGAAAGAGGGACCTTTCAGCGTCCGAGCTGGGCTCATTATCCCAGTGCAATTTTTCAAGCTGGGGCGCAATGGCTGCGAGTCCATGCTCTTTGACTTCCGCCGCCTTTCTGTCTCGCCATTCGTACCATGAGTTTTGTGCGGATGACAACTTGGCAGGACTTGGCCGTTCGGCTTTATATCTCGAGGCTGATCGCGAACCAGGGACGACTTGCCAGACATGCTGTGGGAGGGACCCCGCTTCGCGCAGGATGCTGCGGACCTTCCACCTTGCCAGAGTAGTTCTGCGCCTTGCTTTCCAAGACAGGCCGGGTTCAAGGAAATCTTTGTGACCGCGGTGAAACTCTTTGAGCTCATCGGCAAGACCGGACTTTTGAGCCTGCTTTACGATTCTCATTTGTCGAAGGAGAGTGCGCTCCCCTCCCTCACCGAAATCTTTAGCGGTGCGCCCGGGATTGTCCGGGCGGTGACGCCGTGAAGCCTCTTGTACCAGCTCATAGACTGCCTTTGCCTCGTTCAAGGCTTCCTCATTCATTTGCTGACCTCGCTTTGTCAGCTGGGCAGCGAACGCGGGTTCTCCTTGGAGCGAACCTCTGGAGGAGGCTGCGTCGAGGACTTCGTAGCGAGGAGTCCGGGCTTTGCGAATGGTGTTGACATGCCAAGCAGGTCTGAACAGAACGTGCGCAGGGTGTGTGTTTTGCTGTAGTGGCGTGTGCGGAGGAGATGCCGCGCGGGACGAAGATGCGTGCGCTGTAGACGCACCATCCCGAGACTCTGGCGCCTGATCGCTAACAATGGCGAGTCGTTGACGTTGCCTTTGGCGGGTTTTCGATGAGCCTCGGCCGGTCGGTAGGCGCGGCCGACCTCTAGCCGGCTCGAGATCGCGCGATAGGTTTGCTGAGCGCGACTTGTATGGGCCATAACCGCGTTCAGCTGGCGCCGATGTGTCGATGCGCTGACCATCGACGCGAGTGAGGGAGCGCAATTTTGGGTGCACCTCCAGCGCTCGATCGAGCAGACCTTGCGCGCGGAGTATCTTGTGCTGACTGTAGAGCGTCCGCCTGTTGCCACTCCCCAAAGGCACTCGATTTGCGTGACCAGCACGATATAGCAACTCGACTTCGTCCGCGCTCAGCTTGGACACTGGTTTCGATTTCAGCTTCTTGGCCATCGCCTCCTTTCGATTCCTCTCGTGCTGCACTCGAGTGCGATAAGCGGGCGAAGCCTTGGAGGAAGTGGACTCTATGAGCTTTAAAGATTTTGACACTGCATCCTCGCCTGCTCCTCGGCGGCGCAAGCATCCGAAGCACGTCGACAGTCCATCGTCAATGGTTCGCTCACTGGCGATGTGCGAGTCATGTCGATCGAGTGACCACTCCGCTGCGGCGGTCGCACACTGCGCAGCAGCAACGTAGAGGAGCAGATGCGCGCGCATAGCCGACCAGAACCTGTGCCAAGCCCTCGAGGAGACGCGGGATGCCGTGGGGGTCAAGGGGGGTGATCAGCTGAGGTATCATAGCAACAGCATCCAGTTCAGCCTAGACGTACCTGAGATGCTCCCACGAATGAGGTGAGATCAGAAAGGCGGTTCACTCGATACACACCGTGCTCGTAGAGCCATCGCTGAAAGATCTCGTCTTTATGGCAGCGCGCCCACCGTCACGAGTGGCAACGCTTGGTCCGCCACTCACGACTGTTCGCCGAACGTCGTCTATGTGATGGCATTCACACGCGGGCGACGCGCCCGCTCGACGGACCGAGTGTGGCAACGCCGCAATAATCAATGGGCGTGCGACTCAATCCACCATCAGGTGGCGTGGCAAAGGCAATGAAGCGCCCGCGGCCGAGATGAAGCTTATTGCGTGCCAAATGTCAACGCGCGCGCGGCGCTCGCAAGATTGGCGCGTCGCCCATCGCGCCCCCCCTCGCACTCTTGCGGGTGCTGTCGAAGCTGGACGCGCGCGCGGGACCGTCGATCCGATCGATGCTCTCTGCTGTATCGTGCACCCCGCGTCCCCAAATCACGAATGATCGAGGCGGGGAGTCGTGAGTGCAGTCAGAAGAGCGGCGTCGTCATGGTTCCACTCGCACGACTCGCATCCACGCAAAGGATCCTTGGCCAGACAGAACACGCGCGTCCGTCTCGGGACACGCGTGGATCGGGCGGGCAGGAGCGCGCGGAATCGTGCGCCGGCGATCGAGCGTCTTGGCCCGCGGTGCGCGCAGGTCGGCAGTTGAAAGCAAAGGGACAGGATGTGCTCAATCGGCCGTGTGTGATCATATTTGTTTAAACTTTGCATCTACGCCAGCGGCCGCTTAGCTCAGTTGGTTAGAGCGTGGTACTAATATTACGGGTTCCCGAGTGGGAACATCGGCATTCAATGCCAAGGTCGACAGTTCGAGCCTGCCAGTGGTCATTATTTTTCTGTTGCTTTTTCCCATGATGCGGGGTCGAGATTCTTAGGGTTCCGCCGTTGCAGTCAGCAAGAGTTTACTGCAGCTGACATGTAATCACGACTGACTTGCTCAGCGGCAATCTCTACCGCAATGCCAAAAGCGAGCGCACAAGAGTTGCGGGTTGGAGATCTAGAATTGGCCGATTCCGTCGTGTGGCTGATCAGAACAGCCCACGCCACGGACCCCAGGGGCCCCTCGCGCGCGCTCCGAGTCCTGTCCCTGCTGGAAGCCTCGACATGATCGATCCACAGCAGTCGTGAGTGACTCGTCGCCCGCTCTCATTTCGTGCAGTCGTGAGTCGTGAGTGCTGGCTGCAGGCTGCAGGCTCGGGCAGTGAGTGTGGCTTCTATAGTCACGAGTGGCTTGCAATCTTCCGCTGCGCGCGCGCGCATGCTGTAGCAACGGCATACGCGAGGCGCCGCGCGCGGTTCATCGAGACATCGCGATTCTATGCAGCTGAGCCTTTACCCCCGCGCGGGGCGGGCCGCCCGTGGCGAATCAATCAGCACGCGCGCGCGCTTGAAGAGCACAAAAAGTTCGGGTCATGATCCCGTCCATCAAAGCCGGGCGTGGAAGTCTTGGGTCGTAGAGGTGGACTTGCATTTGGACATGACGGACATCAGTCTTCGGAACCCACCTCCAAAGGAGAGCCATGCAGGCCGCTGCCCTGGTCAGCGTTTCTTGTTAGATCGTTTGTGGCGCGCGCGGGAACGCGCGCGGAGTCCAGATCGCGCGTTGGTGGCGTATGCTGCATATGCATGCACTGCAAGCGCGGGAGAGGGACGCCACACAGCATGTACATGTAGCTGCATGGATTATTGTATACCAAACCGTGACTTGTGGAACGCGCGCGCGCGCCTCCCCTTTCCTAGTCTGCTCCTCGACCTTCGCACCGGGATGGCCATCACGCACTCACGCACTCGCAAGAAGTGGTGCGATCTGGTCTAGCTGCGGCTCGAGCGTTGAGCACCTGCCGGCATGCCTCTCCTGTAGTCGGGCCGATGAAAGTCCGACCGACGTCTCCGCTCTAGACTCGGCTGCGATGCGCGCCTCTGTGGATCTGATCGACGACAAAATCGTGAATCTGACTGGTACAGTATAAGAAGACCACCGCCGAGGCAGCAACGATGACCATGTCGAACGGCGCGCCCACACTTCGACTACTCTTTCTCCCGCGCTCGCACCCTCCCCTCCCCTTCACCCCACCATGAGGTTCGTCTCGCTGGCAACCCTGATCACGCTCTCGACCTGGCTTGCGCTGGGCAGTGCTGCACCGCTCGAGGGAAGCGCTGTAGGCGATCTCTACGCTCGCGCGGCGGCAAGCACCAAAAGCTGCACAAAAAGCGCTCAGTGCAGCTCGGGAAACTTTTGCAATCGCAACAAGTGCGCCCCTCTGGCTCCTGTTGGAGCAGGCTGCTACAAAAACTCGGGTTGCTCTGCGCCCGGTATATGTTTCAACAGCAAATGCCTCGGTAATAGCGCCAAGTGAGCTTCTCTTTCGCCTTGCGTGTCGAGGCTTCGGCTCCCCGCTGACGTTGCGCTACACAGACCCTCGGGCGCGCCTTGCCGTGCCAGTACTGAATGCACCAGCGCTTATTGCGGCTACTCGACGTGTCGAGTCAAGGCTGCGAGTGGTGCTTCTTGCTACAAAGATGTGAGTAGACGACGGAGCGTGCATCGATCAAAATACGACTCGCATTCACGCTGACGATGATCGCGCGATCGCACGTCTCCGCCCCCGGCCACTCTCAAGGTCGGTTGCGAGTCGGGAAAATGTACAAAGGGCAAGTGTGCTGCTGCTGCTGGCACCACACCGCCTTCGACCACTCCGCCCAGCACTCCGCCAGCAGCAGCTCCATCTGGCTCGACCGACTTGACTGGCTTTACAGCCACTTCGCTTGGAAGTTGGACTGCCAATGGTAATGCCACGCCACAACAAGTTGGCAGCATCATCTACGCCAGACTGATGGCGACCGTTGCTGCCTCGGCCGGCATCACCCGAACCGTCCCGATCAAGCGCGGCGCCGGCTCCTCTTTGGACAAGCGCCAAACCACGTCTCAGCTCGTCACAGTGGGCTATGCTTATCAGGTGCAGACCTACGCTCCTGGCACAGGGACCGGCACTTGCAAGGTCGTTCCCTCGCTCAACGGCGTTGCGCGTCAAACGATTGATCTCGGTCGAACCGCAAGCAACGCCGGTACCGGCGCACCGTACGTCAGCGCTACTGCCAGCTACACTTGGGCTGCTGGCGCAACTGCTCCCAATGCTGATCTCACAAGCATCAAGATCGACACTGTCTGCACGGGCAGTGCGAGTGCCACTGTTGGCATCACCAACATCTACAGTCGCGTAGCAGTCACCACCACGCCAGCCACCGGCGCACGACTGGATGACTTTTCCACAGGCTTGGGGGCATGGAGATCCACGGGCACCGGCAGCACTCCAACAGCAGTGACTGATCAATTTGGAGAACGCGCTATCCGTCTCACGGGAGGCAACAACATCACTCGTATCAATATCAACCAAGGAACAAAACCCGCCAACGCTGCTTCAGCCAGCGTTTCATGGAGGTTCCAGCTCGTCTCGCTCAGCGGTGGTGCCAGCGATGCCTCTTGCTCTTTCATTAGGTACGCAAACGGTTACATCTCTGGGGACACTGCTTTCATCGATCCAGACAGGCTAGGCCGGGGTTACACTACTTATACGATGAGCGTACGTATAATGCCGCGGCGCGCACGTTTGGAGCCAAGGCTGATCTTCGATTCGCCCCTCCTCTCGCTTCTCTCTTTTAGTTCATCAATAATCCTGCAACCCGCATGATGATCCCTACCACCACTTCGGTCTCCCTCGCGTTGACGTGCAGCGCTGGCGTCACTGGCACAGTCAACGTCAAGCACATTGAGTGAGTGGAGTGGAGCGCGCCGTGGAGCGGCGCGGTGCAGCGCGGAGCAGCGTGGTCATTCTTTCGCATCGCAGCGCACCGCACCGCACCGCAGCGCATCCTTTCTGACACTGCGCTCTCCCCCCCAGTACACACTGGATCGATGCAGACGACAATCTGGTGGATGGTTCCAGCTACGCTGAATCTGACCCAACACCGACCACACCGCCAGCAATTGCCAGCGCTCCAGCGCCGGTCAGCGGCCAAAATTTGGTGCAGGATCCTTCATTCGAAAGCGGGGGTTCGGGATGGACCAAGCAGCTTTCTGGCACCAGTGGCGCAATCGACTTTGGTGCAGCCACTCAACCTCACTCTGGCTCCAACGCGGCCAAATTGTCGTGGGGAAATGGCGCTAGTCATGTGCAGATTTCCAGCTTCATCAGCAGCGATGAGGTGCCCCTTGGCAAAGCTTATCAATTTTGGCACTACTAGTGAGCGATGCGCGAAGTCATCGAGTGAAGTCACACGCACACGCTGACTTGGGTTCTCCGCCTCCTTGCTCTCCGCCAGCTACATCCAATCTTATCAGCTGCTTCCTGCTGCCCAGCGTCCTCAAACCGAGTACAGTTCGGACCGTGTATGCACCATCACCCATTACCTCGACACGACAGATACCGCAGACCCTAGTCGCGAAGTGACGTACAGCTTCGCATCCGAGTTTACTTCCGCCGGGTACTCTCGATGGGAAACTGGCGTACGACCGCGAGGAGCAGTGACGCTCGGCGACTTGGGTGCTCCTCAGGTCACTCGCATTGAACTCGAGTGCGGTCGCTCGGTTGCCTCAGCCGTGGTCCTTTTCGACGATGTCAACGTCCAACTAGTGAGCCGGCCTACCGCAGTAGGTGACCCTACTGGTCGCGCGGCCCCCAACACCAACATCATTCGAGGAGGTGACTTTGTCGACCAGGAGCCGTGGATCATCAAAGGTGGCCAGGTGCAGACCGAGGATGGCATCACCTTCTTCACGCAAGGTCCTTATTACGCCGATGCGCCGCTGGTCTTTCAAAAAGTCGCTCTAACTCCAGGGGCAACCTACCGCGTTGACTTCAGATTCCGCGTCTCGAGCTTCGAGGCCGGCACCGGCGCAGATCCTTATAGTCTTTTCAGAGTTCGCATGGGTGCTGCAACGATCCAATCCCTCAAGATCACTAGCGTCGATGAGGACTGGCACAACGTCTCGCTGGGCTATGAGCACCAGAACACGGACACCGCTTCGTTCCTCGCTTTCTTCCTCTCTTACGAAAGGGAATCTGCCCCGCGAGTCAGCCAATCCAGCATACGCATCACCGATGTTGGTCTATTCCGCACCGTTTGACGCGCGAGGGCGCGCGTCAACTCCCATCGTCACCACTGTCACCTAAACGCAATTGAATTTGAAACGCAATCGAATTTTGATCTGGTCGGCGCGCGTGTGCGATGAGCGGGGGGCGAGCGCTAGTGCGAGTGCGACTGCGGATGCGAGTGCATTCGAGACGTTGAGAGTGCGTGCGCATTCGAGGCGTCGTTGACGGCGCTGCTTGCTCGACGTTGTTGAATGTGCTGCACGCGCGTCGTCCTCGTCGTCGACGGCCGTGCTAGTGCTCGCACTCACTGCGACCACGTAAGCCCTAAGCGCGCAGTCCCTCTTTCAGCAACGCTACGCGACATCGATGCGCTACCGCACGTTCAAACGCCACTCGGACCTCGATCGCGATCGCTCCGCTCATCTTCTGGATGAGATGTCCGCGCTCCCACACTCCCACGGACTCTGACATGAAGCGGCTTGAGTTTTCCTTTGTAATTACCCCTCCCCAATACTCTGCATCGCTTGTTAGGTTAGAGCAGTACGGTCAGGGTTAGGGTTACAAGGGTGTCCCGTTTTAGGGTCAGAGATGTTTCATAGCCAGTTTGTAGAGCACATTGAGGAGTGTCTTGTGGCAGAAAAGTTTTGGATTTGCGATAGCCATTTTTGCGTGAGGAGGCG